ACCGACAGTTGCACCCGGTATTCCATGTCTCGCTACTGGAACCGTTCAAGGACACGGCCAGAAACGAAACCCCACCTGATGGTCTCGTTATAAACGACGTCAGAGAATACGAGGTTGAAGAAATTCGTATGGAAAAAGGCTCCGAAAAGAATAAAACGTACCTTGTTAAGTGGGCAGGCTACCCCGAAGAAGATTGCACGTGGGAACCTGAGGAGAATGTCAGTGATTGTGCTGCATTCGAAACCTACCTTCAAAATCGCAAGACTATTCATGACTCGAAGCGAGGAAGGAAGAGACAAAGGAAAGCTTGATTCGTGGTAGCTAAGGATAAATACAGGACCTATTTCATACTATGAACTGTTAGTGAGGGTCGTCGGTTGTAGGATTCGAAGGGAACTTACGCCATGTAATCAATGAAGGCTTGGCCAATTAATTGCAAAAGCCGAGGGGACAGATCACGAGATCGAGAGCCCGAAGGCCCGGGCACAGGTGCCCGCCCACGAATGGGCTCAACGAGGGGAAGCAAAGGAGACCCTCTTTCCCTGCCAAAGTCGGCAGGGTCACCAGCCGAATGTATCGACTGGGAACGGGAACGGCGAGGACGAAGCTCCTCTGACAAGGCAGCACGAATTGCCATAATCGAATGCTTTTTGAGCGGACTAGGCCGAGTCGAGGCTGTACTTTCGTCATCGGTTTCAGCACCGGAGTCTGTCTCAACGGCACGTTTTCTGGATGCACGGTTCGAAGCCTTGAGTGCTTTATCTAACGCACGGCATCGATCACCGAAGTCCCCTGCCACCGAACCCTGACGGAACTCGTCGGCTAAAGCCTTTAGGCGGTCCGACAGGGACTCGGGACACTACAAACCATCAGTATTGGTTATGAAATGAGAAATGTTCGATGGCATAGATGCTCGAACTGGAGTTATGAATGTGTACTTACGGGGACACACTTGCGCTTAAGCGTTCGACAATGCATGCACAACCGAGTCACGGTATCGTAACGAGCATGCCGCTGCTCGATGCAGTCATGAGGATTCGAAGTGGCCCAGGATCGAAAGCAGGCTAAGCACGGGAGCTCACGTAGAGACTCAACCGCACGTTCCTATACCCTATTAGTATCGAAACCCTGCACGTGGAATATCGTTACTCACCTTGCCCTTCGGAGACGCAGGGGGCTGGGAGTTGTCAGACACGGCACCAGGAGTAGGGACTGCACTGAGAGGCTCAACCGGAGGACCCTCAGGAGTGCGTGGAGGTTCGGGCTACCCATTCATCCGCATCAATATTTGCCTGACTTTATGACTCATCTCGTATGGCCAACTTACCTGCGTGGACGACATTTTTGCGAGGTACTCTGAATATGAGGACGAATCGGGATTGACGACAGCGAACTACTACTACGTTAGTGTTTTCTCAAGCATCGGGACGCTGCTCCCAAAGAGGGGGATAGCTAGAGCAGGTTCGAATTGTTAGAGTTAGGCACTCCAAGTTGACTGCCACGCTCAACCGTGAGATGGTCAAAACCACCTCACTGTCGCCCCAAGCATCAAATCGATGCAGGAAAAGCGAGGAATCAATAATATGGGATGCACTAAATCCATATTCGATGAAATTTTGATGAAAAAGCGTGGTGTTGAGATAACACTTACCATCGAGGAAGAAGATGAGGCCGAGGAAGAGAAGGGAAAGGAAGAGGAAGTCAGAATGAGGGAGATGAGGATTTGTGCGCGCTCACTACTAGCGCCAATCTCAACTACTTCCTACGTATTCAATCCTCTATCTGATGCCTATTGTCCACCTTCGATTTCTCCACCAAGAACAAGGATTTCGTTACGAAACTTGAACTACTGATTCTACGCACCGAACCCTACAAGCCTGCGAAGTTTTGGGCTCAGGGACGCGCCCTTATAAAGAGGGGGATAGCTGTAAGGCGGAATCCTGGATGGAGTTGGGAATAGCTTCAAAGTACAGCGGGCACGTGACCTCGCCCGGCTTCCCGCCGCTAATTGGACTAGCGGCTTGGCACACACCGCCTTATAACGGCGGGTGGCCTCAGGCCTTCGTGAAGCAGCGATTAGCTGCTGAGCATACGTGTATATACGTTCTATATTCGAATCTATTCCTAGGCCGAAGCCGAATCCCAGCTACGTTCTTGCAACCCCCGTCACAGCTGGATTGATTAGAAAGAGATATTAGGGTCTTTAATTAGATAATAAGTTGTTGTATAACTTGATCTAGATTAAAAGGCACTAATCCAGTGGCCATAAAGTTATTCTGGATAGTTTGGACTTTATATACTATCATATAAGCACTTAGGAATGCTGTTAAAAAGTCAATTTTATCAATATAGTTAAAACTAAGCCTTATTTACTGCTCAATCAGTTGTCTATAATATTGCTTTAAAACTGTAAAACAATCAATATTAAGAGGCTGTAAGAGATATAAAGAATAAGATGGTATATAGATTAAGATAATATTATTCTCCATGCACGTACAATTAAATTCTGTTGTTAAATAACTTTTATGGCTATCAAGAATCAATATTTGATATCTTTCCATTGTACAATCATTAATAAGAGGAATAAAATGGATTTTGAGCTATTCTAATCCTATTTGATCTATAGTCTAGTCATTCTCACTAATATTAATTCTTTAATTATCTGGAAGCTCGTCAAACCAGCCTAACTGTATATTTTTCTTTACTTTAAAGATAATATATAGAGGTAGAGCTTATCTAGTTGAATTTATTGTCTTAATTACAGTCACTTACTCTTGATTTCTAGGCTGTAAAAGCTTCAGCTGAGTATATTAATTGCTTCCAGTAATAATCTTTGTAGTTGTATAGAATCTTATTACAAAGCCAGTCTCATTAAAATTGTAGATATTTTCTAGAAGAATTCCATACTAAGATATAGCATTTTGTATGCAGTTAAAATACTCTTTTATAATTTTTAGATCTTCATATTTAGCATATTTGTAGATATATCTTTATAAGAATTTAGAATTAATCTCTGGGCACTATTTAACAAGATTATATACCCATTTTTCTCCAACCTATTGAATCCTATATTGTAAGAGAAGATAATTAGCCATTTCTTATATAAGAGAGTGCTGGGGGGGTAATCCATATCAATCTAAATCAAGTACTCATTTAATAAAGGATTCCTCTTTAGATTGAGCCAATTTATAGCTATTAATGCGCATTAACTATCGATATGGCACTCTGTGCATCTGATCTTAGAGAGTTGTACAAGCGACCATATAGATTCAAGCAGCTTTATAAATACTATAAATTCTTCCATTTTTCAAGTCGGAAATAGCTAATTCAATTTTTCCCTCATCCTGAGCGGATTTTAGGGTGTCTTTTTTGCGAATTGGTGGCATTTTAATGCGTTGTAATATGATAAATCGATATAGAACGCCGTTCCGGAAAGAGGTGGCCGGCTCGCTTACGTGGCCGGTTCGCTTACCGATTACGTTACTGCATAATAACCACTACTTACTACTACGTAGTCGGTACTTCCTACCTAGTACGGGAGTGGACGCATGCATATTAACGTCCACTAATGCATAATCATATGCATGCTCGGTCATTCTAGGCTAGGCACATGGAGCCAAGTGCTAGGTGCATACTGCATACTGCATCATACATAATAACATGTAATATTAACCAGGCAAATTGACCACGGAGTATATTCCCGGTATCTAGTGGTTAGCAAGGCGAATCCCTGCACTCTAGTCGGCAGTAGTAACTAGCCACTACCCAAGGTAGGTGACAGGTGTTGGGACAATGGAACTATATTCGTCTCCAAAGATCCGATCCCTTTACGGAGTGATAAGTATCAGTATCGCTCTTAGCCGGGAGTCGTCAATTGGGGCCTGCTTTATAGCTAATTAAGGAGGCACATAATACGGAAGACATATCATAGAATACCAGCTCATAGTGACCCCCCAAAAGCCATCGCACATAACGACTCCCTGCTATAACAATGTAATTATATGGCCACAAATCCCCCCCGCAGACCCTTTATATCTAGTATTATTATCCATGAATAGGATAACTATAAAAGGATCACTATAAACCTATGTGCGACCCCACTCATCCTAGTATGGCGGTATGTGAGTGGTTCAATTATCCAAGCTCGTTCAAAATGCGAGACAGGCGAGATTGGATTATGCACTTGCATTCGTTTGTCACGAGACGCTGGACAGTCTACCTAGGTAGGCAGTCTCTTATGGAAAATGGAAGTACGTATATATTTTGACGTGGCAAGGTTGCAAGTAAGCACTGATCGATAATTAATTAAAAGCTGACTAGGTAGCTACCTAGGTACTCATGCCATGGATACGAGGGCACTATAAATGCTGCGGTGAAGATAAGTGCCCCGGTAATAGATGAATATATTTTTAGTGTTATAATTTAATAGAATAACTAAGTATTCATTGAGACTATATACACGGAAAACTCCTAAGAACTTCCATACCCTCCTGATGTGACGATAATGCAAGATCAACAGCATGCGAATACAAATGCGATGCGCAACAAGAGAAAAAAAAAAAAAACACTGCCTCAAGTCCCAGTTTATGCGTCAGATAGAAAGAATGTAACGAATCAGAGATAAAATGAGAGAAAGGGAAAAAGAGAGCGAAAGAGAGAGAGGAGGGCCCTCTTATGGGTATACAATACATAGACGCGAATGTCCAGCGCCTCACACATTGTGTGAACCTATTACGTAATAAAAAGAAGAACGAAAGATAGAAAAGGAAAATATGACGCTTGCCAGCAGTATGTCCATGCATAAATCTCGACAGAACGAGAAAAGAAAGAAAAAGTACAGAGAATGGTAGTTTTTGCGTTGTCGAAAGAGAATCGTTCAGTCGATCACGAGGTAAAACTTTTATATCGAAACATCCGGAGACTCCATAGCGCTGCAAAATAAACCATACCGGGTCATAAGCTGTAGAGCCAAAGAGAGAAAAAACAAGACAAGAATCAAGTTATTTGTCTGCGTGTAAATTCAACCAGCTCATGTCTGAGTTGATATTGGTCCGAGGATAGTTGCTATGGAGGATACCACTTGATCTTCGCCCATTAGACCGGGCGTCTGTCGGAACTGAGATTGACTCCTGCAAACCTGAGGGTTCGCGCGCACTTGGTTGATAAAAGCTATCAGTATAGTTGCTACTCGGTGGCCGCATATACCAAGTCCCATCCTGAACACTAGGTGGAATGCCAGACGAAAATGCATCGTGACGACTGTGGTCATCGTCATCGGATAGCAAACTGGCTGAGTCTATGAGCGCCGATTGTCCTTGATGTAGATGGCTGTTTCCGGACATCGGTAAATGCTCTGTACTGGGACTCCCAGAAGAGACTTGACCCAATGGCTTGGGTCCGCTTAATGCACCTAGAGCAATAGATGTTGCTTCTGGCATTTGGTGAGGCCACATGCTACTTCGGTAGTCAGATTTGGTCATATCAGAAATGTCCGAGTTCATCGTGGTGCGAGGAGAATCCGTGGCTTTCGTATCCTGGAAATACTTGCCCCAACCTTCGTCAGTGCTTCGATCGCCCTTTGGGCGATTAGATTCGGTAGAAAGCATCATAACCTCCTTTTCGTCTATATCTGCTCGACTCGAGGCAATTGTTGGCATAGGACTTTTAGCCGGTGGAACTAATGATCGAGTGCCAACTCCATTCCCCGCCGCCATAGATGAGCGGTAGTCGTTTGCAAATTTTCCAGATATCATGTTAAGAGAATCCACGGCTGAGTGAACATTGCTTCGAGCCATGGGGACGGCAGCCATTGTTAGGGGCTCAATGCCTTGATCTTCAAAGCTCAGGCGGTCTTTATCTTGAGAGCCGAATCGGCGCCCACCCTTACCACCCGAGCTGGCCTTTTTCCCATGTAGGCGGCGCAGTATCACCAAGAGAACGATCAAGATGGCAGCTATACCCAGTAAACTACCGAGAGTGGCACCTATAATGACACCTGTGCTGGTGCTGGTGCCACCAGAAGTCGCTGCGGTAGTTGTCGATGTTGTAGCTGTTGCACTTGTTGCACTTGTTGATGCAGTTGATGTCGATGTGGTTAGCGGCTTCTGAAGGCTTGCACTATCGCCATTGTAGAAAAGTTTGGTGGTATTGACCCAGCTATTCTGAGTTTGGTTGAAGACGCTAAGGCAATCGTTGCCACTGCCGCCTGAAATCACAACTAGGTCGTTGCTGGACTGAGCTATCGAAAAACTGGTACGAGTGGTCGAAGGGGCATCAGTGGTATTATACGCTGGCATGTTCCCCCAGTCGCGCTTTTCTTTATTTGCAGACGAAGACGAGGTCGATGCGAATGTCACCGATTCACCTGGATATGCGGGTTGTCCGCCGGTCTGCAACAAAGCCACATAGCTAACGTTGTTTGGAGAAGTGGTCACGTCGAAGATCTCCAAAATCTTGCTACCGTCACTGTTAGATAAAATGGCAACGCCGGCGTCAGAGGGTATGCCTTCGGCAAGAGAAATCTGGGAGGTATTCCAGCCGCTCATGCCATGGTACAGAAAGACCTCGGTGTTCGTAGAAGTGCCTCCCACGTAAACCACGGTTGAGTTATCCCAAGGTAGCAGAAATGGCTGGATACCAGCTGGACTACCACCGTCCGAACGTGATTGTACTATCCAGCCGTTGTCGATGGGGATCTCGTATGTCGATGTTGAAGCATCCTCATTTGCATCATTGCTACCTGCGTAGACCAAAATCGAAGAGGTTCCGGGAATGTATATCGCACTGTGATTGACACGATTCTGCAAATCGGCGATATTTAAATTGATTGACTCCCACGTGTTATCGCTGAAAGAATATCTTTGAAGGCCAGAATACGTCGAGTTGTCCGAGGTGCCCCCGACAACGTATAAGCCTTGGTTCTCGGAAGTACCATCAAGGCTTCCCGTGACGCAGACGGCGTCCGTCACTGATTGGCCGGCATCCGTTGTATTCCAATCGGCACCACTCTCCAGCGATAGCGATAGTAATGCAGAAGGGGTGTAAACATAAAGAGTGTTGTCGTAAATTGCTGAACAACGCCCATCAAGGGCCGAGGGGGGCTGAGGGCTAGTCATATTGGTGAGATGGAAACCGCCTCAGGCCGTTGAGAAATCCAGCTGCTGGCCACGAGACGAAGGGTAATGAAGGAGACTTGAGAAGCGAGAGATGATAGTAAGGTCCAGCGAGATGCGACGAAGGATTTGTGCCAAACTTTCGGTTGACTATTGCATGATTCGCCAGGTTGTATCTTCTTTCAACTAAAACGACGGTCAGGTTGCGGCAATTGGTCGAGAACCGAGTTCATCGAGGTTGTATGTATTCGGGCGAATTGGAGAGGCTATCAACACATCGCTCGCTTGTATATGGCCGGAGACGATATTGGGTCCGAAATGGCAAACAGAGATGTGAATGGACCAAATCAACTGGCTATTTCCTTGTTGCAGGGTCGAATAAGCAAAAACGAAAGAAAAAAAAAAAAAGGGATCCGAAGACACGAAGGATAAGTCGCACGAACGAATGACACCTGCAGCACGCAACGAGGCACTGAATCGAGAGAGTGGCACGACAGAAACACGGGATTTTCCCCTGAAGAAAGCGAGTGAAGAATGGCGGGCGGTGCGAAAGAAGGAAGGGCCAGGGCAAACAGGGAGCGACAGCGAAGGGAAAGAGAAGCAATCCAGCAAGCAAGCAAGGTGCATGGAGCGAGGGCGAGGAGGGCGAAGAAGTGGAAGGAAGAAGGGGGGAGAGACTAAGGAGCAGCTAGTCTCACACGGCTTGTAGATAAATGCCCCGTTTGGGGAAAGCGCAAGGGACCAGCTGAGGGTGAAACGACGGGGCGGCAGCCGGGCCAATCAGCACGCGCGGCAGACAATCGCTTAATATCGCCCAGATGAAAAGGCACTTTATCAATTACGACGCCGTCGTGTTCGACACGGTCTGCCTGCCACTTGGTGTGTACGCCGTACACAGTACCGAGTAGTATACACAGTATATCCACGTCTGCGATGGGCAATATGCTCGATCAATGTCCGAGTTCATCACACCGAACAATATAAGTCCAATCAGACAGCGACGTCACTTGAATTGCCGGCATGGCCCCACTGCCCGTGCCCGTGCTCGTGCCTAAGGCCGCAATCTGATCGTATGTTCCAACTGCTACAGGCTTTTCTCGGGATTTATCCTGATTCGCACTGAAAATCGAACCAGAATCTTACTACTGAGCCAAGAATAGCTATGACTAGTATGATGCACATTTTCAGGGCAATACTTGGATAAGCTAAGTGCTTCAGCTGCCGAAGGGAACATCAAATTACTACACGGAGAACTTGTGTCCTGGGAGTCCTCACATACTAATGGAGACATCTGACACCAGGGTAGAAAATGCATCTTACACAATATTAGCCAAGTCATCAACCCCGGCTTCCTAGGCGAGGCCAGGAAACTCCTGGTCTTGCCGACTAGGGCTTATGAACTGTATCACCAGCAATAACATCCGACACACAATCAGAGTCAGCCCGCATTACGGCGTACGGAGGTGCATAGTTGACATATTAGATTATTTTCATGGGTGTTTCATAAAAAGATGAAGGGCTGCTTGTATAGTGACATGCATTGATATAATACTTCGGGAAAATTACTCGAGATGTACATCGCCGGGCCATAAATCAATCTAGAAGAAGACAACTTCAAGAAAGATAATCGCCGGCTCAGCTTTGTCCCTGCTGCTGCTTCCATGCATGGGCACGCTGCAAGAGCCGTGACAGATTGGCGGCCGATGCATCGTCTGCCGGAAAGACGTAGTCCATGTATTCTTCGTAACGGTCGTCGTCCAACTTGCGACGCTTCTTGACCCGTCGTGGCATCTGTTTCTCGATCGCCGCAAGATCTTCGGTCGACCCATGCGCTTGCTCGAATGCCTTCCATGCATTCAATAGATCCACTCGCTATGGCATATCAGTAAATGCGCTAGATAATAAAGAAGAAATAGAAGAAAATATGAACTCACTTCTTCCTTTAACTCCTTTTCTTTCATTACTTTATTGGCACGTTCAAAGATTCTGCGAGCCCGTCGTTTGGCTTCTTCGCTGACCGGCCGTTCTTCTTCTTCTTCTTCGTCCTCCTCCTCTTCACCTTCCGGAATATTGATCTCAAATTTCGCATAATTAATCCAGACCTTGACGTGGTCTGTCTTCTCCAGTAATCGTTCGTACAATTCACGCGTACGATCATACTCTCCTTCGTACTCCTCAAAGTCGATGTATGCCTTCCAGACCAGCTCCGGCATGTCTAACGTGGCTTGGTCTATACCCAGTTCAAAGATCGCACGAGCCCGTTCGACATCTTCCAAGCCCCGTTCGAGCTCGGCAAACTTAATCCATGCCTGACTGTTGGCCGCGTTCCACTCAATCTGCTTCTCGTAAAGAGTCCGGCACCGATTGAACTCAAATAACTGTCGTTCCAGATCAATGTAGCCCCGGAACAATTTGTCCTTAGGACACATGCCAATGGCTTGACCAAGGGTCTTCCGTGCCGCTTGTAAATCCATCTGACGTATCTCGAATTGAGCTTTCATGAGCCAGATCTTGGCAAAAGTGAACTTTTTGTGAGGAATAAGCTTTAGGCATTCGTTGTAGATCTGTCTAGCTCGTCCAATGTCCTTGTTCTCCAATTCTTCCCACAGAGCATAGAATGTCCAGAGATAGATGTAACGCCGCCAATGCCGTTTTTCCTGCGAAGGCGGTATCTGAGCAATCGCCCGTTCATAGACATCGCGTATGCGATCGACATCTCCTGACGTCTCTTCTAGTCGAGCAAAGTCAAACCACACGTCGTAGTTTCGTGGATTTTCTTTGATTTGCTCTTCATACTGTACTCGGCGTTTGTTCAATATGACGTCCTCGACACCTTCGCGATCACCAAACTGCTTTTCAAACGTTGTATACGATTGATGCAGTGTGGCCGACTTGGAGCGCGGTAGCCGATCGAGAGCAAACTTGTAAATTGCGCGGGCCCGTTCGTACTCTTTCAGCTTCGCTTCGAATTTGGCGTAGGATATGAAGATCTTCTCGTCCATAAAATCGTCGCCTAGAGTTTCAATCGCAAGCCCATAGACTTCCCTGACTAAGTCACTCGTGCCGTTCTCTTCCTCAAATCGGGCCCATTTGATCCAGTTCCTAGGCTCTGGATGAACGATGGTGAAGCGCTGAAAGATATTCCTGGCACGGTCAAATTCATTGTAACGCTTTTCTAGTTTAATATAGGCACTCCATGCGCCCTCGTCTGGTTCCCATGACATCCATCTTTCGAATACCTGACGTGTGCCCGGGATATTGCCCAGCGTCTCCTCCATGTAAACATACTTGTACCACAATTTGTCCACTCGCGGCAAAATAGTCACAGCCCTGTCGAGCAGATTTCGAGCATGGTTGATGTTCCTAGTTTTCATCTCTGCCTCGATATACCGAATCCATAGTATCACGGACGTAGAGTCAACATCCAAAGCTCTTTCGAAAACAGAGCGTGCTCGCCGAAATTCCTTCTGTTCCAGTTCCCATTGTGCATAGCGCATCCAATTGTTCATGTTAATTCGGTTGCGCCGAACATAGTCCTCGAATTCTTTCCTTTTGCGCCCTTGGTATTCGTGCAATTCTTCCAAGTCCGCAAAGCGCTGGGTAGGGGCCTGTAATCCAGTCTCTTGTCGGTCAACAGCCTCTCGCAACAGCTGCTCTGCAGATATCTGGATGGGCGCCGCGGCCTTGTTCTTGACCCTTGGGGGTCCTCGTGAGGACTCCATGGCGAAGGATGGAAGCTATGACCGACGGATCGTGTCTTGTGAAGAAGTTGTATAAAATCAAGGGCTCGCAAAGGATAGAGCTATTTCTGGTTGGAAATAAAAAATCACGCCGAAATCCTACACCGAGCCTTGGAGCTCTGCGACGTGATTCTCATGCAGCTTCGTGCTCGAGGAAAATAATATTGCGGTAAAGTTGCATCAAAGGCCTCTGGCGCCACCCGGAAGTTTCTAGGCTGTCCCCCGTTGTGTCACGTGATACTTTGCGATGGTAAGCTTTGCTAGTGGCGTCATTTCTTTTTTCTCTCTTTAGGCTTCATACAGGTTTGCAGCTCGCTGTCAGCACCACCATCCCTTGCCAAAATGTCGGCCGCTGAGGATCTTTTGAGAGATTTCGAAGACTCGGATTTGGAAGATGTGGGAGAAGATGAAGTCGAAAATGGCGTTCAAGTGATGGAAGACGTGGTGGAGCAGCCAGCAGAGGAAGCCGGCGAGGAGGAAAATGTTGCAGTTAAAAATGATTTTGAGGTCGCCATGTCCGCAGCAGATGAATTAGCACGTCTACACAAGGTTCTACGCGATCATTATTCGATACGATTTCCAGAGCTCGAGACTCTGATCACAAACCCGATCAACTACGCGAAAACTGTCGCAATATTGAAGAATGGGCCTCTTGATAGTATCAAAGAGCTGTCCACAAGCGCGGACAACATTGTTGGTGTTCCTTTAAATGCTGTGATCGATGGACCCTCGTTGATGGTCGTTACAGTCGAAGGAACCTCCACGCGGGGACGGGAGATGACAGACGCGGAGCTCAAGGTTGTGCTCGAGACTTGCGAAAAAATCCTGAAACTCGACCGAGAGCGAACTGCACGTATTGAGAGCGTTCAGTCCCGCATGACGGAAATTGCGCCAAATCTTACAGCTCTCATCGGGTCGCAGACGGCCGCTCAGTTTCTTAATCAAGCGGGTGGATTACTAGAGCTTGCCAAAATCCCCGCCTGTAATCTGGCTGCTCAGGGATCCAAAAAGCAAGAAGGGTTGGGTTTTGCTACAAATGTTGGGATTCGGCAGCAAGGTTTTCTCTATCATTCGCCGATCATTCAGGATATTCCGAACGATGTCAAACGGCAGGCAATGCGTATTGTGTCAGCAAAGATGGTGCTCGCTGCTCGAGCTGATGTTTCCCATAGTAGCCCAGACGGATCTATGGGTGAGGAGCTTAAGCAGCAATGTTTCCACCGACTAGACAAACTTACAGAACCGCCACCAAACAAAGGTCCTCGGGCCCTTCCTGCTCCCGACGACAAGCCGGCGCGAAAGCGAGGTGGCCGACGTGCACGCAACGCAAAGCAGGCTGTAGCAATGACGGAGATCCGTAAAGCCCAGAATAGGCTCGCGTTTGGTAAAGAGGAACAGGAGGCTGGTTATGGTACGGGTGACGGCACAATCGGGTTGGGCATGCTTGGGCAAGAGAACGATGGCCGAATTCGCGCAGCTCAGATTGATCAGCGCACACGAGCTAAGCTGAGCAAGTCCAACAAAGGCTGGGGAGCAGCTACCCCAATCAGTGGCACAGCTACATCGCTTCGGGGCCCTGGAAATGCTACAGTCCTGGGTCTACGCACATCAGGCGTGGGACCCTCACTTGGAGCGTCGGCTGGTACAGCAAGTTCGATTGCGTTCACTCCGGTTCAGGGATTGGAACTGGTCGATCCGAAAGTGCAGGCAGAGCTCAACCGCAAACGCAAGGCGGAAGAGGATCGGTGGTTCAAGAGCGGCACCTTCACTCAAGTGGGCAATCAAAGCACTGTTGGACAGGGCGGCAGCGGAGGCTTCAAGGTTCCGGAGGTGCCGGCGAAGAAGGTAAACACTGGAGGAAGCATGGCCCCCCCACCGCTTCCCACGAAAAGGTGAACTGGTTGTTCTGTTCGGAATACTGCATTTGTTCTCGGCGTTTTTTGGGGGGTCTTATTATTATTATCATTATGATTTGAGTTTATGGGGTGATGATACCAAGATTTGTGTATTTGCGCTATCTACTTTTGATCTACTTAGCATTAGAATCTGCATGTGTCACCGTTGAGAGGAAGAATGACGTGCTTTGAAGGCACATCTGAGCAGTTGCCACGGCCGTATTCATATATTATTAGAGCTAGATTGTGCAATCGATTTTTTTACGGAGTTTTATCCAATTGATCCATGGAACAGGTAACCCTAAGCCTGCCCGCGCGGAACCGGCAAGGACTCTTAGCTGCATCTTAATATATAGTCTTGTATAACTATTCTATTCATGCAAGACTCAACTTCCTCTGCGAGAGAAGCACGTCGTACGGATGCAAGACTGTTGTGCTGATGCCGCGGACCAGAAAATAGTGGAAGAAATTGCGTGCTAGAGACAAACGCCCCAAAAATTTGCGCGTTTCTGATGGGCTGCGTTGGCGCTTAGCTCACCGCAAATTCTCACCGCTAACGTAATCCACACCCGAGCGGATCACACCACCGAGCGGATCACTCAACTCCGAGCGCGTCAAATGAGTCAACTCTCTATATTCAACGCGCCAATATGCCACCAATTCCTAATAAAAATCAATCAAATTCTCAGGAACAAGAAGGACGAATCTTATTAGCTATATCCGATTTTAAAAATGGAAAATTATCATCAATTCGTCATGCAGCACGCACTTATAATGTGCCATATACAACTCTCTCGCGCCGCCTCAATGGTATCCCAATGAAAGCTGAGATACGTGCAAATGGGCATAAATTGACTCAATTTGAAGAGGAATCGCTTATTAAATGGATATTAGATCTAGATAAGCGAGGATTACCTCCCCGACCCTCTATGGTACGAGATATGGCCAATATTCTTCTTTCTCAACATGGAAATCAAACAGTTGGCGAGAACTGGGTTTATAACCTAGTCAAACGTCGCTCAGAGCTAAAAACACGATTTTCACGAAGATATAACTACGAGCGTGCTAAATGCGAAGATCCGAAGATAATTGAGGAATATTTTGATCGCGTACGAGAGGCTATAGCCAAGTATGGAATCCTATCGGAGGATATCTATAACTTTGATGAGACTGGCTTTGCAATGGGCCTCTGCGCGAGCGCAAAGGTTATTACTGGAAGCGATCGATATGGCCGTCCACATCTACTACAGCCTGGTAATCGAGAATGGGTAACTGCAATTGAGGCAGTCAACTCTACTGGCTGGGCCTTGCCCTCGTACGTGATCTTTAAAGCTACTAAATACTCCCAGGAAGGCTGGTTTGAGACCCTTCCAGATGATTGGAAGATCAATATTAGTGATAATGGGTGGACAACAGATCAGATTAGCATGGATTGGCTCATCAATCACTTTATTCCTCATACAAATGGCCGGATAATCGGACAATATCGAATGTTAATTCTCGATGGCCATGGAAGCCATTTAACTGCCGAATTTGATCGTACATGCACTGAGAATAAGATTATCCCAATCTGCATGCCTCCACATTCCTCGCATCTCTTACAGCCTCTCGATGTTAGCTGTTTTGCAGTTCTAAAGCGACAATATGGAAAGCTTGTTGAGCAGCGGATGAGACTCGGCTTTAATCATATTGATAAAATCGACTTTCTTACTGCTTTTCCAGAGGCCCGTACGATGGCATATAAAGCTGAGACTATTCGGAATGGCTTCAAAGCAACTGGATTAGTTCCATTGGATCCAGATCGAGTTTATAGTCAACTTACTATCCGATTAAAGACTCCAACACCACCTCCTAATCCACCTAGTGATTCTCAATCATCATGCTTACAGACACCTCAAAATCCACGCCAATTCAAACGCCAATTGAGTACGATTAAGCGACGAATCAGCCGGCGTACAAGGAGCCCCTCTGAAGTTATTGATGAAGCAATTAGTCGCATGTCAAAGGCGTACGAGACCAGTATTAACGAGCTTCTTATTATACGGAAGGAAGTTCACGATTTACGAGCTGCACATGAGAAAGAGAAGCGAAAGCGTACACGATCTAAAAAGCAGATATCTCATGAGCAAGGAATTACTAGAGAGGATGCTCAGGCACTTATAAATAGGCCAATTGAGGCATCTCAAGCTCCTACTACTGCTCCGGCCGAGCCTGAGCTTCCGGCCTCTCAACCACGTGTACGCCGTCAATTTCAATGTAGTGAGTGTGGAATTTTCGGGCATAGAAGGCCTCAATGCCCTAATCGTATTACTAATTAATTTTTTGTATATAATTATTATTTCGGGTTGAAAATTGAGGTTTAAAATCTATACAAGACGCTTTCTTGGAGCTGAGTGATCCGCTCGGTGGTGTGATCCGCTCGGGTGTGGATTACGTTAAGTGAATGAGAGCGAAGCGAGCACTTGCTGCTTACATCTACGCCACAGAATCTGTGGTGAGAACTTTACACATGGGATGTTGCTTGCAAATAATCGGTTGCTCTATCGCAATTTACGGGGTCTCTTGCGCGTATCTGGCTTTTATGGGGCAAACGCCCAACCCAGAAATAGCATTGGCCCCTGGGATTCCGATCTGGGGCGCCGGCTTCTGATATCGTACCATAAAGAGCAGGCGTTGCCATTTTTCTTTTCTTTCTTTCTTTTTTTTTTTTCCCTTTTGCTCGTTTGTCCTTCCTTTCGATAAGGTGTCCGTTGTAGTGTCCGAGTCGTTTCCAAGAGTCTGCATAAGGAGAGTATTTTGTTGGCAACGCACCGGTGCTCTCTCACTTGTCGTCATTCTTTCTTCAAACTTACAAGAACTGAGAGACTCACCAGTGTTTCCTGTACTGCAAGAGGACAGGAAAGAGTGGGAGCATTCTTCTGGGGTCCGGGAAGGAACCTTGCAAAAAAACAGACATGGCGGAGGTGATCACCAACGCCGTCAACCAGGGAACAGCAACTGCTTCCACAGTCAACCCGCCCACGGTCACCCTCAGAGCGCCTAGCTCGCTTTTCCACCACGAACTGGTGACAAAAGACTTTGCGCTTCTACAATTCCACGCAGCTTCTGCTCTGCAGTTGCAGTTCGGCATACAGCGTCATGAACTGGCGGCAACTTCGGACGATCGCTTGATTGCGTCGCCCTACAATGAACCCTTGAATCTGCTGGACTTGAAGCGTCTTGAGACACCTTATCAGCTATTTGCAAAAGCATTGACTATTTTCAAGCCAATCCGAGATGACTATGCTGTTGCTCCCTATATCGAGTCTTTCAACTGGCAAGCCGTTGTTGATTTCCTGCGTGATCTCTCCATCGCCGAAGGCCACCAGTGGAAAAGAACCCAATTCTATGTCGTTTCCTTTCGTTCTCAGCTGAAACCTGATATCGACTACCAACGATTGCATGATCTCGACTATCATTCGCATCAAGAAGCCATGGCCAGTGGCGGCTTGCTGAAATACTGGTTCGGTGCCAAAGACGAGAAGCACCAGAACTTGGCAACCTGTAGGTGGCCAATCAATGGACAGATAACTCATTTTTCGTAACCGACTGACATCAACACAGGCATTTGGAGGAATAGAGAAGATGCGAGAGCAGGAGGCACTGGGCCGTGGCATAAACAGGCTCGAGCTGCAGCTTCAGTAATGTACGAACATATTGTCTTCAAGACAATGGAGTTGGTCATCGACGATGACGCATCCTCATGGGAAATCACCGACTGGAAGAATTAAGAGGGTTAGAAATTATTCCCTTGAACTCTGCGTGGTTTCTTTTTATCTGCCAGACACTTTTATGATATGTCTACTTTCGAACATATGCTTCCATGCTGACATTGATACCATCACTCGATTCCGTTTCAGCGCTTCCATCACGTTTGCATTAGTATGCTCGCTTCTTGATTTGGTTTATTTCTTTGATATATTCCGGCGTCGATGTCAAAAGCAAGGGTTGGGCGTTTTCCAAGTATACCGAATGTCAACCAGTTCTAATGAACAATGGTGGTCTCTTTTGCCTCGATGCATCTTTCCTTGTTCTTCTATTTTGTCATGCTTCTAGCTTCATAGCTCCGAAGACTAGATCACGGGGGGCAAACTGCTTTCAACGATAGCATACCATATTCCGTATCGAATGCAAGTAAATATCCCGTAAGAGGGTGTGCTCTTTGTGCCACCTGTCATGTTGCAGGACCATGGTGGACGTGGATGTGGATTAAGGACCCGATGGACAGACAGCAGTGGATGGAAAGCTCTCGGAGTCCGAATCGATTTCTCGCACCTCACGCCGAAAGATGCGCCACAGGTCGAGGACAGCTCGGGCACTAACACATGGAGGATGATGCAGGACAGCGTCAGGCCCCAGAGGAAAGGTTCCGGGACGATTGAACAAGACAGAATTTGGAGGTTTGCGCCCTGAGGGCTCGTTTGGAAGAGGTTCGTAGGGTCTAATTAATGTGGGGAGTCGCGATTTTTCGGTCTCCGCCAATGCCCCTCCTTCCCTGCCTGCTCGCCGGCCGTACCTGCTTTAAGAAGAATTTATCTCAGAATCTTCTTTTCCCCTTCCCTTCCTCCATCACCTCTCTCCATCGCATCCCTGTTATACCACCTCAGTAAGTCAAATCCAAGAAGGAATTCCTGCGCTTCTTTGCTATTTCCGCTGCTCAGCGACGTTCATGCCACCACCCATTGAAGCTCACAATTGCGTCTAGTTTCCCTTTTTCTTTTTTTTTATTCCGAAAACTTCAGACACAATGGCTGCCCCTGCCCATACATTCAAGGTCGCTGACATCGTACGTACAACGCCCACACAATGGCAATTCCAGGCCTGCAGCAGCAGCAGGAGGTGTCCGCCCTCGTTCTGACAGCACAATTCTAGTCCCTCGCTGCCTTCGGGCGCCGCGAGATTGAACTCGCTGAGGTCGAGATGCCCGGTCTCATGGCTATCCGTGCCAAATACGCCACTGATCAGCCTCTTGCTGGCGCTCGTATTGCCGGTTGCTTGCACATGAGTATGCTTACTAGTTTGACCCTTATGCGTGCAAGGTATCATCTAATGCTCTGTTTCTAGCCATCCAGACTGCCGTCCTCATTGAAACCCTCACTGCTCTCGGTGCTGAAGTTACCTGGACCAGCTGCAACATCTTCTCCACCCAAGATCACGCGGCCGCCGCCATTGCTGCTGCTGGTGTCCCTGTGTACGTTGTGCTTAACTGCATCTGCTATGATGATGAAGGGAGAGAGACTAACGAAAATTTCTTCGCACAGCTTTGCCTGGAAGGGTGAGACTGACGAGGAGTACGAGTGGTGCTTGGAGCAACAGCTCAATGCCTTCAAGGATGGCAAGAAGCTCAACCTCATTCTCGACGACGGTGGTGACCTCACATCTCTTGTCCACAAGAAGTACCCCGAACAGCTGAAGGACTGCTACGGTATCTCCGAAGAGACTACCACTGGTGTTCACCACCTCTACCGCACCTTGAAGGAGGGCAAGCTCCTTGTCCCTGCCATCAACGTCAACGACTCGGTCACCAAGTCCAAGTTCGATAACTTGTACGGCTGCCGTGAATCTCTCATTGACGGTATCAAGCGTGCTACCGATGTCATGATTGCCGGTAAGGTTGCTGTTGTTGCCGGTTTCGGTGACGTCGGCAAGGGTTGCGCCCAGGCTCTTCACAGCATGGGTGCCCGTGTCATTGTTACTGAGATCGACCCTATCAACGCTCTCCAGGCTGCTGTCTCTGGCTACCAGGTCACCACCATGGAGGAGGCTGCTCCCATTGGCCAGATCTTCGTCACCACCACCGGTTGCCGTGACATCCTTGTTGGCCGCCACTTTGAGGTCATGAAGAACGATGCCATTGTTTGCAACATTGGTCACTTCGATATTGAAATCGATGTTGCTTGGCTCAAGGCCAATGCCAAGTCTGTGCAGAACATCAAGCCTCAAGTTGACCGCTACCTCATGTCCAACGGTCGCCACATCATCCTCTTGGCTGAGGGCCGTCTTGTCAACTTGGGTTGTGCTACTGGCCACTCTTCCTTCGTCATGTCCTGCTCTTTCTCCAACCAGGTCTTGGCTCAGATTGCTCTCTACAAGGCTGAGGATGCTGCTTTCGGTGCCAAGTACGTTGAATTTGGCAACGAGGGCAAGCGCCCCGTTGGTGTCTACGTCCTGCCCAAGGCCCTCGATGAGCAGGTCGCCAGACTCCACTTGGAGCACGTCAATGCTAAGCTCTCGACTCTTACCCCTGTCCAGGCTGAATACCTCGGTCTGGAAGTCAGCGGTCCTTTCAAGAGCGATATGTAAGTTCCAGATGAATATCCAAGCTCCCATTCGACCTTTTTGTATAAGCATCTACTAATTTTCCTCGATAGCTACCGCTACTAAATTTGGACATGATACCCCTCAATCTCCATTTCTTCTCGGCGCATGGTGATACATAGAGACTTTTTTCAACATGAGTTTACGATGTTATGAACATATTCCAGAGTTCTTGATCAATATAGAACTCACAAGCATCTAGCCTTCAACGGCCAGAATATTGATTCCCCCTTAAAAAAAAGAGAAAAGTGGTATACTTTTATATGCATTTTGTTCTCATAAGTCTTTTAATGAACTTGGGACTAGGACTTTGGTGCGAGGAAGGCGTGATCTATATGACTGAAATATTGAACCATTTGTTTTCCGTTTTCCTATCAATCTTCTATCAATCGTGAGTCTCTCAACACAAGGGTAGAGACTGTGTCTCAATAGAAGGCTAGAGTTGCATCCGCCTTGGATATGCATGAATGAAGAAAAATTCCTAGCAAGGTATGATGTCTACAGACTTTCAAATCACCTCAAACGTAGACTGGCCTTGATAGATCTGGTAGGCATGGCTGGATAAAAATGAGGCTAAACCTGTAAAGGCAGGCCACGGGCCCTGGAACCCTAGCACATTCCTCAACATCAGAAAGAATGTTCCGGCATTTCGCAGCCGCTTCTTTCATTATCGATAAACAGTACATGATCGTATTCCTCTCTTCATGAGAAACGAGGGGCAGGGGCAGGGAGAAGCTTGTGGAGGACTACCCATACAATCAAGCTCATACAGATGTGACACGCCGGACATTCCAACCGAGTTGCAGATATTGGGTTGCATGTCCAGGCTGTGCTGGCTGGCGGTTTCAATTGCGCGTGTAGGAATGTTTGAGGCGCGGCTTGCCATGGCAAAGCATTGGCTTGCTTATCATGTATGGATAAAGAGTGAGAACGTGAAGCTTTGATACGTGCATATTTTGGGGTTGGGATTTACTTTCTACATGCCTCTTTCCCTCGGCCGGTTGACAATCCCTGTATAAAGACTGCCCGGAGTCCGTCTGTCGGTCTGCAAGCGACTATTCTCACCACCGAAACAATACTTGTACCTGTGCCCTGCGTGCAACCGTTTCAAATAATCGAGAGTTCAATCCATCAACCTCGTTCTGCACCAAAACCCTGGCAAATCCGAATACCTTCTTTCTTGCCGCATCAAACCTGCCTTATTGGGAAAGACTGCAACACGAAAATGGTGTCATCCAAAGCGCTTCTTTCTGTTTATGCACTTTCGGACATCATACTTGCGTATCCCATTATTGAACGCCAACACACTGAAGACTCTTCTTCTGGTGGGGTGCATGATATGGCAACGAGATCACCGAACCCGGTAAGACTGTCAAACCAATGCTCTGCCAAGTTGCTTTGAAATGTGTCAACTAACTATTGTTGTGGGTATGCGTAGAGATTTAGAAATCCGTTTGATGTCAACCAATTCTTAGATAACTTGGACTACAAAATTCCTGACAATAAGGATATCCAAGAATGGGTTGATGAAGTACAGAAGAAGGGCGCAATGGCGGCAGAAGGGGATTTCTTTGGAGATGACGACGACGATGACAGCGATAGTGACAGCGACGATAATAATGAAGATGAAGACGACGATACTGATGATGGCAAGGACAAAAACAAGGACAAGGACGACGATGACGATGAGGAAGAAACCAAAAAAGATCATGAGGTTAAGGAGCCAACACAATCTACTGAAGCCCAGCAACCTTCAACCAGCACCAGAGCCTCGAATACAGCCAATATAACACCTCTGCTTCCTCTCTTCCCAACCTCTACAATCACGACGACCATAGAGATGCCGACTCCATGCACGACAGAGTCACCTGCTCAAGGTACCACTACCAGTGAGCCGGAAGTTAGTGACGTTCCAATGGCCCAGGAACCGGTGTCTGAGGACGCTACTTCGATAATTACAATACCTAGTGTAACCATCCTGCCTATTTTACGCCCGACGTATTTCACTGGATTGGGCCATCTTTTGGATCTATTACCAGACGATCAGTCTGACGCTTCGTATAGGGCTTGATATGCCTGGAGATACAGCGAGGAATTCAAAATCTCATGTTAGTTAGGTACATAGTACGGAGCGTCATGAGAAATTTATATGAAGGCCATTTTTGTTCAAGATATCCAATTTCGAGACAGCAAACGTCCTGAGCTCGAAGTTTTATATAAAAGGCCACTTTCGGGGATCCCCTTCAGCCACACCTCGAGTCCAAATTTCTCGTAGGTCGCAAATAGTTGTAAGTGGGCAGCCGGACGAGTTTCTATTAAAACCGGATCGACAGAGGAATACGAGGGCTACCAGCTATCGCAAGTTGAAGACAGCCGCTTTGCAAGCTGCAACGAGAAGAGAATTAGAAACCAGGATAGGCGTTCTCCGAGTATCAAAGCCGACTCAGAACGACAGCCACACAAAGACACAAGATTGAAGATGCAGGATGGAGGTGATGTGATCGACGTGTAGTTGCGGAGCTGCGGAATAAGCATAAAACCGACTGTGCGAATGTGGATCTAGACGGAACTCGGCGTTAGGATCGGTCTTCGATTTAAGCCTTGCGGCCTCAGGCATCGATTATTCATTGCATGCGATGAAGCAATAGACATCTATAAAAACCATTCGCTTCTCTGCTCCAACAATCCAAATTTTTCGATCGCGTTCTAAACATTGACAAATAGGACTTTCAATTACTCAAGACTCAACTTCGTATAACCATGCCTGCTGTTCTCGGAAAACAAGTCGGGCCTACTGGCTATGGAACCATGCGTAAGTCAGATGCCCAGCTATGAAATGCATGACATCAATGAAGATGGACTGGCTGATATCTATAATCGCAGGCATGACATGGAACCCTACTCCTCCAAGTAAAGAAACATGCTTCGAAACACTCAATACAGCCATTGAACTTGGTGCCAATCTCTGGAACGCTGGAGAGCTCTACGGAACCCCGGAGTACAACTCTTGCCACTTGCTACAAGCCTATTTCGAGAAGTATCCGCAAAATGCGGACAAGGTCGTGCTCAGTATCAAAGGCGCAAACCTCCCAGGCCAACTAACTCCAGATGGCTCAGAAGAGAATATCCGGAGAAGCGTCGACGAGTGCCTGCGGAATTTAAAGGGCACCAAATCTATAGATATTTTTGAATGTGCTCGTCAGGATCCCAAAACCACTGTCGAGCAATCAGTGACCATTCTCGCTAAATTGGTTAAAGAGGGTAAAATTAAGGGCATTGGCTTGAGTGAAGTCGATGCCGAGACTATCAGGCGAGCGTAAGTATTAATTCCGTGGACACGGAATGAGACTTCGCTAATCCGGCAAACGGCATCTATCTAGACACAAGGTTCATCCCATCGCTGCAGTAGAGGTTGAATTATCACTCTGGTCTCTGGATATCTTTGAAAATGGCGTTGCCACAACTTGCGCAGAACTGGGCATCCCTGTCATTGCTTACTCCCCCCTGGGTCGAGGTGCTCTGACTGGCGAAATCGCCAGCTTGACAGATATTCCAGAGGGTGACTTCCGGCGCCTTGTCCCCAAGTTTCAAGGTAGCAACTTTGAGAGCAACCTCAAGCTGATCAAGGAGATCGTGAGCTTGGCTAAACGCAAGGGTGTTGCTCCAGCTCAGATCGCGCTGGCCTGGGTTCGCACTCTGAGTAACAAGCCTGGTCTACCTACCATCATCCCAATTCCTGGTGGAACAACCAAGGATAAAGTCACTCAAAACACGCAAGGTGTTCAGACTTTAACGGATGAAGAGATGGCAGAAATCGATTCTATTCTGAAGGGTCATGAAGTCAAGGGAACTCGCTACTAGTGCACATATATGCTAAGGAGTGTGAGGACGTGATAGCTATATATCTTCATTGTGTATTGATTGTTGAATATTAACCATCATTTGTGATTCGACAAGATTGCAATCCTAAAGGAAATTCTTTGTATGAATATCAGTATACCATGATATATTTGAAAAAAAAAAAAAAAAATAAAAAATAAAAAGCAGGTAAGAAAAAAAATAAGATATAATGTAGTCAGGTCAAGTGTAGAGTGTCAACAAGCAACTTCACCTCACGAAGAGGGAAATTGTCAGCATTGCAGAATTCTCTTTTTTGTTCATCACACAATTCAATAATCAATGAGACTCGCAAGGTGGGTGGCGCGACATACCTATTGCAATGCTATTCATTCTGCAGGAAGAGTAAAGAAATAGTCGAAAGTAGAAACAAAAACCACCTGAAGATCAAATCTTTCCCAGAAATGATTGCTAAATATTTTATTAGCAGGGGGGACGCAGAGAAAAACGGAAGAAAAGTTCTGTCCACAGTGAAATTAAATGCGGAGGGAAAAAAGGATTCGGCAACGCTTCGAAGCTTCAAACGGCTCAAGTCACGTGCCTCCGTATCGTGCTACCTACTTGACTTGAGCTCAAGTCTCGATTTTGATCACATCACACCGCGTTAACGCTTGTTTTTGCCTCCCATCTGACACGCCTTTGACTCGAGTCTAATAATACCTTCGGAAATTCTTTAAGAATCATCATCGACCCCTCACTATGGCCGATTCGCCCGGCTCCCCCCTCTCGTCCATCGCGTCCGATGAACTGACCGAGGACACCAAGTTGGACAAAGATGGCCAATCTCCATCAGCTTCAAGCATACCACCGTCAAAGCGACGTCGCACTGGCGTTGCGTCCTGGGACAACCACACACCAATCTCCTCTATACAAGGCGATAACGTGCCAACCTCGCCTTCGAGTCCTATCTCGTCAGATACCGACGGCGAAATACCCAATTCCCCGTCGCTACTCGCATTGATTGGCGGTGGCCAGGACGACGACTATAGCGGTCAAGGGGGCGACCAGGTCTCGGTATGCCGCTGGGATGGCTGTGAAGCTGGAGACCTAGGTAACATGGATAATCTTGTCAACCATATTCATGATGATCACATTGGTACTCGTCAAAAGAAGTACTCCTGTGAATGGATTGATTGCAATCGCAAAGGACAAACACACGCCAGCGGATATGCACTACGCGCGCATATGCGAAGTCATACACGAGAGAAACCTTTCTACTGTGCGCTTCCAGGTACTTTCATTCATATTCTCTAGAATGCGTTCTTTCAGTTTTTCACTGACAACATTTGCGTGTATAGAATGCGACCGAAGTTTCACTCGCTCCGATGCCCTTGCTAAACATATGCGCACAGTCCACGAGACTGAAGCTCTCCGGCCGTCAGACCCCGTTCCTAAAAGCCAACTCGCCAACAATCCGCCTACTACGACCACCCCAAACAATAAGGTTCAGCGCATCAAATTGAAGCTCAATTTTGGCCCAAAAGAAGACACAGATTATCCAACGAATGGAGGAGAAGGCGCCAGAGATATTGATAATCAGGAGCTTGAATTGCTGCCTGTTCCCGAATTCACCCCTGACTTGGGCTTGGATGCGCGTGAACTCGCCATGCCTCCGAGCCAGCTCTACAGACTCCTTCGTCGACAGGTGCGTTGGGCAGAGATTGAAACTTCTAAACTCAGACGCCAGTGGCAGGATTGGGAGCCGAAGCGCAAAGAGGCCTTTTTTGAGAAAGAAGCTGCCCTCTCGAATGTCATCAATGCCGAAACAGAGCTCTCCAAAACGCTTCTATTGGCAACACCGCATGAGGCAGACGAGGAGAGTGGTGGTGCCCAAAATGGTGCCGCCGAAGACGTTTCTTAATATCACTATTACTATTAACTTCTTTTTCCGATCTTCTATCTTTTTCATCTTTTCTTCGTCCGATATCACAAGTGTTTTTCCATGACTTGGAGTTGTTTAGTATTCTATCAGCTATCCCTTTCTTTTTTTACTCTTTCACAGCACTATTGCATGGCGTATATGGTATATGATTCTGGGCGGGCTATAATTTCATCTCATCTATATGGCTTCTTGATGTGCTTTTAAAAGTTTCCATGAATTGTTTGGACTTTCAAATTTGGTTTACGATTCTATTGTATTCGACATAGAAGATATAGTCTCTTGTGGTCTCAAATATGACAATTCACTGTAGTATCAAGTAGCCTACCTAGGTAATCGTGATAGCAAGACTGCCCCAATCGGCCTGGGCGGTTTTTTGTGACCCTGACGCTCTAAAATGTGCAAAACATACCGTAACTATTCCTGTGCATGGTACACCTGTCGTCCTGGTATGTTATCATTTCATTTTGTATTCGAAGATTTGTAGTACATACATCATCCACAACATAGTAACAGCTCTCCCCCAAGGGTCTAGATAGATCTTTAAACTCCAAAAGATGCAACACCGAGATCATTTCAAGCAACGCCTTTTATGTACAATAGAAACAAATTCTCTTGGTAGGAGGAGAGAAAAATGAACACTGAAAAAGACAAGAGACTGATCCATCCAGATGATCTATGTAGCAAACATCTTGTGGACGAATATGAAGAAGATGCAAGATTAAAAACCAGGCAAATGAGAAATAGATATATGCACAGCGCTCAACTCTCGTACAGACGTCAGTATTCCTGTACGCCTGAGCATGCAATGCGACACACATATATAATGCAGACGTCTCCTTCCCAAACTCCGGCGCTTGAAATGCACAATTCAACGACTAATAAGACAAAAAAGTGAGTAACACACTCGGCTTTCGCAGGGTTTTGCTGAAAACAAAATGTCGATCTAGAAAGGGCGTAGATATTGAGAAACTTGCCACTTGTAGTCAGACACGACCGAGGCAGCTTGGTGAGAGAGGGAAGAAAAGAAAGGCGTATGTAGTTCAATCGATGAACAAGCGAATCTCCTGTAAAAAGAACACAGGTTTGATGGTTATTAGGCAAATATATCTCGCCTAAATATACCCGTCGACACCACAAAGGTAATACAGCCATAGGCACATTGGGATGGAGGGCGTCAACCAAGAAAGCTGTTAAAAGCGACGAACTGCGAGTCATCAACCATGATTGTGTTGCAAATGACTGGCAAATAAGTGCTTTGTCAATTGTGAAGATTGTTCAAGTCGCATTGTTCGTTTGGATATAACCTTTCTGCTTTTTTATATCTTCCACCGTAACATAACGTGAGATATAAGACGCTTCTTTAGCGTGTGGCAGGAACCACAATAAAGCAGGTACTCGCTTGATACCATGTTTGCCTCGAATGATCGAATAGAGGGAGATGTGAAGCATCTCACGAAGGCATCAAGCGTCTACCTGGCCATGGTAGCTGTATCTCTGTTATTGGCGACGACTCTCTCATACATTACTTTCAGAGAGTTTAGGTCGGTCTTGCCGGAAGCAAAGCAGTTCTTCACAACGTGTCCCCTGGGAAGAATTAGCCATAATCTCCACGAATTTATCCACGTGGAATTCTTACCAAAGCCTATCCTCCAAGCCAGGGTAGTTCTCATTACGTAGGAGTTGCTTAATGAAATTGCCAATCTTCAGAATAAGACGACGCATCTCATTAGCTCGCTCCTCTTTGTCAGGATAGTTTCGTTTCACATCACGGAGCTTATGCAATAGATGAACTTTAGGTTCGAAGATGGAATCTTCCATCGTTGCCGGGGGTGCAGTAATGCTAGCGCTTCGAGGTCGGGTGCGATCTTCATGTACGCCATTCTGACTACGTTTATGAATCTTGTCCGCAGCGGAGCCAGTTCTGGATCTGAGAGGGTCGGTTTTGGGAGTATTGGCACGCTCGGTACTATCACGAGGGCCATGTGTATGCGACCGCTGTCGGGGCCTTTCTGAATCACGATGGGCCTTTCGGCCATTTTGAGGAGCAGGCGATGCGGACACACTTGGTTGTCGGCGTTGAGCAAGTTGGACCTTCTTGCGGTGGTGATTCTCGACGACCTTCCTAGCAGTAGCACTATTCCCATTCAAGCTTTTCTCCCTCAGAACAGAGATCAGGTAATCAGCACGGCGAACAAGATGAACCGCTCCAGGAGACTTGGTTCCTTTGTCTTCAGCATTGGCTCGTTCATTCTTTTTATCGACACGGTGCTCTTCAAGGAAGAATTTGTCATTGAGTCCAAGGTCAGGATCGTCACGGATCTCCGGCCAGGCTCCATAGCCATGTCGGACAATTCCAATACAAAGCATCCCATCTTCACGCGCACCCCAAGAACAGCTGTAGTCGGCTTTCTTTGATGCTTCTGGAACCCGAAAGCTAGTCTGATCAGTCAATGCTTGTGTTGCGGTACGCAAAACACGCATTTCCTCGGGGCGTTCGAGCATGGTATGGGCGTTAATTCGCTTAACACCCATATGGTCGAAAAGTACCGCTTTCTTCTCTTTCTTCGTGGGGGTTTTGCCCGACCTCTCTAGTTGCTCAAGTTTTTCTCTCTCCTCTCTAACCAGGTCATATGCCTTTTCAGTAATCTCGCGAAGAGCAGCTTTCACGGTGTCCCTATCACGTCCTGTAAGACGAGCTTCTCGTATGACATCTTCTTCCCGTTCCTCAATGTCACCATATCGCAGAAAAGCCCTGATTAGATGACGAAGTTCCTTCTCTCTTAGCGGGCGTTTAGGATCCTCAGATTCAGAATCAGATTGGTCAGCCGTCTCTATATTCACCTGGGCGCGTGCTCGACGTTTTGCCTTCCGCTCCTCCCGCTCATCATACGCATCAGTAGGTGCGTGGCGTTTTCGCGGGCGGTTTTGCTCAATAACTTCGTGCAGGTAACGCTCGTCTTCCTTACGTTTCTCCTCCGCTTTGATCTCAGCAAGTTGCTCTTTGGGAATGATATCGTCCCAGGTCATCTCATCAACCTTCACATCGACAAATTCGAAGGATTTGAGGAATTCCTCGCCTCCATCCGCCTCTAAACCTTCAGCCTGTTCCGTTTTATGTTCCTCAGCATTTGCGAGAACTGAGTCAATGTCAAGTTGTTCAAGTTTCTTCTGATTTCCTGTTTGCTCGAACATTTTTTGTCCACGTCGCTTCAGAATACGCGAGATTTCGTCTGTTCCAGTAGGCTCTCCAACAGCACGAGCATGTTTTCCTGGAAGAGCATCTTTTTCTGTCAAACCACGCTGGATAGTAATAAATTCAAGCATGAGTTTGTTTCGAGCGCGTTCCAAAACTTCCTCTTCGATAGTGTCTTTTGAGACGAGGCGATAGACACTCACAGGTTTGGTTTGACCTATGCGATGTGCACGGGCCATGGCTTGAAGGTCGGCCTGGGGATTCCAGTCGGAGTCAAAGAGGATGACCGTGTCAGCTGTCATCAGATTGATACCAAGACCACCAGCTCGGGTTGACAAGAGAAAGGAAAAATCAGTGCTATCTGGAGCATTGAAATGCTCCATGGCTACTCTACGATTCGCAGCGCTAATTGTCCCGTCAAGTCTCTGATATTGATATCCTCGAAACCTCATGTAATCACCCAAAAGATCAAGCATCTTCACCATTTGGCTGAAGATGAGCACTCGGTGACCGTCACGTTTGAGTTTAGCTAGAAGCTGGTCGAGGAGCATCATTTTCCCACTGCTAGTGATCATGGTGCGTAGGACATCCTCACGGCGCGTGTTGCCTTCCAAAAGCTTCGCTTCGGCGTTAGGAAACATAAAAGGATGATTACTGGCTTTCTTCAACTCCATCATGATATTGAGCAATGACTGCTTTTGACCGTTAGCTCCTTCATTCAATGCGGCATAATTCTTCGTCAAAATATTCTTGTAGTATTCAAGCTGAACATCTGACAATTCAACGCGAATAATTTTTTCTGTTTTGGGAGGGAGGTCCGTCTCAACCTTGGACTTGGTTCGTCGCAGCATAAGGGGTTTGAGAGTGTTCTGTAGTTTAGCAAGCTTTTCGGACGCTGCTTCAGAACTCAAATCCATATCCACCTCGACCTCAACTAGGCCAGGATTGAGAAAATCCATCAAAGCAGACAGCTCTGCCAGGTTATTTTGAATTGGTGTTCCCGTGATCAAGAGACGGGCAGGAGATTTGAAATCAAGTAAGTTTCCATACAGGTTGGATTCTCTGTTCTTCAGACGGTGGGCCTCGTCGACAGCCATGAATTGCCAAGGGATCTGACGCAAAAAGTCAAAGTCCATGTTAGCATACTCAAATGTGGTAAGCATCACGTTGAACTTCGGCTTGCGGGGATTCCTGTCCTTCAGAAGTTCGTAGTCTTTGATAATCTGTCGAGCTGTGCTGGAGCCACTGTAGACAATGTAATTCACATCTGGGGTCCAGTTGTCGAAAGTTTCAGACCACGAAGGTATAGTGGAAAGAGGAACAACAACGATGAACGGGCCATGCTGTCCTCGAACATGACGAAGCCAATTGATGAATGCAATGGTTTGAACTGTCTTACCAAGCCCCATCTCGTCAGCGAGGACCACGTTATGATTCCGGGACCAATTGTAAGCCAAGAAGTTCAACCCTTTAACTTGAAAATCCTTCAATTGCCCATTCTTCAAAAAGCCGGGCGAACCCGTGATCGGTACATGTGGCGATCTAGTTCTAGGGTTCATTTCACGCTTATCGCAAGTGACAACTTTGTCATTGCGATCAAGGAACTTATCAAGTTCATCAAGAGCAATGTCCTTGACTAGCGAATCGCTTTCCCAAGTGCAAGAATCATAATTCAACCGTTTCCATTTTACAAAATACTCGGTTTCATCTAGCCCTTCGCGGTGGCCGATGATACGTTCAACTTTTTTATAATCCTCCAAAGATTCGATGTCGCGTTCACGATCGAGGTTCCATTTCTCCTTTTCTTCGGGAGCGACGTCAGGGTCGTTATTCATGTAAAGATCAGTCCTGACTTTGTTTTTGAAGTAATTCTCCAACCTGCGAAAGCCACTATGAAATTTAACATCGTCACTAGACTCCCAGGTCGCATGATAGTGTGATTGGTCCTGCCACTTGATGTAGTATTGGCAGTCACGTATAGTGATGTCGTAGTCACTGATATTCGGGTCAACTCCATCTTTGAGACGATGATCAAGGACTGAATCAATTCCGGGGCCATTATAATGCGGTGCCGCAGCCACATCATTGGGGGTAAAATCCTCCTCTTCCTCTTCGAACATTCCATCAGAATCCTCGTTGTAATTTGCAACCTTGGTGGCATTCCTGCTAGAGAAACGCACCTCAGCAGGGGGGCGAACGATGGATGATTGCAGTTGACGTCGCCGTGCTGTGCGTGTAGAAGAAGCCCCATATTCGTCAGTGTCTGAGTCCGAGGGGGATGATCGAGTTACCGAGCGAGATGGGCCTTTGGATAGTGGCTGCGAATTGACAACACGCCTTCGTTTTGAACGCGGTGCTTTCGGCTCCTCGTCTTCTGAATCCACAATCGTCTGGCGACGTTCGTTCCTGGAGCGGCCACTTCTGCGAAGTCCATAAAGTTCCGGATTCTGTCTTATGTAGTCTGTCTCATCGACCGCTGATTTTCGTTTCATTCCATGACTGGAGTCCGGTGACGACGACGTAGGGGAGCGATTGCCCGGGCCATGGCGACCTTGGCTTTCAAGATCTGAATCATCATAACTAGAGTTCCCAGTCGCTGGCGAGCCGCCATGGGTGTTTTCTGGAGCGGCGGCATTATGACTAGCGCCGACATGGAAAGAATCAGACGTCTCACTTTCAGCATCACTCATAACAGCGTCCTCCTGGTCGCTAGCCTGCTCTGAGGAGGACGTATGATGAAAGCCATTATAGCCATTTGTCAATGGCTTGAAAGCATCAGTCCCGGGGGACGGCTCGACCGCGGATGGGTACACCATGCTAACTGCTGAAGAACGAAAAGAGGTCAGCATTGCAGGCTCCAGCAAGGCACAGCGGTGTTAAAAATCATGCAGAAATGATTAGGAGCGACTTGCGACCACGAAAACATGTTCACAGGAGCAGTTGGTACACAAGAGTGGAAGGACAGAAGGAACTTTGATGGACGGATAATTTTTTTGATGGAAGTTTGATGAAGAGAACGGACATGGATGACGACGAGGCCAGCCGCGCACGAGGCCAGAAAGCAAAGGCTACAGCAATCTGCACATCCACAAGAATAAATACAGAATCGCCTTTCCAACAATCAAGAAGAGCCCTCAAGAGAGAAAGAAACGACTTCATGACACTGGAAGGTGGGTCGACGGCCGGAATCGAAGTACTCCAACGGACGCGTCTAGCCAGCTCAAGGGCAGAAAAAAAAACTTACCTTCCAAGCGTGGTGACCCCAAGGAGGGGGATCGATGGGTGGAAATCAATTTCTGGGGATGCAGAAAAGACAAACTGTGGAATTGGGGGTTGGGGGTTGAGAAAAAGATTTACTTCCACGATCTGCGATGCCGCGAGACACTGGGAGGTGGAATGTCAGGGAAGTTGGTGTGGGTGACACAGCGAGTAGAAAGCAAGAGCAGCGGACGCCTTGGTGCCTGAGGCTTCACGGCCGCATGCCCAGGCCCAAAGAGGGCAAGTGCCTCTAGCCTACCTATGATTGGCTGCGTGCGCTGGCAGAGCCTTTTCTGGCTTAGTGAGGGTGCGAGAGGGTGCGCATCCCGTGACTTGTGCGAGAATCGGCGGCGCCAATCATGGCCGGCGGATTTGGCAGCGCTTGGTGCCTGAGGCATCAACGACCAGGCACTCCGTAAGGCTCCACCGCCATCCCACAATTTCGCTCAAGTTTTCTTCGGTGCCCCTCCATCCTGTGCTTAACGGGCTGTTTGTCGCAGGACCGCATCGCTTCATTTCTGCTGTTTAGAGTAGGTGAGCCCATTCTCTCCTCTTGCCGACTCATGCCCGCCCGCATTCCAACGTTTGGCCCGACTTACACTCAGCAGACGACGACCGGGACGGTAGCAAAGCATCATCATGGCGGACAAACTCACCAGGTATTTTTGCATGCTTCTGACTTTCTCCCGTCAAGACTAACGCTGACTGTGTTTCAGAATTGCCATTGTCAACAGTGACAAGGTTCGTCCTCTATAAAAATTTTGTGTCTCAATGTCTTGTCGACATAACGAGTGCTAATCAAAGACCATTTTCGTCACGTATAGTGCAAGCCGAAGGTATATCTCTACTTCTCATGGTATCTTTTTCAACCTATGGAATCCAAATTAACGAAATGCAATTTACAGAAATGTCGACAAGAGTGCAAGAAGTCTTGCCCCGTGGTGCGTACTGGCAAGCTCTGCATCGAAGTGACGCCGGATTCCAAGATTGCCTTCATCTCGGAGCGCCTCTGCATTGGATGTGGTATCTGTCCTAAGAAATGTCCTTTCGGTGCCATTCATATCATCAACCTGCCGACCAATCTCGAAACTCAAGTTACCCACCGTTATTCGGCTAACAGCTTCAAATTGCATCGTTTGCCTATGCCTCGACCCGGCCAGGTACTTGGTTTAGGTAGGTTACTGCGACATGGTGATGGTATCTCGGGCTAACGATTGCAAAAGTCGGCGCGAACGGTACTGGAAAAAGTACAGCTCTGAAAATTCTCAGTGGTAAACTTAAGCCCAACCTTGGTCGCTATGACGATCCACCCGACTGGCAGGAAATTCTCAAGTACTTCCGTGGATCTGAACTTCAGAGTACGTGAATCTCGGAATTCTGTTATGGAATATGACACTTACTGGCTTTCAGACTACTTCACGAAGGTGCTGGAAGACAATTTGAAGGCTGTCGTCAAGCCCCAATATGTTGACCAGATCCCCAGAGCGGTTAAGGGCCCCGTGAAAGAAGTCGGCCCTTTGATTGAGGCCCGTTCTCAGATGGACAACATGGAAAACATCATGGAAGTCCTTGGTCAGTAAAATTTGCTCTTATCCTGACACTGCAACACTTTCTAATGAAAAGAATAGAACTCAAACAGGTTGAGAACCGTGACATTTCTCTCCTCTCCGGTGGAGAGTTGCAACGTTTTGCTCTGGCTTTGGTTTGCGTTCAGCAGGCGGACGTGTAAGTACAACACTCTTTCTATCGGCAATCGGCGTCTAACCTCTCGGCGATCGATAGGTACATGTTCGATGAGCCGAGTTCATACCTCGATATTCGTCAGGTAAGCCAGTACCTCTTTTCATTTGTGTTCACCCTTGCTCTGGCTATATACAGTAGTTGACTGACACTTCCAATAGAGACTTGCTGCTGCTCGTACTATTCGTGAATTGCTCCGCCCTGATGACTATGTTATTGTTGTCGAGCACGATTTGTCGGTTCTAGACTACCTCTCCGATTTCGTCTGTGTTCTCTATGGTCGACCGGCTGTCTACGGAGTTGTCACTCTACCATCGTCGGTTCGTGAAGGAATAAACATTTTCCTTGATGGACATATCCCTACGGAAAACTTGCGTTTCCGTGAAGAATCCTTGACCTTCCGTATCGCCGAAGCCGGTGACGACTTCTTGGTCGATAAAGATCGTGCATTCAGCTACCCAAGTATGGAAAAGACTATGGGCAATTTCCATCTGAAGATTGATGCGGGTAAATTTACCGACTCGGAAATTGTTGTTCTGGTATGTATTTTCTACTCATCGATCCATCAATCAAATATAAATGATGCTGATAGAGGTTAGATGGGTGAAAACGGCACTGGTAAAACTACATTCTGTAAAATGCTTGCCGGAGCTGAGAAGCCAGATGGAGGTGCCTCCGTACCTCGTATGAACATCAGCATGAAGCCCCAGAAGATAACCCCGAAGTTCCAAGGCACAGTTCGGCAATTATTTTTCAAGAGGATCAAGGCTGCTTTCCTTAACCCACAATTTCAGACAGATGTCTACAAGCCTCTTAGAATTGACGATTTCATTGATCAAGAAGTTCAAAATCTGTCTGGTGGTGAATTGCAACGTGTTGCCATTGTTCTCGCCCTCGGCATTCCAGCTGATATCTATCTGATCGATGAGCCTTCGGCTTACCTTGATGCAGAACGTAAGTGTTCTCTCTCTTTCATACACACATTTTCCTCGCTTTTTCTCCGCCACACAAGTATACTGCTCCAATCAGCAGTGATCAAAAAGCAACTACCGGTCATACTCAACAGATTTTGGCTTATTCCTTGGTGTCAAATAATATCACTGTCTTCAATATTCTGGCTGCTTTGTACCATTACATTGACACCATACTAACATTTTGCAGAGAGAATTACTGCCTCGCGAGTTATCAAGAGATTCGTCATGAACACAAAGAAGACTGCTTTCATCGTTGAGCACGATTTCATCATGGCTACTTACCTTGCAGACCGCGTCATAGTGTTCGACGGCAAGCCATCCATCGATGCTCACGCGAATGAGCCTGAATCGCTTCTCACTGGCTGCAACAGGTTCCTTAAAAACTTGGACGTTACGTTCCGTCGGGATCCAAACAGCTTCCGGCCCCGTATCAACAAGTACCAGAGTCAACTTGACCAGGAACAGAAGTTGAATGGCAATTACGTATGTCTTCCTTTCACTTTCGCCTTCACATCCCGATTATTCGTTCTTGGCTAACCTGTCTATAGTTCTTCTTGGAAGAAGAGAGTTGAAGAGGGCGTTCCACACAAGGATCGTCGCAATCATCAGTGGTACGATGAACGCGACGTTTACAAACGGCGTCATTGGGTTCTGAGAAGAAAAAAGGGCGTCCGGTTCGGAGCATTTTCAGGCGTTCGGAAGCAGTCCCTCGCCCATTCTTCTTGCGGCGATGAAACTGCCAGCGATGAAGATGATGAGGAAGATGACATTTTTCCATTATCTTCGATGTCCACCTTTTTTGATTTCCCAATGCATTACAAGAGCTTGGACAATCGTTCCGGCTTATTTCTATCAAGAGGACTACTCAGCAGCAGCGTGTCCTGATAGGGGTAGGCTATGACAATATCGGTAGAATCCGCTAGTGTTGGTACCTACGCACTTGTCGGGTTTCCACCAACGGTTGGTTATATCAACGGACGCGGAGATTAAGAGTGATGTTTTGCGAGTCAGTAGCGAAACTCAAAAAGTCTTGTTAACAATCAGTGGGAATCTTTTCAGATACTGCGCTTTACGTGACGTTTGAGTTCTGTTCGGCAGGCTACCTAGGTAGACTGGTTAGCTAGTTATGTGCTTTTTTTTCTCTTTTAGTTGAACATAACCACGCTCGTTTTCATACTCTATATTTAGTCCCGGTTCACGTACTAGGCAAGATTACAACGGACGTATAGTTACCGACTGTACGTGCTGTATTATTGAACACGAAGCCCACCATATTTGGACTGGCAAGACCGCAAAAAGGTGTAACAAGACCAAGGAGTCTTGTGTTCTCTATTAATCAATTTCGACCGGTGCTGCATACGCATCAATATACGCCTCAACCTTGCATTTCAGTCAGTGTTCTTCAGATCCGAGCTAGCCACCACACTAACCTACGCAGCTTCGCCCCATACGCGGCTGAATTGCTTGGCTGCATGGAACTAGAAAAATAGGAATGAAAATCTGAAATGACTCTGACCTCTTGCTAACTATTAGGTACCTCTTTGTTGTTAGATGCTACTGCCTTCAATGACTGCCGGGAGTACAGGGGAATATACCCCTTTAGAAGCTCTCAACCCAAACGCGGAGGACCATGGCGATGAGGCTGGAGAGGAACAGTCGCATGGCAAGCGAACTAAAGTCTGGCAGAGAGTTGATGCCACCAGTTTTCTGGCTATATTGCTTGGCTTTCCGGTTCTTCTGCTCGCAGTGACACTCCTGGCCCTGTTCTGGCACGAATCCGTGGAAGCTATCAATAGAGCAGAACCAAATATCTATTGGGCACGGGTCGTCCATGCAGGCTGGGCGACACGACTGGTGACGGTATGTACAGCCTCTATCCGGGCAGTGATGGCTTTCCAGGCTGGACTTGTCACGGCCTTGGTTGCCGGCATTGCTTTGGAAACCACAGGCGCGCCTCTCCTACACGCTCCATTGTACTCCATGCTCCGAGCAGTCAAGGCAGCTCCTAGCAACTTCTGGACCGCAACAGACTTTCGGCCTCATCTACCACGCTTGCTTTATGTGCTAGTGCTCATCGAAGTCCTAGTAACAGCAGCGTCTCAGTTCCTATCCACCATCTTCCTATCTGATTTCGTGGATGGGACCTTTACCCAGCGCAGCAATTCGACCAATGTCAACATCCTTAATGCCACGTACGGAGCCGCTGATGCATGGTGGTCGATGCCTCCTGCGGCAAGTTGGACATTCGCTGAGCTGCCGGGGTCCTTTGAAGACCAACCGAACTTTCAAGATACCGGACACACCTTTCGAGCTTTCCTTCCTTTCGAGGAGGAGATGCAACGAACCAGATTGCACCGCTCCGTGGTCCAGTGCCGGTCATGGATCATCGAGTAGTCTGTGGGAGTCCGCCGCTGACTAACTTGACCCTAGATGCTAGCTTGCCCAGTTATGTGCACTTGTCCGGGCAGATTCCCACAGAAAATTTGAGATATCCACTTTCAATCGACCAGGTCTCTCAACCCTACATCAACTTTACCTGCATATTGCCAGTCCCAGCATATTGGGACAACAACACAGTGGGCGAGACGAGCTTGTGCGTCCCCCATACCCTCTCAAACTGGACAGTTCTCAACGAAGACCCTCTGATCCAGCCTGCAGGATTCGTCGAGGCTTCGAATATATTCATGGTCCTCGATGTCCTGTCTACTAGTGCAATTATCGACACGCTAGGCCACACCCCAGCCGTCCAGACGATCCGAACCGATGGTCCTTGGACGATAGTTTCAAACGGTTCCGCCTATATTGAAACCCTCCGCATCTCTGCCTGCCTTAGCAATCTCGCCATGCAAACCCTCACCGTCGGAATGAACAGTACGACCGACAATTTCGAACCGACGACCGCCTGGGATCATGTCACCCAAAGTTACAACACAGAACTCTCCCGCCTTCAACTAGGCGTTTTATCATCGGAAAATATGAGCCCCGTCAACAAGCGAGGCACCCTCACGCTGGACCCCCGATCCGAATGGGAAACATTCAATCCCCCAGCGGACACCTTAGGAATCGACCCAACTACCTTCTTCCTGGTCGTTATTGTTAGCCTTCCCACACTCTTCATTTCCAACCTCAACTTCTCCTACGACCCTAGCGTGATACTCTCTCGCAGGACCACCGGCTTCATCTTGGGCAATTCTCATCCGACCCACGTGGATCTGTTTCAGGACACCTTGATTACGACAGCCAGTCCGGCATTGGCCGTCCAGGCCTTGCTGACCCGCATCTATCAGATGGCCTACTACAAGAAATTAGCCCAGTTGAACAGCCCAGTTGCGGCCGTGACGGCGTTCTCAAGTACCGCGACGATTCCAGCGCAGTGGACGGGGTTTGTCCTTGGGCTTATGCTGATTGTCATTCATTCAACTATTGTAGTAGTTGTAATTGGCTGGTTTGTCAGATTGACCGAAATCTCGTTCATTGGGAGTTACTGGCAGACGGTTGCGCATGTGGTCTCAGAAGAGACGCGGCCAATCCTGGAGGAGGCGGGTCGGACGGATGATAGGGCTGTGAGGGTGTGGGCAAAGCGGGAGGCAGTAGTGGAGTCATTAAGATGTCGTTGGATTCTGCGTAGGAGTTTTAGTGGACGCGTTACTCTTGGGCCTGTAAATGATGGAAGGTAGAATTTGATTGATGGTAATATGTAAAGTCTCGATAATCACAGGCTATGGACTACCGAGTAGCGATGTGAATAATCCTCGACCACTGATGACTCACGTCAACATCCTTTTACTTACCTTACTCGCATGTCCAGGCTATTTCCGTGCATGCAAACAATAAAAATGTAAGATCCTCTTGGCAAATGACGTCCTGTCTCTAGAGATGCTGTGAGCTCAATGAGGCTCTGGATCAGCATGTCATTAATGGAGTACTAACTACGGCGTTGATCGATATCGACAGGCCGGGGCCCCACAGTACCTAGGTGTATGTGATTGGTCTACAGGTGTGCACCAAGGAACGTTCCGCCGAGCCGCACATATCACTTCCACGTTGGGAATCAGGGTTGATGTTGAAAGAGAGAAAGTTACTACGAACATCTGGAGTAGTAGGTGAAGCCCAGATTGACATCGAGTAAGATATTGCATATAGTAGATATCACGTGGAAGATTACGATACACACCTAGATAGTTATATATTTCAAACTACATTAGATAGACACGAGAACGATCATATTTGTTGGTGAATTTCTCCCCTTTGATATATTCTTCCATTCTCAAGATCTGCATCATTAGATAGACTATATCCAGCACGAAGCCATCGTCTAGCATGATAGCACATACATCCCGGGGTAAGGCTGGGGCTTCCCACTTACCCAGCAAACCCAAGAGCTTTCACGAGTACAACGAAGATTATTTCACAATCAATCCTCTTCGATCTCGCCTTCCTCGCTTCCGGAATGAACTGCTTTCTCCACTTTTGTTTCTTCTTCGATAGCGGCGACTGGAGTACGACCAGGCTCTCGGTCACGATGGCTGCGCTCCCGAGATCGTTCTTTCTCGCGATCGTCACGTCTGTACCGTTTGGCGCTACGGCTGGCAACACTTTCCGCATCGCTGTCACGTCTACGACGACGGTCGCTACTTACTGTGCTACGCGTATCTCCACCATAGTCCAGCTCGTCGCGACTTCCGCGTGGGTCGCCACGGGTCCGGTATAGTCGTTCGCGCTCTTCTTCTCGATCACGACGTTCACGATCGTAGTGGCTAAGCCCACGTCTGTCTCTGTCGCGCTCTTTGTCCCGCAACCGATCACGATCATCCCTCCTTTCACGAACAGGTGACAGACCGCTTACCTTGCGGTACGAACGCTCACGATCTGCCTGCGCCTTACGACGGTCTGCTTCGTAAGGGTCGGGATCAGGTGTTCGGCTAGGTCTAGCTCTGCGATCAGAGCGGTACAAACCATTTCGCGAATCTCGATCAGAGCGCTCATGATAATCACCACGACGTGAGCCACGTTCTCGATCACGGTCACGGTCACGGTCACGATCTCTGTTGGCATCTTCTTCCTTTTCTTTCAAGCGACGCACAACTTTTTCGAAGGCACTCATACGTAAATCATCAGACTCGAGGGCATCGTACTCTTCGAACTTCTCAATCCGCGGTCGGACCTGTTCCCATGTGTCCCCCAGTCGAACAGGTGGCTCCAGGTGTTTGATACGAGAACGTAGGGCATCAACAGCACGTCGCTGATGACGATCAGCTGCATGCTTTTCATCTTCAGAGCGCCGCTGAGCTTTTTCTTGCACTCGCTGAAAGATGAGTTGGAGAGTGTCAGGGTCAATATTGGCTGTACGGCGGTCAGTAGCCATGACAGACATGAAATCATCATATGTTGTTTTTGTTGTGATCTCATAGCGTTTATCCTGATAATCTTATTAGCTTGTTTCCATAAGGTAATGATCAGTTTCAAGTGACTTACATCGAGGACATCGAGGACATCATTTCGGGGTCCTCGCAACGATCTCTCCTCTTCTTCAACCATGTCCCAGAACAAATCCAGAGGAGTTGAGCCACTTTGACCTAGCATTGCTACATACCGAGGGTCCTCTTGAATCAAAGCATGTATATGCATCCACTTGCTTCCGGCTTTTATCTTGCCTTGGGAGCGTAGCTCTTTGAGCAGATCCAAATACTTTTCTCTGTTATGACGTTCTCTCCGAGCCTTGGCAGCCTTGTGCTGCTGGCGGGCATCATTAAAGTTCCGTTCCAGAGACTTGATGTGGTTTTCGAAAGCGGTGAGAATGTCTGATTTGCTTAGGGTCTTAAACTTAGCGTCATTTTGAATCTTCTCGTTGGCCTGCAAGGCATTTTGCACTTCGGACCATCTAGCATATGGCTCTAACTCAAGTGCCTTGAGAATATTCGCTAGGTCGTCCATGGCGGCTTTACGAGTCACGGCTTCTTGCTCCACATGGTCCTTCTTTAGGTCAAGTATATACTCTTCAAATAGCTGGCGACGTTCACTTTCGTCGTTTGTGGATCTGAAAATGGTCTCTCCTTCAATAATTGGACGTATAGTTTTCCATCTGCTGTAGTGCTTTATTTCCGGGTGACTCTTCAGCATGGTATAGAAATCAGTGCGTAACTTAGCAAATCTTTCCTTCGCGCGATCTCGTTCCTGCATGCGGACTTCCGCTGCATGCTTATCAAACGCAGCCCTTCGATCTCTGGGGTCTTTCAGAGCACGATACTGGGGATCCTTGATGGTGGCTCGCATTGCCTGTTCCCAGGTCCAGTCGGGTTGAACATTGCATCGTCGTAAGAGTTTAATAAACGCGCTTTCAGCTTCTTCGAAGGAGCTATATTCTGGGTCAGTCTGCTGAGGAGTCACGAGGCCATTTGTCTCCATCCCCATATATCCCGGACGACGATCGGGGGTATTTCGGTCACTATCGTCCCGGTCACGTTGCTGCTGAAGATAGGGAGGGAATGAGGACGTTCCGCCAGCGACGAAAGTAGGAGCGCTGCCCAAGTCAGTCTCAGAAAATTTAGCGCATCTATGAGAATGAATCTCACCTTGGAGGTTGTGCTGGGGGAGGTTGAACCTGTGCAAGTGCGGTTCTGTAAACTTCTGGCATTTCCCAGGTGCTTTGCTTGGTTTCGGTGTTGTACCAATACTTCCGTCCACCCTCTGCAGTATATTCTTTCCACGGCTGGTTTGACAAGGCGCGCTAATACGATAGGCTGGTTAGAGACAAGCTAAAGACAAAATCGCGAGACAGCTTACCTCTACAGGAGTCATCAGCTCCGTAGGCTTCGCCCATTGTGTTGCTTTTGTCTGAACATTATAATAGTATACGCGGCCGTCGGCATTGCGGGCCTCCTGCCAGAGGCCGCCAGGCATACTCGGAGCTGGGTTCATCGCGACTGGCTGATGATGGATAGGCTGGAAGGTCGTGGTGCTTGAATAGGGAGCAAATAATCAACGCGGAAAAGTTTACGTCTTGGGCGCACTAAGCCGCATTTGGCAGTCAATGCTAACCAAGCTTTGAGCCGCGGAAGGTGCCAATAATGTTTGTTTCTTGTTTGCACTCGATGCTCTCTCCTTGCCAACATTCACTATTGATAGCGAATTGGTTCATTTGACATGAGCGCTGGGCCTGACTATGTCGGGTGCTAGTGTCCACGGGGATTTCCTGCGAAATGCAGTCATTGACACCGTGATCCCGCATAACCCCGCTGTCGACATTGAGGCGGCTTTGACATTTGCACTTGAAGGAGGCGCCGAGGATCTAAATGCTGTCCTGTCCTCGATCCCACAACGCTCGTTGCTTTTCTTTGGTATGGATGAGTACCGCACCATAGTGCTTACAGTTTTGATTGACCGCTCCCCCTACTCGTCTAGATGAAACCGTTCCGGTACGCGTTGTACTGAGGCTTTCGAACTGCTCCGAGAATGACTTGAAAGCCCATCTTCCGCGGCTGGACATTGGTATGAATGCGCTTGTTTTCAACCCGACTACACCCAGTACCGAAGAACCAGCCCCGGCGAAAGACTCGATATTTACGGGGAGCGTGAATAATAAGGAAGACCCATTGGTCGTTGTGAACGTTTTTGAAGGGGATGAAGGAAGCGGAAACCATGTTTACGTGATATGGAAAATTGATGCGTTCCTTCGTGAGTTTTGTTTTCATAAGGACTGCATGTCCGATCTAACATTTTCACAGACCGGCCTCGTATTCGTATTCAACATCCTTGTGTTGCCTTCTCGGTTACTGCTTCGTTAAATGCAGCAGAAAGCTCCGACCATTCATTTCGCAACGACGAATATCTCCCCACCACTGTGCCGGCATCTTCCAATGTATTGCAGGCGCTATCTTCAGATCCAGCTCTCAAATTTACTGCCCCTTACCTACCAGCATCTAGGCTGCTACGTGTTGTTCCTGCTGCACAAAAAGAAGCGCCTGTGCATAATCTACGACAGCAGAGCCAGCACCCCATACGCATTGTGCCCGCGGCAAGTGCAAGAATTCGCTGCTCCCGGCTTAATACCTTTTCAAGTCGGCCAGTCACGATTGCTTGCTTAGACTTGGAGGTAACGCCATTTGTGACTTGCGATGTGGTTTTTGACAAGGCCGATGTCGTTTTGTCGGACGGACAGGTAGAGGATATATCAAAAACACCCGAACTCCAGCCTCCTATTTTGCTACGGCCTAGGGATGACGTTACCCTGATTTATAAGCTGATCCCTGAATACGGACCTGAGGCTTACCTCTCGACGACATCCTTGGTCAGCAGTCTTGATATTTCGCTCGAAGGGGTTATCAAACTATCAGACGATTGCCAACCGCGGATTTTCATGCAATGGCGGACTAACGTCGACTTTTCTATTCCATTAAATCCTACATTTGGCGGACCCAGCCAGGTCATGCAACGCAACAACCGTCCGGCAAGTTTATCTGTGACATCTGGACCAAGCGGGCCGCCGTCTACAAACGCAGCAAACCGAAGTTCGTACCGGGAACGAGCCTATTCACATACACGAGGTGGAGTGACTGTATCATTTTCCGGCCCTGTCGATGTGGAGATTGGAAAGCCGTTTCAGTGGGATGTTTTCATTGTGAACCGTTCTCCTGCTCCTCGAAAATTCACAATGATGGCAATCCCACGGAGAAAACGGGTGGACCTTCGACGCCATGTTACACGACCATCCTCATCCTCCATATCAGGCAAAAAGGACAAGAAAGAGGAACATCTAGCGGAAGCCGTCACAGATGAAAGCATTATTCATGCTATGCAAAAGAATGCCGCGGGACAAGATGCAGACTTAGTTTGTCTGAGCACCGATTTAAGGATAGGGTAAGCACTCACTCGTCTGAGAATTAGCTATTTGCTGACGTTGTCAAAAGGCCGCTTCTCCCTGGCACGTGCCATTCTACTGAGCTCATTCTCCTCCCTCTAGCGACCGGTGCACTCCACCTAGAAGCGGTACGTCTTATCGATATGAACTCAAACGAGACAATAGATATAAGAGATCTTCCCGATATCGTCGCAGTAAGTTAGGTGGCCGCGATGAGTACGTTTGCATGTATATATATATATATATGATGTGATGTAATGATGCCATGTAGTCTCTATGCGGATAAGATAGATAGGATACCCCTGATGTGTTGTTAGTTGCTAGCGACAGTTTAACAATTGTACAAGAGTTGAATATATTATATTGAAATATATTATATTTATCACTTATATACTTATGTACTTATACATAGTGCTATGTATATGGTCGATTTGACGCCAAGCGAGATAGCGGGAACCCCGGACTTCGCATTATTAGTGGATGACGCTCTCTGCTTGCGCCTTTTGGCCTGCCGCCTACACCATCTTTCCAAGGTTACCTAGGTACTTACAACCGTCAACCATTCCACGACTATTTTGTTATATTTTCGACCGCACGACACCTTGTATCACTGCTCATTCGGTGCGACTGCTGGCAATCACTGCGGCACCGCCCGACGGCGCCGTTTCTAGCCTAAGGTTGTTCGCGCGGCTATTTCCTTTGCGTCATTCTGAGGTTTTTGATCGACTACGAACGACTTCCTCGACTCCACCAAAGCTTCAAAAAGAAGCCGTCCTTCATGTTCCTCAATATGCTCGACCGACTCGACTTCACTCGCCAGCGGGTTTTGAATGGTCTGAACCGTAGATATATTTACGGACGTCTGGTGTGTTTCTCCCTACCATGGCTTACCCTTCACCGCTGCTAGCCATTTTACTGACGATGCAATACGGGGCAGCCTCTACTACACACAACATTATTTTTGATCGAGATGCTGGTTACCATGAGGCTAGTAGCCAAATTCAACTCATACTATGCCGACAAGCCAGGTAGGCATATTCGTTTCTCACTGACTGGATGAAACATGGCTAATTATCTATAGTTCTAACGACAATGGTCACGAACTCCGTAAGTGTCGGAACAATTGCACCTTGGGTAGTTTCTGGTACTGATACTTATCATTAGGTCCTCGGTGGAGTTGCGGATACGGTGGCCCAAACCATCACAGCCTTCAGGATGCGATCGTCACAGCGCCAGGCGGATTCGGAGAACGGAATCATATCGATTGAAATACAAGACTTTGATAAGGAGAAGCCTCCACAGTGGGGAGAGTTGGGATATGCAAAGAATCGGCCTTCGCCATTTGACTTTGAACGGCTGACACGATTCATGGCCTATGGGTTTTTCATGGCGCCAATTCAGTTTCAATGGTTCAAGTTCTTGTCGCGGGCCTTTCCCATCACCAAGACCTCGGCAACAGGACCTGCTTTTAAAAGGGTTGCCGTGGATCAATTGATGTTTGCTCCTTTTGGTAAATGTTTCCCGGAAGCCTCATACCGCGTACACTTTATGGTCATACTGATAGGCGTTATCAGGCTTGTTCTGCTTTTTCACGTTCATGACTCTGGCAGAAGGCGGAGGCCGAAGGGCGTTGATGAATAAGTTCCGTGACATTTACCTACCGACGCTCAAGGCCAATTTCATTCTATGGCCTGCGGTACAAGTCTTGAACTTCCGTGTGGTTCCCATTCAGTTCCAAATTGTAAGTGCATTCTTTGCTCAGCAACCAATGGACTTCCTCTAACAGCTAAATTAGCCATTCGTTTCCACCGTGGGAATTGCATGGACGGCGTATCTGTCCCTTTCCAACTCGGCAGAAGAGGAGTAATCCGATATGTTGCTCCAGGATCTGCGGTCCATTTGTGCCGCACAGCAAGAGATTATTATCTCTTGTTCTCTTGTTCATTTTTCCCTGGCTTTTCAAACTTTGCCTTTTTTTTTCTTTTCTTTTCTTTTCTTTTCTTTTTTCTGGTTCGTTCTACTCTGGTATCTGATACAACTTGGCCGGGAAAGGATTGATGGCGTTATGGATTCGAATATCTTACGACCATGGGAGTTGCTGGTTTACAGAACTTGGTAAAGGAAGAAATCTATCATCGCATTTGAATTTTATATGGGCATGCTTTGTTGTTCAATGGTCTCCTTTTCCAAGGCGTTTTTTGTACTGTTAATGGCGTCGTTGAACGATGCCTCCATCATCTATGCCAGTATACAGTCATTCTGAGCTTCTATTACCTCGGCCATCTTGCCATACATACTCATAGACCTCGGATCCCCAGAGAATACCTATCTCCCGATCCGATCCGGCAGTGCGATAGAAGTAATTGCACGCATCCAGAAGCTCGATTGACATCAGTCCCGCATCAGCCCGAGCAGCGACGGTCAGTCTACCTTCTCACCGAAGCCCCACCAGAGGAATTCTTGCTGCTACCCCGCCAGCATAAAGCTGGTCTCCTCTTATTATCATTCATAATTCATTCGCATGCGCTGTCGTATAGTACACTTCTAAATCCCAGTCTCCTGTTGTCCTTCTCTCCATCGCACACATCAAATCCAGTCCTCAGACGCAAGGCTTCGACTTCCTCGGTAACCCAGCTCTGACGACGTCATCGAAACATGTCTCTCTCAAACAAGCTTGCTATCACCGACGTCGACGTCAAGGACAAGCGCGTCTTGATCCGGGTAAGTCAGAAGATGGATCATCTGCATGGCTGGGCTCGTTCCAATGCTTACACGATGTGGCTGTAGGTCGATTTCAACGTCCCCCTTGACGCCGAGAAAAAAATCACCAACAACCAGCGAATTGTCGGTGCCTTGCCCACAATCAAATATGCCATTGAGCATGGCGCAAAGACGGTGATCCTGATGTCTCATCTTGGCCGCCCTGATGGCAAGGTCAACCCCAAGTACAGCCTGCAGCCGGTTGTTCCAGAGCTCGAGAAGCTCCTTGGTCGCAGCGTCATCTTCACAAAAGACAGTGTTGGTCCCGAAGTTGAAGAGACCGTCAACAAGGCTTCCGGTGGCCAGGTCATTCTCTTGGAGAACTTGCGATTCCATGCTGAAGAGGAAGGTAGCTCCAAGGATGAGAACGGAAACAAGGTCAAGGCCGACAAGGCTAAGGTTGAGGAATTCAGGAAGGGATTGACTGCTCTGGGAGATGTTTACATCAGTAAGGCCCAACCCAAAACCAAAGTCCTCTACCGTAGAGCGGAGCTAACGTAAAAAATTCCCTTAGATGATGCTTTCGGAACCGCCCACCGTGCCCACAGCTCCATGGTCGGTGTAGAGCTTCCTCAGAAGGCAGCTGGTTTCCTTGTGAAGAAAGAGCTTGACTACTTTGCTCAAGCATTGGAGAAGCCCCAGCGACCTTTCCTCGCTATCCTGGGAGGCTCCAAGGTTTCCGACAAGATTCAGCTCATCGACAACCTGCTCCCCAAGGTCAACAGCTTGATCATCACTGGTGCGATGGCCTTCACATTCAAGAAGACTCTTGAGAACGTCAAGATCGGCAACTCTCTGTTCGATGAGGCTGGCAGTAAGATTGTCGGCGATGTCATCAAGAAGGCAAAGGAGCACAATGTCGAGGTTATTCTCCCCGTCGACTATGTCACCGCTGACAAGTTCGCTGCCGACGCAAACGTCGGCAAAGCCACCGATGCCGATGGCATCCCAGATGGCTGGCTCGGTTTGGATGTCGGCGAGGAAAGTGTGAAATTGTACAAGAAGGCTATCGCTGAGGCGAAAACCATCCTTTGGAACGGCCCCGCTGGTGTCTTTGAGCTTGAGCCTTTTGCCAACGGAACCAAATCCACCCTTGATGCTGCAGTTGCGGCCGCGCAGTCTGGCAGCATCGTCATTATTGGCGGTGGTGATACTGCCACCGTTGCCGCCAAGTACAAGGTCGAGGATAAATTGAGCCATGTGTCTACCGGCGGTGGTGCATCTTTGGAATTGCTTGAGGGCAAGGATTTGCCTGGTGTTTCGGCTCTTTCGAGTAAGTAAAATGTCAACGAAGGGCTAAATAGACGACGAAGAAATCTGACGAAGTCTTTACAATCTAAATATACAATATAATTTATTTTCTTTAATTCTCCCTTTGACGTTTATTTTCGTTATTTCTTTTACATAGCCTTTTACAGCAGACAAATGTTTCGAATACATTTGTTTGAAGTTCAAATTTCTGATATTTCGGTCTTTCTAAAATCACAGAGAAAAATGCACCAAACCTTTGATACATAATTAGGAGGAAAATTATGGAAAGGTACAGACTCGGCTTGGGATAGAACGTCACTCCAAAGCTCCCGAGGAGCTTTGTTTATTTCCCTTTCTTTTTTCTTTCGAGCCCTTTTTGATACCAACTGATGTTCTGAATTGGAGAGCGAAACGATAATCTTCGCGATGACAATTGAGATAGTTGATAGTAATCATTAGTAGTAATCCGGTTGTATCTGATATTCCATGCTCTCATATGAAGTTATATCGATATGATACTTTTCTTTTGTTTCGGTCATGGTTTGTTTGCTCCAAAATAATTCGAGTGGCTAACAACTCGCTCGTCTATTGAATTATGCTGTCCGGTAACTCAAATCTCAAGCCCCTGATACCACGAGTCTTAGTTTATTTAGCGCCCTCGACTTTCTTCATTTCCTCCCTGTATATCGTAGATTGTACGTGAGCAAAAGTGCAATAAAAAGAATGACACCAGCGATGCTCTTTGCGTACCTTAGTTGTTTGGAAAAGTCCTCACTCTCGTCATCGTCATCCCAGCTCTCCTCCCAGAGATGTGTGTTGTTGGTACCGTTAGCCGCTGTTGAACCTTGGCCCTGCTCGGTCTCTTCTTGTGACCAGTCTGGGAATTAATTAGTCAGTGAGAAATGCTTATTATTGAAATTCAGATAGCGCAATACTGCTTGAAGGAAAGGCGATTTTCAAAGCTTCTGCTTGCCGGGTTTCGGTGCAAATCAATGGGGGGCTAGCGTCCACTGCAACGCCAAGGCAACGCAAAACTTACCCTCTACTGGAAAGTCTTCGAATTCATCATCTTCCTCTAGCACTTGCGGGGTCTGTTTTTGCTGGGTAGGTTGCTGTGAAGAGTTGGCGTCGGCCTTGGTGGTGGAAGCTGACATTGCGGGGATTTGCTGCAGGCGGAGAGGTTCACGAGCGAATTTGGAAGCGGCAAGAAAGACTTTCTTGCGGCGATGATCTGGGTGGTCCGGTGGTAATGCTGGAGGGGCTTGAGTGAGAAGGAGTAGTGATTGAGAGTGTTGTCGTGTTATGTATAGTTAGTTTTAGTTTGCTAAGTCATCGAATTTGATGCCGTCAGTGCAGAAGCTCCTCAAGGCCTCAGGCGGCGAAAGCGGTCAGCCAGGAACGTGAGGCATCAGCGTCGGCGAGCGCTCATTGGCTGCCGCGATCGGTCAGCATCGCATCATCTTCAATCTTGTGATACTTTGCTACTTCCAAGATTGTTATTCCTTTGATGCCTTGGAAGGCTACCTGCTGCTGCTTGGTGAATACGGCAGAATGCAATAGAACACGGACAGCCTCAACCATGCTTTGGCAACAGCTGGGAATACTGGAATAGCCCGGGATCAGTGGCCAGACTCCATCAAGCCAGTCATTTTCTCCTCTACTCACTGCTCAGCCCCCGAGTCACCAACGCACTAGTCGTACTAGCTACTCTTTGCTTTGTGTATGCCTTACGCATTCCTGCAGCCTCCCCGCTTCGTGCTCGACTTGCCTAACATTTAATATTGTCGGAGCTAATCAATCTTATCGCTCTATGTCCGGTATCCGCTAGATCCCGCGCACTGATTCTCTATATCTACCGTCGAGCTGTTTTTACTGGCATTTTTCCCCTTGCTTCAGAATAAACTGTCGCTGCACATATGGCTGTGTGTATCTACGCAGCTCAACAGATTTCTCCTACGCCTTAGCATTGAATGTGTGTGTCATCGGGTGTTCAGAGTTGAAGCGACTGTAAACTCCCTCCCTCTACCAGGTTGGCATCATCGTTCCGAGTCGCGTGCCTTTGGCAGCAGGACAGAAAACCATTATGAACCGCGTGGGATCATGGCTTTACGGCCGCAAACCTGGAAATGGACTTATACCAGCCCTAGAATTGGCTACGCAGATACAAGATCGTTAGTGATGTCTATCTCCTTGCCTTTGCGTGCATTTACCCGTAACATAATATGGCTAACATACTTCGTACATGGACTCACAGTTGAGCAGGCTCTGGAAGGTATGTGACACAAAGCAAGATCTGTTTGTTGCCTAGGATCTAACGCATGGACTGGCAGCGGCCACTCTCATCCTGAATGATGATGTCGACGGTGCTGAGATGGGTCTCAGCAAAGGTGACTCGTCCTTTCACAAAGTATGCCCCTTCCACTAATTTGTGTCTGTCTATGTCAATATATTGCTAAGAACAATTATAGACGGGCAAGGGCGTCGTTGGCTTTCTTCGTGCGCTTCTTGGTTTTGAGCAGGAAATCATGCGCCAGGGTAAGTTTATTCTTCTGGTGTGTTCAAGTTTTCTATAGGAAGACTAATATTTGTTGCTCCATAGCATCCGAACGGCTTTCTGATGCCGAAACCAGTGCATACAACGACATGCAAAGAGTAACGCATGCGTCGAGTGCGCCAGACGCCTTCCATTCGAAGATTTATGATGTGGGCACCGAGTATGCGCTCTGTCAAGCAATGGCGCAGATAATGATCGCCGTTGTTGGAGTGCTCAATGAGAGCCTTACAGAGAGTCTGAAGGGGTTTTATAAAATGAGAAAGGCACACGCAACTCTGGATGCAATTGTGCGCATGGAAGAACGTTATCTATTGAATAATCGACCTCCCAAATCTCGAACAGCCCCTGCAAATCTAGAAACCGAGAAGCACTCGTTGGTCATTCCTACTACGAAACCTTCTGGCAAACACACTGGTAGCAAATCCGATCAGGATCTGCGTCGAAATATGGCCGAATTGAAGTTGGTAAACGAGAGCCAGAGTACACCCAGCTCCGCTCCTTCTAGCAACGCAAGCTCGGTTTTGGGTGAAACTCTCACCCATGATGCAGATGCGGCAGATATCTTCAGCCATCCTATAGACTCATTTATACACACTGGTGCCAGCTTATGTCTGGGAATGTTGCTCGCAATGCTCTCCACACTTCCCCCCACATTTAGTCGCTTGCTTGCGGTCGTCGGGTTTCGAGGCGATAAAGAGCGAGGATTGCGCATGCTCTGGCAGGCCAGCAAGGCTCACAGTTTGATTGGGGCGGTTGCTGGATTGGGAATTTTGGGGTATTATAATGGATTTATTCGGCTTTTGGACATCATCCCGGACGCCACGTCCGATGATGAAGCGGGAATTGAGGGATATCCCATGGAACGTTTGCTAGGGTTGCTCAACACGATGAGAACCCGGTTCCCGAGAAGCCAGCTGTGGCTTTTGGAAGAAGCGCGAATGAAGAGTGCCAATCGGGATGTAGAAGCTGCGTTTGAAATTCTGAAGAACAGCACTAAAAGTCCGCTCAAACAGGTTGAGGCGTTGCAAGCTTTTGAGAAGAGTTTGGATTCGATGTATCTGCACAGATATGAGGATTGTGCGAAATATTTTATCGAGGTGAGTATGATTTTTAACTGTTTATCGTTACGACTAGTACTGTAATTATCATGCTCATTGTCTCCATCATCTAGTGCACCGAACTCAACTCATGGTCACCCGCTCTATACTTGTACATCGCCGGGTCTGCATACGTAGTATTATACCGGCAAACCTTATCTACAGACCCCTCTGCGGCGCAGAAATACGCAGAGAAGGCGAGGGAATGTATCCGCAAAGCACCTACAGTGGCAGGCAAGAAGCGGCTGATGGCACGTCAACTGCCTTTTGAAGTATTTGTGACTCGCAAAATAACGAAATGGGAAGCCCACGCCAAGGAATGGAAGGTGGACGTCGTAGATGCAGTCGGGGTAGATCCGATTGAAGAGATGATCTTTCTCTGGAACGGATATAGTCGCATGGGCGCGGAGGGACTGAAGGACTCTCTCCAAAAACTGGAGTGGTCCGAGAATGACCTCAACAAAGACAACAACAACCAGCACGGTGACGACGAAAAGGCCATCATCCAGCTCCTCCGAGCTGCCATCCTGCGAGCATTACGCAAACACGCGGAGGCAAAGGATATCCTGAAGCAAAAGGTCCTCGTCATTGATCGATCCGTTTTCAAGGGTCATCTACGAGACAACTGGGTTCTCCCCGCAGCCCATTTTGAGGTGGCGGCAAATCTGTGGATGGAAAGACCTAATTATGTATCAACACATATTTCCCCTTTTGAGGATTCATTATCAGGGGAAAAGAAAGAGGAAGAGGGAATACAAAAGCATAACATCACCACAGAGAGGCAACAAATTCAAGAATGCGACGAACATTTAGAGAAAGCTGCCAAATGGGAGTCGTATGATCTCGATACTCGAATCGGTCTCAAAGTGACCGCTGCTAGGGATGCTATTAGCAAGTGGTATGCAAGTCATCCTGTTAATGCAGAATAGGGCTTTGTTCCCGTCTGCTCAAATACTTGACTGTTTGGACTTGGGTGTATGTTCTTTTTGGTTTACGTCTAGAGTGAGGAGAAGAAGTTTAGAGAGTTCTGTATGTAAAATATCATTATATATAGAAAAGCTACCATTTTTTGTCCATTTTCAGGTAGAGTTATCGAATATATCAGTCAATAATCTCAACAGCCTTTTTTCCCATTTAAAGATCTACCTATGTAGGTAGTGAAAGCCGAATCTATCTCCACACATGTTACACATCATAACTACCTAGGTAGGTCGTCAAATATATACAACTGATCATTAACATTATAGACATCTTCCTAGTACTTTCTTTGCCGCAAATAGCAGATCAATCGAAAGTTTTTTTTTTAAAAAAAGACAAACAAAGTGGTATATCAACAATGAAAAATCAACGACCAAAAGCAAAAGTCTATCGAGACCCAACTTTTTAGTCCGATAGTTAAGCAATATAAACAGCTCTGTTATGCATCAAACAGAAGCCCTCGACCACTTTCCTCTTGCCCTAATCCTCTTTCCGTAGACGTAAAACAAGAACGGAATGGGGATCAAGGCAACAGAAATGAAACCAAGCGTGCTCGCAGCCCAGTCAATGCCGAGATTATGATACATAGCATTCGCAAAGAGTGGGAACCCAGCAGCGAAGATGCTACGTAGACAGGTATTGGCAGCAATTGCAGAGGCAGCAGCCTGCGGAAAGGTGTCTACTAGATAGTTGATAGCAGCTTGAAAGATGGTGAAGAATCCAAGGCCCATGCACGCAGCACCCACAACGGGGCCAAACCAAAATATGTTGCGGTTAGATGTCCAGGCGAAGATAAACAAACCACCAGCAAAGATAATAGAGCCTAACATCATCGGCGGGAGACGAGCTTCGGGCACTGAGCGATTGTTGTTTGCCTTGAAGCGTTTAATGTAGAATCGTTGATTGATAAGATTGACACCTGCCCCAAAGAAAATTCCTATCAGCATCGCTAAGAATGGTAGCTCGCCCGTGACAGGGCCCCAGCCACGCTCTTCTTCGAACTCAATGGGGAATGCCGCAAGATTCAAGTAAAGAATTCCGTAGACAAAAGAAGCATACAAGGCGACGCAAAAGCATATCGGCGTAGCTAGCAAAGCAAAAGGCCGGATCAGGTACTTGTTCGCCAACTCTTTGATGCTCACATCCCATTCTTCATGTTTGGCATGTAAAGCCCAGTTTCCAGTTTCATGCCGCAGTCGCTGCGCTTTATATACAAGCAAGACAGGCGGGTATGATTCGTCAACGAAAATGACATCCAAAGTCAGGATAAACATCATGTAGATACCGGTGATCTACAAAAGGATTCCGAGTCAGCATCACAATCATGATCATCCCTTGCGTAACGCAGTTGTGCAACCACCTGTATCGTGAAATTATGTAGACAAAAAAGAAGGAACCTACATATTGCGTCCATCTCCAGCCCAAATAACTCTGACAAATCGCACCACCAATAATGGGACCAAGAGTAGGACCACCCACGACAGCCATTGCATAGCCGACAATAGCTGCACCTCGCTGCTCCGGAGACCAGATATCGCCCAGCACACCACCAGTATTGGTTACGGGGGCAGAACCAAAGAATCCCGTGAAGAAACGCGTGATCATGATTGTTTGAATATCCTTTGCGGTGGCAGTACCAAATGAGAAAACAGCCGCGACGAAATAAGGCGTCATGACCGCCATTCTACGTCCGTAGAGCTCAGACAACGGCGCCCATAGGAGCGGACCAACTCCGAAGCCCAGCAATAGCAATGTGAGACCGAGCAAACTGACTTCTGTGCCAACGCCGAATTCTTTGCTAATTTGTGAGGTTCCCGGGGTATAACTAGTTGACAGACACGCGGGTTAGCATGCGGTGACGAAAAAAGATATCGGGTCATGGGAGTACGTACATAGCACTCGCCAGTGTTGCACCTGTCGCAAAACAAAAGTGTTCCATGGTTAGCCCAGCCAGCCATAACATGCGGGAGAAGAAGACGACCAACATACCTGCCGTTGTCATTCCATACAAAACTGTGGTAACGCATTTCTTCTTAAAGTTCCAGTTCTTGGGGTGATAAGGATCATCGGGCCCGTCAAAGTCAACAAGGACATCTGGACCGGTTTTCGTATGCGACAATGCATGAGTGAACTTGGCGATCTGGCCGGGCTCTCTGCTTCGAATGCGCGAGACGACGGACTGAGTGCGCTGGTTCAACCGGGACGAGGTCGTGTTGGCGGTAGTTTGCTTCTCCAGTTCTAAGGGCTCTATGGGGGCGACATTTTCGGTGGCAGGTCCTTCAGTGAAGTTTTCCTCCTCGTCTGTTCGGTCTGGGGCAATCGAGGATTCCGTGGAGCTGCTGCTGGTGATGGGTTCCAGCGGCGGCATTATGTACCTTATCCCAATCGAGTATTAAGAGCGGACACGGAGATGATATATGTGGCTTTTAATAGGATATCCGTCTCCAGAGACAAAGAATAGAAGGAATAATAAACAACTAAATATGTAAAGAGAAGAAGAAAAAATGCAACGAAACCGGCCGGACTAGATGCCGGTTTGCCGGCTAGTGCCCTGAGCGGTAAGCATTACAACACAAGCAGACCTGGTTCCTGCAAGCCGGTAGTGGTTAGTTGGTTGCTGCTGCTTAGTTTTACTATGGGTAATAGTTCGATACTGTGACTATGAAGCTTGCACATGTACCTAGCCGCTAGTTATATGGATGTATATTACTACTAATTGACAATCGTTGAAAGCAGCAAGGTAAAGGCGTGACGTCACCCACGCGACCCGCGTATTGAGCGTTACAATACGTACAAATACAGCGCTGATTGGCGAGTGACGACACTCGGCAGGGAAATCGTTCCCGGGGAGTTAGCCGGGGTTGCGGAAGCAGTTAGCCGAGGGCCAGCCTTGGCGAAGCTTGTCTGGACTACAGATATAGATATAGATTGGGATCTTTGAATTTCCTTCTAATTCGCCTTCACTATATCCGTTCCATTCCATTGAAAATACATGGCCGCGAAAGGCAAGAGACAAAAACTATATATCAAAAAAAAAAAAAAAAAAAAAACATGCTTGTTCGTTATGCAGCTTTTCAGAAATCGAGTAAACTATCATCCATAGCCCCGCCAGCATTGTCATCGTATTCTACGACACCAAACTCCCAATCACCTCGTTGAATCCGACTGACACGATCAAGCTCCATCTGGTATTCCCTTCGGAGTTGTTCCAGAGTGACGATGACGCGCCGGCCGGAGGGTCGCTGTTTGTGAATATTGTGATTGCTCGCACCATTCACTGAGATAGTACCACTGCTCCGGCGTCGTTGGTTAGCAGCACTCGGGGGGCTTTTGGATGGAGTGCTATCCTCTATGAATACATCATCCCTGTTTCGTTTGCCCGGCGTGCTCGCTTCCAAAATGCTCGAGGGAGCCGGAGGTACGGCAGCGTCGAGGTCTACTAAAATATACGCCTCACTCTGGTCGACGCACGCAAGAAGATTGATCAACGACAGCAGTTCATGCCGGATTTCCTTGCTCTCGATATCGTCTTCTTCCACCATGCGCTTAGTTTCTTCTTCATCGACTTTGCCACGTCGGGCGAGCGCCCTTTGCGTGATGGGGAAGTCTCTAGCATGTCGTAGTCGCTGAACCGTTTGGTATCCCAACTCGGCTGCGCCTCGCAAGTCATTGCGCGCAATGCGATAAGCATGCAAGACCCGGTGGTAATCTGGAGTGTAATTGTTTTCCCATGAGTTTCCGTCTGCATTAAGGGGAGAGCTGAAGGACGTCTGTTTTCGAGCGAGTGACATGAGTGATTCGTCCACATATAAAGAGAGGTTGGGAGTAAGCCATAGAGGGAAATGGAGAAGCTGTTCAAGACCGGATGTTCCCGATCCGTAGGCCGACAAAATGGCTGTGATGAGAGACGCGAGCGCTGACTTCTGCAGTGCATGGTTTGTGTAGCGGGAAAGTGCCGAGTAGGCCTTGTCGAACTGACATGTCCGTAAAGAAGCATAGAACATGCGAGACAGAATATCGGTCCGAAGATTTTGATAATCAGGATCATCGGTTGATTTCAGCGGGTCCACTTCTAATGCCTGTAATGCCAAGGATGCAAAGTCCGCGACATGAGAGAAGGAGCGAGCCTTTTCGAAGACGCTGTATATGTGTTGGAAATATTTTGGAAGGCCGTTGTTAAAATTGTCCGCATCGAGTATGTCGAGTAGACCGGCGGACATGTCACTCAGGTTTCCAAGAGCCCTTCCCGCTGCTGTAATTAACGTGTCAGTAAATTGTCCTTTGTTCCGTTTTCCTTTTTGTGCCGCGGATTCCTTGATACTCACAAAGTAGATATGCAGCCTTCTGGAAATAAATAGCTGCTGTATCAAATTCTGTCCTGGCTACGAACAGCCGTCCTTTCACATAATTAGACCATGCGCTGCTTGGTTGAAATCTTAAAAAGCTGCTGGCAAGGTCAATGTTGCCATTTGCTATTAGATTGCACTGGATATGCACCAAGCCGTTCGCAAATTCAACATTCCCAGGGTGAACAACCCAAGAAAGCACATCAAGAATGCCTTTTGTTAATGTGAAGCTCTGGGAGATATTGATGTGAGGGCGCGGTTTGACATCGGTTACAAAGAAATCCTCGAGGATTGACTTCACGCCACCGAGACCTTTCGACTGCAATTGCGCATCAGCAGTATCATTGTGGGCCCGGTTAGTTGATACTCGCGTATTAGAACTCAACCAGTATAACATTTCACACTCTTTAATAAAGGCAATAAGCAGCGGGAACAATTCTACCGCATCGAAAGACGAGCCCTGTTCCTGGCTAATTTCGCCCTCAACAAAGACGACCAAAATGAGGAGATCGTGCAACATACGGCGAATGTGGGAAATCGTCTCTTGGGAACCGTTCGCCATGGCTCTGAGTCCAAATGCAGTGAAGAGCAAATCTGAATCTTTCCCCCCAAATGCCATCGGCAACGTATCCAAGACAATGTGAAACGGTTCTTTCGGTAGCTTCCATATGTTGATCTGCTTATTCATGGCGGCGCAAAGCCCGTCATACACTTCATCTGAAACACCCTCACCTAATTCGGACTTGTTGATAAAAGCTGCTAGTCGCTCCGTAGCTGAATGTAGTGGCTCTAGGTAAAGTTCGCTATACATTGCCTCCTCGAAAATTTGCAAGGTTGCAGCAGGGAGTCGCTTTCTGAATTCCGCTGCGACCTTGATAAGATGGCATGCATCAGCGTATCGATTGCTGAGCTCGGATTGAAGTTTACGATGTCGCCATCGATCAGCAATTTTGGGCAATTCATTATCGAGATCCGAAACAGAATTGTGTATTAACAATTCTGTTGCACTGCATTCCCTAATAAGAGCACATGTGTCTGTGGTAACCAGCCAGGGCAAATCACTGTAAGTATCATATGCCAAGGATATCGGTTCGAACCTTCTGCTGTGGACTTCTTCAACAATCTGCCAGAATTGTCGCCACTTGTGGTCAGTATCCGTTCGATACTTGTCATAGTCCATGTCATCATCCGCATATTTCCTTAACGAAACGGATGCAGCTATCGTGGAGCAAAGACGTTCTTGCAACGGAGCACTGCGTTTTACCGATGCCCGCGGCTTCAGAGCTTCTTGGTAAGAAACAAGGGCAGTTTCCAGGGTTTCTGCTGTGTAACGTCCCGGATGGAAAAAGTGTTCTAACCACTTGTCCGTCGGATCAACGACGTCTGAAATTACCAGAGCAGGAGCCGGTTCATTCCGCCGGGTATCCCAGGCAGTCGATGTCCAGTTTGTAGACCAGTCTTCCTCAAGGCTTTCAAAATTGAAGTGTAAAGTATATAGCTGGTACAGACAATTGTTTCGCCAAAGCACCCACAATTCCATTCGCCTCCCTTCCTCCACCGGCCGTATTTGAAAGTCTGCAACACTCCAAAACATATTGCCCGTAGAGTCAGGGTCTAATGGCCGGAAGACAGCTTGCGGGAAAATATCATCGATTGTTAGTGGACTAGTGAGGCCGCCTTTGACTGCCCAGAATTTGAATTTGCCCTCCTCATGAGGAGTATATGTCGCAACGTAATAACGATACCCCCCGTCCAAAGCTCTTTCAGCGTTGAAAACTCGCAGGAAGACAGATTCTGCTGGATTCAAAAAGTACGTCGTGGTGTCTGGTTGTTGTTTTGATAGTGTGCGGCCCAGAAGATCTGTTGTGCCGACCAACTTGTTGGCTGCAAGGTTCCAAACCTTCAATGTATGGTTCAAGCAGACTGCAAATACATAAGTCTGATCTGATGTTGTAGCGATAGCGTTTGGGGTATTAGGGTCAAGAGTGCGCCCGTTATACGATATGCGCTGTTGCCCTGTCCAAGGTACTAGACCGCGAATTGACGCTCCCCAGGTTTTTTCGTCGAAGGTAATCTGCGACCAGTGCGATCCTGGTGTGAAAGCATGTAAGTACGGCAACCGTATTCAACGAGACTAGCAAGAGAAAGAAAAAAATAATTTTGAACTCACCATCATCACCGGTCCTTCTAGTCAACCGGAGAAGCGCACCACTGTCCAGCGCAATGAACAATTCCTTTGTACTGCACGCATGCAAGCGATGAGGTTGCGTAAAAGACAGAGGGGACGGTGTGAAGGATTTGCACCAATCCTGAATATTTTCATCTATGGACGAAGCACGTCGAAAGAACTCTGGTCGAAGCGCTATTGTGTAGAGACGCCTTGAGCTTGTAAGAACAAAGACATTCAAAACATCGTGATCTTCGGTATCGGCCAGCGCAACACCCGACGGTAAGATAGCCTCCTGAAAATCCAGGCGAAGCACGAGATTCGCCTCATTATGATCAATGGTACTCTTTGAGACATCTGTGGACTGGATCTCCAACACTTTATTTTCATTGACCACCCGCCATAAGAAGGTACGCGGGTAAACCCTTCGCTGGCGAAAGTAAACAGAGCCCTGCGTAGCTAGGTATCGTTTGGCAAAATCTTCGTCGTCTTTGATGCCGATAATATCATCGTGTGCTGCCCCCGAGGAAAGTGATAGTCTGACTCGTCGCTGCGCGTTCTCCTGCGTAGGAATCTGTATATCCACGACGGCGCTGGCTTCGACCGGGCGCACATCGACCTTGGTCTCTTTGTAAATTTTCGCCATTTTTCTGTGATGACCGGCTGATTGACAGTGTGAGGCGCACGGAATCTGTTGAACGTCGTTATGCCATACTTCACCAGCCACTGGCGAGATGTTGTGGTTTTTTTTTTTGGGCCAGCCTGAGAGCTTTCAGGTTTCCACTGTCCAAATTAAAAGAGCTCAGGTCTCACTAATCCGAGAATGGGTTTAGCGCGTCGCGGCCAGTGAGGCTGTGGGGAAAGCGCCAAGCCAGGCACAGATTTATGGCTGCCTCATTTTTCAGGGCATCGATATCACTATTATTTAATTTATGTACATTTTGTATAGCTAGGTATTTCATCCATGGCGTAATCTGTTACGCTCAACTGTGATAACCTTATTATATACAATATAATCACGCAGGCTTAGGACCCCTTGCTATGCAAGTATGATATGATAGACATAACGAACATACAGGTCATGAAATACATAATACATCGTTAAATCACAAACATTGGTATAAATAATAAGCGAAGATCCATCCTATCATCGTGTAATTTTTCTTTTCTTTACTCGTTCTCCAGGTCCTTTGGGCTAGGGTCACCAATGCCATCTTCCCTGATCGCAAAGAGACAGTCGCTTTCGGGCAAGCAGGGACTATCGTAAATCTTACATATCCTAGTTTCCCCTCGACCCTTCTTCAAACTCAGCCGGGTTGTGCTGGCATGAGCGATAATATTGCCACCAATGGGTTTCTTGGGATCCGGATTAAACATTGAACTCGGGCCACCGTCAACTTGAGAAACGACCTGATTTGTGATCACAACGGCGATGCCAAATTCATCAACTAGTCGCTGCAAGGTACGCAAAAACTTGGCCAGGTGAGTTTGGCGATTCGATAATTCACCACGACCATTAAAATCTGTACGGTATAGTGCTGTTGCCGAGTCCACGATGAGAAGCGAAAATCGAGTCTCACACATCATTTGAGACGCCTGGTTGAGAAGTTGAAGCTGATGGTCTGAATTGTATGCGCGAGCGTAAGCAACATTATCCAGCACTTCTTCTCCCACGAGTCCATATCGTTGTGCAACAGCCAATAATCTCACAGGACGGAATGTGCCCTCAGTATCAATGTAGAGACATTTTCCTTCGCCGCCGCCCATGTCGAAAGGTAGCTGGCAAGTGACCGCCAGTGTGTGGCAGAGTTGACTTTTCCCTGTCCTGAATTCTCCGAAGATCTCAGTGATGGAACCTGTCTCGATGCCTCCAGCCAGCAATGTGTCTAGTTGTTTTGATCCAGTAGTAATAGATATAAGTTCGCTACGGCGTGCGTGCATTTCTGTCGCGGTTGTGAATCCCATCGGAACAAGCTTGAGGGCTAAAGTTTTGGAGAAGAGCATCAGTATATGTACTCCGTTGAGACATTTCAACTGGACTTCAACTCACCTTCAGTTAAAATTTTTGTGGCCTTTTGTTCAGAAATACCTTTGATTTGCTCCAGAATGCGCTTAGGGCTATTGGTATGTTAATATGTATGGGAACCTCTTCGCTTTGCAAGATCTATTTGAGTCTATTTGTTTCACAATACTCACGTATATGCGACCGACTCCACAGTATGGAACCCTCCATCAACTATTAGTTTAATATCTCGTGCAGTCAATCCAGCAACACCCTACATAGGTAGTCAATATCGGGACTCGGAATCTATAGGATGTCACAGAATGTTATACAGTATCAGAACTTACTTCGAGGGCTGAAAGAGGAGTGGGAGCACCGGGGCCTGTAAGACCACCTTCATCATACTCCTGCTGCGGTTCCATTTCGACAGTCATATTGGGTGATTAATGTTTCGATAAGTCCGTGGGAGAATGCCGACGCGTCCAAGTGTGGAATACCACGGTGAGTAGCGGTGCAAAATCGGCGATAGGTGGGACTGTACGGAGTACTCTAGAAGTTGTTCGATGTTATTCCGTATATTTGACGATGTCGCAGAACCTCGATGTTCCTGTCGTAAGACTGCTCTTGATGAATGCGTCCTCTCGTGTGTTGGAGGGACGCGTCTTGTTGGCATCGCCTCGCCACGTCGCGAAGTCACGTGAAGATAGTTGGAGATAAGCCAACCTACAGCACACAACGTACTCTGTTAGTATGAATAATGCTGATATTTTGTGAATACATGTCATTGTAACAGTGATGGCCACTTTGTTCATCGACAATAACAACTCTCGGCTAACAAATACTAATGTAAAGTCAAGTCTTTTCAACCCATTCTATCATGTTACTAGTCCTGTGTTCCAGGCCCAAAAGCAAGAAGAACATTGCAAAACAATTCAAACCGCTAACTTCATCAACACAATCACGATGTCATACCTGTCGATCGTGTTCGTATTAGATTAGCTCCAATGCTTCGATGAAGCGGGTAAAGTGGAAGTTTCTTGCAGGAGATTCGGTCTTGATCACCAAAGAAATCAAAATGGACCGCGGTGCTGCTGGCCTGGGCGGAAAGCAGTCGGAGATACTGCACTTGGGTGAATGCTTGATGCTGGAGACTTATTGACACCCTGCCGTGCGAGGTTTTGGCGAGAAGCATACTGTCTAGGCGAGTAGACACCGTCGACATAAACACCGCTTTCTAGCGCTCGAGCACCGAATGGGGCATCGTGGAGCCCGGATTGTTGTTTCCACATATGTTCAGATCGTTTAGCTTCCTCGGCGAAGGCTCTGTTATACAGGTTGATCTTCCATCGGCTAACCGCCGCGACGAAACTACCAACGATGATGACGAGAACCTGTTCGCGACCTTTGTTAATCAAGGTTTGTCTTTGGGGGCAAACTCGATGGTCCGGGTATTATATAAGTACCATGGAACAAGCAAGAACCTACCGTCAAGCATGAGTTAGTTACAAGGTCACTTACACGGATACACTTTGACAACTTACAAAGACTATCTTCTCCCACGACTCCCAACCTTTCCAGAATGTCATCATGCCGGGAGCAGCAACGCAGAGGCCAAATTATGCAAGCGAAACTAGCAAACGAAGTCATATACTAGACGAAGAAGAATGCAGCGTAAGTTGCGATATGGTGCATGATAGATGAATGACAGTCGTGCACTCAAGAAGGGGACGATGGCTTATACGGCTCTTTCTCTCCAAGGTCGGCCAGAGGGCGCGGCTTCCCGATGTGTGTGATTAGGTAGCTGCCTGAACACGCCTCTGGATAGCTTAGTCAACCACGCACAACGACAGTCTGAGTGTTTTCTCTGTGCACTTAGCATCTGCCAGCAATCTTTGTAGAAAATCTTGTCTTTTAGCATGATCATTAACCATTATAGTATCTAATCGCCTCTATAGCCTAGGTACTCAAGAAATCTCCATCTCTGTCCAGTATGAATCGAAGTTATACTCTCCTCAGACAATGGCGTCACAGGGTAGCGAGAATGCTTTAATAAAAGCCTGTTATCTCACTGATGCGATGAAAACTAGCATCGGCAATTGCATATAAAAGCAAAATGGTCGGCGGTGCGAGTCACAATTCACGGAGAGTTACATCTCTAGACTTCCGTCGAGGGCGCCTCCTGCTTGTAATTCGCTAACTCTGCACCCTGACCGCTCTGTCCTCGTTTTCGACCAGGAAGGCGGAATCCCAGGTGTGATGAGCTGGGGCGATTATTATTATTATTACTATTATTGGCGGTGGCAGCGGTTTCAGATGAGTTGTCGCCAAAGCGAGAGAAGAGTCCCCTCTTCTTCGGTTTTGCTTCTTCGTCGGCTAAACCCACATCTTCGAATGCTTCTTCCTCCATGGACTGCGGTTTGACAAAGGTCTGGCTTTTTATGGCAGGACGCTCGCCGAGTCGAGAAAATCGGGAGGAGTCGAGTGATGCGCGCGATTGGACATTGTCAGCATATTGAATCGGTGACTTGGCGGAGATATCCTGCAGATGCGTCGGGTCAGAGATACAGCATTGCAAGGGAGTGATGAGCACATACAAACGAGCGCCGATAAGAGTCAAATGACTCGCGAGATATGGAAAACGGCTCGTTCTCATCAACCAAGTTTCTATGGTTTGTCGTTGCTTTAGAATTCGAGGTTCTGGACCAAAAACTCCGCTTTTCCGGGGGGGAAGGCTAGTCAAGAGAGATCCATCATCAGCAAAGGAACCATCATGGTATCACACAGAAGGATGGGATGCCATGGCTTCATACTGGAAGATAAACGCCGCTGTCATTGACAACTAACAGGATGATATATCAGCCACAGGGGTTATTTTATCTTCAATGCATCCCTTATCGTGCAAGGCGGGTGGGGGAACTGGCGGACACGCGCGGCAGGCACATACCGCTTAATTTGTATTCGTTTGACACTTCCTCTCTGCTATTCCTGAAATTCAAGGGGCCGCTGTTCGTGCTATTAAGCAGCTGTGAAGATTTTTGGGTTTGACTGGTATCATTGCTGTCTTCGCTGCCATCTGAGGCTGCGGGCTTGCGATTTAGTATGTTGCGAAATTGAGGCATTTTGGACTATTGAATCATTGACGGGAGTGCATTGGCTTGAAAGGCGAATACAAAAAAAGAAGCTTGCATGAATTGAGGCGACACAATCAGAGAGCAAAGGTGCACAAGAGGGAAGAGTAGACGATGGTCGGCGAACCTCACATGATCGGAACTTGGGCTGTTAAATACATCATTAGCATTGCACAGCCCTGGTGTTAATTGGGTACAAAGTTATGCTAAGCCCTTTCACAAATTTATTACCATTGGCATTTTGACATCGACTTCCACTACAATTCAAGTTCCAACCCACAACGTAACTACGTAAATGGCGCGCATCAAAAAACCTCATTGGCAGGCAGTTCAGAGGCAGGGACTGCTTATAAAGCATAAATTAGAAGCGCAGCCCTATCTGTGACGGATAACCCAGTGGAAGGATGGCTGTCGGTTGGCTGCCTTGCGTAGACGGAAGTCAATGGGTGAGCGTGTCTGTTTCGAATCCGGGAGCGGCCGAGGCGACTCGTCGGAGAACCACGATTTGTTGCCCAGCCCTAAGCAATGGAGATGAACCCCCAGGGAAGCAATTCTGCAAGGAACTCTCCACTCTGGGATGGCGACAGCAGACGGCACCTCCTCGTGTAAGGAAGCTGGCCATTTGGCTGTACAACTGCATTCTTCTTCTTTTTCCCCCTCATCTTTTTTTTCTTTTTCGATTAGCATGCGCATAGCTTACTAACCAGTTAATTAACCAGCCCTGTCACTGCGGCAGTTCTTTCAGCCAAGGAAAAGAAGAGCTCTGATTGGCCAGACAAAGGTGCACACCGCCTTCGGGAAAGCGCCATCTTGTTCTGCCGCAAAAAAGTTAAAAAAAATATCATCTCTCAAACTAACAAATAATCAACACACTCTTGTAACAATTGATATTGGCCAACCTGCCAAGATGTCTGGCACCAAGCGCAAGGTCGATTCGGCCGAGGACAGAAATGGAAAACGCACCAAAACCAAGATCAATGCCGTTCCAGCTGCGGATAACAGCAAATCGAAATACTATCCCCCGACATTCCAGAAAAAGGGAATCACGAGGGGTTCTCGGAAGATGAACAGAGATAAAAAACTACGCAAACAATCGGAAAAGCAAACGTCGTCTTCCAAGAAGCATCGACGTGGTGACGATGAGGAAGAAGAGAGCGACGAGGACGACTCATCTGTTGATTCGGATGTGTCAATGAGTGACGATGGTGACAATGACGAGAACGACGATGTTGATGTTTCAGAGGAAGAAGAAGAAGATCAAGAAGATAAAGGGCAGGAGTACGAGACCGCGGAAGAAGAGTTTGGAGAAAAATCAACCGACGCCGCCGATGCTGACAAAAGTATGTATTCTCTCCACGACGTCTCTCTGACCACGACTGACAAGATTGGCAGAGAGCTCTTCTTCTCGTGAAAGCCACGCCAAGCAAAAAGCCCTAGCACAAGAACGCAAGGCTGCGAAGCCCAATGCTGACATTATCGCACGGTCGAAGAAATTGTGGGAACGACTCCGCCGTAAATCCCACGTTCCTCGGGAAGAACGCAAAAAGCTGGTTGCCGAGCTCTTCGAGATTATCACTGGCAGAGTCGATGATTTTGTTTTCAAGCACGATTCAGTCCGCGTCATCCAGACCGCATTGAAGTATGCCAGCCTTGAGCAAAGGAAAATGATTGCCAGTGAACTCCAGGGGCACTATAAGGAGCTTGCCGAAAGCCGGTATGCGAAATTCCTACTCGGTAAGATGTTGGTTCACGGCGACGCCGACATTCGCGACATGATTGTCCCTGAATTCTACGGGCATGTTAAGCGTCTTATAAGACATCCCGAGGCATCCTGGATTCTGGATGATATTTACAGGACTGTGGCTACTAAGAAACAGAGGTCGATTCTGCTACGCGAGTGGTATGGCCCAGAATTTGCCATTTTCCGAGAAAGTGGTGATTCGGATGTGACTGCAGATTTGTCTCAGATTCTCGCTGAAAGCCCCGAAAAGAGACATCCGATAATGCACGCCTTGTTCGAACTCATCAATCAACTCGTGCAGAAGAAAACGACTGGATTTACCATGTTACACGACGCAATGCTCCAATACTTTTTGAGCACGAAGCCAGGCAGCTCTGAAGCAAACGAGTTTATTGAACTCATCAAGGGAGACGAAGAAGGAGACCTCGCTAAGAATATGGCATTCACAAAGTCCGGGTCAAGATTGATGTGTCTTTGCCTTGCCTACTCATCTGCCAAAGACCGCAAGTTGCTCCTTCGATTTTACCGGGATACTATCAAGCTGATGGCTGGGGATGTCTACGGGCATATGGTCATCCTTGCTGCATTCGAAGTCATTGATGACACTAAGCTCAGTTCTAAATCCATCTTCCCCGAGCTTTTGAGTCAAGATGCCGATGAGTCGACTCGCCATGAAGATCTGCTAATGCAGATCAATGACAACACAGCCAGGATTTCAGTCCTGTATCCATTTGCCGGTGATAAGGTCAAATGGCTTCTTCCCGCTGGTGACGGGGAAATTCTAAAGGAAGTTTTCGATATCCGAAAGGAGACTTCCAAGAAGGAGCCGGCCATCCGTCGCGAAGAACTTGTTAAAGCGGCCAGTGCAAGCCTCCTTGAGTTCATTGCAGCACGCGCCGAGTCCTTGATGGAGACGAGTTTTGGTTGTCAATTCCTGTCCGAGGTGCTCTTTGGTGCGGATGGCGACAAGTCCGCTGCTCTCAACGCCGTTGCTATTGCCGCCAAATCGAAGATTGAAGCCCAAGACTCGCCATTCGTTGGAAGAATGCTCAAATCTCTCGTTCAAGGCGGACGTTTCAACAGTGCCGAGAAGAAGGTGGAAAAGGTGAATCCTCCTTTGGATTTCCACAACTTGCTTTACGACAATATCAAGGACGACATCATGGCTTGGGCTACAGGAGCACAAACCTTTGTCATTGTAGCATTGGCAGAATCAGATGAGTTTGGCCAGAAGAGCGAGCTTCTTAAGACATTGAAAAAGAACAAAAAGGCATTGGAAAAAGCCGCTACTGGGGCGAAGGGGTCGTCTGAGAAGACACAGAAAGCTGGGCCAAGCAGCAGCGGTGCCAAGTTGCTATTGAGCAAGATTTGATGTATTATCTATCATCTATTGGTCTTCATGGTATTTATTCCTGGCGTTAACTTGACTGTGTGTATGTACTTTGTGTGGCTCTGGATTTCGATATAAAAAAGCATTCTGTACATAGAAGAGGCTTCTGCGTCTCAAAAAGCGTTTCCTATAAAAGACCTTCGTTCGGTTCTCTTACCTCGAGGATTTCGATAAAAAATAACTCTGGATCTGGCCCAAGCCATTGGCCTCCTCACATTAGCTGAAATCAAGTGCTGCTCTCCTCTGGTATGGTACGAAGAGATGCAGTTCTTGTATGTAGTATTTATTTGTTGTAGTTCCGAAGGCCCCCACTGAAGTCGATTCTCGGTTTATGGCTTCATAAATTGTTGCATTTCTCTACAAACTCTGCACTGTATATAGAATCATGGTACTTCATTTGAACGTATTGCCTTTCTTGGGGTGATTTTGGGGGTCCTCGTGTGTCTTTCTGATGGGGGCGGCGGCTCGCAAATTAGCATCACGAACTAGCGAAGTTTACCTTCGCTATTTCTAGCTCAAATATGGGCCTGCCCTTGCCTGTCGCCAGCCGCGTTTTGCGCTGCGAACACTAACCAGTAACTGCTGCTGCGTCTTGCCAATCAGCAATTGAACAATTGGCCAACCAAATATACTACAATCTTTTCTTTCAGCTTCCTCTCTTCGCTCGCAGATCTCCTTCGAACGCTCCACCCTGTGCAAGCAATGCGCCATCGGACTATGCCGTAACGAAGAACAAAAAAAAGGAGACACCTACAGGCAAGTCGCTACAATCCAATTGCGCGCGTGGAACGAACAAACAAAGCGCGCCGGCAGGTATTTTGCTGCTGTTGCCATATCGACTGGGCCAGCCGAACGAGTGCTGCATTCCTCTGGAATATTGCATGCAGCAAGCATGGAGACGACTCACCGGTCAACCTCGGTCCTCATCCCAAATCGATTCGACTCAAAACAAAAGAATCACAATTCTGCTTCTTCGTCATCGTCATACCGCACAGATGTCCCACCGGAAATCCCACCGTCGCCGACTCTGACGAACCCTGACATGATCCTTCCAGATGACGGCGAACGTCAATCGTCGACGCCCTCGCCGCCGTTCCAGTTCTCTTCCTCCGACTCCCACATGCTGCAAGCTCCTGGTGGAGACGCCTACTACCATTCCAATGGCTCGTCATATCGCCCTCCGCCGCCCAGATGGACGTACGATGGCCACGGTCGACCTCTGTCTGACATTGGGGAGGAAGATTTTCAGCCGTCACCCTCTTCCGGAGGCAGATATACCTCCGACAGGTATCCTGGAAAGTCGGATTCTGACAGTATTGGCTCTGGCTCGACAATTAGCGTCGGCAGTCAGCAACGACGACGACAACAACAACAACAACAACAAGAAGAAGAAAATGTGCGCACCGCAGAACCTGGGGACCACGAGACTGATCTAGACTCTAAGCGTAATAGCCTCGTTAGTCAGAGAAGTATAGAGCGTGCGCGCGCCCAGGCCGGTGATGCTTTAGCTTCCGGACCATTGCAGTCGTCCGAAGAAGAGAGCTCCTCTGCTATCCTGAGCAGCGAAGCGGAGCGCATTCTCGAGAATGCGAAGCGAAGGCTAACCGTAAGTCGTGCTTTTCCTACTCTAAACATAAAGGCTCTTATCTGACAAATCCCCAATAGTTGATGGAGGGAAATCTCACTCGCGCTCGGTCGTCAATGCGTCTAACCCAGACTCCTTCTCCTTCTCCCAACTCATCTGGTCACTTACTCCCGACGCGCAACCTCCAGCCGGCTGGGGAGCTATACCGATCTATATCTCAGACTGACCGCAGGAGCTCGCTACTTCGACCACGTCCAGTATATTATACTGCACAAGAAGGGGGTCACTCGCGGGGCCACAGCGAGACTAATATCTCGTCAGCAGACAACTCCAACCCTCCCACGATTCACCCCTCGCGCTCTATGAGCGCACTAGCATCTTCTAGCTCTTCACGATACGAGGCCGCAGAACGATCGTTCCCGTACAACGCCGCAGAAAACAATGGCTATACTCAACCAATGTCCGGTCAGAACCCACCGTCAATGCAAGACTTTCTCCGAGAAGACGAGCTTCGCAGAACAAAATATTATAATTCCGATATCAATGGATCAGCGGGGTTGGGTATTTCCTCTTCCAAGACTATGCCAAAAATGGCGTCCATGGATGACTTTAATTCTGCGTATCCACCGGATGACCCTCCGTCTCGCGCGCAGTCGCAGTTGCAAGTTCGTGATCTGAAAGACCAAGCTGCAGGGCTCAGGACAAAAGTCGCGCTTCTAAAAGTCAAGACGCAAGAAGATAGCCTTCGGCGTCGAAGTTTACAGAGCTTGCGCACGCCAAGTCCATTTACAGCAGCTGATCGATGGTATTCCAGCACATTGGAACATGGCAATTTCGATGCCACATACGGATGGGTTCCTGAAGCAGGAATCACACAGGAGGGTAGTAATGGGCAGAGTTTGAGCAGTGGCACTAGCGAAGTCACAGTTGATGTTCCGGCGGAATCACAGATACGCGAGAACACGGCTGAAGCGCTGCATCAAATAGATGATCAGTTTACATACGAGACTGATGAAAATTCTATGCTAGAAAGCCACTATGAAGACGCAGAAGAAGGTGGATATGACGAGGAGCAAGAGCGAGATATCGATCGCAATGCGCTGAATAGGATCTTGAATGAACCCTACGATGATGATGATGATGACCACGATGACGGTAGTGATATCTTCGAGGACTTTCCCCCTGGAAATCCCCCGGAAGCAACGCCTCATGAGGAGCGTGAAGACGCATTCGATTATGAGAATTTCTACCTTCACAGTGCCCTGGGGACATATTCAAGATCGAAAATGCGAAGGCGCAGCTACGATTCTACGGGTTCAAATGAAACTACGAGACCCTTGCAAGACCAGAGAGCTGGCAGACATAGTCGCAGCGGAAGCGGTGACTCGGTATCAACATTCGCAACATTTGCTACTGCGACTGAAAACGCCTATGATGGTGATCAAGATGATGCTCTGCATGCGATCGATCGAATAGTCGATGGCTGGGATGAAGAAAATGAAGAAGATGGTAAGTAAATGATTACCTGCGCTTCTCGTTTGCTGTGAAATTACGTTGACTAACACCTAATAAAAGCATCAACTCCCGTCCAAAGTCGTAGAGCCACGGTGATAAGCAGGGTTGATGAACCGCGTTATCTTGCGGCAGCAATTCGTGATGAAAGTCCCCTCACTCCAACAAGGTCACAGTTCGGTCCAGCAGCAAGGGGGTTCATGAAAGGCCGTGATGTATCAACGCCATCAACTCCTATCGATGCATTCATGTCATCACTCTCGCGGCCATCGTCGTCCAGACCGCCATCGAGTTTGAAAGCAGACGACACCAGGTTATTGGAACAAGTTTTCGAAAGTTTAGGGAAAGTCTGCACCGAATTACAAGAACTCACCCTCGCGGCCCCTTCTTCTGACATTGACATTGGCGATGGGAGTAGCAGCGGTAGCGGCAGTGGTAATACACCAACCGCCGATCCAAAATATATTCGCACGTTGCGCAGGAGACTTGATGCTGCTCGACGTGTACTTGATGGCCAACTTGATTCGGATGCTTAGATGATACACCAAATTCGTTCTGGGTTTTCTTCGCTTCACTTACTCTGTCCGAATTATGTTGTGACTTGTAACTTTTTTGATTTGATTGAACCTTGTCCCCCTTCATGTTTGGTAACGATACCCTTTCTTATTCTCCTTTGCCGTATACCATTTACACTTTTGTTGTTTGTTCCTTGCACCCCTTTTGTTCGTGATATACCCTTTCTTGTTCTTTTGCCAAGCTCAACCTCGAGATATGTCTTTTCTAGACCGTATAGATCCGGTTGATGGACAGTTGACTATAAAATTCAGGACGGGTTCTAGATGTGATATCACTTGATGGTATTATATCATGGGAGACAATTAGATGTTACTTACATCTGCATGTGTCCAAAAGTTATACCAAGGTGGTTATCCTGTTGTGGATAAAGGTTGCGTCATGCAGCCTAGGTAGAAACGTCACTTCCATATGAGTCTCTATAAGTATAATATGTATATAAACACTCATTGAAAAGATCTGTAGACTAGTAATAACATATTTTGATACAATTCATATACGAACGATATAAAGCAGAATGATACCGAAAACAGCATCCCGCTCCCCCTCCATTGCCTCTTCTCTAGCCGACTTTCTCAACACCCATTCAGACCTGCATCTCGGCGGCGAAGGGGACTTCCACCAGGAGCGTAGACACCATTTAGAAGTCCTTGGATTCCATGCTTTGCCAGATGACATGAAGGCGCCGATTGGACAGGTGGAGTATACGGCCGTGAAAGGGCCGCATGGGACGATTCCAATTCGCTTGTTCCACCCAAAAGCCAAAGCTTCCATAGACGGGGGCCAAGCAGCCGCGCTGGTGTATATGCATGGAGGAGGCTACACAGTTGGCTCGGTAGATGAGTTTGAGAATGGATTGAGGTTGGTTGCTGAAGCGGCGGGTGTGAAGGCATGTCAATTCAATCGATATGTACACTATAAGGAAGAAAAAAAAGAACTAACAGACAGCCAGACCATCGGCGTTGACTACCGCCTCGCCCCTGAACATCACTTCCCAACACAACTAGACGAATACTCAGCCGTAATCGACTGGGCGCAGGGTCCCGAGGGTCAACGCCGCGGAATCAACCCCGATCTCGTCTACGGAGGCGGCGATTCCGCCGGGGGCAACATGACCGCCGCACTCGCTCTGCGCCGTCAGGACCAAGGACTCAAGAACATGGCTGGCCAGATCCTTTTGTATCCCGAGGCCAGGATACCATTCGACACGCCGGCGGCCGAGGAGAACAACACCGGCGGGAGTCTGTATCTGGTATGCAATGGGATTTTTAGCTTTGCGGATCATTATCTGCCCAAATCGCCGCGCGACAAAACATACCCGCCGAGTCACCGGTATGTGAGTCCCGGTATGCAAAAAGTGGAGGACTTGCAGAAAGATCTCCCTCCTGTCGCGCTCTTTACGTGCGGATGGGACCCGCTGCGAGATGTCGGGGTTGAGTACGGGAGCAAGCTACAGGAGGCAGGCGTGCGTGTTAAGTGGCACCATTATGAGGATTTGACGCATGGCTTCTTGCAGTTTGCGCCGTGGTCCAGAGAGTGCATGGAGGCTACGATGGATGTGGCGAGGGAGTTGAAGAGGTTGGCTTATGGTTCGCGGTTTCAATAGCTGAACAGAAGAGATGTGAGAGTTCCATCCATGTCCTTCAAATAAGTGTACTTGGGGAGAGTACCATTGTACATACCACGAGTCAGTTCCTGTCCAACTTGGTATCCTTTCGGACTTATTTAAAAAGATCATTATCTAAAGAAGTACGTGAGACAAAAAGAAAATGGTATAAATTGGAATTAATACACGGACAATAATCAAGAAGAACAAGAAGAACAAGAAAAGAAAGACGGCCACCACAGACCACGCTCGTTAATAAAACAGACCGGATAAGTAGACGTACACTCAGTAGACATAACATTAGTTACCGAGTGTTTCATAAGAAGACATTGACCAGAACATGGCAGTTTCGAGGATAGAGGAAAGAATGCTAGAAGAGCCTTCTTAAGCCGGTGGTGGAGGTAACAGAACTTTAGCCGCAAGCTTCAAATCCAAAGATCGTGAGTCAGTGGGATCGAATTGGGCGTGTTGGCGTTGTTCTAAGAACATGGCTATTAAGGGGAAAATAGGGTTCATTAGTTTTTGCAGGAGAGCAAAAGAAAAATTGAGCTGTACATTGTAAACTTACGTTGAAGTTGGATTTCTTCAAACCAATGGATAGCATTGGGATCACTGTTTTCAGCAGCTTTAAGTAAACCGGTTTCTGAACTGACAACGGTCTTTGGAGGCAGTCCTCGCATCCGAAGAAGCATATGGAGAATCTCAGAGAACTTGTCGCCTTGATTGGCATAGTATTGTGGACGCCTATCGAGAGGCCACTGTTAAAAATCATAGTATTAGTATATGCATATTTGAAAATCGGACAATTGTAATCGGAGATAGACTTACGCGTCCCATGAATTCCTCATTCTCCCAACTGGTAAATAACCAGCAAGCACGCTCCACACAGTTGAGAAGAATTACCGATACCAAAAATGTTTCGAACCAGCCGCTGGAGTGGCGTTGTAGAAGTCGACGCTCGAGTTCGTTCATCACACTCTTACTTAACACGCTGGCGCGCTTCTCAACACCAGCACGAAGCTGGCTGGATATGAGATTATAAGACTCGGTATTGCTGTTGCGATCAATCGGCACGCGGCTCACATCGGTTGGCGTAGCTAATGTGTCCACATTGGTTGGTGGTAAGAGCTGATGCACGAATAATTTCCATTGCAACTCTGAATCCACTAAGACATGGGTTGCAAGCCATAGCTCCACAACGCGTTCGAGGAGAGTATCCTATATGTTGGTTAGATAATTGAGCATTGAATGGCACAATTTTTCTTTGACTTGCCTTTTTCTCCTCGGCTAGATGAGCTGCTAGCGTTAGGGTTGATTTTATGACCGGCGAAGGTTCGTTTTCAATGAAAGTTGACTGCAACTTTTTGATATAGACCTCGCATTTTCCCAGGATGTCATCTGCATCGCTATCAAGCATGTACAAGTCATGAGTAGACCCCTGAAAGTGACCATCCTCAACCAAAGCCTGTAGCTGAGGATCAATGGGTGATAAGCTAGCTTTCTGACTAATAAGAGTACCAAAAGTCACATAAAATGGGGCGTTGTCAAAATGTGTAGCTTCCACACGACCAACATAGATCTCAAATTTTGTTTGTGCTTGCATTGCATTAACGTCATGGAAGGCGAGTGTGGTGTGAAGGCCTTGTAGACGTGTTAGTCTAGAAGCAATTCGTATTACGTGAGGGTAATGATCATAGTCCTACCAGCTCCATATAGTTCACATTCTTCAAAAAGGCGTGTTCTAATGCATGGTTGTTTCCACAAGCGGGCACTCTCAACAGATGCACATGTGCTGCACGGAGAATCTCCAGAGCACTAAAAGAATATTTTTAGTTAGAAATAGAACAAATAAAGAAAGAGAGAACATGTTAGGTTTTATCTTACAGGCTTCTTAAGCATGCGGCAGCGAATGCATGCACCTCTCTTGCGTACTTCCTGAACCTCCTTTCTACGGTCTGCAGTGAACCTTCCACGAACTTTGGGTTTTGTAGGCTTGGATGATCCAAAATCATTGACAAACCCCTTGGTAGGAGGAGTATTGGGGTTCATTGCAATTGGACGAGGGTAGGATGCAGCCCGTTGAGTCGCTGTCAGGGAGGGGTCATGACCCTGCAAGCTATCTAGGAGGAACTGATCAGTGCTAGACAATTGCTGTTCCACCCATCCTGTCCCAACACGTGGAAGACCATCTGCTAGCTCACTGTCCATGGCGAGACTTTGCGAAGCCATTTCACTGGCAGACGCCGCAATCATTGATAGCTGCGATGAAGACTGGCGTCCACTACCAGTTGCATCAGCCGAAAGAGTATCGTTATTTTGCAATGAAGGCGATGCAGATGGGCCGCGCTCTCCAGAACCATCAAGTGAGGCAGCAGCAGCAGCAACTACACATCAAATTCGTTTAGTTGGCCAATGTAATGTAGACTAGACACAACAAACTATATTACAGACGGACTTACCACCAGCGAGCATCATCTCGTTGTTACCATCTTCTTGTGTTTGAGTTTGAAATGCTTCGGCCTCAAGCGCGGGATCAATCATGATAGTCTTGCCGCCAACAGTCATCGGTTGGGTGAAGCGAATGGCGCGGCGCTTTGTCTGGTCAGATGCGCCAACCCGTCTCGATGCCTCGGCCAACACATTAAGGCCATCGAAGGCTGGCCGCGTCGAGTACGGTAGATTGGAATCTTTCCCCTGTTGCTGGAGTTTGGCTAGCACGGCCGCTTTGTTTGGGTCCGAGTCGTCAAGAGCGGGGAGGTCGTGGATACGCATGACAATTGACTGACGAGCCGCCATGGAAAGCGCCTGACACTTCTTCACCAAGTGAGTCGTAAGGCTATCAATGCGACCCTTCGGAAACTTTTCACCGCAAGCTTTGCAAGTATGTTGATACCGATTGCTCGCGTCTTCGAGCTTGGGACCGCGCGTGAAATACTCGAGAATTAACTGGTTCGGTTTGCGACCCATTGTTGCGAGGCAACTCGACTAACTGTGCGAGGATGGGTTACCGATCAGGCAGGACGTAGGCAAGAGAAAAAACGAAACTGCACATACAGTAGCTGTACGACGTCAACCGGAAGGCACCTGTGATAGGGCAGTAGGACGCGTAATATGCCGTGAATTGAGGGGCTCGTGACGAATATATGGATATAAACAGCAGCACAGATAAAGAACGCGAGGTGAGTAAGTGGCTCAGTGACAAGAACTTGACGCGGTGGCGAATGACAACGGTGGACGGACGACACACGAGGGGGTGTCGTCGGGACAAAGAAGACGAACAGGGCAGCTCAGGGAGCTCTTCCAGGAGGGACAATGGCCGTCGAAGAAGGCGACTTTTCGTCGAGATGAATGCAGGCTTCACGAGCGAACAGTGAATATTTTGACGGGCAGATCGAGGGTGGAAAAAGCAAAAGCAACGGCAAAAGCGAGGGCGGTCTGGCGCAAAGTCAAGCAGATTGCTTAGTCAGGCACGTTCCGCCTCGCGCTGACTGGCTGGCCGCCTTCCCTGCCGGGACTTGCCGGCTCTCACCGCAAAGGCAGGCGCGAGGCGGTGATTGCCGTGCGGGCACCGCCTTCGCTTTGGGGATAACGTGTGCATCTCCAGGTTCCTATCCTATTCTATATTCTATCCTATGCTGTCCGAGCCTACCATTCCATCCGCGCTGCTCTTGGAGCGCCGCCCGCTCACCGCTTCGAGCCCATGGGCCTGAGGTCATTGGTCGTGCAGCTGCAACGCCGCGCATACTCGCTGACCGACGACGATTGAGGCTTGGGGCGGCACGACCATGATACCTACGCCCAATCATGCTGGAAACCGCTATGTCAGTCACGAGAGGAACGGAGCAAAGTCGCCCGTCTACGTGTTATACACGGTATTTATCACTCATGCCCCACGCCAGGTTTCAGTGCTCGAGCGCATGCCCAGGCAAAATGAATCGTCTCCAGAGAGAAGCCTGCGAGTTTCTGCGCTTCCAAGGGCTCTCTGCATATGTGCATCATATGTGTCCGGTCAGATGATTGCATCTAAAAGGGCGCGGGCAAGGCTTTCGTGAGATCCGGAACGGTTCATATAGAAAGAAAGAATAGTGTAAGAATGGAAGCAAAGCTCAAGTTCCATTGGTTCAGCTCCTCAACTCCTCATTTAGATATGCAGACATTATTATATACACACGTAAGAGAACTGAATGACCTAGCAGATACGATGTTCTGGTGGACGCCACGGCACACCGAGGATTTCCAAGATGTGCTTTTCATCTTGCCCTTCGAGAAGACTACCCTCGGTGACCTTGACCTGGCCTGCACCGCGGAGAACATCTTTGTACAAACCCCGCTGGTTTAAACGCATCCCCTTCTTTCTCGCCAATAACCGCAAACTCCGGTTAAAAATGTCATTGCCAGTGAAGTACAGCAAGGCTGCACCAATCTCGCTTCCTGGCACAAACAAAAGGTCGATTCGACGCCAAATTTCGGTGTCGGGCAGAGCCGAAGCTCCATGCCATTTGGAGCCGTCACCGCGCGAAGTTGCAGCCAGGCTGACTTTAAGAAACCCCTTTTGAGTAAGTGTGGGTACAACGTTCTCTATCATAAGATCTCGTATGTATTCTAGGGTGCCGGTGTTCTTGGTGATTAAGACATCAATATCACCACAGTCTGCAGCGCCGCGACGATAAGAGCCTGCTACTATGACTTCCATATCTGGATCTATCGCTTGGACTGCAGCCCGAACGATGTTCGCATGCACCGCTACTTCTGCTCGCGGAATGCGCTGTTGGAAGTCATGGTACCGTTCTACTCCGATTTTCTGGTTTGCGGTCAATTCGGCCATTGTCTTCAGGTCTTCTAGAGATCTGTAACCCTTAGCGACCCATTTTGACGCTTGCGCAAATCCTGCGCCATAGACGCCAATGAAGAGCTGTAAGGATCTGTCCTCAGGAGTCGAGTTGATATTTTCCAATCGGCGCAGGCGGTCAGTGGAAACAATTTCCTCGATCTTGTCTGCAAGTCGCTGCCCAATGCCACGAATGCCCAGAGCCTGTGCTTTCGTGCAGATTTGGGTATCTTGTTGTTTCAATGCCGTAATCGCCTTTCGATATGCCATCGTACGCCAGTTATCAGCAGTTCTATCATAGTAGTCTGCCATTTTCTGCAGTGTCTCTATGGTTCTAGCGTTAGGATTGCTGCTTATGGAAGTCCCATCGTGTTTCTGCATGCAAGTGAAGCTTTTCTGCCATTCGTGAACCTTATCGTCCGATTTATTCTCAGGGCCATCCGAAACCCCTGCACTTGGACCGACTTCAATTGCCGAGTCGAGCGCCACTTCGTAGTCAGGTTCATCTAGGGGCTTTGAGCCGTTAGTTTGGATGTCCACGAGTTGGAATATCGTCCAATCTTACCAAGTCACTAGCCGCTTTGACTTTTTGAATCAGCACATCCAAAATATCAGGCTTTTGTTGTTCCGATCGACGGAATCCATCTTCTTGCTGGACGGTTGTTGATGCTAAGTTGCTTGTCAGGGTATCTTCTTTCTGACTGGGCGTCAAAGCGCGCTTGTCCCGTCGCCTATATCCTTTGATCGGCAGGGAGCCGTCTGACGTTGTTTTGGATTCAACTGGAGCAGCTCCGCTGGCTGATGTTGCTGGATTGCCATCTACCCTAAACCGGAGTTGGGTAACGCGAAGAATTGTGCCAAATCCGATGCAGTCAGAGATATAATGTTGATTAACAAGGGTTACGCCGCCCTGTAATTTGCTCAGTGAATTCGGTCGAGAACGGTGATTCTTTGGATGATACTTACAGAAAGCTGGTCAGGCGTGAGTACTTTGAGAACTTCCTTATAATCAAGTCCTCTGTCTACAATCACATGAGTGATATTCGCGGACCATGCCTGAGCCCACGATGCTCCGTACTCCTGCGACCTTTGGATTCGCAGCTTCCGATCCGGAGCGATGCTATTGTTAGGTATGAAGAAGAATGTCAACCCTTTGAAAATCTGATTCGATTCCGGGACACTCTGCAACGACATCGCTCGCCGTTTCTTACAAGCCTTGGGTCGTCCAGACGGGGCAGCTTCTGCTGGTCTCTTTGTCGTGCTCTCATTATGCTTTTCAAGCAGGTTGTTAACACCGGTGGAGGAGTGTATCGTCATGGTGTCATTCGCGCTGGCCTCTGAAACTGAGGAGGGATGTGCTAGCTTCGAAGTCCCGCTCAGCTTAGAAATAGGCGCCCTGTCAAGAGAGTCTCTGACAAAGGGAGTCCCAGCAAGAGCGGGCCTATGCTGTCCATCGTCGCTGACATAGTCCAGGCTATCTAGGTCCCGGAAAAAGGCGCTCTTATTTAAAGTCATGATCTCTGTCCCTCGGCTGCGCACACGAGGCAGCTCCTGCAGGCTGTAGCAGGAGCCATATGAAGATGCTGCCTAGATCTTTCCCATGCGGAATGCATTTTCATTGGTAGCAAGGAGTGGTACGAGTGTAATTTCCATTTGGTACTCCTGCCTCAGGCTCTTTATTCGGCATTCGTAGTGGGGCCAGTAAAACGGCATGCGATTGGTTGAAGTACTCCATATGCACGTACTACACCTCCGTCCAATCAGAGACCGCCCGTGCGCAGGCCGCAATAGCCAAATTTCCAACGCTGTATACACTACGATTGATAGCTGGCTACCAGGCAACCACTGCGCCAGCAAGTCTAGACAGAATGCTCGCTTTTGAATCGCGTCTCTCCGCCATCCTCCGAGACTACCGCTGCATTCGGTGTCAAACCCAGGCGGCATGGATCTCCGTGCGGAACAAGAGCACGACACCCAGTTCGCAACCGCCTGCGAACAATAAGCAGGAGGATGTACAGCCTGTTGAACTTGACCGCCCAATTGGCATGCCCTATCCTCCATTGCCAGGGCAGAATACGGGAATTGACAGTCGGTCATTGAGAGAACGCCGTGACGATTTCGTGGACTACCAAAAACATCTCCAGCGACGGAAGGAACTGTAAGCGCTCGACCCTGTGTTGAGGGTACCACATTCCTTTGCCAATCACTGTTTGTTATTGACTAATTACCTTCTCACTATCGCGACAGAACGAGACAAGTTGCGAAACCGTATTTTAGAGAGTGGTCGAATCTGCGATACAACGAAGGCAAAACGTTCAAGTCGAATCCACGAATCTTTAAACAAGACAAATCCCTATTTTTCCCAAACCTCTACGGCACAACGCTAGCATCGCCATCCAAACCAAAAGATACAACCGATGTGCTGAAAGGGAAAGTCTCGGTTGTGAACCTCTTCTCGAGTCTATGGGCAGAGCAACAAGTGGCCACATTCACAAACCCAAAACAAAACCCAGAGCTGCATAAGACACTCGCGGCCGAGTCGTCAACAGCCCAAAGGGTAGATATCAACCTGGAGGAAAACGCAATGAAGGCATGGCTGGTCAAACTGTTTATGGGAAGCATGCGCCGAAAACTGCCCGTAGAGCAACATGAAAGATATTTCCTCGTTCAAAAGGGCATGACGGAGACGATTAAACTATCTATCGGAATGCTGAACACAAAGGTTGGATACGTATATCTTGTTGATGAGTTTGGCCATATCCGTTGGGCTGGCAGTGGATCTGCAGAACCGGGAGAGAAGGAATCTCTGAATGCGGGGCTTTTGAGACTGATTGACGAGAGGAAGAGACGCTCAAGCGGAGAGGATAAATCAGTTCCGTCAAAACCAAGGGTAGTCTCAACGCCTAGGCTGGCGTGAAGCGATACTGCATAAACGATCTCTCATGTGCTAATCAAAAGTGGCTGGCATTTGATGAGACACGACTGACATTCAGTGCCTGTTAACAAATATTGAAACCCACTTGAAGCGAATGGAGCTTGACAAGTGCCGAAACATGTAATTATGTACAATAGACATCTCGCATGGTGAACAAACAAAAAGTTTAGGAAGGTAAACGCCGAATTCATGCGAAGCGATTATATATCTGTATCTCCAAATAGCAAGTATGTTGACGACGAAGGAAAAAGTAAACATCCTTCCCGCATGAAGACAGAAAGAAGCTTGAGAGCCAGCTCAAGAGGCAGCAGAAGGAAATATTTATCCGAAAAACAACAAGACCACGAAACAAAAGCCAATAAAACAGCCAAGGATTATAGCATCGCGTCTCCGTTTGGCACCAATTTTGCCGATCAATGAGTTCACACCAGGAATCTGTCCAGCAGCACCAACAATACGACGATTAATATTCGCGAGGGTTTCACGTTGCATGCCAAAGCTTTCATTGACGGCATATGCCTGAGACAAAACTCTATCCATCATATTATGGCTGCTATCGATGCGTCCGCGTTCCTCAAGCATGTATTCGGCTTCTGCTGCATGCGGATTGGAGGATCGGTAGGCATCGATGTCGGAGCGTACGTTTGACAGAAGATTCGCACGATCACGGGCCTCGGAGATACTCGATGAAAGACGATTTAATTCTCGACGGTGTTCCGATAGTACCTCGCGATGTCGGGCTAGATTGTTTTGTTTCAGAGCTGAGGATGTAAGAGTGGCTTCTGAATCCAGAAGTCGGGTAAGTTGGCCGATGAGGGATTCACGCTGTCTGAAGATTAATACATGTTTCGCAATCTAACATATTCTGACAGTCCTGGTTTTAATGACAGTACCTTTTCAAGAAGGGTCTGGATTTGTCCTTCCACGCGCTCCTCTTCTTCTGACGGCTTCGGGGGCAACTGTGACATGGATGCATATTGAGAGTATGTGTGGAAAAGAGATTCGGTCTATGGAGTAGCAGGTTAGCAATCCGATTCAAAAGTTCTGAAAGCAATAATGGAACCCTCTTACTTGAGTCTCAAAAGACCGAGCCTGCTGTCGCAGCTGAGCCCATCCTCCGCCAGTCGATGTGGCCATGTTGTGACAGTATAGTATGCAGTATAGGGTGTAATGTTCTTCGGCTCAACGAAACATGGGTATCACTGAACAATGGCAAGCGTAAACTCGAATACCTCTTTTCATCGATGCAGCCGCATTAGTTCGCGATTAGTTGGTTATCGAATGAATGAATGAATGTGAATATGGGGTAAACAGGGCCAGCTAGCTTGACGTTGCAGAACTAAGCAAGCGCTCACCAGCCACATGAGCTATCACGTGACCTACCCGCAGCAAGAAGAGGCGAGAGCCAAGCCCGCTTCCTGAAACGGGCTAGTGCAATATGGTCTACACTCGCGAAAAACCCTAGTCCCACAACATCCCAAAATTGCCATATCTTCAATCTTCCAACTCGACAAACTAACGACAACGACTCGAAGCCGCCAAAATGGTATGTTCCAACGCCCGCGATGAACGGCAAATTTTTGCGCTCGCCGTAAGATATTTACTGAATATACTAATACCTTTTTCTTCTCTCTGCAGTCGAGCGCCAAGGTCAAGACAAGCCAGCTCTGGGGAAAGAGCAAGGATGATCTCACCAAGCAGCTCGATGAGTTGAAGACTGAGCTTGGCCAGCTTCGCGTCCAGAAGATCTCCCAGGGTGCTTCTTCGAAGCTCAACAGAATGTACGTTCCATTTTTTCCCTATCTCGTGTCGATCCCACTTTGTCTATCCGATGATATGCAATGTCGAAGAAGAACGAATCCGAAGGGAAAACGGATCAAAAGATGAAAGAAATATATGCATTAGATCAGTGGCAGGCTTTATGGAACTATCGAAACAACTTGAACTTGCGATGTCTGAGACAGTCAACACCATTCAACAAAATCCTCGGCTTGCATACAGAGGATAGACTAAGGCGAAAACACGAAACAAAAAGGAAGAGGGACAACAGAAAGCTGACTGAAGGAATTTTGAAACAGCCACGATCTTCGCAAGTCCATTGCCCGCATCCTGACCGTCATCAAGGCCAACCAACGCGCTCAGTTGCGTCTCTTCTACAAGGGCAAGAAGTACCTCCCTCTCGACCTCCGATCAAAGCAGACTCGTGCCATCCGCCGACGACTCACCAAGCACGAGGCTACCCTTATCACAGAGAAGCAGCGCAAGAAGAACATCCACTTCCCCCAGAGGAAGTTTGCTGTTAAGGTAAAACATCATCTCTTCATGATCTAGTTTATCGAGCAAAACCAAAAGAAGAGAAGAAAAATTGAAGAAGACCAGGTGCTAACTATCATTTGGTATCAGGCTTAAATGAAAATATGACTTGTGTGTACGTGCGTTTCTGATAAAGGAGGTGGTGCATGAAAAGGATCATACCATGATATTTATGTATGGTTCAGGATATGCAGAGCCAACGAAAAATAAAATGAAAGGAAATGGAAATAAAACAATTCCTATTAATAATGAAATAAAAACAAACTCATTATCAATCAACCTTTTTATTTTATTTGTCACATGTCTCTCTCTGTGTCCACAAGCCGGGTTGTGCTCTTTTCGCTTTTTTTTCTTAACGGTTACGTCTTTTTTTATTCTGCGCAATGAAATGGGTCGATCATAAATGGGTGAAATGGGCAATTCTTTTTCTTTTTTTTTCATTACGATATGTATCTCTTCTTACCAAAAGTCAAAAGGAAATGAAAAATTCTTTTTTGAAACCAATTAATCCATTTATAAGCTTCTACGTAGCGAGTTGAGAGTACGTCAGGTCATATTTCAGGTAGATATATGTACAAATTCCAGAAATAGCCGGAAATAAAATCAGGTTATGCACCCATCACATCATGCGACTAGATAATGACTACCTATCTACCCATCAAGTCGAGAGGTTGCTACAGGCGGCCCAGTCTCGAACGTCCACATCCCACCGCAAAGACAGTTACGAATAATCTGCAGTCGGAAAGTCAAGCTGAAATATAACGGGGATCGTGGTGATGTGAGATCACCTGAAATCTCACAGCAACGCACACATCGTCTTCGAGATAGGGAACCTGGAGTGACCTCGTTGCTCAAAAGTTGTGATGTCATATATGGTTCGATAACCTGATTCTCATCTTTGCTGTTATTGTTATTGTTATTGTTGTTGACGGTGCTGTTATTGTTCACGCTAAATCCTCGCAAACGTATTTTCTTCAACACGTCAACCTGTCGACTTCGCCGATAGTATTCCGTTCGGCGATCATTGCACACACCCAGCCAACTATAGTCAATGAAGTAGATGGTCATCTGATCAATTTCGGACTGAATGGCTGGGATTGTCTGTTTGAATAAGGTGTTAACGACGGGAATCAAGACGGCGGGTATGCGAGAATTGACTAGAAGGTCTTTTTCTGGAGTCCGGCGTTCGTTGTCCCCAAATCCGGCTCCCTGGTAGGCTTGTTTGACAGCTAACTCTAGTCCGCTCAGAAATTTCTCATAGAGAGGGAATCGGACCGGCGCCTTATCGATCAATGCACATAGTTCTCTGCTGTATGTGCGACCGTCTCCCGAGAACGGATATGACGTGCTACTAGTATGTACACTTCGTAGCCCTCGACAGATCAATTGAAGAAAGGACCGTGACATACTCGCTAGGACTAGAGTGAGAGGCAACGATGATGTTGATTTGACTTTTTGATCCTATCATTAGCAAATATAAATCTTCAGTACAGTTAAGTCAGCGCTCACCTTTCTGGGAGAATGCTTCCTGGTCGTCAATCACAGATTCAAATTCTTTGGCAAGCGCAAATAGATCATCTAGGATGTATTGCGTGAAATCCAAGGCCCATTTTGTGTTTCCTTGTACCATTCGCAAGAAATCTGTAACCAAGAATTAACATGGCGCGCGAGTGATTGATAGATACTTAGATACATACCGCGGTCTGGCGATTCACTCTCTTTGGGTGCCTTGCTGTACTGAAAGAAAAAGGCAAAGAGAAGGGAGGCATGCCGTAAATGAAGAATCGACCAAGATACAGACGACGGCAAGCTGCGAGGGGTGAAGTAGTTTTGAAAGCCGAGGGCTGCTTGCATACTTAAGCAACGAGGAATATACGGATGCTGCATAGACTTGTCTTGTTCAATGGAGAAGTTGCAGTTGATAGGTAGAGCACGATACACCTCATTGATGAAAACATTCCGTGCATCTAAAAAATGTCTCGCTTAGTTCATGTCACGCTTTTTTCTTCCAGTCATGGAACCAAAAAAAAAAAAAAATCTCCCCAAAAGGACTCACCAGCAGATAATTGACGAAGTATTATTACCAGTAAGTCATCCGTATTAAATTCACTAGCGCAGCCTCGACAGAATGCTAGCGCTAATGATGCGATACCAGCAGAATTTTTGCCTTGTAGACTCAATTAGTTCCTGTTACGACAAACATGATCGAAGGCCTAGGTATAGATAAGAGATAAAACATACTGTCATGTGAATCGTTCCCCGACTCAAAGGGATACTCAGCAAACCGAAGCTGCGCCTGCGATTCTGCATCTAGATTTACCGCAAGAGAGCCATTGGGCGAGAAGCAAACATTTAGACCTGGCGCATCAAGAGGAAAACGGAAGCCAGCTTGAGCCATGCTAGTCACAGTATTGACATCGTGGGCTTCACTCAGGGTGGACATGGTTTTAGGGTCAAAGAGAGAAACTGAGCTATCGTCATGCGTTATGGCAAGGACATTTCCAAACTCAACATAGTCGATGGAAACCACGTATTTAGCAAAATAAATATCTTCCAATCGTCGCAGCTCTAATTTTGTCTAGTTATCGTTAGCATCCACATAGTTGGCCTGGTGCGTATGAGTGAGTATAAGTGAGGAGGCTCTTTACTTTGTGTTGGCCATTGGTTTTCTTGGCTATTAATTCCTCGAATACCGGATGCAGGTTTAATGCCGAGGATTCCAGCTGCCACCTCACCATGACGGATGAGGGTGGTTCCTGATTCTGGGGGTTGTGAACGGCACCGTGCAACGGGCTTGAGTAGATTGCTAGTATCCATGGTGCCGATGGTGCAATTCCGGTATTGTCAGAATTCCCGGAAACGAGTTCAAGACCTGTGAGTTGATAGAGAGAGCTCTGGGTGGTGGTTAAATTTTCCAAGTCGTCGCCTTGGTCTTTATTAGAGCTAAACATTCTACCGGGGATTTCAGTCTTGTAGTGATTAGTGCGGATGGTAGGGACCGGAAAGTTCAAAGCACCAGAGGCCTGCCTCTGCTGTGCCTGATCCCATTGTGCTGGGTTCCACGTAATCTGCATTCGATATAGACTGATCTTCTCCGAGAGCGAGTGGGTGGCGACAATAACGCCGTCTAGACAAGCCAGGTTAGTCTCCAGAGGGGAAAAAAAAAGAATAACATCAATAGAAATGCCTACTTGGGGAGGGTAGTAGTGCGGCATGTGTGAGCACGCGATCAGAGTGATTGGTCGTCTTCAGTTCTGCCGAAATCTCGGTCCATCTATTGTCGGGGTTTTGGTAAAGTAATCGGACTACTCCAACCCTGGTAATGGCAATGAGCGCCGCTTTGTTGGCTGGATGGAAGGGTCCGATGGGCTTGCGTCGAAAGGGTGAATAATTCCATCTCTCGTTTAACTTGGCTGCTTGGTGAAAAGCGTGCAACTTTGTGTCGTTGAGTTAGCCACCTACCAAAGAACAGCCGTCCTGGGTCAAGGCATAGGGGTCTCACAGCACGATTCGCATTCATCCACATCATCCCAACAACTTGAGCACCATCTTCAGGCTGATCGAGCATGGGTTGGCGGTTGACGGCGATATTATTCAAAGTCGTAGAGATGGAGAAGACGGAGATTCGCCCCGATACATCGAGGACTGCCAAGTCGTTGCCCATCTCATTCCAGCACAGATGAGCCAGCTGTTGACCCACGTGAAGTTGGGCAATTTGACTCTGCGGATGCTCGTCACCCAGCGTCCACTTCCCATCGGCTGGTTTACATACAAGATGGCGAACCATCACTTGCAAGCCATCTTGCGAGATGTATGCAATGCAACCCAATTTCGACCAAGCAATCTTCCTATCGTTCTATCAGTAACAGCAAACAAATAATATGCGCGAAGCATAGATTAGCACAATTCAACGCACTTGCAGCAGCCCCACAGGCGCATTTCATCGAGGCGCTGAGCTAAGCCTTTGGCCGGCTGTGACGCTGTTAGTCCCAGATCCAGTGAGTTAGGATCTCCGAAGAGATCATCCACGTCCAGGCTCTCCTCCATGATTAAAGGCATGACAAGCGAAGTTCGATATTTGAATAACAATTGTTTGAACAGCCAAAACAAAGAGGCTAAGCTAGCATTAAGATTGGGGCAGTCATCTGTCCGGAAGCCGCGTACACCAGGCCAGCAGGCTAAGCTTGTGGTTGAGTAAGCGCGGCTACTGTCTGTCTGTCTGTCTGTCTGTCTGGGGATCACGCGTTATGCATCACAAGAGGCAGGGTGGCCGGCGCCCAGCAAGGCAAATACACAGACGTCAATCTATGAGGCAAACCGCACCATGCGTACAGCGACAGCAGCTCGGAAGAGGTTGAACGTCGAGCGTCGTCTGGACGCTATTCCCGAATGAGCAGCGCCGCCAATCCTAAATGGCGCAGGCTGCCGCATCACGTGATACGGGTGACGGCGGTATCCCCGCCAACCGCCGCAAACCCACAATAATAACGCCCGGCTCGCTACCAACACTGTGCTTGCTATAGCATCAAGTCGCTGGCGGGCTTGTGTTTCCGATATTGGCAGGATCAATCAATGGCTGAAAGCTTCATGCCCCCTCAGTGCCGACATCACTCCGTATGGTTATCCTACGTGCGTACATAGAGATGCATGCAAACCACACTAACCATGCACCCAGCGGCAAGCTGTGGAAACCAGCAAGATTCCTGGCTGGGATTGGAGCAAGCCAAAGCCTCCAATCACACGGCGGGCATCGCATACCGGATGGCAAGCCTTCAACAAACTTACAAGCTATCACCACGGCTTAGCTCAATGTCATACATTGCATAGTCCGTAGTACTACGTGGAATTCCCCGCTAGCAAGTGTAGAGAAGAGCGAGCGGGTCAAAATAAACAAAGACGTGCATTAATTCGTCGGCTTTTCTCCCACTGCCGAACGTCGCTTTTCTTCACGCTCCTTCCTTTTTGCACACTGCTAGCCGCGCCCTCCTCCTTCCGCCGTCCACACGCCTCCTGCTGACTTCTCCTCTCCTTCCTTCCTCTCGCTCCTTCTGACACGCTCGACGTGCACGCCTCGTTTTTCTTTTTCTTCCCGACAACCTGGCCTGACTGCGTTTCCTGTCTCTTGTCATCGCCCAATGTCCTTGTGGAATTAAACAACGACACATCTACATACTTTCTTTTGCCCGCCACAGTGGAGGACGACGAGGGAACAGAAAGCAAAAACAGGAAAGGAGAAGCGTCTTCCCTACGTGGCCGACTGCCAACCATGGCCGACCCTGCCAGCCTTCCCAACCCGGCCATGGAGAATGAGTCGTCGGATTACAACTACCTGTCGGACTTGTCAGATCTCTCAGACCTGAGCTCGCCTCCTGCCTCCCCGCCGCCAGCGACGAAGTTCTATCCCTCGCCGCCGCCCACGCAGGACGAGCACCAGCAGCACCAGCAGCAGAAGCGCGCCCGAGCTTCGTCGAGCCAAGACGAGCCCGCCAAGAAACGACGCCGCGTGGGCCCACCGCCGCGTTCGACGCAACTTCTGGACTTGACCGATCCGGAAAGGCTTCCCTACGGGGACCAACGCGCGCAGATCAACCTCCTCACCAAAACCCTAAGATCCCACCGCAAGATCGTCGTGATAGCAGGCGCCGGCATTTCCACCTCCGCCGGCAGTAAGTTCTTGACCATTGCGCTTTCAATCTAGCTAGGTATCCGTTGCACATGCGGAGTCTGACTAACTCTCTACAGTCCCCGACTTTCGCTCGGCAGACGGCCTCTTCAAATCCGTTCAGAAGAAACACAACCTGAAAGCATCGGGAAAACTGCTCTTTGATGCCGCCGTCTACCGCGATGAGTCCCTCACTGCTTCTTTCCATGAAATGGTCCGGACGCTTTCCAAGGAGGCTGCCGCTTCCAACCCGACCGCCTTCCATCACATGCTAGCTAGAATGGCCCATGACAATCGGTTATCGCGTCTTTACACACAAAACATCGACTGCATCGATTCGTCACTGCCGCCTCTTTTGACTCAGGTGCCCTTGCCTCCAAAAGCTCCCTGGCCGCGCTGTATCCAGCTCCATGGCAGTCTTGACAAAATGGTTTGTCAAAAGTGTCGCCATCTTGCCGAGTTAGATAGAAACCTGTTTGATGGTCCTGAAGCCCCTGCGTGCCCTGCTTGCACTGAGACCGATGACCTGCGTACCACGATCGGTCAGCGCAGTCATGGTGTAGGCAAAATGCGCCCCCGTATCGTCTTGTACAATGAACACAACCCCGATGAGGAAGCCATTGCTGCCGTCATGAACTCGGACATTCGTTCCCGTCCCGATGCTGTGGTGGTCGTTGGAACCAGCTTAAAGATCCCCGGCGTGCGACGACTTGTCAAGAGCTTATGCAAAGTTGTCCGCAGCCGACGCAATGGTGTAGCGATGTGGATCAACAACGAGCCTCCTGTTGGCAAAGAGTTCGAAGATTGTTGGGATCTAGTTGTCAAAGGCAATTGCGAGGAAGTTGCACGGCTAGTCGGACTACAGAAGTGGGATGACAACACGCCTCAGGTCTTCGATGAATGCAATGAGCTTGATTATGAACGAGCGAAGAAGGAACAGCCTATATCCGTTGTAGTGCATCACACTCCCAAGAAATCCAGAGTCATTAATGCCGGTGTTCTTACTCCGACGTCCAACTGTGACGAGAGCGGGACAGAGCTTCCACACAAGCAGCCTAAACAACAGTTACTTGCTAATCCAGCCAGCAAGGGAAAGAGTCTGATGAATGTGCTATCTGCGAACAAGTCCAACAATACAAAGAAATCCACGAACAAGAAACCTGCCGCCAAGGCCTCCAAGAAGACGCAAGCCACCAAAGCGCAGTCAGCAAAGATTACCAATTTCAGTAAGGTCACCAAAGGTCCGAGGGCATCTGGGTTGGCGAAACAAATCAAGGTTGAAAAAGGTGATATTTCACACAAGGCCATGAAAACTGTTCCTGCAAATGTATCGCGTCCTATGTTCCCCAACCTTGTCAACAAATACTCTGAAGTCAGTAACCAATCGGAGACCATATCTCCAAAGGGCATACCGAAAGGGCTGGGAAATATTATTGATTGACCTCAATTCAGTCTGCCCTAGCTTACTATCAACATGGCGGTTCTATTCGTTTTCCTCTTTCTTACTTCGGTTTCTTCTATGAGCAGCCTTTCGAGTATCACGATCTTGATGATACCAGGATAGAATCATTTGCGGCGTTTTCAAGGATCGATACGAAATATCGGGAATTGTTTTGAGTTTCTTCGAATATTTTGATTTCCCAAGGCATCTCCTGGGGAAATGGTTAAGAGGACTTTGGTATCAGTCTCTGCATTTGTCTGCCGGTGGCTATTTGGCGTTTTGCTAAAAGGTGGTGGTATCTATGTTTATCCCTATAAGAGATCGGGCTTTATCTCTTTTTTTTTCTAACCTTCGGGCCATATCTTAAGTACACATACCTAATATTTGTGCATTTCTTACCTTCTATTTTGTTTTTATGTGCAGTGTGATATCATTCCGCTGTTCTTCATGTACAAGTAGATCCATCGATATTGAATTTAATGCCTCAGGCAAATTGCCATGGCATGGCATCACGCGTTTGGAATGGTTGGCAATCTAAGTCTAAATCGACTGGACACTTCATCTCTATATCATAATTACAACAAAAGGACAAGGAAAATTCATGATATGATTAGCAGACCATCTCATTGTTATTGATGGTTGCGTCCAATTCATGTGATAATCTCCGCCGCGCCCACAACCGCGTCAAACTTGGCACCTTCTTTCTCATCGTCTAATCCAGTCAGTCACACTTTACGACACCCCGGGCATTCGACTTCAGATAGATTAATTACTTACTGAACAGCCCAAATCTCGGTATATGGACATCCTTGCTTTCTCTACATCCAACAAATCGAGCATCCAATCGAACAGAGAAACGCGCCAGGCACACCATGCCACCGCGAAAATCGACATCTTCTCTCCCCCCCGCGGATAATGAAGCTGCTACTGCTGCTGTTGAAGGAGGAGAAGGACCTACACAAGCGACAGAACAACAGCTAAAGGCCCAGTCAGAGGGTGTTAGTGTGGAGGTATTCCCACCCTCTCGTTTCTTGTTCAACTGTGTACTGAAATGAGGGTAAAATTATATAGGACCTCCTCCTTCCACGTTCAGTGACGCAGCGTCTGGCAAAAAGCGTTTTACCGCCGAATACGACTATCCAGAAGGATGCCTTGCTGGCCATTCAAAAGGCAGCGACGGTGTTTGTCTCGTATTTGTCGTCGCAGTATGTATTAACCCACTGATGAAGAAGAGTATGAGACTAATTTGTTTTTTTTTAAAAAAAAAAATGTACAGTGCAAACGAAGCCACGCTAAAACGCACCATCGCTCCATCAGATATATTATCTGCACTATCAGAACTCGAATTTGATTCCCTCCGTCCTCGACTAGAGCGCGAATTAGATGCGCATACCGAAGCACAGGCTGATAAGAAGAGGGCAAAGGAGAAAAAGGCTGAGATGCCGTCGGATATTAACAATAATGATAATAACAACCAGAAAGACGGAGACGAGGGCGCGGCAGCAGCAGTGACGATAGGTGCCGCGGAGGTTGGCAAAAGCGGCGCTGGTGCTGGAGGCGATGATCCAAAGAAGAAAGAGAGGATAGCGACAATCAAGGGACATAAACGTGTCAAACGGGATAGTAATGGCAATGAGAGATCGGCAGATGAGACTGAGGTGGAGGAGGCTGACGAGGATGAAACGGAAGAGGAAGAGGAAGACGACGACGACGACGACGATGATAATGGAGACGAGGAAGAAGAAAATGAGGATGTTGATGAAAATGAGACTCAGTCTGCTGAAGATCTCGATCGTGTTGAGGATCTGGATGCTCGGATGGGAGGGCAGGATGATGATGATAGTGGCAGCGATGAAAATGATGATGGGCCAGCAGCACAGCTAAGATCGAATATGGGACTGGGTTAATGTCTGACTGGCTCTGATTCAAAATATTGTGCTTAATTGGTATAGAAATGCATTTATGATATGGCGAGACTTCAAACTTATTTAATCTGTCCTTCAAAAGAGAAAAAAGAAAACATTTGAGTATATCCATTATGACAAATAGAAGAAACCCCCAATGCGCCGTTGATTTGCTATCATTCAATTCCAGACCAGAGAACAGAAATTTTATTTAACTACCACCTCACTGCTCACCCTCACCGTTGCCCCATAAGCCCTCGATATTGAACTCCTTCGCCCACTCGGTAACAATCTCCTTGACATCTGCAGACGGCCCACCGGTGGCACCATCGCTGGCAGCACCAGAAGCAGAGGCAGAAGAGGTAGTAACGCCAGCAACAGGCAAGACAGGCGGTTCGAGCCAACCCTGAATTCTCCCATCACGCCAATCATTAATAACAGCCATGGCCGCACTAGGTATGTTGGGAACACCGCCTTTACCGAGTCGGCCGCGATTACGAGCCACCTGGATCAAAAAGTCGGTTGTCTTGTCTCCGCCGTTGACTGGGAAGAGCGAGGTGATGCCGTAGTTGCTGAGCATCTTTTGGAATAGTGTTTCGTTGGTGTTAGAGAGGCGTTTCAGGAGGAGATTGACGGCGGGGATTGGGTCGGTGATTTGTTTCGGGGGCACGGCGTTGAGAAGGACAAGACGCGCGTCTTCGCTTGCCTTTTCCTTTTGCTTTTTAGACGCCTTGCTCGATGTGCTACTATTGGGGAACACGATACCGGGGGAATCGATTAATTTCAGTTTGCTGTCGAGTTTGACTTCTCGCAGACTCGTTGTCACGCCGGCTTCGGCGCCGGTAGGGCACGCATTGCTGTGTCCTCGGTTGAGACGGGCTGTCAGTGCGTTGATGACCGACGATTTGCCTACGTTGGGGTAGCCAATGACGCCGACTGAGATTGCTCGTTTGAGCTGCGACGTCTGGGAATATGATTTGAGTGCTTTGAACAATGTCTCAGATGTGCCCTTGACGGTCAACTGTTTATGATCAAAGCTGTGTGCGTTCGGGGCCCCATTGGAAGCCTTGAGGGGAAGAGTTGGGAAGTATCGTCGGAGATGGATCAGCCATCCCTTCAGCACAGGCGGTGGCACCAGGTCGATCTTGTTCAGAATTAGGATCAGTCGTTTTGAGCCCCCTTCTGCCGCCATGATCTCGCGCTCGACATCTTTGGACCGCGTGCCCTCCGGATCGCGCGCATCGAGCACGTAGAGGATCACATCTGCTGCAGCTGCTACCTGTTTAAAGACCTTGTCGAATGCTCGTCGCGAGCTTTCCTTTGACGAAACCTGTGATGCGATTGTGGGTATGTCATTCTGTCCTAATGCAACTCCCCCGTCGTCTTCATCCTGATCCATGCCGTCCTCGTCTTCGCCGTCGTCATCATAATCTTCACTCATCTCATCATCCTCGTTCTCTTCTTCGTATTCGGCTGCCCTGGCTCGCGCAGAGGCCAGCAAAGCAGCCATGGGGTTCTGGTCGTCACCTCCATCTTGATCCTCGTCCATCCCATCGACGTCGACATCGTCAATGTCGATATCGCCAATGGGCTCGTCATTGTCCTCGCTATCGGCAGTCTCGATTCCAGCAGCTTTCTTCTCGGCTTTGCGACGCTCACGAGCTTCTTCGCGGACACGGAGTAACTCTTCCTGTTTGAGGCGCTTCTTCTCTTCAATCTCGGCCAGGATCTTGTCTTTAAAAGGGAAAAGATTGGGAATGCCGGGATCTTTCTTGATCTTCGAGCGCCATGTTGGGTCCTTCAGGATTCTGTCAGTATTTTAATTATTTAGACCTCGCTCATTTGGACTAATTCACCTTCTTCGCTTGCTTCCTCAGCTTCCTCTGCTTTGCCGCGCCAGCCTTTTCAATCTTGTGTCGGAGTCGGACTGGAGTCCGCTTGGACTTTTTGCCTGAGAAATATGTCAGCTGGGCCCATTGATGCACTCGGCTCGGCATAGGCCAACATACCTAGCTTCACCATTGTCCAGGTTAGCTATTACGGAGAGAATATTAATAAAAATTTGAAGGCGCCAACGCCTGTATGGTTTGTCGAACAGAACTCAAACATCGGCGAGCTTTTTTTTCCTGGGCAAATCAAAGTGTGGAGCGCCAAGATTTCGCCGCGCTAAGATAAGGAACATTCTATCGCCGGCGCCGATAAACATCAAACGTGCCACTCGTCGATTTCTAATCTCTAGAGGAAGGATTCTTGTTTCGAGCAATCAGGCACTATGACTACCACCGCCTACGGATCCTACACTGGATCTCCGCAGGTTCTCTCGTTCGACGGTCTCTTGTTTGACTTTGACGGGACGATAATTGACTCTACTGACGGTATGTAGATGTGTGAGGTCTGTGAGTAAGATATTATATATATGTGTATATATATATATATATAATGCAGGCGAGCGTGTTAGCTACTCAATGCTAACTACGATCTATGGGATTGAATAATTCTAGCAATCGTCAAGCATTGGCACGAGTTAGTATATGGACCAAATCTATAACTTCTACTAGACCTAATCTCATACAACCGGCTTATAGACTTGCAAAAGACTTGGGTGTAGATCCCGAGGTCATACTTGCTTCTTCCCATGGCAGGAGAAGTATCGATACCCTGGCTCTCTATGATAAGAGCAAGGCCAATATGGAATGTACGTTATCTACCTAGCTCTGCGTTTGCTTGACCACCAGTACTGACGACGAACGACCAGTTGTCAACCAAATCGAAGGCGCTATTCCCCAAAAGTACGGGCAAGACGCCGTCGAAATCCCCGGGGCGCGAGACCTAGTCAAAAAGCTAGTCGACTCCAACGCGCCCTGGGCAGTGGTTACATCGGGTACTCGGGCATTGGTCGAGGGCTGGCTGGAAGTTCTCAGACTGGCCCATCCCAAGTACCTGGTTGTTGCCGAGGACGTCGAGCAAGGGAAACCGAATCCGCAGTGCTATCTCCTTGGGCGCCAGAAACTCAGCAATGACATGGGGTTTCCGGCCGACTCGACGAATATGTTGGTCATTGAGGATGCTCCGTCCGGGATCAGGGCGGGTAAAGCAGCGGGATTCAAGGTGCTTGCGCTCCAGACCACGCATGCGATCCAGCAACTCACAGACGCTGGTGCGGACTGGATTGTGAAGGATCTGAAGAGTGTGGATTTCAAGTCGTGGACTCAGGGAGAGAAGGTGGAGATTGAGGTTAGAGATACACTGCAGGCTTGACTTCGAAGAGGTAGCGAAGAACCGGTTCGATGTACATACATTAGCGGGATGCCCCAGGTACATAATGATGTGATTAGAGCCTAACCTTACATCGTGCGTAACCAGGCCAGTGGTCTGTCCTCTTCCCACGTAGTACGTACTTCTGCTGAAGCAGCAGATGTGCATGAGATCGACCTCGCAGCCAGAACATTGGAAAAAGATGCGAGGCGGTCCTTTCCAAGCCTGCACGTGACGTGATGACTGCCGCCGCCCTTGCAAGGAGTATTGCCTGCGTTGGTTTGACAAAGAGAGCGATCCTTTTTTGTTCCGCCTGGCGCCTCATATGCAGCCGGCACATCAGTGGCGAATCCAGGGGTGGGAGAGCAGGCAAGAGAAAACAACCTGGTGTTTGTTGAGTCCTGACAGCCTGCGATGCGAGTTGCCGTCCTCGTTACGCCAGGGCGAGCGATGAGAGCAATGAGCTCTTTTTTCCTTTCTTCGCCTTGTCCTACAGTGTTTCTATGCCCTACTATCATCATCTGGCTGACTCGCCTTATGGAAAATTGAAAAGTTGCCTATACAGGATGTCGACCAAACACAGTCAGCGACGAGACCAAAGATTGGGACAAAACTTTCGTCTAACAAGGGGGCTTCTACCGTCTATGGCTGCTTGGCTTGGCGCCCCCCTCCAAAAAAAAAAAAAGGCTGACTGTTGCGTCCTGTGTCTTGAATCTTGATCCTCTGTAGATCTAGATCATTGAATGGGTCAAAGTCGGAGAGAAAAGACAAGGGGTGCGCTTTTTGCTCAGGGAATCCCAATTTCGAGCTTACAGGACCCGTCTGCAAGGATGCACGGTGCTTCGTTTCACGTTGGCCGTGTTGCTGCCAAGGTTTCTCAAAGAAGTGCACGGAGCGGGAAAGAAAAGAAAAAAGAGCAAAAGGGATGATCGGGTTTCTTCCCTGCTTGCTTGCTGATCCACCTGGGTGCATCGAGGCGCCGGAGTGTGCACCGTCCACCTGCACACGGAGTCAGAGAACACTCCGTACTCTGCGCTGAAGACTCAAGAGCGTCTCTCGGATGGAGTTTCGGGGTGGATATCTCTCGGTAAGGGATGCGAGTCTGGTAGATCTACTACTACGCAAGCCGAAACTCCAGTCTCACACTACTCCTAGTCCGTATGGAGCCCTGGATCCTGTCCCTTTCAAGTTTCCCAAGTTGCAACTTGTGACAGCTGGTCTATGCTTTCAAGAATGACAATGACTGGGCAGCCCCAGGCGGGTGATCTCCAAGCTAAACCCGCCGCTTGGGACGCGGAACCAAGCCCGAAGTACTCCGAACAAGCCCCGAGGACATGGGATCGATTGATTATTACGGAGTAAGCTGCCTTGCCCGTTCTGGTTGTTACTCGGAATAAGGTTCGCGTGCACACCCAGCTGCCTGGGATGGGGTTGGGCTGAAAATACGGAGTATGAAGATGAGATGGATCCACGCCCCAACGTTGGCTCTTGACTGCGGGAGGTTTGAAGCGTGATCAGCAGGATGAGTCTGGCTTGGATGACAACGTTGAACGCGGATTGGCAGACTCAAGATAGGGGACCATGTCATAAGACTCAGAAGGCGGCTATTGCACTGCGGCGATTCGTCGCTTGACAAGTTGTCACATTGCAGGAGGCGTGAGGCGTGACTTGCTAACTGATAACTAACTCACTATACAAGTTATGTTCTGTTCTCCAGATTTGCAGCCTCGGGATCTTCGATGTTGGTGGGCGCACATGGGCTTGACAAGCACACTAATTTAGTAACGTTGGGCCTTGAGACAATGACAAATAATCGATGATGTTAACCAACTAACTAGCTAGCTAGCCTGAAAGTCGACAGTAATGGCCTAGGAGGGCTAGGGCCAGGCCACAGTTAAGCGCGCGAACAGGCCTCCTGCGCAGATAATTAACACGTATCCGGTACTAGGAGTGTGAAAGTGACACTGACGGGAGATCTCCTCCTGCGTGGCAAATGTACCACTTTTTGCTGATCGACAAGGATCTGATGGACTATTGATCCTTAGCCTACGGTCTCTCTCTCAGTGAGAATTGGAAAGCATAAGGCCGGCATAAGTTTTCTTTGCTTTTTCTTTTCGGGGGGGGGATGATATTGAGGATCTGATTGGACAGGGGCCGGTGACATGGCACAAGTCACAGTTACACATCAGGCGTTCCACGGGGGATATTTCCCCAAGCAAACAAGACTAAGGGGAAGAAACCAAAGAAAAAAAAAAGAAAAAGAAAAAGAAACGGCAAACCTGTCGATTCGATTGTCACGATCAGATCTTGCTTGCTCCTCCATCCATCCTCACAGGTATTGCTCCGTACGTGTATCAGTTGTGACAGCGCCTGACTGGCGCTTGGAGCTGTGAGTGGGGCAGCGCTAATGCAGGAACGATTTAGAGCGACGAGCGGCGCCAATAAGAAGCTCCCGTATGTTACGTCCTTGTAATGTACGTACGATTCATGACTTTCCCCCATAGCTTTGGAGTAAATGTTTTGTTTTATTTATTTTTTTTATTTTACTTTATAGTTATAATTCTCCAGTCATCAGGATACATATGCAAGATATGATGTGCTGTGCGACTATCTGATACAAATTGGTTGGAACAAGCATACAACAAGTATGAATATCTCTCAAGGTAATTAATCGCCCAACTAGGCCATCGTAATGCCGAATCAGACCTCTCAAATCCGGATCTCGAAGACCTTAACCACGTAGCCGGGACCTGGTAAGAACGAACCATAGACTTACTAGGTGGCTATCTAACAAGTGGATGCCGCAAAGCACACTGTCCAAGTTCCCATCGACCCTTTTATGAAACCTGCATATGTCCTGCAGGCTACCTGCAGGATACCTGCAGAAAGGGAGGGGAGAAATCCGACTCGTGTCAGTTTATGGCTTTTTTTTTTTTTCTTTTTCTATCTGTCTGTCTGTTTTTGAACCTTCTTCTTCTTCTTTTCTATGGGCCTAGGTCACAGGAAGTAGTTGCTACTCACAGAAACAGGATTTTCTGCCTGGAAGTTCCCTACTTTGGAGGAACAGTTGGAACTTTGTATGACTGTGATGGATAACGCGCCTGATTGGCCCAGGCTTTCATGTGATTATAAAGTTTAGCCCCTTGATCACTTCCAAGTTCCAACTAACCCAGTTACATACAATACAGACACCATACAAGCAGTAGATATTGCCTAGGTATACTCCGTAGTTAGTTCGTTCCCCAAGTACATGACACAGGACAAGCCTCCTTTGTTATGTTCTTCATCATCCTTATTCCTGCTAAGCCAAATGACTAACCTTGGGCAGTGGAGATATGCCCACTTGGTGCGGCTTGACACTGAGCATAAAGCTACGTCTATAGTCAGTGGTCGGATACTCCGTAAGCGCGTATTCAAACTCAGTTGAGCTGGTATCCGTATTACGCCGCAGCCGATGGGGGTAAGCATGTAAATAAGGTAATATTACGGCGGTGCCACCTCCAGATCCATACGGAGCTTGCGCTGTCACCATTCGTCGCCGTCGCTCTTGCCTTGTCATCACTCACTCACTCACTCTCTCTCTCTCTCTCTCTCTTTTTTTCCTTCCCTCCATCCTCTTCCTCTCTCTCTCCCTCTCGCTCTCTTTCTCTCGCTCTCTTTCGTTCATTCGTCGTTCTTTCAAGTCGCTCTCTCGCAGCCGATTGTTGCTCTCTCAGTGTTCCTGTCCTGGCCTCGCCTTTCTTTGCTTTTTCCCCCCCCATTGAGATCCCGACCCTCCAGTCACTCCTTATCTTTCTTTTCTTTTTCCTGCTGCTGTTTCGGTTTTTCTGTTTCTCGACTTTGGTCCGGTCTCCCGTCATATTCCTGCTCTCGATAACTCGTGCCATATCATATCTAATACGCACATCCAGCATCTCGTTTTTTTTTTTTGGTTTTGTTTTGGCCATACTATCCTTGTTGTGCAATTGTCAGAAACAATATCGGATCTAGCGCTGCAAAAGCTCATGAGATAGAGAGACGATCTGTCTGAGCTGTCTGTCGTGCAGCCCGCTCATTTTCCTTGTCACGACAAAATATCCTACCCGCCATGAGCTTCCTACACCGTTCCGCCTACCCTTATGGCACGCATGCTGGTATACCCATGGATCATGGCCACCCCATCGCCCACCCGGCAATGGCAAACGCCATGGATGCCTATCTGTTGACCCACTCGCCCTACGAAATGACCGACTATTACGCTCACATGCCCATGATGGAGGATTACGAGGAATACGCCGAGAATCTCTCGCGCCCCCGCTTGACCAAGGAGCAAGTCGATACGCTTGAGGCTCAATTCCAGGCTCATCCTAAACCCAACAGTAATGTGAAGCGCCAATTGGCCCTTCAAACCAATCTCAGTTTGCCTCGTGTCGCGGTAAGCCTGGTTTAGCCTCACCCAGCCTTGATATTGCAGCAAGACACACTGACAGTCCGTATCTTTCTTTTGTAGAACTGGTTTCAAAACCGACGCGCCAAGGCCAAACAGCAAAGACGCCAGGAAGAATTCGAGCGTATGCAACGGGAGGCAAAGGAGAAGGATGGCCAGGCCAAAGTGAGAGACGAAGAATCGACCGATGGGCAATCTGAGCGAGGTCAGAAAAGTCCCGCTCGAAAGAATGATGGCAATAACAGCCCCAACCGGAAATCTTTGACTCCGACACAAGCTTCCAGCAACAATAATGATCGTTCCCAGAATTCAGACGCGTCGTCAGTATCTCGACACAAACATCACAAGACAGGAAGTGATATCACCCGGGAGAAAACCTTCGCTTCTTTGCAACGAGCCTTGGATGCTGCAGTTGCCGCTCGGGATCATCACACTCGGGCTACGGAAGGAAGTATCTCGGCAGGAACTGTGGATATTGGATTTGATGTACCACAGACAAATATGTCCGCTTCCAACACTCCCCAAAATTCCATAAACTCGGCTTATTCAGAATGGGGTAGCAGTCGGGATTCATCAATTGCTTGGACACCGTCGCAAAGTCCAGAAGATGGGTTTGAGTTCGGCAGTCTCAATGCGGTTCCATTTGCCTCGGAAGACCAGCTTACAGTTGCACATATGGACAACTCGCCCAGTGCAGATTTAACCGGGTCACATGGCTTTGGAGGTATGAATCCTCGCACACAACAGCTTTGGAGCGCCCAGCTGCAAGGAAGGCCAGACGTTCATTCTTCCGAATCTATGTACGGACCATTCTCGCTTCAACCGCCATCTGCCTCTTCATCAAGACGGGCTTCAGCCTGTGAGGAGCTTGCCGAAACTGTAAACGGCATCGGCATTCATAATACATCACTTTCTAGCACCATGGAGGGGCCCATGTGGCGACGGCCAGAGAAAGAACTGGACCTTGCGGCGCGCCGTAAGAGGCCCAGGCCCGCTGCCATTGGTACTGCTGCGGCGCATCATCGACTTGTAGCCGGACCGTCCGCTGTGTCACCCAACACACGGATGCCGAGTTTTGGGGCCCCTCATCATCATACCCTTAGACATGCCAAATCTTCCCATACTCTAGGCTCACGGTATGCAGGCGTCCGGAAATTTTCTGCTCCTCAACGCTCGCCTCTGGGATTTGCGAACTTTGCGGATGCTGCTAGTGGTGCATCGGAACACAAGCAAAAGCACAGGCTTCAAACCTCTGCGTCCTTGGGTAACTTGGCGCCTCCAACTCCTCTTACGCCGGAAGACTTTCAGCATATGCTACCGGCAACCACGAGCGATAGTCAGCTTAATCTTGCTTCACAACGACTGGCAGACAACCAGGGTCTCTTCCCAGTCACTCAGCCGATGCAGATCAACGTTGCGTCGCCACCTGAGACGCCATTGACCATGGATATGTTTTCGACAATACAATATCAAGGTCTTGCGCCTCCCTTGTCGGCGCCTCCGCAGTACGCGTCATTCACAGAATATTCGCCACTTTCCAGCGAGCCAATGACTGCAGTAAGCTGGGCTGTGTCAACGCCTGATACCTCTGTGTTTCCGGGAAGCGTGCAGTCTCAACGGCAACAGCAGCAACAACCACCGCCTAACTATATTTACGAACAAGACGACGAACAGCGAGAGGCTAAATGGTCATTGAGCGAGGAAGGCTCCTCTCTTTATGGATCAACGAAGGCGTCGGCGACACCGCCGGCTAGTATGATGACGGGCAGCGAAGAACAAGACCAGAACATGAAGTTTCACATCCACGAATTCCCCGAGCAGCAAGAAGCGCATCGAAATGTGGCGCAGCAATTGGCGCCTCAAATACCGAAGAACTACACGTTTTCGAATCAGACACCTAGCGACTTCTAATGTTTAATCACGCCATATTTAATATTTAATATTCGCCTTTCCCCTCTTCCTGTTTGGCTGTTTTCTTTTCGTCTATTCCCTTCCCATTTTCAAGTTTATGATGTACTACTCTATGTAAAATCTTTTCTCTCTCTCTCTCACACACACATTGGAAATGGAGGTGCATATACTTTGGGCTCATCATGTATTTCATAAAGTCTCTCTCATATACTGATCGATTGGTTTTCAAACTCTCCCTGGTCATGGGGATGGGGGTTGCACAGGATTATGCAGTTTTTTCTTCCCTGTTACATCTATTGTCTGTTTATTTTTTCTACGCATTATTATTATTAATAGGTGTCATCACCATCATGTCTATCCAACCTTTTCCTATAGACATCTACCTTCTTTTGTTTTCTTTTTGTATCTGATTGACTAATTACCTAGCGTTGGGTTTTTGTTTTTGTTGAAGGGGAGTTGGTTTATCTAAGGACAGGAACAGGAAAGGTACATTGCTTAGCTAGCTGAGGACATAGGTCAATGAAGCGGAGTTGAAAGTGAAGACTTGATTTGTAGCAACATAACAAGATAAATAGAACGTCCGCAGTATATACATTACCTTGGTTATGGACTCCGCGCTAGCCTAAGCTCTGGGCCAGTCACAGGCTGATCTGCAGACCCGCATGAGCTTATCCCGACTGTCATAAAGGGCATCAACAGCTGCAGGCAGTGAATGTTTACTTGAAGGGTCTAACCCAGTATAGCTTGACGAGACATCATATCATGTCCAGACACCGGCTGATGGGGATTTGGTCATTAATACATCTTCCATGCATGTTCGGCGGACATGACCTCCGTTAATATATAGACGTATATATATATATATGCCATGCCAGCTCTGTCAACCACCACCATACCTACCTGGGTATTTTTTCTTGTGCCTACTGCAGACTCATCTCGTGTTCTTACCTCACTCCATTCCCACGCCGTGCGTGCGATCGCTTGTCATGACTGTCTAGGTAAGCATAGTATCGAGTTACGGATATCATCAAGAATTTGACTGCATCTCTTTTCCTGAGCAAGGAAAGTCGTCCACTTGCTTAAGCCAATAGTTGACAATACTATCTATCATACAAAACTGCACCGGACAACCAAAGATACAACATGATGTTCTCTGCCGAGCCCCAGAGCTGATCAAGCATTTTACTGAGGCGCCTTTTCCGAGCATGGGGAGTCCTTCACTTGCTTAAACCAACGGTTGATGATATCATCACATTGTGCCATTTGTATCTCGCGCTGTTTTGAACCAAATATCTCACCCCAGGGAAAAGGGTAAACAAGACAGCTTTTCTTGTTAATAGCTTCCTTCAATTCCTCCGAGATGGGGGCGGCCTTTCGGAAAATTGCAGGATGAAGTCCATATCTTTTTTTGAAGGCCTCGTCTAGGTCGGAACGCCGAAGGCGTCTGTTATTTAGGAAGATCGAGTTTGTTGATGATAAGGAATCAAGCAACCGGAGGTGGATAGTTGGGTTCATTGACGGGGTACTTGCTTCGGGGATGGTAGTTGAGAAGTTCATTGGTGAAAATCACATCCATATTACTTTTTACGTCCGAGAGTCTTCGTTCATGGTCTTCAATCTTGCGTTTTAGGTCTGGGAGGGTTGAGAGTTTTCGTCGTTGGTTTCCAGTCTCTTTTTCAAGTTTGTCTAGCCGTTTCTGGAGGATGTCAAAGCCGTTAAGTCCCTCCTCATTCGTAATATTATTCTCAATCCCGGCTGTACTTGAATGTGCTCGCTCGGGATGAATCCGTCGTGGAGATACATTTTGACTGTGAATTCTTTAGGAGGCAATCGGTATATGAAGTCTGCTGAACACGGTGATCCAAGTCTGTTATCGATTCATAAATAATATAAAAGAGATGCATGTCTTATGGAGGAATAAGAAGGGAACTCATGATAATTTACCCATTCAGGGATTTCATCCTGGCCGCCATCTTTCCAACGTTTCCTTTTCTTCTCAGCAATCTCTTGAACGAAGTTTGACTAGTGAGTATCATGAGAAGCCGAGCAGGCTCTTTGCAAGGGAAGGGGTTATTGGAGAGACAAGGATAACAGAGACAGTTGCAGAAGAGGTGACAACTTTAACATAAGTATTTGTCTACTGTGAGATGTTTACGGCTGTATACAGTGTTTGTTCACACATGGAAGGCTCAGAGAACAAAGCGATGACTGTTTCTGTGCCGGTACCCTTTTCTGTTCTCAAACAAGCACCAAGTCTGGGAGAGAAAGCAATTATCCATAACTGTGAAAAGTGCTCTATGGCTACTACCAGAAGCTAAAAGGCCTCAGAAATGAATAGCCTGATCTAAGTCCTGTTTTCAGAAATATGTTAACACATACAGTACTGATTAACTGTGAGTGATGGCATGAATTGCTCTTCTAGACTGCTGACCTGCGGTGCCTATATAGGATATTTGTCCTTTCTTTGTATATGAATATTTAGGACCTGTGGGTAATCTGCGGCTAACTTCAGGATGCTTGCAGGAACAACGCTTGTTATGTGATTGGCTCATCAGAAAGATGTGTTTGTATGGTTATGTGTCAATTTTAGTAACCCTATAGTAGTAGTTATAACAATGTCAAGAAAAGACAGAATAAGAATGACATAAGAAGAGAGAACATCAAATTAAGTACTTAAAGGAAAAGAAAAAAAAAGGTCAACCAAACCAAACCAGGAGTGGGGGTATATGATAGATAAAAGTTAAAAAAAAAGAACAAACAAGCTCTCGTATTGATCTTGAGAGGAAGAGTAAAACGAAAAGCAAACAGATTAATGAATCAATCACCTCAATTTAATAAACCATGCAAGATAAACTGAACACCACACATATTGCAGATAGGAAATTTCAAGATATACTCTGGACAGATACACAGAGATTAATAGAAAATTTAGTAAGAATCAAGAGGAGAGAGGAGAGGAAGCTAATAGCTTGACCATCCCCCCAATGGACTGCCAGACTGGCCCTGCTGCGGTTGCCCGGATTGCATGTGTCCTCCAGCTGGAGAAGGCCAGCCGGGCACGCCTACTCCGGCCCCTATTGCCATCGTCATCCCCGCCGCCTGAGTGGGAACATATTGTTGTTGACCGGGAGGCTGTGTTGGTGCGTACATGGCCCGAGGATTGGTGACATTGCTATATGCAACTCCGCCACCCTGATATCCCATCGATGCCATACCCGGCTGTCCTACCTGCGGGTGCATCGGGATTCCTTGCGGCATTGCTTGTGTCGGCCTTACCTGGTTGTGCGGAGACTGCGACGGATGATGTGCTTGTTGGCCGCTGCCTGGGTGTGGTGATGGGCTTTGCTGTGGTAGTTGACCTGCATACTGTGGCATTCCCATATGGGGCGAGGCAGATAGAGCATGTTGTGGTTGCGGCGGAGGTTGTCCCCACATTGGCTGTGACTGCGTCTGATAGCCATAAGGCGTGGTTTGCGATGCCGCTGACGAGAGTGCTGCCGGGTTCGCTGTTCTCGAGTGCAACACATCAGGTCGCATGCCATGCATGCCGCTTGATAGGGGTGACTGTGTTGCTATGTGCGGTGCGGGCTGGGTTTGCTGACTATACATACTTTGAGTTGGCGCTGTCATCATCTGTGTTTGTGGTTGACCAGTAAGGATATTGCGGTGTTGTTGCGATGCTGGGTTCATGATGGCTCCTGACGACGTCATATGCGGTGACTGTAGCGGCTGAGATACTGGCGCGGCAACGACATCGGCATGAGATGGCGATGAAGTAGGCACTTCCCGAGGCGTTGCGTAGAAATCTTCTAATCCCTTTTGCCTGAATGCTCGCTGAGAATTTAAAATCTTGCTGAACTCTGCTGTCTGTGTTGCCTGGTTGCGAATTTCTGCGGCAGTGCTGGGTTGAGACCGGTCTTGATATGGTTGGCCCGTCATCTCCTGTCTTTGACGAGGCATGGAACTGTATTCTCGAAGTCTCGGGTCATCTGTGGAAGGCGCTAAATGTATCATGGGAAGAGGAGCTAGGGAGACTCCTTGATGACTATTTATACCGGGGGGCAGATGGGGCATTCCCTCAATCGTATTGCTATACACAACGTCGCTCTGACCAAGGCCTGGAAGAACGCCTGCATTTGCAGCAGCCTCGGCAGCAGCAGCAGCATCTCGAGCCTTGGCAGCGCCTGGTCGTTTCTCCCCGGCCAAATCTTCCTCGGTAAAGCCTTGCTTCCTCGCCTTGCTCTCCCAATAATCGTCACGTACTCGCCTACCGTTCACAATGACCCGGCTGCCAAACTGACGGAACATAGATCGAGCAGTGACAATGGCAATCTGACGGGATCTGTATGAATAGGGTAGGATGTCTTGCTGGATGAGGTCATCCTTTTCGATTTGACTTGCGATAATCTTATATAGGGATCGGTTCTTATTGAATAGCAAGTACGAATCGCGGTAGCCGAGAACTCGGGCACACTCGGTAGCCAGCATGAACAATTTGTTGGCGCGACCGGGCACCCGAAAAGTTCGGCATCTATACTCACGACCATCCTGCAGATAGCCTTGGAGATCGACTTTCTTCTCGCCAGCATCGTCCCACTCTTTAGGAAGATACTCATCGCGACCTTCGTTTAAAGTGTCTGTCGTGTGGTCACGGACTGTGGGTAGGGCTTTGACTAGGGATTTGGTAGGTGTTGTCTTTGAAGGCGGCGAATGTTGTGGAGGAGAAATAGGTGTCTGATTAGGGAGCGGTTGGGGCTGCAATTGTGGTGTTTGAATTGCACCGGCTACAGTTGGAGGATTTTGGTGAGTGGGTGTAACGTAGCGTGTATTCGAGGTGTTGGTAGTAGTGGTAGTTTGTGGTGGGCGCGACGTCTTTGGTGGCCGACCACGCTTGCGCCGACCGTGTTCATCTGGGTGAACGCCAGCTAATGCGATATTTTAGTCACAGCTTCTGACAACAAAAAACCATCGCGCCCCCAAATACCAAGCTTGGGGAGGAGGAAATAAGGAAGACAGTAAGAATGGACGTACGATCGTCATGTTCACCACCATCTGCTCCGGCATCACCATACTGATCCGGAGATCGACTTCGCTTGATTCCCCGGGGACTGGTGTTTGATGGCGCATTGTTGGGCGCAGCAAGTGACGCTAGCAATGATCAAGACATGTCAGCATGGAATTTTGGACCCTTTTCTAAGAGGTATTCTCTGCAAGAAGCAGTGAACGGACAAAGGCGGGTGCGCGGAAAGTTTTTGAAACAAAAACAGAGATAAACAAAAACGTCGCGCGTACCGGTCGAGCTCAGCGCAGCTGGGTTTATAGTACCTGAGCCATCAATGATTTCACCATTAATAGGCGCGGAAACCTGATGGGATGCGCTATACATGTTGGATGTGCCGCGAATGTGACAAAGGCCGCGAGGGCCCGAGAAGTCGGGTTCAGCGACGCGGTCGGGAGCAGACAAAGGCGGACAGCGCAGAAACGACAGGCAGAAACGACAGGCAGCACCAATCAAGCGGCAACACACACACGCGCGCGTGCACACACACACACACACACACACACAGACACAGGCCGGACTGGAGCAGACTTGCAGAGTGGATGGATCGAAGAAAGTCGTAGTTGGCGCGGTTGCTTTTTGAGTTGGCTAAGCCTGAGCTTCAGTTTCAGTTGCAGAGCGGGAAGAAGAGGGGGCGGCGGCTGGGGAAGTGTGGCGCAGCGCAGCGCCACAGCTGTTATTGCGCTGTGATTGGCCGGCTGTGCTGACCTGAGCAGATGCTGGGCAGGACAGCAGCAGGAAGGAAGGAGCGTCCTTTGACTCCTTCCTTGTTTTATTCCCTTCCCTTCCGGCCGAACGGCGCTGATTGGCCAGGCACGTGATAGCCCAGAAGATAAAGATCTGGAGATAGTTAACCCTAAGCCTTCCCTACATAAGTTGCAGATTAACTTTGTCACCCAACTATGCGAAGGCAACACAGCGCGAATACCGATGTGCTTAGACTGACTGGCTGGAATGCCTCTGCATCACGAGAGGGCCTCGAGAATGTCTCACCAGAGAGCATGCTACTATGGCAGATAGCTACATGCAACTCCCAATCAGCGCGCTGCATCCATGCATCCTCGTGATAGACTGACGCACCTACTGGTAGCAGTGCTACCTCGTCCTACGACCGCGCTCTCTAAGTAGTAAATACTTAGTAAACACGCTCGCTGTCGATCATTCTTCTCGATCTTCCCTCACCCCCGCTTTGACCTCACAAGTCTCGCCGTTTCGTTGTTTCTATCCCTCTGAGAAATTGCTTGATGTGAACTGAACTGCATCGGACAAAGTGCGCGGAGAGATAAACGGCAGGCACGTGGAATACGTGTGGTAATGAATATGACCCCAGTCCCAGTCCCAGTCCCTGGCAGTTGGCATTGGCATAGACACGGGCAGCGACTCTGCAAGAGGTATGCGTTCGTTTCACAGATGACGACTATTTGCAAGCTGCATAACGCGTGATCATTTTTAGTCCTGCACACTGTACAAGCACGGAGTATTAATAATGTTTATATTGTTATGCTTCTATTCGATCTAACCGAGGGTAGAAAGTGACCTAAGCTTCACCTGCACGAGTCGGTCCAGATCTAAACGGAACCCTGGACATAGTGAATGCTTATTATGTTTATGCAGCATATACGATGGAACTGCACTGTCGAGTTGCCTCTTCGGTTACTCCATACTCTACTGATGACAAGGAACGAAACACGTAGTTATACATGTACTCATTTCTATATTATATATTCCTCACAAAGCTAGCTCGTCGTCATCGTCCCAGCCGAGTTGCTCGTATATAGATTTGACTGGCGTACTTTGAACACCCGTTTTGACAGGTGTCTCGAAGGCCGGAGCAGGCGACGAGGATGCCACGGTATTCGTTGCCGATGGTTGTCGAGAGAAAAACAATGATGGTGGTGTTTTGCCCTTGGCCGGTGGAGTTTGGGTGACTGTTGTCATCTCTCCCACCATCATGATATTAACCTCTTCTCTAGCTGCACTGGTGGCACCAGCACTCTCTGGTTCATGCTCTTCATTCGATCGAGGGATCGATGGAAGTGTCGGCACCTTGAACAGTGCCCTACTACATGGAATGGACGTCGTAGTCGAGATGTTCTGACCAGACCGCTTATGGCCCCCGCGAGACGGAGTTTCGGCAATGCTGTCGAATTTGCGCTTGGATGACACGGTGCTAGATAGCACGTTGGGTCGAATGGCTGAGCCTGGGACCAGAGCAATCTCACTCTCCATTTCCGGAGACGCTCCTCCTTCCACATTAGTCGTACTCTCTGTCCTCCCGGCCAAAGGCCGTGCTGTAAAATGCCGAGACGACTGAAAAGAATGATCCCCACTCATATCTTTCCTTCTTGAACCTCGCGGCGTCGCCATGACTTGCACACCTTGTCCAAGCGGGTTACGTACGGGGTTCTTGGGCTTGCGTGAGCTCGAAGTCCTCTTCTCAGCCTGATCCGCAATTTCCTTGGAAACAAGTTCGCGGTTGGGTTTTCGCAGTGCACTGATTGCCGCGTCGAGTTCTTTCTTTTGCTCCATGAGCGTAGTCATCTTCTTGATTTTCGCTTCGTGTTGCTTTGCCACTGCGTTGAGATCGACCTCGCGGTTGTCCGCCCGTCTGGCTACTTGGATTCCACCTCGAACACTGCCTCCTAACGACGGCAATGAAGGCTCAACTGATTCTCGCTTGACTTCCTGTAGTGCAGGGGTGGTACTCGATCTCATGAGTGATGGGTGCCGTGCCCTTTGAGAATCCGCTGTTCGTTCGTCAGTAAGGACTCGTTGTAGAGTCCGGCGAGGACGATTTTGTAGCTGTGATTTTTTGCCATCAAAAACACCAGACGGGGCCTTTGAAGATGATGATGACGAGGAAGAAGTTTTTAGCTTCGGTGGCGCTGCTGGACGACTGGGCGAGGGCTCGCTTGCACCTCCCAGCTTTTTCTTGATGGTTTTGCACTGATCTGGAAGTCGCGAGCCATAGAAGGGAATGATGACCTCTGTGCAGAAGTCTCGAAGAGCGTCGCTCTCGATTTTCTTCCCCGAAAGATGGCTGTCCGTAGTCTCCTTGATCGACTCTGGAACAATACCCTCTCCCGCGCTCACAGCATGCCAAATACAAAGTCGATCTATCAGAAGCTCAAGGAGCAAATTTAAATCCTCTTCTTTCTTCTTGGTTCTCGACCGTTTGGTGCTTGATCCATTTGCTTCTAGCCCTTTGCTGTCTTTCGCGGGCGATGCAATATTCGGGCTCTCCGAATGTATTGTTTCAAGAATCAAAAGGATCTGAAGTTGAGTCTCTCGCAACCGTAGTTCTGATATATGTCGCCTGACCTCTTCTTCCTTGGATTCTTGTTCGCCTTCCCTATTCTTAGCCATTTGTCGAGATTTCCAGTACTTCTGCAGGAATTCATCTTCGCCCGAGTAAAGTCCGTTCTTGCCTAGTTTCTTCTTCTTTCTGCTTTTACGTTTCTTCGGGCGGTCCTCATCTGAAAGCAATAATGTCATGTTACGAAGAATCGTAGGAAGGGTCTCTCGATATTTGGCATCCATCTTCTTGACCGACAAAATAGATTCTCTGTATTGACTAGAGAGGGACGGGGCATCGCCGCCATCTATATTGGCTTGGGAGAAGGCATTACGGCACCGCGTCAAGGGTCCTTTGGCAAAATATGCCACCGACGTCTAACAAGCCATTAGTACATTTTATTTTCTCCCTCTGGATTAGACATTGAATATAGACAAACCTTTGATATGTAGAGCGCTTCCAGATACTGTGTTCTTAAATTTTCCATGATAACATCTGGCGTAGGCGACGACAAGTCTTGCTCAGGCTGAAGCCTAGATGGTTGAGTACCATCTTCCGGCGGAGTATGAACATGCTGCTGTGTACCAGGATCCGCAAAGCTATCAAGTGCCATGAAGGAATTCCCAATGGATATCTGGCTGTCAATCCCGGCATCATAATTGTTGGAAACATTCGGCTTTATCCGATTATAATCCTTAAAGACCACCGAGACTTCAAATTTACTTTGCTTCATCGTAAACGGCTCAAACCCCGGAAGATCATCAGCCAACCAGGCTGCTTCCCTCCAGTCCCATTTCGCAGATGGATCATCACTTGGGTTCCGCACTCTAAGCATGCGTGATCGTGATCCTCCGGAGACGGCGGCGCCGGCTTTGGCCGCAACTCGAATCTCCCCTTCTTCAATACTCGATTGAAGTTTCGTCATCGCAAATATACCTCTTTTCACCCGTTCTACCACGTATATAGCGCCATTGGCAAGTAATCGCGTCACCAACACTTTTGGTTCGTTATTATTTAAAGGGTCTCCCTCGGCACGACCAGCGAAAAACGTTTGTTCTAGAGCTTCATCGTTGCTCGCGAAGATATTGTTCGATTGCATCACCGTGGACGTATCGAGCCATGAGAACGGTAGTGCAGAGCGAGGGAGTAGCTCAATCGGAGCCAATTTGAATTCATTATCTGACAGAGACGATGCGTGGCCCTTTTTTTTGTTATCTGTTAGTATCCTTGCTTGTCTGCTTCTTCTTTCTTCTTCTATCCACCCCCCTTCTTTGCGGAATGATGTTGAAACGAACCTTCACGGAGAATATCGTTTGTGCTGCTGCTGTTGTTGACGAAGATCGTTCGGCATCTTCCTCATCATGAAATACCTTACGCCTTTTCGACGGCGGGAAAAAGGATGCAGATGGGCCATTATTGATTGCATTCAGAGATGTAAGGCTCGTCGTTTCGAGAACGGCTGGAATTCCCCGTGAAGCCATTAACACGCCCTACGCGAGAAGCATTATTGTTCGGAAGAGCTCTGTTTGTAAGCAAGTGAATGAGTAATTGATTAAAATGAGCAACTCGTGGGAGAAGGAGTAATCGTAGTGATTGCAGTAGTCTTGAAGTCTGTCGCAGGAGTCTTTGGGCAGCTGCAATGCACATGAACGATATGATATGGCATGCGGGTCTTTCTGGCGTCACGCGTTGCGGCGTAAAGTACTGCCGCACTAGCTTGGCACCACCACAAACCAGTAAGCATTAATTTATTTCATATCGTGACACTCTTTGTTTTTTTTTCACGTGTCCTTTTGAGTATGTAGTATATTATTAAAATACTTTTTTGTTTCATTTTCTCTTCGACTCGATCGATATACAGCGACCTAGCCTGGTCATCTAAAACAAAAGGTTCTGAAACATACAGAAAATAAATCCGACAAAAAGAAACGCCGTTCTTCCAATGCCAATGATGAAAATGGTATCATGTTGAATTTTTCCCCGACCTCGAAACATGAAGGGAAAGAAAAAAAGGAGAAAAGAAAAAGGGTAATGAGAATACGCCGGCAAGGGCTTTTATGTCTATTAAATATATGCTTTGCATTGTTGAAAACAAAGCCGTGTCGTCAAATCATCACAAGATAGTCATAATGTTGGTTGCATTTTGTTTACCACTTGAGCAGCTTGGGCTTCTCCCAGGAGAAGTTCTGGTTGGTGAAGTGGCCGTTCTTGGCAGTCTGGAAGTAGATAGGCTTGGCAAGATCCAACTCGCGCACGATGACACCGGGACGGAGGTCAAAGTTGTTCTTGATGATCTGGACGAGCTCATCGGAGGTCTTGGAGGAGGTACCGTAAGTCTCGACGAAGATGGAGAGGGGCTCAGCGACACCAATGGCGTAGGAGAGCTGGACGAGAGCACGGCGGGCAAGCTGGGCGTTGACGAGGGACTTGGCAATCCAGCGAGCGACGTAAGCGGCAGATCGGTCGACCTTGGAGTAGTCCTTTCCAGAGAAAGCACCACCACCGTGAGCACCCCAACCACCCTATAGAAACCATATTAGCAACCGCAAAGATGAATGGCGATTCCGGGTTGTGACTTACGTAGGTGTCGACAATGATCTTACGTCCGGTCAATCCGGCATCACCCTGGGGACCACCGATGATAAAAAGACCGGAGGGCTGGAGATGGTAGATAGTTCGGTCATCCAAGAGCTCGTTAGGGATGGTCTTGTAGATGACCTTCTTGAGCTCTTGGCGGACAAACTCGGTGGTGACATTTTCGGCGTGCTGAGCGGAGATGACGACAGTGTCGACACGGAGAGGCTTGACGGCACCGTTGTCGTGGGCATACTCGATGGTAACCTGAGTCTTGGTGTCAGGACGCACCCAGGGGATGGTTCCGTCCAGACGGCCCTCCTTCAAGGCGCGGTTAAGCTTGTGGGAGAGCAAAAGGGTGAGGGGCAGGAGCTCAGGGGTCTCGTCGGTGGCATAACCGAACATGATACCCTGGTCACCGGCACCGAGCTTCTCCAGAGCCTCGTCATAGTGAAGACCCTGGGCGATATCAGGAGACTGTTGCTCGATGGCAACCAAGACGTTGCAGGTCTTGTAGTCGAAACCCTTGGAGGAGTCGTCGTAGCCAATGTCCTGGATGGCGCCACGGATGATCTTCTGGTAGTCTAGCCTGGCCTTGGTAGTGATTTCACCAAAGACCATGACCATACCAGTCTTGGTGGCAGTCTCGCAAGCGACCTGTGGCAATGGATTAATACCGAACCCGAAGTACTTGAGCCCACCGGTCTTCTTCTTACCTTGGAGAGGGGGTCCTCGGCCAAACAGGCATCAAGAACGGCATCGGAGACCTGGTCACTGTTCAATTGAGACTGTTAGACCTATATGGTGCGAGATGGAGATTAAAAAAAACACTTACGCGATCTTGTCAGGGTGACCCTCTCCGACAGACTCGGAGGTGAAGAGGAAAGTACCAGTCTTGGCGCTCAAGCTACCCATTGTGAATGTGAAGGTGAGGGAGGATGTGAGGGTGTGCAATTAAAAGAGAAAAAGAGAAGAAGGACAAGCAAGACGGGGATAGAGGGATGGATGGGCAGGGAATTAAGATGTTCTTGGGAGAGACGAGAGGGAAAAAAAAAAGAGGGGGGGCGCGCAGGCGCATTTTATCCAGTGCCAAATTTGCAGAATCTCCGAGCACGGTGGCCGAAGTGATGGCGCCATCCCAGCGCTGCGTTGGACCCCGGGCGGTAATACCGTAATACGCCTCGTGGGCGGTGGCGCCCGGCAGTACCAGCAAATGCGGTCGGTGCTGTCCACATTGCAGTGTTTTGCACATGCCGTGTCCATTGAAAGCCAGTGCTTCCTGTGCGAGGCGCCTGCAGGGTGAAGAGGCCTGCCTCTGGTACATACAGCCAGCCAGCCCCGGCTGGAATGGCAGCCAGAGCATGGCCGGCTTCCGACCGTCTTGCTCCCCGAGTCGACTTCGTTCTGCCGGTCGACAATACATAGCCGTCATTTATGCGTATGCTGGGCGTAATATTACGCTGGCAATTACCGCCGTTGACCGCCTCCGCACCCCACCTTATTCGGATTCGAGTCGAGACCGACCAAAAAAAAAAAAAAAAAAATAAGGCTTGAGCCAGACAGCAAGACTAGGAAGTAAGCCAACCAACATGTCCAAGTTCGGCGTGCTGGTGATGGGCCCTGCCGGCGCAGGCAAGACTACCTTCTGCAATGCCATCATCCAGCATCTCCAGAACACCCGACGCAGCTGCTTCTACGTCAACCTAGACCCCGCCGCCGAGTCGTTCCAGTACGAGCCTGACCTCGACATCCGCGAGCTGATCACCCTCGAAGATGTGATGGAAGAGCTGGAGCTGGGCCCCAACGGCGGGCTCATCTACTGCTTCGAGTTCCTGATGCAGAACCTGGATTTCCTGACCGAGGCCCTGGATCCGCTAAGCGAAGACTATCTGATCATCTTCGACATGCCCGGCCAGATCGAGCTGTACACGCACATCCCGCTTCTGCCAACGCTGACCAATTTCTTGAGCCGCCAAGGCCCGCTCAATATCTCGCTGTGTGCCACCTACTTGCTCGAGAGCACCTTTGTCATTGACAAGGCCAAGTTCTTCTCGGGGACCTTGAGCGCCATGTCCGCCATGATCCTCTTGGAAGTGCCCCACATCAACATTCTGAGCAAGATGGACCAGGTCAAGGACATGGTTGGCCGTCGACGATTAAAGCGCTTTGTCAATGTCGACGTGCAGCTGCTGGACGAGGATGATGCTGCTCCAGAAGAAGGGAAACAAACAAAATATCCTCGGGGAGGAGAGGACGAAGATGATGACGAACAGGAAGAAGCAGGAAATTTGCGGATCGATCCGTCATCGAAAGATGAGCTGATGAGCGGAGGCTCATTCGATCGTTTGAACAGAGCAGTCGGCCAATTGATTGACGATTTCAGCATGGTTTCGTTTTTGCAACTCGATGTCCAGGACGAGGACAGTGTGGCTGCGATTTTGAGCCATATCGACGACTCCATTCAATTCCACGAGGCTCAAGAGCCGCGTGAACCGAATGATGCGCAAGAAGTCGACTGGGAAGATGCCGACATATGAGCCGTTTGTTAGGTGAATGGTGGTTTGACTATTTGACCGACGGCAAAGCCTCGAAAGACGATATACGGCTCCAGCACTTGTGATACAAGGCAACTGGATTCTTGATTCCAACCTGAGCCACCCTCTCGATATCAAGGCGTGTCGTGTCGACGACACATCCCGAAAGATAAAGATACATAACTTCCGTCATGACAGGAAGCAGATACTTGCAGATGCTACTTCAGCAACGCACGCGATGACTTCCGCCGAGGAAGTTTTGCACCATGTAGTACTAACATGCACCAGTAGTACAAACTTATCTATCTATTTAATACAAAAAAATCAAGATAGAAAAATACAACATACCATTATAATTTGATTTTGTGCATAACTCGTCAATATTAGTAAATATGTATCCATTCAAAAGTAGGCACTCCAACCGTGCCACACCCAACCAGAACAATAAACCAATGTATCCCTACCCACGAAAGAAAATTCACGCGACACCCCTGCGAGCACCCCGATACCGATGTTGCGGCGAACTTCCTGCATGACCGTACGAACCCCCGCCAGAGCCCCTGGTCGACCTTGTACCCCAATCTCCATCAGCAGTATTTGCAGCAACCACAAAATCTTCAACGAACCCCTGCGCAACGCCCCATATCCAACCAGCGTCTGCGATAGCCTTTTCCGGGCCCACGTTATACACATAAACCGCAATACTAAGCACCGCGGTCCAGAAAATCATGCGCATAACTAGCGTCACCCAGAACATGACCACGCGGCGCGCATAATCTAGGATGCGTAGCGAGATGTAGAGGGTGAGCAGTAGGATAATGGCGGAGACGAGGTTAGATGAGGAAGTGAACAGGTCCAGTAGGGTGGAGAGTGGTTGCAGTATGTATGGCTCGAGGTACTCTGTTTGAATGGCGGTGGCTATTTGGTCGGGGGTTTGATGGGATGAGGAGAGGAGGGTTGAGGCTGATTTCTGGAAGAGGATGGTTGAGTAGGTGCGGAGGGAAGGGAGGATGTTTTCTAGGGAAGAATTCATTGTTAGTTGATTCCCTTATATATGTTAGATATTGTGTTTGCTCACCTTGTATGTAGTCCATTTTATGGCTCTTTTGCACTCTCCGGTTGCTTCCTTCTGATCATGAGAGACGAGCAGGAATGGCTTGTTATATGCGTTTGTCACTTTTACGTTTATTTTTTAACGTGCACCAAACAGACAGAGACTTGCGAGACTGGAGAATCGAGAGAGAAGAAAAGAACGAGGCTTGCTGCCAGATCACGCGTTTTCTTATCGATCTGATAAGGCAAATTACATAAGCATGCCTCTTTCCCTCCGCCTTTCTTTCTTCACATCGCCAAAGCTTGGGCTTTGCGATTAAAGCTACGGAATCACGAGCAATAGTTGGAGCTTCTGATTGCCTGTCGCTGCTCACTTGCTAATAGATCTCACCATAAGCTGACTATGTGATAGGTTTATGGAAGGGTATATCCACCATCAATAAGCACGTCGCTTCCGGTCGTATAGGTGGAAGCGTCACTGGCAAGGTAGAGGTACAGACCCTTGATTTCCTTGGTATGTCCCTGGCGTCCAAGGCTCGCCATACGATACGCCTCGTTAATCGCGAGCGGGCTTGCTCCCATCTTGGTGTCGAAAAATCCGGGCGAGACAATGTTGACACGGGCAAACTCCCTCCATTCACGGGCTAGAGACTTTCCAAAGTGTGTGATGAAAGCCTTGGTTCCATTATAGACGGGCTGATCCGTTGGCACATTGACAATGTGCGCACTCATACTCGATGTGATGATCAAGTTTCCACAGCCTTGACGCTTGAAGACCTCACCAGCGTACTTAGAGCAGAAGACGACTCCGTCGACTAATCGATCATTATGTATTAGCATTCAAATGACCGAGATATTGTTGGGCGTTGCTGCTTACCGTTGACGGAGATTTGCTTGTGGTATTCCTCGAGTTTTTGCTCCAAGATCGGCTTCGAGATAGCCATCCCTACCACCAAGGGTATCAGTTTTGCTTCGTTTAGTGAACTTACTATACAATCGAGGCTCACCTGCGTTGGCAACAAAGACATCGATCCGCCCAAAGTCCCGGACGACGTCTGCAACCGTGTTTTCTACTTGTTCAGCATCGGAGACTGTTTTGAGAAGTTGCGATTAGATCAGCATGTGATAAATATAGTAAGCCAGCTTACTGTCAACTTTATAGGCGATTGCTTTGATGCCATGAGCTTGCGCGAGTGCCTCGGCTTTTTTCACAGCTGCGTCGTTTCTTTCCAAGAAGCGCTGTTAGTGCGAGCCCCTCACAAACCTTTGGAACGGAACATGGGAACAACTCACGAATTATACCACAGCGCAACTGAAGCGTTGGCCTCAGCCATGGCCTCCTAAATGGCATACCCAATGCCATCGGCTGCGCCCGTCACCACGGCGACCTTGCCGGTCATCTTGAATTGCTCCAAGACATTGGTAGGTGTGTCTGGGAAAGGACGAGGAAATCCTTCCCGGACTTGCGCGCAGTCCGATACGGTCATAGACATTTTAGAGGTAATCGCGAAGAGATTAATCTACTTGGATTTATTTTCTCCCGAAAGATTCGATAGACAACTGGCTATTTATGCTGAGCGGAAGATAGTCGTCGGATTAAACGCCGCTACTCAAGGCCGTACGTCGGGCTGCTGTAGCCCGATTCTTTTCACCAAGCTTTCTGCTGGTTTACTGCAGATTACGCTTGATTTACCCTACACTCTGCAAAACCACGCCTGGCGCAATCAAGTTCTCCCATATCTCCAACCCATTCAAATAATCATTTCTATCCACCCGGCGATACTCATCGTCTAGGGTTTTCTCAATGCCCGCCTCAACATGCCGTATGTCTATTAGCAGCGCAATATAGCTCTAGGGCTCCTTGTCAAGGAGCAAACAGTTTCCCTCTAGGAGCTTAATCGACATGTTCAACCGACTTACGAACATCCTCTGCACATGGACAAAGGCAGCTTGAAGAATGGAAGCGTCGAGAGAGTTGATCGTGGATAGGGCCATTGGCAAGGGCTCCGGATATGGCAAGGACAGAGACCACCCAGCCCTGGACGGTAGAGTTATGGGCCAAACGTAGGAAATCTCCTGGCCTGCAAATATTAGCTGAGATTTAGGTTGAATAGTCAGAAACAGAAGACTGAAGAAATTATTCATCTCCAAGTCTCCACTGATGACTCCTTGAACATGGCTGCGAGGACAATAGTCAATTGTTTGTTGACGGAAAGCTGGTGGATTGGGCTGGATAGGATTTCAAGCCCTACCCAAACAAGACACCCCCCAATTCTCCCTCGGCCGCGACAGCACCGCTATTACTAGCAGCAACCATAGTGGGCAACTTTAAGACAAGGATGATAATTCAGGTTAGGGCAGGAAGTAGATGGATAATCGTCTGTTTCGATAGAAACCCGGTGCACCATCTAGAAGGCAGAGCGGACTAGAGCGGCTGGACCGAGGATAGAGTTATGATCCGGGCAGAAACCCTTCAATCATGCATCATCTTCCACATGCATCTGGGGCAAGGTCTCTGGGGATAGCCGGTGGATCTCTCAGCTGTCGGGGTTCTGTGTGCCGACTGTGATTCCCAACTTTCGAGGGTACCGTCGGCGTGCAGTGGCCCGATCTGTATTGATGATTTAGAGTGAGAGTGAACAGCGAACACAGTGGCGGTCGCTCTTCTTTGTGTTCCACCAAAGGTCTACAAAGGCGATGGATCTGCGTGTGCACCTAGTCATCTCTATTGCCTTCTTGTAAGCGTATTCCGATTCTTTTTTTGTTAAGGAACACCCGTTTATACTTCCTGCAAGGTCCCATAGCACAGGTTTCCAACAGAGCAATGACTCGCGAAGCAGAGTTACCGGGGCGTGAAGCTCTCGCGGCTCGAGTCGTTCCTAGCATGGTGTTCAGCGATGGCAGCGATTCCTCTCCCACCCCTCCGCCCAAATCTAAACTCGAGACCGACGCAGCCAAAGGCGCTCAGAAGAGATTCACAGTTCGAGGAAATGCAGTGGTTACAGGCGGAGCCGGAACGCTGGGACTGCAATCATGCGATGCTCTTCTTGAGCATGGGCTCCATGGTCTCATAATCTTCGACGCCAGCCCGTTGAATGCGCAAGACAAGATTGATGACTTGCACCGAAATTCCCTGACACTACAATTGCCACAATGAAAGTGGACGTAACTGATGAAGAGGCCGTCGAAGCTGCAATGGCGGAGTCAACTAAAGTGCTTGGATCGATCGATATCCTCTTCTGCTTTGTCGGTGTTGTTGGCTGCGTAGAGTCGTTGAACATGCCCATCCCGGTGTAGAGGAAGATTATTGATGTTAATACCACGGGATCTTTTATCTGTGCGCAGGCTGCAGCTCGACGAATGGTGAGCCAAGGGAATGGTGGCTGTATCACTTTCATCGCCTCTATATCAGGGCACCGTGTGAATTACCCTCAACCTCAAGCTGCGTACAACGTCAGCAAGGCTGCAGTGCTGATGCTAAAGAGCTGCCTTGCTGCCGAGTGGGCTCGCTATGGCATTCGTACTAACAGTATCAGCCCCGGATACATGGACACAATTCTCAATGAGGGCGATGGAATTGCCGAACACCGGAAGATTTGGGCTGCACGGAACCCGACTGGCAGGATGGGAACTCCATCAGAGCTAACAGGAGCTGTGGTGCTTTTGGCAAGTGACGCGAGCACGTACATTAATGGTTCCGATATACTTGTCGACGGTGGAGGAGTTGTCTTTTGATTGTAGTACTAGAAAATACCACAGTTCCAGTTTATAGAACTGAAAATTCCCGATATCACTGTCGACGGTCGGTTGGCAACCTTGAAATGGACCTGATGCCGATTCAAAGTTGAAATCCGCATGGATGGGCCGCCATTTAGTACAAAGCTAGCAGCGCTTTTGAATGAGAAGTTTAGACGGGAAAGGGGCTACAATCTCATATAAATAGGCGTAGCAAGCTAAAATATACAGATATTTTAAGCAAAGGCGGTCAAATGCCTCAGACAGGGGAAGTATTTAGTTTCTGGTCAAGGATCTGCCGAAGAGCTTCGACGAAATCCGGTGGGATATCGTTTCGTGGTTTATGCCTTCAAAGCATGTAGCTATTCATGAGGAGTATCTGCAAGTAGGCCATTCGATGGCATATAATCAAAGACTTCCGGTTCGGCTATGATGGGAAATCCTTCAAGACCTTCAAAAAGATCACCGTTCCATGACGTATCTCGAAAGAGGATCTGCAAAGAAGGGTCAATCTCGAACGATGTTGGATGCATGTCGTCATTTTCAAGATCATGTTGTGTATGAAGGTTATCGAGGTTGAAGTTGGCGGCAGGCATCGCCACTGAAGGAGTCGAGGTGGACTCGTGTGATTGTTGCGACTGATCCCTGATGCGATCTAGCACTGCTAGGCATCGCGTAGCAGCTTCATTGCCCCTACTTAAGTTGGCAAGACAGTTGCGAGCTCTTGACGTAGATAGTATCCAGAGCTCCTTGTTCACAGCCTCAAAATTGCTACCCGACATATAATGCGGTTTCAAATAATGAATGCTCAGAACAACCGTCGCCTGAAACAAGAAATATGTGGCATACCAGCTTAGCCCAGCATGGATGTTGTCCGGATAATCCAAACAAAAAGTCGTGATATCTTGAATAGTTTCAATGGCAATATAGTGGCACATACTCTGCGCGTCTTCGGCATCTGATGCTAAATTACACAGACGGTAGCTACCCCACCATAGCATCATTCGTAGATTGAGCTCTTTCCATATGATGACTGCCCGAGGTCCACGGAACCAGTCTGGAATGTCTCGAGCCGTGAAATAGAGAGGCAAAGAAAGCTTCCATGTCTTGAGCTGATGATCAAGCGAGCGAGATGCCTTCAGATCGAGAGACACTCCTTTAGGTGCAGAAATGACGCTGCGGTATACAAATTCCCAATGGAAGCTAGTTGTGCTTGTGCAATGATAGCAGAGTACGTTGTTGGACGATCCGTTGACGAGGGTAATATCGAATTCAGCGTGCATGACTGAATATGGTCAATCAGTATCATATTTTCTTCTCTTTCCGTTTCCTTCAGGGCGCTTTGTCGCCTTACCGAATCGTCCAGGTTCCTGGGTAGCCGGGTTTCAATAAATATATCAGATGCCAGAATGGGTCTACCGGTAGTGAGGCTAAAGCCACTATCAAAACAGTAGACAATCCACCAGATGACTCTTCTTCGCTCGTGGATCAATGAGTCACGCTTCGTTCCAGCTGGCACTTCGCGATGAAGCCCCAGTCCAAGAGCCATCCGGTATGCTATCCCAATAAAATTGTACCCTGTATTCGGGCGGTCTTGCTTTTGAAGATAGTTACCCTATTTTCATATCAGTTTCCTCCATTTAGTGATAAAACGCCGAGAAAGGGCTCACCATTAGCAAGAAAACTTGAACTGTGAGGAGCGTACCGGACTCCAACATTTGCATGGACATACATGACCTTGCTGCAGAGTAGTAAACGCATTGCTTGGACTCAGAGGTGCCTCCTCGGATCCAATTCCCAATGGCAAAGACAATATAGAAAATCGTATGCCAGCTAGACCGTGATTGAATCTGATGACGGTCTTGATACTTTTGTCGAAATGTATGCTCATGTAAGATCGGGTACGACGTGTTATAGCACATGAAATACGTATCGACTAAGCCGTTCAGGATAACGGAGTTGGTTAGCTGTTCAGACAAAAAGGGGATTTGTGTCTGACTCGGATCCGGAGGAGGAAGGGGGGGGGGGGGTTGGTCTCCGAAGGAGGTTGTTCAAGATGTAGGCCGGGCACCGTTCTGAGAATACTAGAACCTGCACTACTTCCTATCTGCAGTGTCAGACTGGATTCTGGCATTTTTCTACTGTTTTCTCTGCTTACCGAGGAAGCCGGCTTCGGTATTTGCTGTGGGCAAGGATGCCATGCCGTCCAGGGTTGCTTTTCGAGCTCCAGCGGGGGACGTTATTGAAGCTTCGCTCCATTCAAATTCATCTATCGATGCTGGGATCCCTATATTTCGATGAAAATCCCTGAGTTGGACGCTCCCAGATGGGATATTCGTCGTCCTCAGTGCATCTTCAATATCGACGTCTGGGTTCAGGCGCCGGATAAGCGCCGTGAGACTGGCACAACGCTGTTCTATCCGATCTAGATTTCTAGGTCTTGTGAGAGCTTTATCTCACTTAGGGGGGGAAGGGCCTAAAGCGCACTTTCGTGTCAATGGCGTGCGTGGCGTGGGACGATCAAAAACACAGTCTCTGTTGGTCCGGAAACAGAACGAGCAGGGCGCCGTGCCGGAGCACTGTCAAGCGTTAGGACAGACACGCTCAACAGCAGAGCTCACTTACCTTGCTCTTACGTTTCTAGAGTTTCCCGTATGCAACTCATCAGTCTAAGAGGACTATCCTATGTTCGCCCAAGCGCTCTCTTACCCGACATTCCGTGCACTGCCGCGTGTGTCAGTTGGCTCCAGCCACCAGAGTCGGTTGACCTACCGCGCGAAGAAGCTCCTGGGATGCCCTGGAAGACTTTGGCATTATGACAGAAGACCAAGTCCAGCGGACAATGACTTCTATGCTGAAGAATGCATGCCATGCACCTTCCGGTGGTGGAGGATTTGCATATAAGGCTTACATAAGCCTTGACCCTTTGACGCCATGCCCGATATGTATGTACATACATAAATGCGGGGGATTTTCATACAATAATAATTCTAGGGGATGTGGAATCTAATGATCACCATTTTCACCATCAGCAATCAGAGATGTATGAATAACCTACAGCCTGTGCAATAGGAGGACCCAGAGTGGCAATGCGTACTACTGTAGCTTTATCGGTGGCTCCCCACGAACTGGCAACACGTCGGGCGAGACCACGCCGACGTCCATGGGGAGATAACCGACAGTTCAGAAGCTTTTTGCAGTTCAATCAAAAATCCGCTGGTGAAAGACAGTTACAAATTATATGGCTGAAGAAGTACGATCCCAATACACAAGCGTTTGCAAGACTTGCAGACTAACCAAGCCACAACCAGATGAACCTGTCCTGCCTCCTCTACGGGCCTGGCAAAGTCCGGTTTGAGAACCGGCCGATACCGACCATCGACGATGCTCACGATGTCTTGGTCCGAATCTCGTATGTTGGCGTTTGTGGCAGTGATGTGAGTTGATGTGCAAGATCAGTCCTATCAGCCTATCAATTCTAACGCCTGCTAGGCTCACTTTTGGACTCATGGCGGTGTGATGCGGATTGTCTCTGAAGACGAGCCACTTGTTATGGGCCACGAGGCATCCGGCATTGTACACTCTGTTGGCCAGGCGGTGACCACAGTCACGCCTGGGGACCGCGTTGCCATCGAGCCTGGATTCCCATGTAGACGATGCAAGCAGTGCAAGGCAGGAAAGTACAATCTTTGTCCTGGCATGCAATTCACGGCAGATCCTCCGAGAAACCATGGCACGCTAGCCCGTTTCTTCAGGGCACCGGAAGATTTTGTCTACAAAGCCCCGGACTCTATCAGTCTGCAGGAGGCTGTTATGGTGGAGCCCCTGAGTGTCGCTATCCATGGTGCTCGTCTTGCTCCCCTTGCCCCGGGCCAGAACGTGCTCATCCTGGGATGTGGCACAATTGGACTTCTTGCTGCTGCCGTTGCCAAAGCTTTTGGTGCCAGGGCTATTTTTGTTGCGGACATCAACAAGGCTAAACTAGAATTTGCAAAGAAGTTCATTGCGGGATATTCTACATTCTTTCCCGATGTGAACTTTACGCCACAGGAGGAGGCAAAGAGGTTCAAGAAAGAAATGAAACTCGAAGAAGGCGTTGATGTGGTCTTGGAGTGCACTGGGGTCGAGTCATCAACTCGAACGGGGATTTTTGCATCTGCCGCCGGAGGTGTGTTGGTTCAGATTGGACTGGGAAAGGCAGACTTGAATTTGCCTATTCTAGATATGTGCGAGAAAGAAACAGTCCTGAAGACGGCCTGGAGATATTCACCTGGTGATTACGAGATTGCAATCAATATGCTGGCTTCTGGTAGCATATCCGTCAGTGCTCTAATTAGCAGCGTTTCTCCCTTTGAAGATGCGGCAGTGGCCTGGGAACGGACCAGAAGGGGCGAGGGAATCAAGAACGTGATTGAAGGTGTACGAGACTGATTCATATACGACCCAACTTACTCTCATTTCCATGCTGATTTCTCCACATCACGGTGTAACTATTGTGTTTTCTCGGGGTAGTAATGCCATTCATACGACTACAGGCAGCTATTATTATACGAATATATCATCTCTTCCTTTCTCGTACTATTAAAGCTGGATATCTATGAAACTTAGTGCTTGATTACTAGAACTAGTAGTTAATATATTATAAATATTAACGATTGCACCTCTCTTCTAGCGCTCTTTCTGAAAGCTATCTAGAAGAATAATAAGAGCCTTGACTAATATTCTGTATTAGTAGATCTTTCCGAATGTGAAAAGCGAAAAACAACCTTGCAAACCATTTGCAGTTCACTTTCAGTTATGAGTTCGTGAGCTATGTCAGCCTGAGCCAGCTGTGATAAGGTCTGGGAATAAGCACGACACTCTAGACTTCTGCCAGAGCTAATGAGGGTTGCTCAATGTTTTGTGCTAGGCTGGGTTCGAGGGCTTAGATTGGCATATAGCCAACCCCTTTTTGAGAAAAATCATGCATGGACATGTCGTTAATCCGTCAATTCCCATCTACCGGAGGTCTTTGACCGTACACCACGTGGCTGATATTTGATATTAGCGCGCATTCAACAGCAGGGTTTGAAATGGCACAGTAAGAGCAACCTACAAGTTGTGTTGCACTTGTAGCCTGCGGTTTTTAAGATCTTTCCTGACGTCAATAAGAAATACTTGTACCTCCTCGGGTTTCCAACCAGCTGTGTTTGTAAGAATATGCAGCGATATTCCTTCAAGCCCCTCCAGGAACTGATGGTAGTCTAAAGCACCGATCTCTTTTTGTTTGGCCAGCAAGGTGCGCGCACATGGTTAGCATGGCTAAGGATGCAATGTCGTAAGCTTATGTGACTTACCATTTCCTCGCTCTTGGGCCATATTCCCACAGGTATCGGAAGCACTTTCTCGTGGATGTTGATGAACCTGGCATCCTTCAACCATCCTTTTAATTTAGGCCCAGGCTCTGGTTCAGCGCCCATCTGCTTCAATCCATTAACGACCATCTTCGTCCATCTGTCCAAAGAACATCCCGGAGCGAAGTCTCCATGAAGCGTGTAAAATTCCATATCGAAGTCCTGGAATTCAACCCAGCCCCCCGGGCGAGTGAATCTGTGCGCAAAACTATGTCAGGACTGTATCATATTCTAGGCGCCATTAATGGTATTTGATGCTTACTTGAATGCTTGGTCAATTAATCTTGACCAGTCCTTGATTGCGCCTGCAAGATAGCGGGCATGGATGAAGTCAAACTGCTGACTGTATACCCAGTCATTTTCCACGTCATCGACTTCGAATGCGACATTAGGAGGCACCCTAAACAAACAAATCGATGTAAATATCAATACCTTGATGTCAAATTATTTGACCACACTTGGAGGGAAAGCCTTACAAAGTTGGTTGAATGGGACTCAGGTCGTTTCCCAGAACCTTAGTTATCGGCCAAGTATATATTAGACCTCAGCGCCTTACGTGAAAATCACACTCCTCTCACCTGAGCCGAAGGGAACTTGTCTCCTAAAAACAGAATTAGGATTCTAGCTATACAGTAGTAGTAAGGTTCACTGAATAAGGTACTCCAATAGCACATTTCTTACCCATGTCAATCGCCCAGATTCCAGTGCCGGTCCCCAGGTCCAGAATTCGCTGTGGGTTGGTCCCGATGGGGGCCATAAACAGCTCTCCATTACATCGTCGTAGTAAAATTTCGTGGAATAGATCCAAGCGATCGCTTTCAATCTGATATTTGTATCAGCTGGACCAGGTACCAGGACATCAGATACACCAGCGTACCTCATCATTCGGTAGAAAATAAGCTAGTGCACAGTAAACTCCTAGTACACAAGGCTTCTCGCTGGCAGCTGACAGATAAACTGTGGTGACTTACACTTATCCCGGAATGCTTGGTAACGGCGTCCATTCTCGAATCTGTAATTTCTGATATCGGACTTCAAACTAGTGGTGAATCTTTCACTGGATATGTTCGTTAGTCAAGTTCATGACGCAGTTTTCTCGTGAACGTTACGCCTCATTGCCATATGCAGATTCTGGCGCTTCACTATCTACCTGAAGACAATAAAAGAGCGAAATGTTAGGACCACAACACCAAACGTCAAAACCAAGAGAAGGAGTATACCTCGGCGGCCTCTATGAAACCATTGACTGAAAGCTGTCTCGAGACTTCAGGTGAGATTGCAAGCTAGTATTCGAGTCCGCGGCCATGATGGTCTGCTTGTCTGTTCTTGGTGTGGTGACCGTACGAGTGTCAAGAGACATGCAATCTCGTGGTGAAAGCAGCTATCAACTAGGAATCGGTATGTAGCGGGCACGGAGTACTATGAACAGACTGACTATGCGCAATTTCCAACTGAGCAGATAAAAGTGAATGGAAATTCCACATTCATTCTATGGATGATCATGACACAAGACACGCATAATTATTGTTCCACCTCGCTGCCCTAAACTTCATTCGGCCCGACCCGCACCAGCCCGCCTGGACCAGTGGGGCAAGCCGACGTTTAGCCCTCGGAGTGCCCCGCTGCCCCTAGTGTGATAGCGGCGCCAATTTTCAAACTTCCTGTACTCCGTACTTTTCTCTGTGCAGAGCGCAGAGGTTCCAGAACTCTTTGCAGTATGTCTTGGCATAGATAGGCTACATTTGAGATGGATCCACTGGCACCAGTCGGGTTTCTCCATTTCGCGCCCCTACAAATGTCACAATCACTCAAAATCAACGTTGCTTTTTTTCTTGAAAGAACAAAAAAGAAAAAACAAGACTACTTAGTACTTGCGCATGCAGCCGGTCATTAGGATGGCTTTCTCCATATAATGCACCGCAAGTATGGTAATTACTTCCCTTCAACGCGCGATAAAACTATCTTAAGGAATGCAAAAAATCTCCGCTCCACGTGGGCTTCGGCTGATATACATCATACTCAACAGGGCCCATCGTACGGATTGGACCAAATGAATTGCATATTCTCGAGCACGAGTATTATGACAAGCTTTATAATATGTCTAATCGATTAGATAAATCTCGCTACTTCTACTGCATGCTGGGGAATCCAAAGGCCTCATTTGGGACGATATCAGCAGAGTTACATCGTATTCGGCGCAGCGCGTTGAATCCGTTCTTCTCACAACAAGCAGTTTCGAAATTTTCAACCCACATACAGGCAATCGTAAATCGATTCGTGCGCCGCATAGAAACATGCACGGATCGAGGCGAATCGATCCCACTATCCTATGCCTACCGCTGCGTTACCGTGGATATTATCAGTGAATATATTTTCGGTCATCAGTTTAACCTTCTTGACCGGCCGGACTGGGGGCGGGAGTTCTACTCTGCGTGGCGGAGTTTGTGGGAGCTGTCTCCAACTATCCGCCAATTTCCCTGGATGCTGGACGCTTTCATGGCCATGCCAAGATGGCTCACCGCGTTAATAAATTCGAAGGCTTTGGAAGTTGTAGACCTTTTCACCGATGTCGATGAACAGACCAAAATACTGCTTTCAAAAGACCCCGATGAAATTGAATTGAAGCCGCATCCAACTGTAGTCTGGGAACTATCCAAGACCGACATTCTCCCTCCAAGCGAAAAGACGTTCACTCGGCTTGCAGTTGAAGCAAACGGGTTGCTTGCAGCTGGCTTTGAGACCACAGGCAGTGTTCTAGCTCACACGACCTATCTCGTGCTTGCCCATCCAGACGTCCATCGTAAGCTGTTGGCAGAACTAATTGAGGCGATACCAAATCCAGAGGAAATCCCCGGTTTTCAACATCTAGAGCAGCTTCCGTATCTTCGTGCAGTTGTAAAAGAAGGTCTTCGGTAAGTTTTTCACCCTATCTAGTGGCCTCTGACACCAAGCTGAAACCCTCGTTAGCCTGGCTGTGGGACCCTGGTCTCGTCTTCCACGCGTGAATCGAAACGAAGATATGCAGTATCATACTTGGGTGATCCCCCGTGGTCTACGTATGAATTATGTCTTCTCTCGTTATTCTTAATGAACTCATGTGGCCGAAACCCATGATCTAACAGAATAGATAGACAGAGGTTGGCATGCCTTCTCTCTTTATCGCAAAAAACCCTCTTTTATTCCCCGAGCCAAATGACTTCAAGCCTGATAGATGGATTGGCCCCTTGGCCGTTGATGGTCGTCTGGAGCAGTACATTCTCGCCTTTGGTAGAGGGACTCGCTCCTGTGTGGGGATCAACCTAGCTTACGCAGAAATATACACCATTCTCGCCACGCTCTTTCGGAAATTCCCACAGATACAGTTGCATAACACAGCACCTAGGGACGTTGAACATGTCCATGACTATTTTGCGGGCATGACGCGAAGTGACTCCCAAGGACTACAGGTTAGAGTCGGCAAGAAATGAAGTTGTTGTAGCAACGGAGTATTAACCAGTAAGCCAACAAAAAAAGGGACCCCTTAATGAAGCTTCTGGTAATGCTCATTTATCTGTAAATAATCCCTTATATTTCGCTACCATGTTGCCAAATACCCTTGGCACTTGTGGCTGATTTCAAGTTGTGTATTTTTTTTTCTTAGCTTATTCTCTGATTATTCGACGACAAACTTTTGTTGTTTCTATATTGAAACCTCCAAGCCACTCACTTCGATATGTTTGAGCCCGATCGGAAGACCAGTTGGCGGCTTGGGTGCTTTAGGCTTCACAGCGCTACATCATTCACACAGGAGAGTAGTCAGAGCTCCTACATTACCTAGGTAAATGACTCCGCATATCTTTGGATGGGTGAAAGCTTGGGTCCGGAGAGTTGTAAGTCAAACACATGCAACTGTGCTGAAAACATGGATATAAAACATACAAATCGGAATATTCCTATAGATGGTCCCCATGTTAATGGCATCTAGGGTTAGCTGACTGTTTTGCCATTTCGCAAGCACTCGACCTGGCCTGGCTGTACGCAACTGTGCTTGAGTTTTAAGGCCCTGGGCCAAAGGACGATGCTCCTAAACTACTTGGCCTAGGCAGGGCATATGGTTTTGCAAATTATGGATGAATGCGAGCTTTAGACATTGAAAGAGTCCTAGGTAGATCTCCATTATTTTTTGGGAATACATTTCGATGTACTACCTAGGTAATACAGATCTATCTGATTCTCCAGTAGAACGTTTTATTGACAATACTGTCTTCAAAAGCAAACCCGACAACTATATTATTCAACAATTATAGTATCACAAAGTATATATCTGACTCGGCAAGTAATAACCGGTATATACATGTCCATACATATTACATACATGTTCAATGTATTCCTCGCCACGAAACTCCATGTGTATGTACAACAAACTGAACAAAAGCCAAACCGCCGCCCAAGTCCTTTCTAAAGACGAAAACGAGAGACAAAAAAAAAAAATGCTAAGGGTATCCAATAGCAACAGCGAAGCGAAGTTTTGTTTTCTTCGTAGACCGTCGTGTGAGAAAGCGAAAAAGAAGAGAAATATCGGTGAAACAAATCGCTAGCTAAATAAGAAAACGACTCCCAAATAAAAATAAGGGGCGTTGGGAGAACATAAAAATCAACAAATCTCAGGAGATATTTATATACTGTACGACCAGCATATTGCTATACTATACAAAGTTTCAAGATCGTTTAGTTCATAAGCATTTTCACTGTTTCACGTTCGGCCCTGACTGCGGCCTCGAGACGCCGAGTCTGACGAAGTGCCTCATCTCTGCATGATAATTAGCTACATGAATCATGAAAAATTTGAGAATGTAGGGAGAGAAAAGACTCACCGATCTGATTGTAATTCTGCGACTTCAATCTGCGCCTTGTTCATGCGCTGGACAACCTCCTCCATTTCGAAATCTGCGTCCCGCAAAGCCTTTTCAAGTTCTTTGACTTTAACCTCGAGTTTCTCTACTTGGACGGCCTGGCTCAATGGAACGCCTTCGCCACTTGTAGTCATATCCAAACGGGGAGACCGCGCCCCATTGAACGGAGAAGACGACATGTTTGGTGACAGAGAGACGGGTGTCTTGATGCCCATCTTGGCTCGCATGAGTTGAGTATTGTGGCTTTCTTTCAGAGCCCGAATTTCTTCTTCATGCTTCGCCATCTCATCTTCCGAATGATGCTGGGCGTCCATAATGGTATCTTCCAGGCTCTTCAGTCGACTTTGCATTTCGTTAATGCGTAAGGCCGACATTTTTTGCTCCCGTTCTCCCTTGGCAATGGCGTCCGTGAGACGTTGCCGCAGGGCACTGTTGGTATTGAGCTGCTGGCGAACTTGTGCAGACAAAGTCTCGGCACGGTTCACCGACTCAGAGAGTTGGTCCTCTGAAGAAGGTGATGGGTTGGCCTCGACATACTCCATGTCCGCCTGTAACTGTTGATAGGCTGACTCCAGTGCCGACGAGGTGACCAGCATGTTTGCGAGCCCTTCCTCGCCAGTAGCCATATCCTCTGGTAAAGCAATATCATGCTCCTGCAACAGCATGCGCAACGAACTGGTCTCCTGCTCTGCACGATCGAGGTCCATCTTCAGGCCACCAAGGCCCTTTTCACACTGCCATTTCTGCTCCAACGCATCGTCGGCTCGTCGTCGAAGGAGGTTGATCTCTTCCCGAAGATTCCGCACTTCCCTCTCGTAACCGAGTTTCCGTGGAGAGCCAACATTTTGGGCTTTGGTCAGCTCTATCTCGAGAATCTTGATTCGCTTCTCATTTTCACGAGCTTGCCAAGACTGTCGATCTAGAAGATTCTTGAGTGCCTGATGCAAAGCATCCCGCTGAGCCTCGACATCCTTCACTCGATCAGCCAGGGAATCGCGTGATTCCAATTGTCTGTTACTACTATTATTGTTATTATTGCCAGAGACAGAATTCGACCGCGATAAACCGCCAGTTTGAGCCATGCTCGACCTCTTTGGCATCCGGGCTAATGAATTGGATCTTGACAAGCCCACCGAACCACGTTTACTGACAATACCGTCCTCTTCTGCGATGGCCTGGAAACGATTGTTCTTTTGTTGTGACTGCAATGCAGGTACAACCTCGTCCCGGTAATGATCCCGTTCATTTCGAAGCTGCTCCAATTCCACTCGCATCGCCGTCAGCAAGTCCTCAAAGTTATCTTTCAATTGTCTCTCCTCGATTAGTTTACGTCGAGTATCTTCTACGGTCAATTCCAATTCTCTTGTCTTGGATGACAGATTTGAATTGTCGACACGCTGAGCACGGAACTTTCGAGTTGTTAGTGCATTAGGGCATTAGGACACATAGAGTCGGAAGAAGACTTACTTGTTGGACTTGGCTTTCTAGGATCTGAACGTGCGATTCGCAAGCTGTCCGCCGCGAACGCTCCTCCTGCCACCTCTGACTTAATTCAACTTTTAATTGAGCTCGTTCCTGTTCAGCGGCTCGCTTTATTCGTTCTATATCGTCTACCTTACCACCATCCGTGCCCATGCGTATCGAGCTGGTGCCCGAATCTGAGAAGTAATCACTGGTCCTTCGGTTGACGTCGTTATGTGACTCGAGCTGAAACCTCTCCACCAGGTCCTCCAGCTCCATCTCTCGACGAATGGAGCCCGCCAGCTCTGAGCTGATCTCCCGGAGCTCAGCTTCGAGGTCCGAAATCTTGTTCATCAAGTCGACATTTCCGCTGGACGATGACGGAAGGCTAATAGAGGCTGAGTGGCCGGGAGGCATGGGAAACCCATGGATGTTGTTTTCCGATATAGAGTTGGGGATGGAAACAGAGCCCTTGGTGCTAAAGGAAGGGGCGCTTGCAGACTGCGGCAATGGCGAGGGGATTGGAGACCGGCCGTTGTCACTGATTTCGGTGCTCGTCGACTCGGCTCCGGGAGATGTGGTTGTCTTCCAACCGAAGAAGGATGTGATTTTGTTTCCGGGCGTTTTTGGTTGTTTCTCTCCTGGACTGGGCATTGCTGATAGGTTGGCGTCGATGTGTAGAGGAGGAGGCCGGGTCTGGGGCTGCAAGGCCATAGTCTCTGACCTCTTATGGATCACAGGCGGCGGCGGCGGCGACGACCTCAGCACGGGGATGATGGGTTCGCTTGAAAGACGGGAATGAATCGGTGTCCCATGCGGCAGGAAGTGATCGCCGTTTCCGCTTTCTTTCTGTTGCGGGTTGGTGTATGTGAAAGAGGTGTCGATGGGAAAGGGGATGATGAATGGAGAATGGCCGCGTGGATAACTGCCGGCAATGCCGTATTCTGATTAGCTTGCAGCCTGTTATATCTATCTATATATATATAGATATATATGTATTAAATAGATTGAAGAAATGTATGAAAGGCGGAATGCAGTAAATAAATACGATAAAGAACGGCGGACGAAGAAAGAGGGAAAAAGGAGGCACAAGAGTCCTTACCGGTCTAGATCCCGTGGCACGAAGGGAAGCACCTCGTCTACAGTTTCGAGTTGCCGCGGAGAGCCGAGCGACGCCGTGTTTGGCAATGTTGGTGATGATGACGATGAAAACGACGACGACGATGATGATGATGATATGGCAGGCAGTGGATGTGATGACGGTGTGGGCAGCGGTGGTGATAATGGATCGGTGGCCGGCGGAGAGAGAGGCAGAGAGGCTTGAGACAATCTCGACAGAATCACCGGGGCTGCATTGCTGGGCAGAGGCTTCCTGCGGACTGGGGAAGAGCTAGCTGTGACGATCGATCTCCTGTCAGCGTGGTGATTGTCGAGCGAGGTGGGCAGGGGCCGAGGGGGGAGCTGCTCGGCGGTGGTCGACGAGGACGAGGACGAGGTTGAGTCGCTATCCTTTCTTTGACGGCGGCGCAGGGACGAGGAAAAGCCGCCGGAAGGAGTAGCGATTGGCGGCGGGCTTAAATCGTCCATCGCCATATCATACTCGGTGCCAATATTAATGCTATTTAATATTTAGATGGATTCTGGGACAGGTAGTTAGTGTTATCATGGCTGCAACCCTGATTCAGAATAGATGAGACGAATGGACTTGATTGTCATGGACCACGAGCACGGGCAGGTGCATAGTAACGAGCCCATTAAAGTGGGAGAAGGGGGAAAAAAAAAAGGAGAGACGAGGCACTAACGCCAGCCAACGCTGCTAGTGCTGGGGCTAGCACTGGGCGATAGTCCAATCCCCTTGCCTGGCGCCCTTTCTGGGTTCAATCTGCAGGGTCTATGCAGGCAGTCTTAGGCTTCCAAGAACGCAAGACCGAGGACGTGTCTACGCGATACGAATAGAAGTGCGCATTGGCATGGAAGACCGGAAGATACAAGGTTGAAGGGCCTCTATCTATAGTTACGGTGCCGCTACTATAAATTGCAGGCGCTAACACTTAGCAGCCTCGGCATTCAGGGGTCGACGGGCGTCTCGCGCTGTGATTGGCCGCCGCCCAGCAAGGTCCGTCTGATGGACTACAACTAGTTCGCTGCCAAAAAGAGACTACTGCATGCGATAACTATATAGTATAGTTAGACATCATTGTCTATCGTGTAATCAAGTCTAGTCTAGTTAGTCGTATAGTTAGTTAGTATAAACAAATGTCATCCTGCCATATATCCTACATAGACATCCGTAGTCTGTCTGTCGTTCTCTTCCGTTAGTCATTATCATTAAGTCGATTCCCGGCTAATAGGGAATGAAGTCGAAGCTCATGCGATCTGCTACCAGCGTGAGTTGGTTGGCGAGTTAGCGTCAAGGAAGACGGATCGACATACCAAGGAAATGACTCCAGTCCTCATTCTCGTTTTGGCTTTCATAAGCCCAGTAGACTTCCAGAAACTTCAGCGACTGCAAAACGTTCGGGATGCGGGTCGTCTCGTGCAACAAAGTGAACAGCTGCCTAAACGCCTCGCGATCCTCGCCCAAAGCCTCACAGCCGCCCGTGAACAATGGCGTCGTAAGCATGACCCAGGGACTCAATCCGCTGCGAGGGACTATTGGCGATGTGCATGCCAGAATCCGTTTCACCGAGTGCTGCACCTCCGCCGACGAGGCCGGCACTTTGCGCACACGCCGGTGGATATGAATCAGCGCAGTGTGTTGGAAAGCTTCGTTGCACAGCATAAATTCTCGGATTGAGTCGTCCGAAAGCGTTTCCTTGACTCCCGGATAAAACAAGAGTTGGTCATGCTGCGCAGTATACCGGTCTATCAAGCCAAGAACAGACTTTTCCAACCTTGCTGCTTGTTCCTCGAAGTCCGAGTCGTGATCAATTTTCAACATTTGCAGTCTATCTGTATCTCGATGCCGCTGCCAGGCCATGGTACCAATCTCCCGAAAAATCTCCGCCAAATGCACGGTGAACCCCCAGTAGTCATCCAAATAATCCGGCCCATCCGATGTGAATTCTGTACGAGTATATGCTTCGCCGATAGGAGGCCCATTGGCATTCAGCGCTGTAAGAGCAACGATCGATCGATACCAGCGATCGAGGTACTTGCGGAAAGCCGTCACCGGCGTTTGCGGTGACTGTGTTGTACTCATTAAAGCCTTTGCCCCTTCAACATGCACTCTCCACGTGTTAGGCTGAACGGCGCCGGAATGTATTTCTGCCAGGCACAGCGTTCGTGCCGTAGCCAAAAGCGCATCGGATCCCTTTCGTGTGGGGTCTTGAAGTTCCAGTCGGAAATGCTCCAGGCTCCGAGCCATCAGCCTCGCGATATCTGGCGCTGCCTTGACGGTTCCCGAATGATTATTCAACGCCTCCAGATGAATGGCGGATAGTGCCATGGTTGCATATAGAAGAGACGGCGTCTGCAAGGCCATTGGGACAATCATTTGACAGATCTCCTGTTGCATTCCGGCGTGACATGATGTGACATGTGATGCATCACGGATAAAATGACGCAGAAGAGCTTTTTGGCTTTGCGATAGTGACGAAAGTGGATCAATTTCTCGAGCTATTGGCATATCGGGAGAGGATGAAGAGGAGCGCGACGAGGTAGCGGTCATGGGCTGCTCTGAAGGCGAACTATTCTGGAAAGAAACAGTGGTATAGACAAATTCGCCGGGAGAATATTCTGCACATGGGAGAAGAACGCATGAGGTCAATATCGTGTTCCGAAGAACGGAACAATCTAGGACAAAGCACGACGCACCTAATCTCTGCATTCGACCGGGCCCAACGCAGGCGCCGAATCTCGAGCGTGAAAAGGCTCGTCCACCCCACTGCAGTTGCATGGCATATCTACACTGCACACCAGCCGCCTTGCATCGGCCACCTGCAGCAAGGATTTGTTAGAGGGGTGTTATGTTCAGGGTTCAGTGTTCAGTTGTCCATGAGAGGAGGAGACGGGTTGATGCGTACATTCAGGACGTTGCTCGTCGCATTTTTGCCTCCTTGCTTTGCACCGCTTGCAGCCCGTAAAAGACCGAGACATGCTTCAGTCGCAGTATGCCTATCATGAACAGAGGACTCGAATATCAACGAATGCTGAAAGCGAGCAGTGAAGCAATGAAAATCGAGGGGTCTTTCTTTGGATGGACGCGGCTAGCGCAGCAGACCAACGATTTAGGGCAATTCGCCCGGCGCCTTCCCCCACATCGTCGATCGCTGGACCCGAGGCCGCGCGCTAGTCACCTGACCCGGCTACTACTCTTAGTATGGAGAGATAAGAAACGAGGTATATTTACACCTAGATAAACTCTAAAAGACGCGGCGCCTACTGGTCGAAGCTATATCGGAGCCATTCACCCACCGCACGCAGACTTTCCCATCGTACCGACTCGTCGCGATCGCTCATCAGCTCCATGACTCTAGCCTTCAGCCCCAGTTTCTCCAGCTGCGTGCGACGCTCGGGGACCTCCTTGACAAGGTTGCCGACATCGTTGCATGCAATTGCAAGAACTTGCTTGTCGTTTTCCCAGCTCTTCGAAATGATCTCGGTTAATTTCTTAGGCAAGGCGCCCCGCTCTTCTTCAAGGATGCGGCGCGCATTCTCGCGCCAAAATGTCGGGTTGCGGTGAGGCGGAGACCAGCGCAGGTGGCCAGATTGGAGCTCGGCGGCGTATTCATCAAACGTAGTTTGTGTTTTAGTGTACTCTTCCAACAACTCTGACAAGGAACCTAGGTCCTCGAGGAGGTCAGGATCGGTAAGATGACGGCCGCTGAGGTTTGAAAGTAATGCAGGCAGTCGAACAAACACCGCTACGGGCAAGAGCGTAGTGCGATTCGTGACGAGAAGGTTATTTAGTGTGGCAAGGAGAAGACGCGTCGTCTTCTCCTTTGGTGACAGCCGCAGTAATTGCGTGTATAATTCAATGATATCGTGCTCCCTTATCATGGTCAGCAAAGCCTAAACACTGCCGAACATGTGTGAGACTTACGACTGCAATTCCTCCCCAACAAGACTGCCTTCAAAGCTGAGCTGCCAAATCACTAAAAGCACATGGTATAGAAGCTGTAGCCCCACTCCACCGCCGATGCTGATGTCGGCGTTGCGAGCGCTACTAGTGGCGATAGAGGCGGCCAAGGTTGTTGACCCATTATCTTTCCCTCCAGCAGCCGTGCGAAGTATCTCCACCAGCGCATCAACTGTCTCTTTACGCTGTTGCCAGAATATCTCTCTAGATGATTTGTTGCGCAGCAAGGCCGAGAACCCCTGCACTCCGATGTCTTGGAGTCCGCTATCTTGGTTCCTGGTCAAAGTTGCCAAGTATGAATATAGTTGTGGGAGAGCCTCCTCTTCCGACACGGACGTTTGAGATGACGAAGTAAGCGCAGTTGATACTAAGTTCGTTAGGAATGAGGATGTAAGAAGAGGGATGGGGTCTTCAGGGTTATTGGAGTGCCGAAGGAGCGGTAGAAACGCCGCGAAGGGCTTGGGATGCGACACGAGCGCCGAGGCAAGAGCAGGGGCGTCTGCATGGAAGCTATTAGCAATTTCCAGGGACACCAAAAAGCCATGGAAGTGCATGGAAAAGAACATACCATTGATGAGATCAGCAGCTAGAACCAAGATGTACTGCACTATATCATGGCGCTTGGACGCCGACTCCAGGACGCTCTTCTCACTAGGACTACCGGCAAGAAGTGCTGTATATCCATTCACATCGGCCTCAACAGTCTGCTTGCGGTCTTGTTTCCGGACCTTGTCAACAGCTTTGATTTTCCGCAAATGCTCATCGGTGATGTTTCCAGCCCGCACTGCACCATCCCATGGGATAGGCCGAGCACGGATGTTGTTTTGGAGGGAGGAGAGGTAGGTGGGCGGGTCGAGCGACATGGCGTCGACCGATATGACCAGCTGTTGAGCCAGATACCCTGCCTTGAGCGTTGGGGGTAAGGAACTGCGAGGGCAGGCGAGAAAGACTGGCTGTCCGGCGGGATGATGTCGCAGGGAATAACGCTGTAGCTTCAACTTATCCTAGCTGTCTAATCACATGCGTAGACCGCCTTCTATTCTATGTGCCGCAATCAAGTATTTTGCGGGCAGAACTAGGGCGGTGTGCATATACTAGCATACTCTGTCAAGATTATTGCATGTCGTTGACTCTGTCCCAAGACAAGACTCTCACAATAGGTAACAAGGGAGATTACGACGACAAGCTCAAAGGCGAAGCAGAACACCGAACGCAATCTGGGGCGATTTAACTCCGTAAGGAAGATCCCAATTGGGGCGAGACTGCAAAACATGGCCAACGAAGTGCCGTATAATAATAACTACGCCTAAGGATTGAAGGCGATGCTGAGACATTCCGCCAGATATCTCTACTGTAGACGGCGACGCAGCGTGGAGGCAAAGGGGAGTCCTCATGATGCATTGCATGGAGCCCTGTAATAAATGTTTCAGTACTCGGACATTTCGTGCCTGGCGGCCAGTTGGTAAATAAATGCAAAGGTTAGCGCCAAGCACCAACGCGCGTGCTGAGCCGTTTTGGCAGGTGGCCCCGTACCTCATTAAACGCCATCCACGCCTGCCTGCCCATCTACTTCATGAAACACGAGCCGCTGATCTGGCGCACACATGTTTGTCCAATTCTAATGAACATGCATTTGGCCCTCTGAGTCAGTGTGGATAGATGGCTTTTACTTGTCGGGCTTGTATCCGCCTTGCGTAACTCGCAGTGACCCCCCCGGATCCCATCCTTGTCGCTACCGCCAATTCTCTACGAACATTACGATCCCAAACTATTTCCTACGAGGCCGACATTACCTGCACCAAGTCTTCGAGTATCGCAATGGCGTCCAATGCGCAACCGACGAAATCCAGATGGGGCGTTGGAGCCTTTCTTCAGCAAGCTGTATCCGGAGTAGAATCTCGACTGGACACAATCCTAGCGAATGAAGACGATATACCAAGAACCTCATCTGCTAAAGCAGAAGATGCAGCTTCGAAAGCTACCCCCGCTACTGGGAAGCCAGTTCCCGGAGGTATGCACCATTTCCGTGCTTGACGCTTCCACAGACTAACACACTTGTAACGCTCAAGTTTCTCGGACCTCCTCAAATGCCCGAAAAAATGATCGCTTACAGGAGCGCCTGGCAAGGGCCATGGCTAAATCACAGAGCCCCGTAGGCTCTAGCAGTCCTCGATCGTCCGTTGAAGTACCGTCTCGTTCGTCAACGCCTCTGCTAAACAATGAAACTCGCGCCAGTCTAGATAGCACGAGAGCTAGCTTCGACCAATTAATACCTAGTGGCGGAAGCAAGGAAGGCTCTACCTCTGCCGTGGCAAGGGATAGTCTTGATTCGAGTAGTCTGCCGCGGTCCTCCAAGGATTCACCAGTAGCTGGAAATATCCTGGACAATAGCAATCAAGAAGGGGGAAGTGACGAGCGTGAAATATCCGAGTCGAGGATCGACGATGTTACGATTAATAATGACGCTAGCGAACCTCCGGGAATCGTATTACAGGCTGAAGGCGCAGAGACGCTATCTCCAGCTCCAGACAACGCTTTAGAGGAGCTCCAGGCGGAACACAAAGCCGCTGAATCCAGATGGCAAGAAGAAATGCACGAATACATTGAGAAAATTGATGCTCTGCAGTCGAAGCTGAAGTACCTAGCCAAGGAAGCTGCGGACTCGGCACGGGATGCGGCCTCTGCTGCAAAACCTGGCAGTATTGAAAAGCAGTTGTCGGAGAAGGACGAGCGCATTGCACTCTTAATGGAGGAGGGACAGAAATTGTCAAAAACAGAGTTAGACAACAGAACTGTTATCAAGAAGTTGCGACAGCAGCTAGCAGAGAGCAACAAAGAAGAAAACGATATGAAGCGGCGCGCAGCTAAATTAGAACGGAATGTTAGCGATGCCGAAGCAAGAGCAAGACGAGCAGAGGCGTCAGAGAAGAGAGCACAGGAGAGCTTGAACTCACAGTCAAAGGCTTCCAAGGAGCTCGAGGCTGTCACTTCTGAACGAGATGCTTTGACAACAACAGTAGAAGAATTAACAAGCCAGCTAGAAAGAGCAGTTTCTCGCGCCGAATCCGCGGAATCTAAAGCCCAGACCGAAGCTCTGGAGCAGTCGAAACGCCGCGTTACGGAATTGGAAGATGACCTGTCAAGTGTCAAGATAGAAAGAGAACTCAGCGAAGAGAAAATGAAAAGAGAAATTCGAAGCCTTCAGGATAGTTTGGAACGGGAGAAGGAAAATGCCCGTGTGTTGGAAGCGGAACTCAAGGGCGAGCAATCAGCATTAGAAAGCAAAATGGAAAGCTTTCGCACAAGAGCCGAAGAAGCCTCCTCAAGTACAGCTGGTGAAACACAGGCTAAGTTGCTTCGTCAAATCGAGACGTTACAGACACAATACGCTGTGGCTAGTGAGAATTGGCAAGGTATTGAGAGCTCTCTGATATCGAGGGTAAACGAAATAGAGAAGGAGCGCGATGAAATTGCTCGCAAGGAGGCAGATCTACGACGGAAAGTTCGAGAAGTGGTACGTTGCATACATCGTAATCAGTGATTTGTGATTATCTATGTTAACAAATGGCGTGCATTACTAGAATATCAAAGCACGAAGGGCAGAGGATGAGCTTGAAACTGCGCGGGAGACGATCGAAGAGTTAGATCGCTCACTCCAAGAGACCAGGCAACAGTTACAAAAACTTCAGCAGAGAGTGCAGAAATCAGAAGAAGAGCTCGCTACTGTTCGCAAAGAGGCAGCAGACAAGGAGAAGTCTACCGAAGCTTTGTGGACCCAAAAACTTGAAGAAGAAAGGGCAAGATGGAGAGACCATGTCGTTTCACCACCCCCTTTTCTTCAAGAACCCCGGACGACGTCGCCCGTTGCTTTGAGCCGCAGATCAACCGGCCTTGATCCTCTTAGCATTGACAGTCGTCCACTAAGCCGTCGTTCATCCACACTTCCATCTCAGGCAGACATATTGACTCCTTCGCGGACGAACTCTTTCCCATCCTTCCAAAACATTGGCTCCCCGAACCCCTCGAGCGGCCTTCCTAACCCTAATTTGTTAGGTGCACCGCCCATTCACACCTTGGAACCAGATGAATATTATAACGGAAGTCCCGCAACGCCATCGGCTTATGGAGCACAGACAGCCCACTCCCGCGGAAACGGGATAAATGAAATAATATCTGTCTCAACGGTTGGTGCCGGGCCTTCAGTACAACTTGTTGAGCGTATGAGTGCAACAGTTAGACGACTCGAGAGCGAGCGTGCTGCTACAAAGGATGAACTTGAACGCATCACAGCACAGCGAGATGAGGCTAGAAAGGAGGTCGTCGAATTGATGCGCGAGTCCGAAGAAAAGCGTAAAGCAGATGCCCGTATATCAGAACTGGAGATGCAGACTGTACAACTAGATCAACGCTACCAAACCACACTTGAGCTCCTTGGAGAGAAAAGCGAACAAGTTGACGAGCTTCAAGCCGACATCGCCGACCTCAAGAAAATATATCGCGAGTTAGTTGATAGCACCATGAAGTGACACGACACCGCGAACCTTGAAAGTCACTTCACTCGCATATACTGTAAATATTTCAATTGATACATTTGTGATATCGCAAGCAAGCGAACCCATGTATGTTTGATGGATAGCATTTTTTTTATTCTCCCTCTCTTATACGAAGCCAACGATTTTAGACTTTTGCCGGCTACCTTTGCATTCAAGGAAGTTCTATGCCCTCGCGTTCTGCAGTCTGCAAGATATATTTTCGAACCTGCAATCATAATATCTTAGCGTGGTACTTCATACAGTCAATGAATAGATAGCACATACCTTTGAGTCCGGCGCTAAGTCGATAGCCAGACGTCCTTCCGCGTCTCTTTTTTCGAGATCAGTACCGGCTTTCATCAATAATATTGCTGCATCTCCATGGCCTTCTGAGATGGCATGATGCAATGCTGTCAGGCTGTCGATGTCGGTGGCATTGACAGGGCTCTTTCCTTCATCAAGCAGGATCTTCAATATGGGAGTGGACCCGACAGCTGCAGCACGATGTAACGGTAGTTGCCCTCGTTTATCCTTAACTCGTGCTCTGCATTTGTGTGCAACGAGGGTTTTGACGGTGGAAAGATTGGCCTTTGAAGCTGCGAAATGAAGAGCATTCTATTATTAAGAGACTGTTATTAGCTATTGATTTCCGATAGTCTGGAAGATGGTATTGAGAGACTATACCTGACCGGAGATACTCTTCATGTTCACATCGGCATCCTTGCGTAGTAATAGATCAATTATAGGATCACCTTCGGCGTTTTTCAAGCTCGCGGCGATCATAAGCGGGGTCCAACCAGAGCCATCCTGTGATTTCACATCAATGAGAAGCTAGTTCATAGAAGCATTGAAACAAGCAACAAGGATAGACAGACTGTGACGTCCGGGTCGAAGTATCTGTTGGCAACGAGCAATTCCACGATTGGTAATCGGTTATATGCCGCGGCCCAGTGTATTGGTAAACGTTCATCATCGTCTTTGAGGGAGGCCAGTTTAGGATTTGCCTGAAAGAAAGAACATTGATCAGGAGACTATTTCGATAAATAAATATTGTCGTATTGAAGGTATGCTCACATTCAGCAGCGATTCCACTATAGAAGCTTGGGGCGAGTTAGCAATCATTCGAACTTTCTTCACCGGTGTACTACTCACTTTTCCCTTCACGCGCGGCCTCGTGTATGGCAAATTTCGCTTCAGAATCCGACGCCATTATGAACTTGGAAATCGAATGAAGAAGTAGTTACAAATCTGTGGATAATAAATCAATGAGAGAGGGAGAGAGTAAAGGTGCGGGGCCAAGATATACGCCGGGCGGAGAAAGAGGTGGCCCGAGCTTCCTCTGAGCGAAAGTTCGGATTGTTCATCAACGTCCGCCGCCATCAGTCGTTTGGGTTCTTCCACTCTGGTCGAACGCCCACATTTACGCGCATTCTGCCTCTACAACAGGTATACTCGCCATTGCCCTGTTACTTACACCATAAGTTTATCGGAAGACTCCTTGTTTGGCCCCATCAGTTTGCCTGTCGAACATTTGTCGCAAAACGCCTCGTCTTATACTCAGCAATGGACGCGGTGTCGAATCCATTGCCAGCTGACCAAGCTGTACGTCAATCCGCGAAAAGGACTGTTGAGCTTTTTGGGTCCGATTATTTGATGGCTACACCCTCAACGTTTGGCGATGGTACTATAGGTCTTTCGTACCGGAGGAAAATCGAATACGAAGACGTGAGAGAGCTTCCAAAGGCCCTTGCAGAAAAGCAAGCAAAAGCAAATGCTTCGCGTACAAAGCGACCGAGGATTACTGGTCAGAATCAGGACAAACAGGGTGGTAGCTCAACAGCGCTTGTAAAAGCAACTCCAGCTGGATCATCTACCGAGAATCAAAGCAAAAGCCTTATTGCGCGCCCTTCGGCGACAGTGCAACAGAAGCCCGAATGGCATGCGCCATGGAAGTTGATGAGGGTGATATCTGGTCATTTAGGTTGGGTACGCGCCTTGGCTGTTGAGCCTAACAACGAATGGTTTGCTAGCGGTGCAGGCGACAGGACAATTAAGATTTGGAATCTGGCAACAGGATCACTCCGTCTTACGTTGACTGGTCATATATCAACTGTTCGTGGTCTTGCGGTGTCCCCTCGCCATCCATACCTCTTCTCTTGCGGTGAAGACAAGATGGTTAAATGTTGGGATCTTGAAGCGAACAAGGTTATCCGACACTATCATGGGCACTTAAGCGGAGTCTACACGCTTGCTCTTCACCCAAAACTCGACGTGCTCGTCACAGGAGGTCGTGATGGTGTCGCCAGAGTTTGGGACATGCGAACGCGCAGTAACATCCACGTCTTAAGTGGCCATAAAGGCACGGTTTCCGATGTCAAGTGCCAAGAAGCTGATCCTCAGATCATCACTGGTTCTCTCGATTCGACTGTTCGTCTCTGGGACTTGGCGGCAGGTAAGACTATGGGAGTGTTGACGCATCACAAAAAGGGTGTGCGAGCTCTCGCTGTGCACCCCAAGGAGTTCACATTTGCAAGCGCTAGCACTGGCAGTATCAAGCAATGGAAATGCCCCGAAGGCGCCTTCATGCAAAACTTTGAAGGTCAAAATTCCGTCATCAACTCTATTGCGGTAAACGAAGATAATGTTCTATTCTCCGGTGGCGACAATGGATCCATGTCTTTCTGGGATTGGAAAACTGGCCACCGCTTTCAATCACTCGACACTACCGCACAACCTGGTTCGTTGGATGCCGAAGCTGGTATCATGTCGGCTACATTCGATCGTACTGGTCTACGACTGATTGTCGGTGAAGCCGATAAGACCATCAAAATCTGGAAACCTGATGATGAGGCTACCCCAGAGTCCCATCCGTTGGACTGGAAACCAACTTTGGGTAGACAAAGGTTTTAGTCTCCTTGGGGTCGCTGTGGATATTTCGACTTTGCATTGCATCGGAGTTCTGGTGAGTTTAGGTTAGGACAAAAGGAATGAAAGCAGCGGAGTCTTAATGTACTCCGAAAAAGCTCTTGTGTGTATATGGATGTCTCTTTCTTGCTGCTTTTGGGCTCTGCAATCAGTATAACCAAACTAGATATCTGAATATGTGTATACTCTAATTTACTCTTGTGTGTTCAACGGATGATCTAGAATTATCCAATTTCATTAAGGGAATATATATCTATTAAATCTAATGGTAAATGATAAAAGATACCCCCTGCTCATGGTAGATGTAGATAATCAATACTCCGAAGCCAATGCATAAATGCTTACTTACATGTATACATAATTGTTCCGTAACTAACAATACTATTGATCAAAGCCCAGTCCTAATCCCTTGGCCTCAATATCATCTCTGAACGCGGACTTGACTTCTTCAGCGGCCACTCGAAGTCTTACTTTGCCGCTCCTATCTCCGCCCCCCCTAACCCTAATTCCAACTCCAGTCTCAAGAGCCACAACACCCGAATTCATGAGTTCCATGGCAGCAAACACCATAGCTTGCATCCTTGCGCGAGGATTGTCCCTTCCGAGTAGGAAGTCTTTGATACTAGCACCTGAAATCCCCGCAATTGCCACCGCTGCATCGGCAATGCGTCGCGCCTCATCGAGTACGTCGCCCATTGTAGACTCGGATATGCCCGTTCGACGGACTCGAGCAAGGAGAGCGGCGAGGAATAGCTTTCCGGCCAGCGGAAGACAGCGTAGAGATTGCTGTAAGGGAGTTGATGTTGCTTCTTGAATGGCCTGTTTTATAGTAGAGATCGTTACACGTGGAAGTTTCTGTGCGGGCTTCTTTTGGGGAGTCTCTATTTTCACGACGGTCTCGTGTGTCTTGCTATTGTTCTTCAGACTTCTGCTCCTGCGTACGCTGCTCTTGCTTGGTGTTGGGGGAAGAGATTCTGTATCGTCGATGGCATTGTTTGTGGCAGATGATTCGCATTCTTGTTCTGCAATCTCGACAGCACGACGACAGATATCTAGCGCTCGTCGAGCGTCTCCACTAACAGCGGCAACTTTCCGGCTGGCAAACTGGATGGCATCGGCGTCCACTATGTTGCCCGGGACATTGGTGAGTCGAGAGGAAATAATCTCCATGAGATCCGTGTGTTTATAACCCGGGAAAGTAATGCGAGTGAGGCCTAGACGACTTGAGATCTTGTTGCTAAGCGTTCTTTCCGGCAGGTCCATAGTGTTAGCAACAGCAAGGACGATGAGTCGTGAGTGACGAAGGGCAGGCCAGTTGAAAAAGTTGTACATGACAGATTGGTTTTTCGTCACGAGTTGATCGAGCTCATCCATCAACACGACGCATGGGACTCGGCGCGGAGATGGATGACTGAATTCTCTTTCTAGAAGATCGAGTGCATGCGATGGTGATACACGGTCGCCTTTTAATGCTTCCCATAGAAGAGAGTAGGACTGATGAGGATCGGTCACTTTCATACCATTGATTTCCACGAAGATGAAGTCATCCATTTCTTCATCAAGCACTGCATTGTTCAATTGAGCAATCACTTCTCTAACAGTAGCTGTCTTGCCTGTTCCCGGTGTCCCTGATATGTATATGCAAGTACCACTACCCTCGCTGATTGCAGCACTAAGGTGTGTATAGACGGTTTCAAATTCGGCACTGCGGCAAGGCAGCGAGGCCGGCACACTAGATACATGCAGCAAAGCTCGTGCTTGACGGTATGGTGAAGAAACAAAATGCGATGGATCGAGGACACGAGTCCCGAGGGGCGTAAACTCAAGTGGCTTTTTCACCACAATTCTATCCAAGAAATTGACCGGTCAGTCATTGATTCTCATGGAGATGTAAGAGGCTTAGGAGAAAATACCGTTTGCTAGTCGGCGTGGTTAAGATTTTGCGTTTAGACTGAGGTGTAACTTGGAGGGCAGTTGTACGCCGTTTCTTTCTCGGAGTGATGGGAGCTTTATCATCCACATCTTTCATATCGACATACTGTATCGACAGCGTTAGCTCCTACACATAAGTATGTAACTTAATAATCCGAAGGCAACTCACGTCTTCGTCCGCAGCTTTACGCTTTTTGGCCGTTTTGAGGCCCACCTTGATCATCTCGATCAACTTGAACACACTCTCTTCATCTCCCTTGTACACGTCTTCCCAGAGGAACTCTTCGGTATATTTTCCTTGCGATTGGTTGACGCCTCTTCGACAGACAATGCACTTCTGGTATTCCGCCAATTCCGCCTTGTCTTTTGGCGGTGCTCCGTTCGGATATCTTGCATAAAAAGCATCTTTCGACATGACTCTCCCTCTGCCGTTAATTGAAGTAAGAGGATTCACATTGAAGTCTGCTGTCAAATATTGCTCATTGGGAAGAGCATCTGCTCGCTTTTTGTTTTTTGTCGACAGGAACTCCTCCGGCGAAGCAAACCACATAATGTTGGCTGATTTGATCATTTCCTCGTCGTCTTTGTCTTCCTCTTCAAGAAATTCGGTGATAATCCCTACCCAATCCTTTCCTGCTTCAGGGGATTTCAAAAGCACCACATGGCCCAGTCTGCACTCGAAGGAACCCATACGAGCGCCCAGAACTTTCCTTTTTTTATTGTTCGGCCGGACGGAACGTCGTCGGGGAGTCTGAGATTCGCGGTCATCTTCTTCGGTTGCTGGTGCTTGAGCTTTGTTCTCTTTATCTTCACTCGTATCGGTCTCATATATCCATTCCCAAGGAAGGTCGTCGTATCCCAGCTCATCGTCCGAATCTTCACGAACCAGTCCTCCTTTGGTGAGCCATTGCCGCGCCTTGTCTCTTGCGCTTAACCGTGTTGAAGAGCTATTTCGCACAGCCATTTTGTTGTTCGATCTGCGTCTGAAGCTGGCAGCATTCGAGGTCCACGCTGTGTCGGAAAGTTCTCTGGCCACTCAAAGGTGATTGATGACATAGCTTGTCCAATGTTGTGAATGCTTGGCAGTCGAAAGCAATTTTACCTAATCTGGCACACGCGTTGCTGCGCGGACGCGACGCGCTTTTCTGCATCTGAGCCATCCCTAGTGCGGTTAGTGTAGTTTTGCACCGCAGCCCACGGGACACTGGAACTAGCCTAAGAAGGGCTAGTGTGTATATTCCCTCCAAGATGATTGGACCGAATTTCAAAGCTCTCTAGTTGCCTAATGAAGTAATTATGTCCAACAACTGAAATAGAAGCCTGAGAGCCTGACAGAGATTCATGGCGCTAAAATTTAATCGTAAGGTTAATTTAAACCAAGCTCCACTGTTTCATCTCCTGGAATGGCTTAACTCTTCGTCACCATCGATGCCGAATTGTATTTTCATTCATTGGCTTGTCGACCACTGAGCAGGTAGGCACCTTCCTGAAAAGGACAGAACGAACTGACTGAAAAGGGAAAAAAAAAAAAAAAAAAAAGAAGGAAAGTGCGGTTACCCTCCCCTTACCCTGAGTTGTCACCTGACTTGGGCCTCACTTTGCCCTCTCTTTTCCTTTCTCTTTGTTCTCTTCCTCTCATTCCTTGTTTTCTGTTTTGTCTGCCTTTTCTTTTCTGTCGCATTCCTTTGCATTCGCTGGTCGTCTTTGCAATTCGGCCACCAGGCGCAAGACATGAAACCCACTTTCCACATTCACTTCCTCCGTCTTCGCACTTTGGAGTAGCAAGCTGATAAAACTGGATATCCATTCTTTGTAGTTGCTGGCTGACACAGAGACACAATACACAGTATTCTGACCCAGGCAAATGGGGATCCCAAGACGCGTGCTGAAAACAAATCCCAGGTTGGCTTTATTAGCAGAGCTGTGTATGCCTTCTCAGTAGGGCATTAAGGGCCCCCTAGACACAGAGCTGGTCCAAGCCTGCAGGAAGAAAAAAAGAGGGCCTCCCAGGGCTCATATTGGCCAATTGATCCAGGCTGACCTTGATTTGGAAGGACCTTTGCTGATAATGTCTCGTACAATCCACAATATTGTGTGCATCTGATTCCCACCCGAGAGACTTTTATTGGCTGGGTGCCATAATAAGGACTGTTTTTGGAGTCCTCACAAATTCTATTTGACCTGGCAAGTCTTTGGTTGATATTTGACTTCTTTGCACACAAAACGCAGAATATTTTTGAAGTCCAATACAAACTTACGAGAGCAATGAGCCAGGGAGAGACAAAAATGGCGGAGGAAGATTTCCAAGATTTAATCCAGGTGTCTATGGAGGCACCAGAACCTGTTCAAGCTGACGGTCAGGAGGTGTGTTCTCCCTCATGAGGTGCAATGAAGCTTTAATGTCCACTCCCCAAGGGAAACAGTATACCTCTTTACACTGAAATACGATAATTAGAAGTGCTTCGACTGACACTTTGAATTTCACCAACACAATAGAACGACCTCGAGGTATCGTGTGGTGGCAAGACGAAGTTGTACCTCATGGGATTGCCGAATTCTGGAAACAGGGTCGCGTCTATCCTAATAAACCCTACGGGCGGGGTCGCTAGAGTGAAGTTCTTGACAGAATCCCTGGAAGATGTCCAGATCAGCGGTGTTTCACCTCAGCACGCTGAGCGGTGGCTGAGGAACAGCTCTCGCTTACTATCAGCGGTCAAACATTCCTTGCGAACCGTGCCATCAACTAGCAATGTCTGTCAGATGAGAGTGACACTGGGTTCCTTCGTTTTCGACCAATACCGTGTCCCAATGGATTTGCGCGCTGGATACTCTGTCGATGACTTCGACGGAATGCTGCGTCACGAAATGAGCAGTGGCCATCTCGTATCTGGGTAAGATTGACCATTGATATCATATCTGGAATATAGTGTCCGACTAACTGAGGTGGCTCGACTCTAGACTTAACCTTAGCCAGCAATTACTCCTAGATCGGATTTCCCAAGCAAGCAGGCTATTCGCCCTCGAACGTGGTCACTCGCCAGCTTCCAACATCCAGCACGCCGTGAAGGTAGAGTTTGCATCAAAAGAAAAGAAGTCTCTACATTTGGAAGTGGACTTCAAACTGTCCGGGAGACATTACGAACAAGTCAAGTCTCGATGGGTGGAGTCGCCAATTGTGAGACCGTCTGCTCAAAACCGACCACTGCTGCAGGCTGTGATGATAAATCCTGAGAGGTAAAAGCCTCCTTACCTATAGTTAAGTGAAGTAGACTGACAACAGCGTAGAGCGGATTGGGAGCTGAAGATAAGAGAAAAATTGATACTGGATGCAGATCAGATTAGCGTCTCCATGCGTGAGTTTCAGCATCAAATTCGACTCCGTGATAGCGTCGTTGAAGAATCTCTCTCGACGAATCCAAAACGACGCACGATAATCCCCAGCGGCTTCGCAGTTCGTCGTCTCATGGAAAAAGCTGCAATGCGATTTCCTATCCAAGGAACAGACTACATCTTGGAGGTAGCTCGATATGATGTGTATGATCCGAAGCCGAAACAAGCACGCGATGCATTGTCCGCCGCACAGATGGATTTCAAACCTCCGTTCTCAACTTGGGAGGCAGTCATATTGGGTGAGAGTTGGGATCGGGAAATGGTAAATGTCGGTAAATGGACGTACGGTCGCAACGTGAACATCGATGCAGGTCTCAAAAAATTCTTCAAGCAGAAACAAGGTGAAACACAGAGGGCCGCTTTTGAGCGCTTTATCAAAATTGTCACTGACGTGGCAGGGCTTTGGGATCAAAATGGCTCTCATCTCCCGGAACTTATGTCTGCCATTGAGGGCACGCTCATTGAGTTGGATTAGGTGGAGAGTTGGATTCTACAGACGGATGAACAAGGATCGTACATTTACTGATGCTAGTCAAAATCTTTTACTTTACATGAAAAATATCTGTACTGACTTGTGTGGGACACTTTGGTTTTTTGTGACGGCACGAAGCTGCTGATGGCAAAGGGGTGTTCAGATGCTGCTTTCCCGTATTTCTGTTTCATCTCGTCATTCATGCGCCGCTTGGTTTCGTTTGGTTCTTGCTATTAATATCTATTAGATTCTTCCGATGCATGTCTTTCCATTGCCTATTTATCCTGACCGAAATTGTAACCACGCACGATTGTTTCAACCAAAGAGACATAACCAGACGGAAGCTTTGCGTGTGGATTTTCCTCCAAGTTATCGGTGATATTAGCCAGCAGGAGCTGTGACAGCTTCGCCGCTCAGAACCTTTTGTCGAAGAGCTGGATGACGTTAGCAAGATGTAAGTAATCAAGTAGAAAACAGAGAAGCAATCTTACCATCCTCAATGATCTTCAAATTTGTACTTTTCCCTTGAACTATTTTTTCCAGATCGGAGATGTTCGCTTCCAAATCCTTGACTTTCTTATTGTAAAACTCGGTAGCCTTCGCAGTGGTCTGGTTGCAAGTAGAGGAGCACCGCATTAGTATATGTCCAACTCTCATCTTTTAGAGGCCGAAAAAGTAGAGAGCCTACCTTCTCAACATAAAATCCTGTTCCGACATCCACAAGCACCTTCTGTCTATCTGCCATTCTCCCCTTCACATACAACGAACTGGTCAATGGTACAAGAATGCCGTCACCAGCACCAGAGCCAGCATTTTTCGACTGCTTCCCAACAACACCATCATTAATTGTTCGAACACAATCGCGGAATTTGGATTGTGCGGCGCGAAGTTTTGCGTGTGAATTGGTTAATTGCTCGAGTTCTGAGTTGAGTCGTGATTGGAGGGTGCGGAGTTGTGGTACGGAGAGGGTTGTTACGTCAACTTCCAATAGTCAGCGAGGATTGTTTAGTAGACAGTGAGCAAAGAGACAGGATAGTGGAAAAGAACATGGCGATTTGAATGGCGCTCTTGAGATTCATACGTACCTGCTCCTGGGGGGGCTTCTCCGCCGGCGGGGGTGTTTGGTGGTGGCATTTTTTCTTTTTTTCTTTTTTCTTTTTTGGTTGTTGTAAATTAGGCTGGGAGTCGCTGGAGGTGCTGGCTCAAGGCTCGGACTATTATGCAGCAAGGGCTTGTATATAATAGGCAATTTAATGCTCGAGATGTTTGAGTGAGCTGCAACGAGGCAGAAGTATGTGATGGTGAAGTTGTGGGACAGAAATGAAAGCTCCGCCAAATGGCTGGTGGGGAACAGGAACTCCGCATCCACTACTACTTCATTGGGCCATATCAAGTATCTATACGATGGGAGATATTTTTATCAGGCCATGGAAAAATATATATATATATATATATATATATGAAACTAATAATACAGAGTATTCAATTAAATATATACTAATCTACACTCTCGGAATGCCAGGTTTATAGTCTCTGTAATAGTGACTGGACGTATTCAACCACGTTATCGATATGGACATCATCCTGAAGACCGCCCAGTTGTCGACAATGGACCTCAAGCTTTTGCGCTGACTTCCACGCCTTCCCAACGAGAACCACAACTGGGTAACCAATCAAATCGGCATCCTTGAGTTTCCAGCCCACCTGCTTGGCGCGATCGTCTAGGATGACATCGCTAGTATCTGTGTGTTTTCTCAGCAAATCGTATACATTCTCAGCCTCGGCATCGAGGTTTCTGGCCGGTATGACGATGATTTCAAAAGGCGCAATTGCCCTTGGCCAGTTGAGGCCGCGAATATCGGCACGCACATCTGCCACTGCCGATATCATGCGGGAGACACCGATTCCATGACAGCCCATTTCCATTGGCACAGCTTGAGGCTTTCTGTTGTGTGTGGGTTCGCCTGGCTTTGTTACTGAGTTGTCCACAAAAACCTTGGCTTTCAGCACCTCTGTGTAGCGTGTTCCCAGGTAGAACGTGTGGCCAAGCTCCACGGCATTGTGTGTCTGCAGACTACCATGGCTACACTTGGGGCACTTTTCACCGTCGAGTACCCTAGTCAGACTTAACCCATCTTGCGTGCCAGGGAAACGATTTAGTAGAGCGAACTGAATTGGTTGTTCAGCTGTGTTGAATCCTTGGGGCAGTCCGCTGAGAGGAGGACGGCTGTAAGGGACGATCTGCGAATCGTAGATATCGAGAACTTTATGCGTCGGTTCGATTGATGAATTGGTAGCTGATAGTTTCTCAATGTCGCTTAGCCATAGCGCAACAGGGTTCTCTACACCGGTGTCAAGATCGACACCTGTCGATTTGGCAATCGCCTTGATGGCGTGAGAATTGATCTCTCTTTCACCGGGTTCATCTCCGAGGTCCTGAGATGAATATCTTGGATACCAGGCTCTCACCAAAGTTTTCTTGTCTTTGGAAATAGCGGTCCACAATGCTGTCGATATGGCCGGCGGATTTTCGGTCCCAACACCAGTCTCAGAAGGTGTAGGAATAGCTAATGGCTCTTCAACAATAGGGCCAACTGCATGGCCATCCGATACTTCCTCGTTATATACGTAACCACATTCAGAGCAGCTGATCAGTGTGTCTTCTCCTTTGCCGCTGATAAAATGGAATTCATGGCTCAGATTACCGCCCATATTCCCTGAATCAGCAGCCGCGACTAGGTATGGGATTTTCAACGTGTCGAATATGCGTTTATAAGCTTCCCGCACTGCTTCGTATGTCTCCAATGCTTTTTCTGTGTTGTAATCAAATGTATAAAGATCTTTCATTAGGAATTCTCGGCCACGCAGAAGCCCCTGTCGTGGTCTTGCTTCGTCTCGATATTTCCTTGCTTGAAAAATAGTCAGCAAGCCAGAAAAAACATGTGTTATTATCATCTGGGTCCATACAGATCTGATACACCCTCAGCGGCAACTCCTTGTATGAAGTCACTAGGTTTGCAACTAATGAGGTGATCTCTTCTTCATGCGTAGGGGCAAGTAGGAAACGAGACTCTTTCCTATCATTAAATGTGAAAACCTGGAAAGTCGGATTGTTAATTTTCAATTGAGAAAGACACCGGCGTCGCATATACCTCGGAGCCGCTTTTCAAGCGGCCAGTTTTCTCCCATAGTTCTTGAGATGACAAAGATGAAAGAGACAACTTTGATGCACCTTGAGAGACGTCAGACTTATGGTGACTTCGGTTTCAACTAGCATCAAGTTCCCATGCTAACATACCGATAGACTGCATTTGTTTATCAATCAATGCTTGCAGTTTGCTTTCAACACGGAGGCCTAATGGTAGCATATGGAAGACGCCCGAATAAGCCTGGCGCAGAAAGCCTGCTCTAATCAAGAGGTCATTTGCATCTTCTATAGCCAGCTGTCAGAGGAGATCCTTTAGGTCTGATGGATAGGGCGGGCAACCTTTTTCTGTTTCAGCCGCTTTCCTCTCAATACCTCCGGTAGGAAGCCAAAAGCTTGACGCTCGAGTTCGGCCGTCATACTTCACAATTAGTCAGCCAAGACAAAATATGTAACAATAGCAGTATAGCATGACTTTACATGGACATCGCGTTTCAAAGCCAGGAAGCTATTCCATTGTTCGACAGAGGCCAGTCGAAAGCCTGCAACAGGCCTCGGACTTGGGAAAAACCTCAACCTTGTGAACATCTAACTCTAATGCTTGCTACTGGCGAAACATAAATCAAGAATAGAGAACAGCTTTCCAAATCGCCGTTGACATGCTTGATAGTTGACAAAAAAGCAGCATCTCGAAGTTCCAAAAAGGAAGATCCTCTGGAACGGCGCTAAACCCAATCCCGCGGGCGGATGGCCCGAGCTCCCGTTTTGATATCGGCAGCCGCAAAACTATTCTCCGGCGGCGTCCCTCTAATTTTTTTGGTTTTATCCGGCAGAAAAAATAAAATAAGAGAAGAGCCATCGTTGTTCACGCCTTGAATAAACAATCAATTGTCATGGCGAAAAGCAAGGAGAAGCGCTCTTCGGGCGTGCAAGCCCCACGAGTCGAGATTTCATCTCATGCCGAAGAGTCGAAAACTTCTTCAGAGGAAAATTTCATCTCGCTCGATGCCGGCGCGCTTGCCAATCTTACCAAAAAAATCGAACAAAATCTGAAAGGCGGCCAAGGGTCCAATAATAAACCCCAGAAACAGAAACGCACAGAAAATCCTAAGACCGAGAACAAAAGGGAACCGAAGAAAGACGCTGCGGAAAAGAAGGGGGCTGCTCCAAAGACGAATCAGGGCAAAAAGCGGAACCGAAATGGAGACGTTATTGATAAACCAGACAAAGATGGGAAGGCTCAAACCGAGAGCGAGGATGATATTTTGAGAAGGGAGATCTTGGCCTTGGGTGGTAGCAAGGAAGACTTTGATCTTTTAGCCAATGTGGGCTCGGATTCAGAGGTCGAGGATTCTGCACACAGCCAAAGCAAAAAGGCGGGGTCAGACGAAGATTCTTTGAGGAAGGAACTGTCTAAACTCTTAAAAGATGCTGGTCAGTATAATCCTGAGATTCCGGACGATCAAGTCACCGAGGAAGAGGAGAAAATGGGCGAAGATGAAAGCGAGGACGAGAGTGAGGGCGATGAAGATATAGTTGAGACAAAGTCGAATGCATCTGAGGCTAGCGAAATTGAGGAAGAGTCTTTGAAATCACAACAATCCGCAAAACTTGACGATCAAAAGAAAAAGGATGCTGTGCCTGAGACGCTGTCACAGTTCCCCAAGGAATACTCACGATTGGTAAGCCATTCAGCACCCGCAGATTTCAAGAGCCAACTTACTAATTAGTTTATAGACCGTAATGCCCAGATCTGACTGGTACAACACTGACTTGCCTTCAGTCTCTTCTGCAAAAATTACCACGGGGCTGCCCAAGTTTCTTTTGGATCGGATTCAGCAGCATGCCACCTCGCTACTAGAGAAGGAGAACGAACTATACTCGCAAATATCGAAGCAATCGGCTTCATCATCTCACAAGTTTTACTCGACTATCATGACCTCGGGAACACTGAGTGACAAGATCTCAGCGCTCACGTTGGCTGTCCAGGAATCGCCTGTTCATAATATGAAGGCTCTAGGGGATCTCGTTGCTTTGTCCAAAAAGCGGAGCCGTGCTCAGGCTGTGGATGTCCTACGTTCTCTCAAAGATCTATTCGCGCAGGGAACACTTCTTCCAGGTGACCGCAAGCTGAAAGCATTTGCCAACCATCCGGAACTCGTGGCGGCATTCCAGAAAGCTGGGAATAAATGGACCGAGCGTGATCCTCTTCCCGGTGCTCTCCAATCCAAGCATCTGATAATCTGGGCTTTCGAGGATTATCTAAAGTCACAGTTCTTTGAAATACTGAAAGTTCTGGAAATCTGGTGCAATGACGAAATTGAGTTTTCACGCAGTCGTGCCGTCAGCTATGTGTATGAACTTCTCAAAGAAAAACCGGAGCAAGAGGCCAATCTTATGCGTCTTCTAGTAAACAAACTTGGTGATACCGGGAAGAAAATTGCATCTAGGGCGTCGTATTTGCTACTTCAACTAACCCAAGCACATCCGTTGATGAAGCCAACCATCATCCGGAGTGTCGAGGAATTTCTCTTCCGACCGGGCCAAAACGCACACGCCAAATACTATGCAATCATTACACTCAATCAGACGATTCTTAGCACGAAAGAGGAGAAGGTAGCCATTCAGCTTTTGGATATTTACTTTTCGATTTTCCTCCAGCTGTTGAAGTCTACAGACAAAAAGAATCTAAAGGAGGGCAATCCAAGAAAAGGCAAAAAGGGCAACGGCGCGAAAGATCAAAAGGGACAAGCAGAACATGACGAACAGCTGAAAGAAAAGCTGATTTCTGCTGTCTTGACGGGAGTCAATCGAGCCTATCCGTTTACTAGCTCCGATACTGACAGGTATGTTATTCAAAAGCGTCGTTCTGGACTTTACTAACGTATCTTATACAGTCTCTCAAAACATATAGACACTCTGTTCCGCGTCACCCACTCATCCAACTTTAACACTAGCATTCAAGCTCTTATGCTCATTCAGCAGCTTACTGCCACGCATCAAATCGCCGCGGATCGGTTCTATCGTACTTTATACGAGTCCCTTCTCGACCCTAGGGTTGCAACATCGTCTAAGCAATCGCTCTACTTGAATTTGTTGTTTAAGTCACTGAAGAATGACACGAGCATCAAGCGGGTCAAAGCGTTTGTGAAGCGAATTGTTCAAGTCTTGGGGTTGCATCAGCCGTCTTTTATCTGCGGTGTTTTCTTTTTGATCAGAGAATTGGAGAAGACCTATCCCGGTTTATTATCGCTCGTTGACCAACCAGAAGAGGACGACAGTGACGAGGAAGAAGTCTTCAAGGATGTACTTGATGAAGAGGACCAACAGGTAGCAGGGAAAAGTGACGAGACGATTGAGACCCCCAAGAAAGTCACGAATGGCTATGATGCTCGTAAACGAGATCCTCAACACAGCAATGCCGATAAGAGCTGCCTGTGGGAGTTGGTAAGTTTATCTATCAGAGGGGTTTGGTTTGGCAAGAGTGAAAGTTGTAATATTGATTGTTATTATCTAGCTTCCTCTCCTCTCTCACTTCCATCCATCTGTTTCCGTGTCATCCTCTCATATTCTTGGTCATGAACCGCTGACTGGCAAACCCGATCTCACTATACATACACTGAGTCACTTCTTGGATCGATTTATCTACCGAAATGCCAAGGCGACTGGTTCGGTGCGCGGTACATCGATCATGCAGCCACTTGCAGGATCTGATAGTCACGATCTACTGGTCAGCGCTAGCGGCATTGTGGGAGATGCTCGTACGCAAGAGCCACTCAACTCGGAGGCATTCTGGCGTAAGAGAACCGAGGATGTTGCAGCTGAAGATGTCTTCTTCCATGAATACTTTAACCGGTTGGGCAAGGATAAGACGGCCAAGAAAGACAACAAGAAGAAAGCCAAGGATCCAGTTGAGCGCGATGAGGAAGCCGCAAGTGATAGCGACAATGAATCGGAGATATGGCAAGCGCTCGTGGATTCGAGACCTGAGCTGGAGGGAGATGATGAAGATGACGATCTTGATATGGACGATCTTGAATCAGCCTTTGATGATGACGACGATGGGGATGCTGATGGTCTTGATGACGATGAAGGGGTTATCTTCAACGATGAGTCCGACGAAGAAGAGGAGGAAGAGGAAAAAGAAGAAGAAACACCAAAGACAAGCAAGCCTCAGAAGAAGTCATCCAATGATAAACCCGAGGACGAAGATGAAGACGAAGACGAAGATGCCTTTGATATGGACGTATCTGATGAAGAGGCGTTCCGTGACAGTGACGAGGATCTGCCATCTGATCTCGACATCGATATGGATACGGAAATGGGAGGAGTCGCTTTACCTTCTGCATCTACGGAACAAGATGATAATACCAAGGGCTCAGAACAGAAAAAGAAGAGGCGCAAGCTTCGACACTTGCCTATGTTTGCATCGGCGGATGATTATGCAGCCTTATTGGCAGATGAAGATGACGGGCAGGCATGACGGGCGCCAACAAAGTAGAGTAGCGTCATGGATTGCAATGGTCAGGAAAGATGGTAGTGTAGCAGATAGTACATAGCATATATTTTTATTGTTTCAATTTCATTTCCAGGATGCACGAAGTGATCATAACAACGGATTCGGAACGCTGTATAAGCTAGTATTGGAATAACTAACTAATCTGCATATCTAACTAAAGAGATTGTTCAGGGGCTCATTTGAGGCCATATTTATAATCAGAATAAAGGTCAATTAGGACACATATCTAATTATTATTTCTAGCCAATTAGGTGCACCTCTGAGAAATATAATATGAGTAATAAATTATACAGTTGTTCACCGCCTGCAGGACGCACGCTACCACCTTGTCAGAGAATGTAAGGCGGAATCCTGGATGGAGTACGGCGAGCACGTGACCTCGCCTGGCTTCCCGCCGCTAATTGGACTAGCGGCTTGGCACGCACCGCCTTATAACCGCGGGTGGCCGCAGGCCTTCGTGAGGCAGCGATTAGCTGCTGAGCATACGTGTATATACGTTCTATATTCGAATCTATCCCTAGGCCGAAGCCGAATCCTAGCTACGTTCTTGCAACCCCCGTCACATAAAAAATATTTATAATAATCATAATAAAGAACAAAATATAAGAATATTTATTTATTATTAATTTAATTTTCTTCTATGAATAATAAAAGAACTGATTTTGATTGAGATCATTTATAAAATTTCTATAAATTAAATGTATAATATTTAGTCCTTATCTTAAATTAATTAAGATAACTTGAGTATATAATCTCTTATTAATTAAGATATTTAATCTTATTTGTCTAAGATTTTATTATTTCTATACCTTTCATACTCCAGAAGCCTATTAACTTTGCCCATTAATAGTTATCCTAGCTATACTCGACGGTAATTCGACTGAAGTTTCCGACATCACAGTTTTATACAGTCTTAATACTGCTCTAATTTCTATTTTTCCCAACTGCAAGAGCCTACCCGTGAATGCAATTATTGCCAGTCTTTACCAAGAGCGAGTGATCTGCTAGCATCTGAGCGTGGGCAGGCATATTATAAAGAGTGGCACTGGAAGAAATAGACGTGCGGTGTTAATGCCCGTGTCAGATTCCACTCGCAATGAGCCTAGTTACAGAAGGCATAAAAGCGGCAACGCATTGATAAAAAACTCACATGCACCATGAACCAAAACATTGAAACAGTGCAGACAAAGAATAGTGATCAAGACAAATGCTGCATAGAAGGTTTATTCTGAAAGTTGGGTTTCCCATAAGTACCATATGTACAGAATACAAGCTTGTTACCTGCTTGGTGGCTTACTGTCCGATGGAATCATAGAAACAGAGGTGTTGTCTAATGGCGATTTGGGTGTCAGTTGGTATCCCCGCCCGTAGCGCTCGCTGTATGCCTGAGTCTGGCTGTCTTGACCAACAGGGGGGGTTCGCTGGCTATCCGCAGACTGCGAATCTGGATCATACGTTTGCTGGAATTTGATACTAGTCATGTCCCGAGATAACTGTTGGAGAGAGTCATCACTGAGATGGCCACCAACCTGTCTATTCCTCCATCCTAGTCCTCGATTCTTTCCATGAATGACTTGTCCGTTGGTTGAAATCATGAACTGTATGGAATCGCCGGTACCATGATTTTCGACAGTGGTAACGGTCTCTTTGAGATGTTTGTCTGCTCGCGAGCAGATATCTATGCATTGACGAGTCGTTTTCCACTCGTCTCGTAGTCTGGTCAAATCCACAATGTCCTCCTCAGATGTCATGCCCGATTTGGATTTCGCAAACATTCGATCCATGACGTCTTGGATGTGCTTCTCCAACTTCATGGCTGTTGAGTTGAGGCTATCTTTACACTGTTGCAGGCCCTGATTAACGATCATTTCAGGTACAGCATTCAAATCCGATATTCCAGAGGAGTGGTCGCTGCGTTCCGGACTGAGCTGAATCTGCTCAATATGCTCAGACAAGCGTGCACAAATTTGAAGACATCTCTCTGTACTCAGGCGCTCCTCTTTCATCTCTTGCATTTCAGATGTATCGCTCTTAGAGCCTACTGCGGCTTGTTCAAGCACACGCTCTAGTCTTTCATCCATACTTTCAAGATGGGCTTCGAGGTCGTCCTTTGTGACTTGGATCAGATGCTTATGGTTCTCGAGCATCTCGGCGGTAACGGAAGACCGATGCCTACTGTTTCATCAGTTCGAACCCCTAGACAATAACCCTCAAGATCAAGCAAAAGCTTACAGGGTTGCGTCAGTGAGAGCTATATTGATCGTCAACTTGTACCCAGCGAGTAGTCGCCGAAAACCATCGATATCATCATTCATGTACCTTAAACGAGCCCAGTCGCGGAAACTTTTTCGATCGCCACCAGATCGCGATGAACATTTAACAAGCTGCTGTTCAAATTCTTTACATGCGTTTCCGCATCTTTTCAGAGGAAGATCAAGCGCGGGAAGTGATGTACCCGCTGGTGTTATGCTCATGTCTTTGACAGGACCCAAAACCGCAATCAAAGCCTCCAACTCCTCGAGTAGGTCACGCACACGTTTTGGGTGGGAATTAAAACTCTTGACTGTCTCGTATAGTGTGATGCTAGACTGAAAAGCAAAAGATGCCAAGGTCAGCAACCCAGAAGCTAAACCCACAGCTTCAGCCATTGTTTGGATATGAGTGATCAAGCAGGAAAGGCAAAAGGGAAGCCAATAGACGTATTGAGTAACGCAAAGTATACGAGTCTTTGATGAGGCTGATCAGGTCCCCATTATATAAAGCGCGTAACGGACAATCAGTGAGAAAGATGTTAGGTAGGGTGGTGGGGTTTGGCGTCACAGAAGGTCAGGCGGCTAATCCATTTACACGATTGGCTGTTGCAAATGGAACTAACCCCGTTGTGGGATATTATGGGATCTACGGATTCTGTGCCAGAATCCAACCGGTATTACTGCGTACTCCGAATTCGCTCATTTTAGTCAACATTTCCTTTGACGCGTGGTAATTCTGATATCTTTGAGTCGATAGATTTACGAGGCAGGTCAAATGCATGACAATTGGCCACATTCCTTGCTTGTGAATCCTAGCGCGCCCCACAGAGCTTGCAACATCGGCCTCAGATCAGCCATCTGGTTCAAACATTCGAAAGAGGTTAGACCCTCACAAAGTATACTAACTTATATAGGTATCGCTGTTTCAGTAACCGCCTCATTACCTTGAACAGTTTAACCTCCCTTGGTGGTGGCGCTGACAACCTAGGTAGGGAAATACAAATCCCGGAAAGCTCCCCGTTTTCTTTATAGTCATACCAGGCCGACCTATCAAATCCCAGCTGTAAGATATTAGATATTACTAGTTGGCTAGGTGTCTCACCTTCGTGCACATAGAGCGTGGTGTTATTTATTCTAAATAAATAAAACGTCTCTATTATTATAGATAAAGAGTAATATAGGGACAGAGATGTTATAGTCTTATTACAATCATCACAACCTTCAGATATATTTTTCATGTTAAGAGATATCTTAGAACCCTAAAAGAGGTATTGCTGGCATATATAGATGTTGCATTATAAGGAAAAGCCCATCAAAAACTATAAAAATCCATCATCTGAATCTTTATCACTATGTGTCAGATTTCTCCCAGCTCATGAGCTATACTTCTTCCCCTCGTCGTCTGAATTTGAACCCAATCTGTGTACCTCTCCGTATGTCCCAGGCTTGGCGGAGTTTTGTTGTGGAAGTCCACGTTCGACGTTTCCGCTACGATTCGAGGAGACTTGTTGGAAAGTAGAATCAGCCATATCCCCGAAACATTGTGTGGCGTGGGTCTTGGCATGTATCGACTTCGCAGTTGTGGGGTTTTTATTTGCAGAGCCGATGAACTGGAGGACATCTTCTTCTGCATGAATTTCTTCAAAGACATTCCTGTTCTGCTCGTTGCCAGGAGGATTAGCGGGTACAGAGTCCGCCTGGTGGGTGATGTTTTCATGCATATCACTTTGCAACATATTGGAGAGGAGGCGATGCCTAATACTAGGTAAGGTCGCCCGGAGCCAGAACGATGATTCAAAATGGGGGTGAGTGCTATAGAAGTAGCTCAGCTAGTCAGCTAGCTAAAACAACGTTCGGGCTAGGATTAACATAATGCCGAGGCTCCCCGCATCCCTCGTCCGATCCGCGAATGATTCTGACGGGGGAGTCTTGATGATTTTCAACAGACTGAGCATGTCCCCAGAGCAGGCAAGCGATGCGCACGAAGCTAGCAGCGCTCTGGAAGACGATTGTCACACACCATCGAAACCTGAGGGGGTCAAAATCCCGAAAGAGGATGCTGATTGGAAATGACGGAGAGAGGACGGGCTTCCATGGTCATGGATCCAGTAGAAGTACTTCCCCAGTCGCAGCGAGGGAGCGATCCTGGTCCGATACCATACAGAGCTCAAGAATTAGGCGCCGCGTCCGTCTCTACCGACCCCATGTGACAATAGTGGCGATGATGGCTTGGATGCGCCCTTCCCGCAATCCTCAGGGGCGGATCATCCAGAACGTCGGGATAGCAGGCGGCCCTTTACCCGTGCCACAGTAGAGTTATCATATCGGTATGGCACGCCTCGAGCTCGTCGACCTGTGCGGCGTTATTCACGGTAAAAATTTGCCCGGTATATTTGAAATGATCGTAGAGGATAGATGCCAGACATACTCGTGGGAAAACGCAGGTTGCGTTCATAAACAGAATACTTTGCTACCGAAATCTGAAGTCGTATCTCTCTGTTTTGAAACTAGCCTGCAAAGATTTTTACCTTCCGATCCCAACTCCCCGTAGCAACCAAGCAACGCATTTCGCCATCACCCTCCCCTTTCTGAAATGCGTCGCCATCTATCAAGACTTTCTTAGCATTTCCTGGTGCCCATTTTAGACAGGTTACAAAGCCTTCATGAGCTACAATTGTTTTCACGCATTTCCCTAGTTGGCTCAAATCCCAACATCTTAATGTCCGGTCATCCGATGCTGAAAGAAGATATTTTCCCCCAGGATGAAACACAAGCGATTCAATCCAACTGTCGTGACCCACTAGCGTCATGAGACAGGTTCCACGTGCGTCCCATAACTTTATGGTATTGTCTCGCGATCCTGTCGCTATGAAGTCAGCACCATTTATAGATGTTTGCTTCTGTAATTTGGCCAGGGGTGCAAGGAATTCATATGAAGCAGGCGGGGCAATAGCACAGCAGTCAATGAAATTTTCATGGCCCATCATTGTTTGTCTAAGTTCCGGACTCGATATAGTAGAGATATTCCAGAGCCGAGCAGTATTGTCATGTCCAGTAGAGAGGAGAAACTTCCCATCATGCGAGAGACAAATATCCCGCACCCAACCAGTGTGGCCGCTGATTGTTTTAATACAATACCCGTTTGTGACCGCCCAGATTCTTATATCCGTATCTCTGCTTGCACTGATGAGAAAATCTCCGGATGGTGTGAAACGGACGGCGTTGACAATATGGTCATGGCCTTGCAGTGTCCGAATATTCTTATAGTCGTCTGCCGGGTCCCATAGCTTAATAGTGAGATCTGAGCTACAAGAGGCTAGAAGGACTTTGTCGTGTGGACCGCCATAGTCAATACCCCGGACAGCTCGAGTATGACCCTTAAGTGTCCGCTCAAGCTCGCCGACATCCCAATCCCATATCTTGATGGTATAATCGTCGGAACCGGAGGCAATAGAGGAAAATATAGGGTGAAAGGCGATACAGTTAACTTTATCTCGATGAGATTGTAGCGAGTACCGAGCAGTACTAGGGAGCCAAGAATTCAGATCTTGGTTTGTCCTTAAACGGGAGGCAGGCGTTGTATTATCGAGCTCAGACTGGAGCGTGTTATTCATCGACTCAAGATCCATTATCTGCCACAGAATAGATTAGTTCGCCCAAAGGTATACGTCCAATAGATATATTTGCGATAAGCTCACCTTTTTCTGCAAACGTGCTATGCTTGTCCATTTTTTTTCCAACATTCCTTCATACTTTTTTGCCGTGGTTGTATCGAAAACATCTTCCCCGAGATTTACCTCTTTCCTGAGGGCAGTAGCTGTATCCGAAAGCCCATTCGCCAGTAGATATGCTATCATGGACTTATGTCTAGAGGTATATTAGGTATCAGACACCAGGTAGGCGGCATAGAAGATACTCACAGCTCACCAGCCTGTCGATCGGTCAGTAAGGGGGCCATTGCGATGCAAAGGGTCGAAATTCCAAAGCTGTGGCTGTCCTTAAAATCGATGCATTTCTCTACCGCAGACCTCGAACGTTGGACAAAACAGAGTATTACCCAGGCGACAGTCACCGAAGTCGCATCCTTGTGTAAGATGAAAACAGTCTCACTACTCTCGGAGGATTGGGTTAAACCGTAATCTGACCTAACCCGTTCTGGGAGAATCCGCATGAACTAAACCAGTTACTGACTGGACGCACTGCCGGAATGAAGGTAAATCCGAGGCAATCACGTGATGTCCCGATTAGGCCATTTTCTACCTCGTCGTCCAGGCACCGCAGCGCTTTTTCACCCTCCACTTCATTCCGGCAAAGGAAGGTGCTTAGCCGTGGCAACTAGCACCACAACCAATCATTACAACGCAGCCACACGGAGGGAGGAACTATCTCGTGCTTACGGCTGACGTAAGGGAGCCACATGACCAGTAAGTAAGTTATACAAAATCATAAGGGGTTTATTCTCACAACCACCGCCAAAGAATGCAACGACTCGAATTGTGATGGAGGGGTCAAGAAGAGTGATCGAAATAAAGACTGCACTGCTTGTCAAGGAAGGGGCAAAAAACTTGTCAAGTGTGACCAGCAGGGTTGTATAAACGGTCAGATGAGGTACTATTGCAAAGATGATTTCCACAAGTAGCCGGGACATTCTTGTGTACAGAGTGCTATGTCGTGTTCTTTTTTTGATCATTTACTTTGCGCTTCTCTTCTTGTTTGGTGCCTACGCCTGTTCCAGTCTCACTTTATATAGTGCTAGCTCCACCACTAGCAAATTACTATCAAATGTGTTAAGTGCATGTGATCTCACGGTGCGAAAAATTATCTCATCTCCCTGAATATTAACACTAGGTCAGCTGGTCTCGGATCCCGAGGCCTCTAAGAGGTCCTTAATGGCTAAGTAGTTAGATCCCCAGTACAGACTCCGGCATGTTTGAATTCATATTTCCTGCGACCTCCACATTTCGCGCATTCGGTTGTTCTGAAATTATTGTACTTTGAGAAATCATCTTTCGCGCAGGTCTCTATTGGACAACAGCGTCCGATGCAATGATGAGGCTGAGACAGTGGCTCAGCTAGCTGCGTTCAATCGTTTCATGTAAATCGTCTGTTGGAGTAATTCTGCTCTGACAACTGACGTACCCGAAGTAGACAAATGAACGTAAGTAACGAATGACATCAATGGATTAGCCGCTAACTAGAGGGACAGAGCTGGGTGCTGCTTGCTAATCAGTACTCTTGGCCTATCAGATGTTTCAAAGGCTTCTTCAAATATGACCGTAAGCGCCGAGACGACGGCCTGCAGCAAATGAAATTCCTCGACATCATTCATGAGGTTGTGAGTTTCCGGGCAGCAGCGCACGAGCCTCGCGTGCCCTGGCTTACTTGTGTCGATAGCCTTGTCTGTTTGTCAACCAGTTTTTCGAGGCTGTGAGCATCTCTTGGTCGATATAGAGTAATTTAGGATCTGTTGACCAATTATCGTGCCTTTATGGCTAGTCTGCGTGATGGTTTAAACATGGCGTATTCTGTTGGCCATACGTCGCGCAGTCTGCAATAACTGCAAATATAACCCTGTTTAGTATGATAGCTTCATGTATGTCTGTTTAACTCCATAACAGTCGATAATTTGGCTGGATTTTATCGGCGCCTATGCAGCGACGCACGGTCGTACTCCTGATCAGCCCCGTTCTCATGCCACCGAAGTATCTTGAGGCGACTACCAGGCCATAAGTTCGCCAATCATGGTGGCTAATTTGGAAAACAAAACGATGCAAGGTAGATAAAGCCACAGGGCCACGTGTGCAAGTGGGTCTAGTGCTTGCATAGCCTTAGGCGCTTCTCCTCTGCAGCGATATAGCTTTGCTATGCATTTCTCTACCAGCTACTAGTTTGCCATTTACGACGACTATTCGAGAGTATAGAAATAGCCTTTGAGGATCCTTAAGTAAGCGAGCGCCCCCTCAAACGAGGCGCCGCCGGGGCGTTGCTTGGCAAACGCCACTATTCCGCATTCGGCCGGACTAGACCCCAACGTCGCTAGTCCGCATTTGGCCCGCATGCAGCCCTAACTTCTTAGCACGGTAGTAAGCTCGCTGGTTTCTCGGCCTCGCCGTGAGTCCCGCTGCAGCCGCGTACTCGTTACGTTTATATTATTAATGGTTATCTTGGTCTGTAGAAATTAGTGAAAGAAATGAACAAAGAGGCACCGGGGGAGAGTGTGCTTTTGCCCCTCGTGCGATGGATGCGGGGGCCCAGTGCGGATGGACGCAGGCATACATAGCTCCCAATGCGTCCATTTTCGACGGCGCAGTGTGTTACTATACGAGGCGTGCTATTAATATAGGAATGTAGACATCAAAATAAAAGATCTGCTTCTAGAAGACATTTCGTGCTCTGCCAGTGGTCTGCTATCGCGAGCATCCGTGAGAGAAGCACGTCATTGCTGCTCGGCGGGACTCGGAGAACTTGATCCTCAGGCCGCCGCCCATCTTGATCCACCCCCAGTCGCGATATACTTCTACTAACCACGCTTGCTTCCAAGTTCCACGACATCGATCGATTGACTGTATTTGCCATCGCCCAAGCTTTTCCTTGCCTCCCCTGCCCTGGCCACGTCCGTTGCAGCCCCCAATCGGTCCGTTTGCTACGTTATCAATCCATGGTCGACACTACCGCGGCGCGATCAGACCTAGCGTGGACTTCAACTGCTTCGCTGACTCGATTCAAAAGCCTTTTAAAAGCTTGGTCTTGGCCATTATATAATAGCTGTCGAGTTTTTTTTTTTTTTTTTTCTTCTACGTGTCTCCCTCTCCGGTTTTTTTCGTCAAGTAGTCGTTCGATCTATACCGATCGCTATTATTCTTTGCGAGAATCGATCCTCCTCCTCTTCCCTCAAAAACCAACATTTCCTAACACACCTGAGAACATACATACAAGAATTACATGCCGTCAGACAGTCATCTAACTCGCTCATTAACCTCTTACCTCGCCGCCCTTCTCGAGAAGGCGCATATTCGTCAGATAAAATGGCGTTGAACCTGTCGCAAGCCGAAAAGGACGTCGACGATACCCTTTTCAAAAATGCCTCTGACGAAGAGAGCCAGACTCGTCGGGGGAGTCGCGTAACGGAGGTCCATGATCATGACCGTGCTACCGTCGGAAAGCAATTGGAATTGGAGGCTGAGAATGCCATCAAATATCGCACCTGCAGTTGGCAGAAGGTTGGCCCCATCCTTATGGAATTGTCGTTGTCGTTGCCTCGAAACTGACCATGGTGTGAAAAAATAGACTGCCGCTTTACTCTTTTCCGAGTATATCTGTTTGGCGATGATGTCGTTTCCCTGGTCATACTCTGTCTTGGGCTTGGTGCCGGGTCTGATCTTGACCGTCTTCATTTCCCTCGTCGTGTGGTACACGTCAATAACAATCTGGTATGCAAAATGGAACAGCTACGTGTTTTCGCCTCTTAGATTAATCATCTTTTACCTAGGCGGTTCTGCTTGCGTCACCCTGAAATCCGGGACGTGTGCGACATCGGTCAATATCTCTTCTGGGACTCCAAGATTGCCTGGTGGGCTACCGCTGTTATGTTTCTTCTGAACAATATCTTTATTCAGGTAATTTCACAAGACTGTCCTACATCAAGATATCAAAACTAATTTTTCCCCCCCCGCATACAGGGATTGCATTGTGTCGTTGGTGCCGAGTACTTGAATACCATGACCGATCATGCTGCTTGCACCATTGTCTTCGCCCTTGTGGTCCCGATTATCTCGTTTTTCGTTTCCCTGCCGAGAACTTTCAGCGCCCTCTCATACATGGCTACAGCATCTGCATTCTTCACATTTATCTCTGTCTTGTTAGCTATGATCTTCGCCGGTATTGAGGCACATCCTGCCGGCTATGACCTCGAGACCAAAGGCAAACCCAAAGTGACGGCCTTCCCGCTCTCCGGTACCACATTCGTGAGTGGCATGAGTGCATTTCTGAATATCAGCTATACATTTATCGGTCAGATCACACTGCCAAGTTTCATTGCAGAGATGAGGGAGCCCGAGGACTTCTGGAAGTCCGTCACCGCTGTGACAGTTGCCGAGGTGATTCTATTCAGCATTGTCGGCTCAATCATATATGCATATACGGGCACGCAGTACATGACAGCACCTGCCTTTGGTTCTCTGGATGACACCTACAAGAAGGTCGCCTTCTCCTTCATGATTCCGACATTGATTTTCCTCGGCGTTTTGTATGCCTCCGTTTCCGCTCGCTTCATCTTCTTGCGCTTGTTTGAGGGCACCCGTCACAAGACAAGCCACACTGTTGCCGGGTGGTCGGCATGGGCTGGCATTCTTGCCGTCCTGTGGGTTCTCGCCTTCATCGTTGCCGAAGTCATTCCCTTTTTCTCGGATCTCGAGTCAATCATGAGTTCGCTCTTTGACTCCTTTTTTGGGTTCATCTTTTGGGGTGTGGCCTACATTCGCATGCGATCTGCCGACCACGGTCCTAAATTTTACAAGGTTCGTGGTATTCGTGGCTGGGTGGGATTTATATGGAATCTCTTTCTTATCGGCATTGGTTTTTACTTCCTGGGCGCGGGCACCTACGTAAGTTTTCAATTCCCCCTTCCCCTTATGTACTCAAGTGTAATCTTTCTCTTTTTCACATGGCATATTTATGCTAATGTCATTCGTCTTAGGCCTCTATCGACAGTGTCGTTCTAAGTTATCAAAAAGGCGGTTTTGGAGGTCCATTTTCATGCGCTAGTAACGGTCTCTAGGTTATCAAACTTCTGCGGAGGTCACTTTCTGCATTGTTTTTCTATCCTCTGGGAGGACAGTCAATTAACTACATGTGATCAATTTCTTTTCTCTTACGATATTGATTGATTCAGCTCTTGTTTGCAACATGCATTACTTGAGATCTTACGTTCAGTGATAATATTGCTTCGAGAACTAGCAGTGAGAGTACGTATCTTACCATCTAATTGCTACTGTTTAATCATTCTGCCTGTTTGACTTCTCCAAGCTCAACAACGTAGTTTGCACTCAGCATGTTTTCAGAAATTAGGGCTTGGGTAATCCCGCGCGTCGGGAAATCCCATCACATGCATTATCTCCACGTGACTTTTCCGATATCCTTATCAAAGTTGCCCGCCTCCGCATCGGCATCCAAAGCTTTATTTCGGTCTCCTTCACTTTTTTTTTCTTTCACTTTTTCCTTTTTCTTTTTCTCTTCTCTGTTCGTTTGCAAGCCATTGACTAAGTTGAAAATGTCCAGCATTACGAGATCGGTTTACCGGGGTGCAAAACCCCTTCGAAATGTGCGCCAATTGTCCACTGTTGTGGCCAATCGCAGCCCAAAACCATCAACAACTTTCTCCGGTCTCCGAAACATTCAGCGACCGCAGCAGAATGTTGTCAGATCAACAGCAAATGCTTACAACAGAGGATGTAAAAGCGTACTAAGATATGCGTCCTCTTCCAGCGCTGACTCTAAAGCTTCCTCAAAACGTACCCAATTGTACGATTTGCATGTCAAGTATGGAGCAAAAATGGTCCCCTTTGCTGGCTTTGATATGCCATTGCAATATGCCGACCTGTCGCACACGGAGAGTCATCACTGGACAAGGGAGAAGGCGAGCTTGTTTGATGTTAGCCATATGTAGGTCTTCGTTAATTTCCACGCTTACCTAAATAACATAAGCTAATTCATCTTCCTCTCGACAGGGTTCAGCATCGTCTGACGGGCCCCGGAGCTCTTCCTCTTCTGATGAAAGTCACTCCTTCGTCTCTCGATAAGCTAGGCAATAATCAATCGACGTTGTCATGTCTACTCGAAGACGGCACGGGTGGAATTGTCGACGACACCGTCATCACCAGACAAGGGCCTGAAGCCTTCTACTTCGTGACCAACGCCGGTCGACGGGAGGAGGATCTGGTTTTTCTCACAGCTGAGATTGACGCGTACCGCAGCGAGCATGGCGCAGATAGCATCAAGTGGGAAATCCTGAGTGACCGCGCTCTGATCGCCCTGCAGGGACCATTAGCTGCCTCCGTATTGCAATCCTTCATCTACACAGAGGGAGACACTTCATCACCATCAACTGATCTCAGCACATTGTATTTCGGTCAATCTCGAGAACTCTACCTCCGACTTCCCGACGGCTCTAAAACCGCCCACCCACTCCTCATTTCCCGTACGGGCTATACAGGCGAAGACGGATTCGAGATCTCCATTCCCACCGCAGACGCGCCCAGCCTCCCAGACCAAGTCACCGAACTCCTCATCTCCCAACCAGACAAGGTACGACTCGCAGGCCTCGCAGCACGAGACTCCCTGCGCCTCGAAGCCGGCATGTGTCTATACGGACACGATATCACGACGGCGCAAACCCCGCCGTCGGCCGCACTGGGCTGGATCGTAGGCAAAGAGCGCCGCGACGAGGCATCACCAGCCTCGAAATTCAACGGCTCATCCATCATCCTCCCGCAACTCGCCAAGCCTTCCAAAACCATCTCCCAGCGCCGTGTCGGTCTTACCATCGAAAAGGGCGCGCCTGCTCGTGAAGGCGCTATCATCGTTGATCCCAGCAGCACCGCCAGCGATGCCGGCATCAGCGACGCAAGCACACTAGCCCAGATTGGCGTGGTTACTTCGGGGTTGCCTAGCCCGTCTCTCAGCGGCACAAACATCGCAATGGCATATATCAAAAATGGCTTCCATAAGAAGGGTACCGAAGTCCAGGTCCTAGTGCGCAACAAATTGCGCAAGGCGACGGTGACGCCTATGCCGTGGATTGAGAGTAAATTTCATCGACCTAGTTGATCTCCCTTGTTTTCTTCTATTCTCTTTCAGTGCAATTACCCCGTTTATACTTCCTTGAACTATCGATTTGAGCGTTTCTTTTTCTTTTTTCTTTTCCTTTTTTTTCCCCACTATCAATGATGCTGATGTATTGGGTGGATATGATCTCAAAACTTCTAACTTCATTATTAGACGATGCATTTCTTTTTACTTAGCTTTATAGCCTCTTTATCTTAGAGGTAGTTAGGCATTCACAAGCGCTCAAAAGCATATATAGCTATATGAAAGTAGAGAAATGGTTGAATAATTATTTTTATTCTGTAGTTATCAGGCAAATGCTAACTAGAACGTACGAATAGTACTCATACATACAAACAATATCAGCAAACGCCCTGCCCGTCAAGCAACTAACTAACTGGTCAGGTGCAGAAAAAGAAAGGAAAGCAAAAGAATAGACATTAATAAGATACATGAAAGAATTAGCATGCTTATCAAACTGATAAAATCGCCGTCGTTCTAACTTGTAGAATGCTCATGATGATAAAAATTGGACTTCTTCTCGTCGAGCAAGACGGCTAGACCATCTTTCATTCATTCGCGGATGCAACATAAGCTCATAAAACTAGGCCATGCAGTATGCAGCACCAGTAACACTCAAACAGACAGGCAGGCAGATAAACTATGGGTATCGACAGAAGCAGATTGGATCTCTCGCAGAGCACGGGAGGCCTAAGGTAATGAAGAGAAAAGAGCAGAAATAGAATCAGAAAGCTAGAATCAAGATACCCGCCACATAATTCTCCTAGAATGAAGAACACCAGGAGAATATTTGCATTACAGCTTCAGACAGCCGCCGAAAGGTATCAATTTCATGCATACTCAACTTAGACCTCCTCAGCCAGTGAGTTGCGGCGTGAGTTGGCGCGAGAGTTGACACGAGAGTTGACACGAGAGTTAGCACGTGAGTTGGCACGTGAACCAAAGTTGCTGTTCTGACGGCTACCCAGGGTCTGGCGAAGGCGCAATTCCTGCTGAGATCGAGCAAAGGAGTTGGCACGAGACCCAGTGGGCAGGTGTGAGAGACGACGACCCTGTACATCAATTGTGGCACGAGCGTCAGATAGCTGCTGGGCGAAAGGTGATCTCTTGCGAAGGGTGGGGCCTTTCCAGTAGATAACATAAACTGCAAGCACGAGAAGGAAGGAGATGCAGACTGTTTCTCGTTATTAGTATCTTCGATTATAACAGATAGTTACCTTAGAAAGTGAGATTTGACTTACATAGGATTGTAGATGCATACTGAATGTGGTACCGTCCACCAATGTTCTCAAAGAAAGGGGTGGCGGGGATAGTAAGAACACCAGCGAGGAAATCACGAGACCAACCGTTTCCTCCGGTAGCGGAGGCAGAATATGGGCCGTAAGCGCAAATCATATAGTCGATGGTAGCCATATAGATAGAGTAGTTTGCAATACCGACAATGGCTGCGAAAATCATACTGGCAATCCAGGGAAGCGGAGGACCCTGGGTGGTCCAAGCGAAACCAATAAGGCCGATTGGCAAACAAGGAGCAGTATAGAGTAACCACCAGAGACGTGACTCGTATTGGGCGACTTCATCGTCAGGCTTTGCCTCGCGCTCGCGCATATTGCGTTTGATGGCAGGGAAGAAAGAGAACCAAGCGATGAAATATCCTACCAAGATAGGAATGAACGAAAGGCCCTGGGTAACGGCATCAAATCCCCACTGCTCGTAAATGGGAGAGAAGGATTGGATGAACATGAAGATCAGGGCGTCACTGAAACCACTGAGCAGGGAGAGAGTCAAGACAATGGGCTCGGTCACGAACATGCGGAATGGACGGAACAAGGTGATGCCAATCTCCTTGGCAGAGAAACGCTCGCGGAAAGGTGTCAGTTCATTTGGACCATAGATGTTAGGGTTTTGGCCACTCTTGCGCATTTTCTTGGCAATGTTGTCGATCATGACAGTCGAGCGAGTTTCGGGGACCAGGAATAGATGAAGCAATTGAACGAAGCCACCGAAAATGAGCTGAATCCAGATGCACCAGCGCCAGTGGAGATACTGCTGGCAAAAGCCACCAACGACAGGCCCTAAGACAGAGCCACCGACTGAGGAAAAAACAACGAATGCCACGGCATATTGCTGATTGTCTGCCTCCCACATATCGGCAATCATACCTAGGGTGACAGAGCCACCGGCGGACGAGAGACCACCCAGGGCACGACCGACCATAACGGTTGCAAAGTTTTGAGCCAAAGCAACAGGGAGTTGCCAAATGTTGACCAGGAACAAACTGGCTTGAAGAACTGGTTTACGTCCGAGCTCCTCGCTCCAGGGAGCCCATAGCTCACAACCGAATGCTGGAAGAATAAATGAGCATAGAGTTCGACGAAGGAGGGAGGGGGGCCGTCTAAAGCACGTACCATAAAGAACCAAGAAAATCATGGCACCACAGCGAGCAGCCTGCTCAGAGACGTGAAATTCTTCAGAAATGCCGCCTAGCGCGTTGGAGTACAGACTGGTGTTGAAATTCATCGAAACTTGCACGATGAAGATGACGGAAAGGATGGTCCATTTTTTCCATGTTGGGAAGCCGTATCCCAGTTGCTCGTAGCACTCTTCTTCAGTGAGCTCCTGTTTGTCCTGGGTCACTGCCGGCTCGAGCTGCACAGTTTGATTTTCCGAAGTCCAGTGAGTGTGACGGACGGGCTTCTCGGGCTCAGGAGGGGAAGCCAGCTCAGCCTGGGTGCTGGAAGAAGTTTCCGAATCATGCACCTTCTCGGCGGTATCGACAGGCACGGGCTTTGCGTTCTGATCGGCGTCTTCAACAGGCGCCGCCATCTTGTCTATCAATGTGGGAATTGACTGCAACGGCTGTCAGTGAGGACTTGAGAAGTGTTTTCTTTTTGTGCTGTTTCCTTTATTTTTCAGGATAAGAGAAGTGACAGAAGCGAGAGGAAGGCGACTAAAGACGACTGATATTGTGTTTCTCGTTAGGTGAGAAAGAATGAAGGAATCAACTGCTGGTGAGAAGAGGGAAAAGATGGGAGAGAAGAGAGAAGGAAGAGAAGGAAGAGGGAAAGAGGAGAAAGAGGGGAAAGAGGAAGGACAAGAGGGAAGGAGGAGGGTATTACCTCAAGCAAGCGTTACTTGACGAAAGAGGCAGGACCGTCCGAATAAGGAAGGAAGGACACCTCAGGCAAGCAGGCGGCGGTCTATAGATGCCTGTCTACAAGAACCGGAGGAGAAAAAAAAAAGGCGGATTGAAGAGAATGCAGAGCAGAAAAATCAGAAAACAGACCGGAGAGGGGAGGTGGCGTCCATATATAACATTCTGTGTCCGCATCCGACGGCTCTGTGTCCACAGACAGGAAATACGAAGATCCATGAGAAAACTGGGGCCGGCACATGGGAGGGAACTGGGGCCCCAGCCAAAAAAAAAAAAAAAAAGGCAAAGGCAAAGCCAGGAATTGGTCTAGTACATCATCATATCGATACGTAGTTAGTTACTAGTAGACTAGTCATGGTCAGTCCACTCTTTTGCGGTGCATGGCGCCAATGAAGCCTTGTAGAGCATGTGGTTCCCGGGCGAACATACAAAACCAACACAAGGGATGTATGTAGGATGTAGTATGTAATGTGTAGATAGAGCCACGAATTTGCCATGGGCCACGGTTCCCTCTCTTTTGCTCTCCTGTATTGGCCGTTTGATATTCCCAGGGAGAGTTCTGGGTTTTGAGTTTCGGGCACAGCAGGGCTAGCTGTAAAATTTGGGACAGTATTGTTACAGGCACGGACCGTGGTTGGCCAAAGGCGCCGGGGTATCCCGATCGTGCCTTGACAGACCCTGCTAATTGCCTGAATGGCACTAGCGCAATCCTTTGCTTTTCTAGTCTGTACGCAGTGTATTGAAAATACATTATCCGCTCGCTGTTCACGCAGTTACGTACCTATGAACATATTCTCACAGTATAGCTGAGCACAGCTGAGCATAATATACTCCTATTGTATTTCGCTCTGTTCCAGCGCTGTTAATCCGGCTCGCGTGACCTCGTGCGACCTGGAACCTGGAATGTCCGGATGCGAACACAAAAACCAACTAGCTCCAACTAACGTGACTAAAACAGCTATTCCAACTTTCGGGAAAAGTCGTCAGCGGAAAATTATTATTCTACGTCTGGACCAGCTTCCCAGAAGATACTAGAAACTCGTCGGCACAGGGAGCGTGATAGAGTTCGGTATAGGATTCTAGTCCCATGGGGCAGGCTGGACTCGGCAGGCCGAGTAATAATCGGAAATAGGCCGGAATCCAGGATATACTATTATCCTTGGCCGGCAATGACGGCATCTGGGCGGTGGCAGTCAGCCGTGGCCCACATGTAGGTTCATGATGTTGACGTTGACGTTGATACGTGCTTTTGTTGTCAAAGGAACGAAAAAACAACATCAAATTAAGGAACAGTCACAGTAGCACGAAGGACAGAGTCACGTCCAGGACCACCCCCATGGGCAGGGTATGACTTAGGAACTATGTATCGGTACCTGTTTGTTCCGTTTCTGTATTGTAAACCTGGACCAACGGGAACCATTGGCGGTTCAACCTCAGGCCAATCACAGCGTGCTCGGAGCCGCCGACAGCCGTAAACGTCATCGGCAGTATGCAAACAGAGCAAACTGGAGAAGCTCTCCAGTCTCCTCCACGGGGTCGCCAACTCTAACTTCCTCCTCCTCTGTCCTCCGGAACAAATCCCTGGCTCAGGCAACGATCTGGAGCAGTCGCTGCTCACAACCCACGGGTAGTCATCAAAAGCCTTTCGCGATCATGCGGGCTCTCGGATTTTTTTTTTTTTTGCTTTTGATTTTTTTTCTTGGCTTCTTTCCTTGCGCCGGAATGCGATTCCCTACAGTATAGATGTCATGATACTATAATACACGATCAGTGAAAATGCCTCAAGCCGTGTGCTACGTGAGTTCTGCGCTGCCCAACGCGCGGCCTGTCAGTCTGCCTGATATGCGACTTGGGGTAACTAATTGGGTAGTCAATCAACTGAGAGTAGCATTCGTTATACGAAGAAGCTGCAAGAGGATCAGCCCGCTAGGTAGTTTTTCACTGCAGAGACGCTTCGTTCTAAAAGAATTCCTACATACAGGTCGTATGAACCGGAACGCACATAATTGACTTGACCGCATTAAATGATTTTTTTTCTTGATATACAACGACGTCTAACGCCAAAACGTCTTGGTGAGTCGGTCGGTGAAGCTGCAGAGCTTAGTGGCTGGACTAGCGCCGGGATGGCTTGATGATCGACACCTAAGGTTGCGCACAGAGTACAGTATCGCGTATTGATACTGTACTCTCCATCAACCGATACTCTGCTGAACGGGGAGTATATACCTGAGAATATTCCAACTCGTAGTGTGTCAACGCCAGCCTGTTCATCGGCAACTATACACGCTCACCGAGCTAGGCAGGGATCCATGCATAGAGCTCACGGAGATGAAAGACGGGGAATGTCACCTCTGATTAAGCTGCGTTCGGATTGATCTGCATTTCCCCATTCACTATGACTGACAGGTACGGAGTATGTACTCCAGACGTGCACCCCGGATGGAGTGGACTACGATGTGCGTATTAACTTACCAAACACGGAGAGAGAAGGCGAAAAAGAAAAGAAAAGAAATAAGTTACTGTGTATGTAGATCATGTAGTACCGATGACTAATGCCGCATGGCGAAAATTATGCCCATCTTCGGCCCCGATGTTTATGCCGCCGTCGTACGAACGTCTCCAGTACCACGACTTCCTTTGTGTGACAGTCATGGTATCAGTGAGGTACCTCGATTGAAAGTCACGGGCCATCCCTCACGCCCGCAAGGGACCTTTGAAGTACTAATAAGGAATTAGACTTCCGACAGGAATGAAGCGTTTATTATGTGCGACGTACGGAGATAATGGTGAATGGCAGCCACGCGGTCAGAGCGCTGATCAGCCTGGCAGGATCATCAGCAAGGGATCAAGGGATAGAAGGATTGACATGGCCATCGTGGAGTGGCCACGATATGATTGTCGCATCTTATCTCGCCGTACAAATGATTTGATAGCTCGGCTATTAATCTCGCTGGAACAAATATTTGATATCTCGGCTAATATTCTCTCTCTACACAATGATTGATTTTGACAACCATGGATCTCGGCTAATACTATGTCCTGCAGTCATACCTAGGTACAGGTCCTGTCCTGTGAATAGGAGAGTGGCTGCCACATAGTTTACGTCTCGACACCAAAAAAGGGGTGGGTGTTCGGACGACTCAAGCAAATGAAACAGTTCAATGCGCTCATACCTCCCCAGCACTGTGCAGAAAAATCTGCCTGATCAAGGGGTGCTCTTGTCAGTTAGCTATTGGGCTTGTTCGAGGAGAAGCTCAAAGGCCCAGGTCTCCGTGGCTTGACTCTGTGCATGGACTGTGAAAATGCAAGGGGTGTATGCCAAATGAAGCTTTCATATACACCCAGGCCCAGGGGTCCAGGCACATCTAGATGCCCGCGATATACCCTCTACAGAGGTTGTGACTTGTCGGTGTGTACCAATAATGTGAGCATATGCTAGGCTACCTAAGTTCCCTTGGTTTTGATATTGAACGAGAGGATTACTTGCATTAAGCTGCCAGCAATACTAACATAATGCTTGACCATTGATAAGACGATTTGAAACTCGAATATAGAATATTGTCTTCTATTGCCACTTTCGACTCATCTGAGCAGAAATGAGGCTATTTAATTATTAGGACTATCAACCGAGGGGGAACATGATCCTGCCAGCTCCAAAAGACTGAAGAATGCCACGTGTATCAAATCCACACAGTCCTATGATTTGATACTGGCAAACTCCTGGGAAGCATCTCTTAGCACCGCTTCTACATACCGTCTTCGCGCATTGTCTTGCCCTCGATACATGATCCACTGTCTTCGATACTCCCTCCTAGCGTACTCCAAACGCTCTTCCTCTGCGTGACCTGGTGCAATACCTCCGCGAGCCTCCCATACAGGCGGACTTAGCCGACAGCGGTCCCGTTCATACCGAACCGAGATGCAGCGATTGTCCTGGGAAAACACAACATTTGGCAAATACCTGGGCTCGTACTCTGCCACAATGACGTTGTATTTTATCCCATGAAAATAGGGGAACAGACTCGAGGTGAACGCCTCTCCGCGCATCATATTCCATGTAACAACATCTGTTGACTTCATGACTGAAGACACATTGGCAGTGTGCAATGCTTTCAACCAGGGAAACTCGTCACTCTCAGTTGCGCCGTACAGGAAATCAATATTGTCGTCATTTTCACCCGTACATTCATCACTATACTCAATACCAGAGAACTCTTGCTCGGAACATACGTCTCTTTGCTCTTCTTCTTGTTGTTGTTGGGGATAAATGCACATGGCATCATGCAAATCATCCCATGTGAAGAACTTTTCGAACCAGCGGTCAACACCCCGTTTGGACTTCATGATCTCGTTTGGGAACACCTCGCAATCCGCGCAGCCATCTGGACAGTACATTCCTAAGCCTTCTCTGTCTCGGACGGTGAGCTCGGGCGCTTGATGATTTGGGTCTGTCATGTATGGATATGGTCCCTGGGGGATGTCGTAGTGATAGCCCTCTACTTTTTTGGTGTAGAAGGTGAAGGCGGTAAGCATGGCTTCAGATAGAGGCAGATAGGATTTGACTGACTGAGTACTATGACCTGCAGTAGTGTCGCATTCAGAGCCAGAGGTGTATCCTGATTTGTTGGATGACTGTTCTTGATCTGAGGCACATTTGTTGTCTTGGTACTCGCTGTCCACAGTCGGGGTCTCCTTAATAGTTCTCTCGGCTCTCTCTGGGTTATATTCAGTCGGAATTGGACCATCCATTGACGTATCAGGACAGCCTTCGTCTTGTAATCCTGCAGGCATGAACTTTGACTTGTATTTGGGAGTGGATTTCACAGGTTCTAAGGTTGGCTGCTTTGCTCCAAGCCAACTATCGTCGTCATACTCGTTAGTCACAAAAGAGACATCACTGCATTTGATATATGTATCTTCCGCCTCATTCACTGCTTCGGTTGATTGATCCTCATTCTTAATGTCAGTCTCGACATCAGCCTCAACGCGGGATGAAACGTTATAATGAACTTTTCCCAGAGGAATCGGCTTTGTCTCAACGAGAATGTTAACATTTTCAGGGTCTCTGATATCCTTCAAGCATATTATGGCTTTCAAAATGAGGCTGCTAGCCAAAAGAATAGCTTTTGGATGCGCAAAAAGACCACGCCAAGTGATGCCCGCCACAGATAGGATTTGGTTGCGTAGCCAAGGACATGTTCTCTTCTTCGGGGTTGCATCTGGGTTCTGTTAAACTGACTTTCCCAGCATGAAAATCGATTGACTACTTACCTGGTGCAAACCTCATCCGGAAGAGGTACAGGAGACTCGTCATTCTGAACAGAGAGATGTGACCTCAGACACGCAGTTTATATAGAGCCGGAGGTGTAAGCCTCCTTGATATGAGATTGGTGGCTGGAGTTGCGTTGGACTATAACGAGGTATATAGAAGACATAATCGAGAGAAAAGAAGGGGGTATGGAAGAGGAAACATAAAGGCGTTTATATCTCGCAAGAACGGGTTGAAGTCAATATAGTTCATTATTTCCCAAATTTGGTTCTTTAGGTCCTGTCATTCAGACACCAAGGTGCTGCACAATCCTATTCGCAATGCCAGCAACTGGATATTGTTTCATGTTGAGCTAGATCATTGGCAATTGGTCTAAAATCTTTAGCTGAAACAATCAGCTTGTTCGATGATCACATCAGAATCTTGTTTGCATCATGCAGAAAGAACCAGAGACAATGAAGAGCATTAACCCTTTTTCTGCACAGTCGTTCATGGCAGTCCTCAAATCTTTATCGTGTCGTTGTTTGTTCCTTCCCGAGAAGGGGCGCAATACAAATCTTGAAACCTGCCCGCTCTTTGTCCCTAGCTGCCTTGATTGAACAAGCACTGTTACAGTAGATTTCTTCTCCGACCAAAGAAAAATGTTGTATCAACATGCCCCAGTCGAGAGGTCGGATTAGGGCTAGCTCCTCCGCTCCGCTCGGAATCACGCCATAGATGCATTCCTTGGCAAGATCGTCCGCGGGCATACTTTAATTTATTTTTTTTTTCTTTCTCTTTTCTACTACAAGCGATACCCATTGGTCTTTTGTTGCTATTCACTCTTTTTTTCTTTTTTTTTTTTTTTTTTTTCAATCTTTATCTGTCTACATACGCATCTCTCCGCCCTGCTAGAAAACTGCAATTGCAGACTCAACCTCAAAGAAATGGCGACGTATGTCTCTGCCCCTCCCTGCTGTTCCCCGCATTATACGCATATGCACGATACTACAACCTCAGAAACCAATACTTCTCAGCCATAAGAAACTCTGATACAGCAAGTTAACTAACTATTTACAACCCAGTAACATCACATACCACGCCGCTGCGCTGACGCGCTCCGAGCGCTCCTCCCTCCGCAACCAACAAGGCCTCACAATCTGGCTTACCGGCCTCTCAGCGTCAGGCAAATCCACCATCGCAGTCGAACTCGAGCACCAACTGCTCCGCTCGCGCGGCGTCCACGCCTACCGACTAGACGGCGACAACATCCGCTTCGGCCTCAACAAGGACCTTGGATTCAGCGAGAAAGACCGCAACGAAAACATCCGACGCATCGCCGAAGTCGCAAAGCTGTTTGCTGACAGTGCCTCTATCGCCGTGACCTCGTTCATCTCCCCCTACCGTGCTGACAGGGATACCGCCCGCAAGTTGCATGAAGTGCCTACGCCTGGCGAAGAGACTGGCTTGCCCTTCATCGAGGTCTATGTGGACGTCCCCGTTGAGGTTGCCGAGCAGAGAGATCCAAAGGGTTTGTATAAGAAGGCTAGGGAGGGTGTGATCAAAGAATTCACCGGTATTAGTGCGCCTTACGAGGCCCCCATCAACCCAGAGGTTCATATTAAGAATAATGAAGTGTCTGTTGAGGAGGCTGTTGCTCAGATCATTGCATACCTTGACACGAAGGGATACCTGCCGCCAAAGATTGGTAATTAACATGACGACCTGTCAATTTACAATATTTCTGTAAAATTTTACTCTTCATGTGCATAATTAAAAATGACGAATTCAATGAATAACTTGGTCGGCGACCTCGTTTTGACTGACTGTAGTGGATATGCAAACTAGTCTAGAAAGTAGATATACGTACGTATACATGAATACCAATTGTGCGATTCCTGAGATTTCGATTCAATGCGGCATATACAAACTGGCGATATATGTGTGATTATTCAAACTCAAACTCATAATACACATATGGTGTATAATCCGCTCCACCTCCTTCGCCGGCCACTTGCATTTCATTGGGGTCGTCCTTCTTGACGCGGCCCTTCTTGTCGCGGCCGAACGCATTGCCCGCGAGATAATTGTACTTGTCGTCCAAGTTTCTCTTCGCTCTCTCGGCGCCTTTTGCCGATGCCTATGTATATTTGACCGTCAAATACTACCCTTTAAGAAAAGACAAAGAAAAGGGGGGGTGGCGTGGGGAGGTGTAAGAGAAGAAAACGTACCCGAACAATAGCCGAGACAAAATCCAGAGGTAGACCATATCGAAGTACAGTCTCAACAAACACTCTCAAAACCAGCACATGGATCCAAACCATAACTGCTTCGCTCCAGCTGGTCCGGCCAAGTCGAAGTGTTTCGCCCCATAGCTTGCGCTCGTTGCCATTAACTCGTTCAACCTCCTTTGCCTCTGCTTCACGGCCACCCTCTGTATATTTGAAATCGCGCGGTATCCACTTATTCTCCCTGGCTTTATGGGCAAACTCTTGGCTGTGTTTCTTGAACGTCGTCACGGCATACAGACTAAACTCGTCGTCGGAGGCCACCAGGCTTGCAGACCGCGGCACCACCATCGGAGCTATCGTTTCATATATATTCACAAATTCTTTCACTTGCTGAGATGGGACCGCGATGAGGTGTGTTTCTAGATATTCTGAATCTTGGACAAGTAGTTTTGGATCGACAATGGAGGCAAGAGACCTTGAGGCCAGGTTACCACTAATAGAAAAAAAAAAAAATAAGATGTTAGCGAGAAGACGGCCCATTGACTTGATTTTGTTTGTGCATACGTTTGTTTGCGCTGTAACGTTGCCAAAGTGTTTTTGGTCTGATTATACTGGGAATATTTGTTCCGGATATCGCTATCAATGCTAGCAGCTTCCTATACATAATTTGCGGCTTTTGTCAGCTGCAATTCTTTTCCAATCACCTCCTGAATCAGACCAAAAGACACTCACTTTCTTCAGCAGGTCAATCAATTCACCAATCGACCTGTCGGCACGATACTTGACCTTGTTCCACTGAAACGTACGCAGGTACTGGTCGACGGGTTCTGGAATAGGGATCAGCGATTTATACCGCCTGTTAGCATGGCTGGATATTACGCACTATCGTTCACCGTCTTCATTCTCTGAATCTGCTCCTCGTCGTTTTCGAGGACACCCTTCAGCGCATCGCCCACCTTCCCCACGACCGCCTGGCAGACACCCTCCAGCTTGGCCAACTCCTCCGCCTGCTGCACCAAAGCATCCAAGGTGCCAATCTTGAATTCGGGGATGGGGAAGGACGAGACCGAGCCGTCGACATTGACAGTGGAGGAAATGGCTTCGAGTGCATCGTCGCGGTGATGCGAGGGCACGATCGAGGTGGGGAGCGAGAGCAGCTGGTACACGGTATTCTTCGACATCTTGGCGATCCGTCAAATTAAAAAAGAAGAACCTGCTACCACGCTCGTAGGAAGCGGGCGCCAGGAAAGACGATTTCGGCGGGCGCTTGGAGGCTGAGATTGAGGTTGAAGTGAGAGCTCTGGGAAGCTTGGGGGACTTTGGGAGTTGCGATTGGCGTCTCCGTCCTCCGCCATCACGCGGGCTCCACCCGCAGCCGCGCCATGCCCATATATTCCATCTATATTCTACATATTTTAACATAGTTATACTGCCATGCATATTGTACGTTAGGTGAACCCCATCTATTAACTCGGTAAATAATGGACTGCTATTGCAGTCAGGGTTTACGGCAAAAAGCCATTAGAATGTCTACTTATAGAAAGACAAGAGAAGAATATATATGCAAGCCAAGCGACCAAATCCACACCTCCTCCAACGCCATGCGAAATCTCATTATGTCGATGCTTTAAAAAGGCTGGGCAGTTTCTACAATGTCGTTAGCACGATCCAAAGCACACTCTGGCCAGACGAGGAAGAAGGGACTTACCGATGCATATCTCGGCTCAATAAACAAGCCCTCTGCCTCAACCAGCACAACGGGCTCCTCGTCGCCTTCGGGCAGCGTCTCCAGGCGCCCCTTGACCCATACCTTGCGGCCCTCATGCTTGATAGTTTCGGCTCGCAAGACAATGTATCTGTCGGCAATCGCGGGCTTTTTGTAGTCGATGCTGAGCTTTGCGGTCACGGCGACACCACTCGGCAAGACGGGGAGGCAACAGCGTGCCAATCCCTCGTCTAGCATGGTGGCCAACATGCCTCCATGCACTATACCTCGATGGCCGCACACCTCCTGGCCTAGGTATGTGATGGCTACTAAATCCTTCCCGGACTTCTCGTAGAACACGTATGGAGGGACGACCATGCGATTGGGCCCCAGCAGCGTACCTGCAATAAGATGTCGACCGCGGAACTCTTGAGGGAATTTCAAATGCGGGCGGGTCTCCGTGTAATTGGGTAGACTGCGCATCTTCTGTGCTAACGGATGTGTCCTAATATGGTCCTCGATCCTCTGCGAGGCTTCGTCGGGTGGCTGGAAGACCTCGAGAGTCTCCGCATCGGTGGGTATGGTGTCGGGCGTTACTGTGCTGGCAATCCCAATGGGCACAGCCGAGGCTCCAATAACGAATGCAAATGTGGCGAGAGAGGTGAATCCAATGGCACGGCGCAACCTGGATCGGGGTTGGGGAATTTCGGCGCGAGGAACATCGGCCGCTGCTTCTGCTTGGGTGAATATGCCCGCGTTAATTCTCCATTCGTTGAATGTAAATGGTGTTAAAAAAGCCCAACCCACTGACCTGTTGCGTAACATCTCGCACGAAAGACTTGTCTTCCACGATCTCGCAGGGTGTTCTGGAGAAGCGGCGGTTTTGTTGACGTTGACAGGGCCACCCGCCCAGCAGCTCTGGAGAAAAGCATGCAGAAAGGAGAAAAGAAAAGAAACCCACCAACCTATGGCCCAGTCTTTCGAATAACGAACGTACAAGATTTTGCAATAAATTGCTAAGCAGGAGGCGATCAAAGAAAGGAATGGCTGCTTTATGCTTTTTATATATTCTCAGGCCACGCCGAGGTCCACCCGTTCGGGACTAGTCGGTTTTTTTTTTTCTCTTCTTTACTTTTGATTCTCCGAGTCCGAGCAGCTTCACAGAGCACCTATACACGTGGTAGGATAGGTATCACGCCAGAGGAGGGAGAAGAATATGCGCGTTCAGCACTATTTAGTATGTATGTAGCACATATAATAACAGCATTTCTATCCCAGCCAAGATAGATGACAAACAGACGTATGTAGTACCATCCAGCTCTCCGAATGTATGTATATGGCTGGTCTTTTTCTCAGATACACCACCTTCTTATACCTAAGTCACTCGTCCAGCCTTATGGAAGCCTCTTTTACAAGACTAATGGCCTTGTCTGCCGCCTCTTCAAAACTGTCAAACGCATGCAAAGAGAGACCACTATCGGCAATCTGCAGGTAACGTCAGTCAGACTCTTTTCTTTCGTTCATCTATCTGTTGAAAGGTCTTTGGCACCGACCATCTTTTGGCCCTTTTCCTCATTGGTGCCTCGTAGTCGCACAACAACGGGTACTTTCATGTCCAATTCTTGGAATGCCTCAATGATGCCCTGTGCAATCATGTCGCACCTTGTCAAGCCACCAAAGATATTGACAAAGATTGTTTTCACGCGAGGATCGGCACACAAAATGCTGAAACAGTTCCGGACTGTCAATGATGTGGCTTTACCGCCAGTGTCGAGAAAATTGGCTGGTTTGCCGCCTTTGAGGATCAAAGCGTCCACGGTGTTCATGGCAAGCCCGGCGCCATTAACTATCCAATATGAGGCTACTAGTTGCAAATGCGAGGTTTATTTCAGAGCTACTTACCTAAAGTACCGATACTTCCTTCGCCATCGAGCCTAATTACGATAAAATGGAGATATCAGTTCAATAGTCCACCAGTACTGAAAGTTGGGGAACCTCATACTTTACGTAAACTATGCCACTTTCTTCTGCTTTGACTTCTTCAGAAACCTCCGCCTTGAGATCACGAAGTTTGTGTACTCTCTCCTGTCGACCGGAGCTCCTGTAAGCAGCGTCATCAAATCCAAATTTCGCCTCGTGCGCCACTACCCCCCGCTGTTTAGAAAAGGAAGCCCGCGTCTCCAAGGCAAACGCTTCATTAGTCGTGAATATTGTGTAGAGCTTGCGAATGTAATCTCCTAAGGCATCTTGGTAAATCGCCTCGCGCTTAAGAAAAGATAAGATTTGACTTTGAATAGCATTGTTTGCATTTTGTGAGAATTCGGGGTCGATGTAATTGAATGGAACTCTCAGTGATGGTTCGGAAGATTCGGTGGCCGAGGAGACAGTAATGCATGGTGAACGTGATGTTCGGTCAATGGTAATTGATAGGTAGAAGTCTTCTGGTGAGGAAGTTCTCGTTTCTGCTTGAATATTCAATCCTTCAAGCATAATAAACGCCTGGTGCTGCTTGATGTGGAGAAAACGATGTAGTGTTGGTTTGGTTTCGAGTGTTTTGATTCTTCTGAACGTATGGAATCCTCTTCGCTGACTGACTAGTTTTGCGTGTGTCTGTTTCTTGAATCAGTATTCGTGGCGGAACAGATTTCGTATCTGCTCACTCACAGAGACATTCGAAAGACGTCCCGTCTTCTCCAAAAGGGTCCTCATTCCCGAACCCAGCTTCTCTGGATGACTCGCAAGAGTCGCTCCAGCCTTCTGAAGCGCCTCATACTTGGCTTTGGCACTAGGTTCTCCAGGTGCAACCCATGCCCCAGCATGTCCCATAACTCTGCCCGCAGGTGCCTCCAAACCTCCCACTAAAGCCATGATCGGTCTTATGTAAATAGTCAGATATGTAGAAGTAAAAATGATGAAATTCAACATACTTAGGGTTCGTCGTCCTCTTGCAGTAATCTTTGATCCAGTCTGCAGCATCCATTTCAGCGGTACCTCCAATTTCTCCAATGACAATAATACCGTCGGTGTCGGCATCGTTCTCAAAGACGTTAAGTGCGTCAACAAATGTAGTTCCAGCCAGAACATCCCCTCCCATGCTAATGCACAAACTTTGACCCAGGCCAGCTCTAGTTGTCGACGCCACAGTCTCGTAACTCAGAGTTCCAGATTTGGCAACAATTCCTATCCTGCCGGGGGAGAAACATGGTAGGGGCTGAAATCCTATTCGGCATTTTCCGACTGCTGATATTATACCTGGACAGTTTGCTCCCACCAGTCTCGTCTTGGACTGTGTCCGGAGCATGGAGTGGATCTAAATATGCAGGTTTTTCTTTCTCAGACCAAGATTCAGGCTTGTCTATTGAACGAGTATTCACATACCCGTAGCATGTCATGGACTGGAACATGTTCTGCAACAGCGACAACAAGTGGAATTTCGGCCTCTATTGCCTCCTCAATTGCCTTTGCAGTTTGGTCTCCTGGTACATAAATGGCAGACGCATCCGGATTGGACTTTTCTTTTGCCTATCAATTCCCGTAAGTAATTATGCAAGCCCCATAAAGTCGAATAAGCAACGACTTACTACTCTCACCGAAGGGAAAATCGGTAGCCCAAGATGCTCACCTTCCACCCCCGGCTTGACACCACCGACAATCTTGGTTCCCCATTTAATTGACTCTTGGGCATTTGCAGTTGCCTTCAGGTATATATCAGCTTGGTTTTAGCAACAAGCAGTGACATAGAGTCTTCCTACCTGGCGGCCTAGGAGCTGGGGTGTCAGTGCTGAGAAGGTCATTCAGGGCAGCAAGAAACTCGAAAACAGACCGGTAAACCCTTGGTAAAGAACCTTGGTGTGTTCGCCAATCTTCAAATTTGGCAGAGTATCAGCATAGCTAAGCACCTTTGACAATGTTGAGAATCTGTGGAAATGTGATGTTTGTCGGCGGGCTCTTAGAAGCTGGGAAGCAACATGTGGAAATGTTGTGGTGCGCATTCTGTTTGGGGGGCATGCAGCTGTTCGATTTATGGGTATCAAAGATACTCCGTACACTACCAAAGACAAAGCGAAAAAGATAAGAAAGAAAGCAACGGTATGCCTGTCCTAGGAAAGAATCTGAACTGAATAGGCTATATGCTCAATGAATGAACAGGTAAGAACTAACTCCATGCCTGAAGTTAGGCGGGATCCGCCCCTAAGAGCCAATCGTGGGCTCGGCCAGTAGCCTAAGATATGCCCGGGGAAGCAGTACATTAGTTGATTAACTCTGCACAGCAGGCATGCACTCGCTGTTGGGTTCTCTTACCCCAGCCAGGCTACCGCACTTGGTGCTGTCGATCTATGTATGCAATTGATTCACTGTCCCAGAATAATCCCCCGCAACCTAAGCATGGCGAATCACGTTCTGGAAGGGGTTGGAGAGTCCACGGAACCTAGGCCATCTCGTTGGATCATCTCGTGTCTCACGGAGCAAGGAAAATAAGTCGTCCAAGATTGACGATAGTGGATCTAAGATCAGCTCCGCGTTCGACATTTTGTTCGAGATTTGAATATCCAAGATTGTATGTTGGACGTGGATCTTCAAGGTGAAAAACATCGGTAAACTTGTGAGGGACACGAGTAAATTACTAGCTCAAACGAGTAGCCGTAGAGTCTTATTGGTTTGTGGCTGAGAAAGCCCGGAAATTGTTTGTTTAATTACGGTGCTTTCCAAAACATAACCTTACAGGACGTATTTAATCTTGTCCCACAGCGTCTCCAATGACGCATGTTCCTCTTTCCTTCGTTATAAGCGAACACATCCCACGATCTTTTGCTTTCCCTTCCTGCAACTTCCTCTCGTTTTATCATATATGTAAAAGGGTTATACACCTTAAGCCATTATGGTCGGTGAACTTCCTGAGCAATCCAAAGGTTTGTAAAATCCAGATGACGAAAGAAAGCTGAAATGTGAAACTGACAGCTCCTGAACTTTCCGTCATCTGCGGAGTTGGAGAGGATTTCATGTTTGATTAGCCAGTCTTGAGGATTCATTAGAGAGCCTCACCATTCAGAAACACAAGCCAGACCCTGATATTGCGCGGCTGGCCGTGTCCAAGACACAACCTCCTAAGACAGGGAAGGGTGGCGATGAAGGAAAGAAGAAGACGAAAAAGAAGGAGATAGTAGCCGATTCATGGGAAGACGAGATGTCTTCTTCTGAAGCAGAACCAGAATCAGAGAAGGAAGACGAAAGAGTGACAACAGCGAAACCAGGCGTCAGTTCACTGGCATCAAAATCCGAGGGCCCATTAGCCCCTCCACCAACACCAGCACCAAACACATATTATAATACATCTCCTCATCCAACTGCAACTGCAACCAGCGATAGAAGCACACGGACTGTCAGACCGGAGAAACAGACCGCGGTAGCAAGCAGGATGATTGCCGGTGCCTTGGGGATACGGGCACCGAAGCGCACAGAAGAACAACGCGCTTATGATAGAGCTATGAAAGAAAAGGAGATGAAACGGAGGAATAGGGAAAAGGAGGAGGAAGCAAAAGCAAAACAAGAAGAGGAACGTGCGAAGGCGGCTGTATGGGATGCATGATATATGTTCACTACGTCGAAGTCCACGAACGCTAAAATCCAAGTGAAGTTATATTATATATAAGCATGCTTGTCAATGCTCTTCTAAAAATCGTTGTAGGGATCGCATCTTCTAGAGCTCTTGTGATACAGCGAGAATTCTAAAGGTATTATCATAAAATATAGGCGTAAACTTTATATCGCTTTTTATGTCATTCCATATGGCTTTCTCACGAAATCGAGGTCGAGACTAGACTCCGATATAGAAAGTCAGATCTCGTCGAAGACGTTGTTCAGGCTAAATACTTAAGAATGACACGTGGCTCATGAACTCGTGAAATGCATGTATTCAATGAAGTGCCTAGGGTCAAATTCAAGGATGACTTTTGCTGCCACAGAAGTACTAAAAAAGGTATTGTCTCTAGACAACAGTCTCGCTATCGCCACCAAATCATTCCTTTCGCGCCAAAATATTCGATGTATTGCTTGTGTGAGTATCCATTTATCTTTGTCCATTCGTGATGCACGTGTAAACATAATCGCTAATCAAGGGAGTCTTGAGACGACAGGATTCTGCCTAACCCCCGATTTGCTCTTGGTGGACTTCTAGGGTATCACCGTCTTGCATATCAAGCTGTGGGAGAACCGAGGTGGTTAATTTCCTTCATTTGCCTTCACAAAAGAAAAGATACTTACAGTCTCCGGAGAGTCCTCTGGGCGTACCCGCGTACCGTCGAAGAGAAAACGGACTGTCGATGGTTGTTTGCCCTGGCGGTCACAGAAAGCATCCATGAGCTTTTTCAGCTGTGTCGTGCGCTTGATCTTGAAGAAGACTTCGTTGTGATTATCCGTGACTTTGATGTTTAGGTGCTCGACGGGCTCCGGCGCGATATCTCCTCCAGCTTCCGCCATTTTAGCGATAGAGAATATGTTTTTTTTTTCTTTCTTCTTTTTCTTCTTCTTCTTTTTTTTTGGGCTGCGGGTGATGGAAGATTTGGTCTTGGAGCTGGGAAATGCTTTGATCAGGTTTGGTTAGCTATGCGCGAAATATGGTGCCGAAACTGATGCATAGTTGGGATGAGAGACGACGCAGGAGGAAAGACATACCTCAAAACGTGATATGCGCGAAGCAAAAATGAAAATTCAAGGAGTCAAGAAAAGTGAAGGAAGAAAATGAGAGGGGAGAAGGTGAGACTGCTGGAATGAAATGGATATAAGAAAGAATCGCCGCCACACTCCAATCGGCGAGACCCCACCAGGTCCGGAGAATCTATCTTGCGGCGCAACAAGCCTCAGATGCGATTCACGTCATCCGTGCTTCTTTTCGATTGCTTCTCTCCTTTGCCCATAGTACTCTTGCCATAGATTAAAATATGGTATGGGTGTATATATCACAATGGCAATGATGCCACACAAGCGACAGGGCTATTCTAATACGAATGTACTACATATAGGGTAATCTGAAGAGCGATCTCGCCTATGATCCCCCATGTCATCCTCGTGCAGTATGTACCAAGTTGTGTATTTTGCTTCGTCGTCACTATCTAGGGAAACTGAGTAATATCACTGACCTCTCACCGCCAGTGCGATATCCAAGGTGAGAAGCTCTATTAAAAGCCGCATTGCTGCAGTGCATTGACTAATTGCATGGCACCAGCGTGTTTGACCAAGAACTCCTACAAAGAGGACAAGTGCCAGGCGCAGATAGATGCACTGTACGAATGCTGCAACGTCTTTTACAAGGAACGCGGTGAGGATGCTAAAACACCGAGTTGCCCCAAGGCGAGTCTGCTCAGTGTCAAAATGAGGCAAAGGGAGCAGCAACGCAGCTGATGGCAACGTCGAAATATATGTGCAATAGAAGGGGGAAAGTTTCAAGAGTTATGATGGAGATGATTGTGTACATAGAAATACTCTCTTTTTTATTTGAACTAATATAATCATTGACCTCAATACCAACAAGACAGTTGACTCGGCTGGTGAACAACAAGCGAAGTGTACCAATTCCTTTGCAGTCTAAACCCCCATGTCGAAAAAACGAGGTTGGACTAGTTGTAGAAACTGACGGGAGTTGCTATAAGACAGCCTTGAGCGCGGCTTTTCGAACACTGAGGAGTACGATCCGAGACTCTAATGGCTGCCTATAAGACATTTTGTTGAAGGAAAGAAAAAGAAAAAGAAGAAAGGAAGAAAATCCTCCAAGTTTTTTTAAACAAGCGGAGATTTGCTGCCGCTAGTCTGTGTTAGGGCTAGCGTTGTTGGCGGCTAAGAGACGCGCCGAAGATCCAAATTGGTCGAAACTCAACGAAAGGAAAGAGCTGCCGACTCAGCTCAGCGCAACTTTTCTCCAGCTGAAAGACTATCTCCAGCTGCTGAGGCATCTCTGCTACTGTACATCTTACACAACGACAACAGCAACATGGCGCCGGCTACTGATTCGTCCGGCGCCACGCGAGGTGCACCAAGCTTTGTTTTTGGGAGGGTGAGTGGATTCTTAGCATATTGATGTTTTGGTGTTTGATGTCTGTTGTTGACCAAATAACTCTCTGGTGTAGCCATCTCAACCACAACCTTCGAACGAACCTGATGTCATTGAAATCGATGATGACGATGACGACATCTACAATCAGCACGACGGCGACATGGAAGACAGCGTCAATGAAATGGATCAAGCCGACAGTGACGACGTCGAAGAGATTGACGTCGACGACGACGAAGAAGAAGAAGAAGAAGACGACGACGAAGAAGAGGAGGAACACGAAGAGGACACTGCAGAATCAGTTGCAGAGTCAGTTGGTAAAGTAAATGGTGTTAATTCAATTTTTGATGATTTCAACAGAAGGAGTCTACAAGCTAGTCCAGGTAAGAAATTACTGGCTGAAAAATTATGAAAAGACACCGCTAAAAGCCCAATGCTTTAGCTATTCGTGTGCCACCTCAGTCCATGTTCACCTCGTCTGGTATTCAGGAAGCTTTGCATCCCTTGCGACGGACTGCCGACCGTGTCACTCGCCAAATGCAAGCTTTCGCAGAGAAGCTCGACCGCTTTAAAAAGCAGGACCGTACTCAGGGTTCTTACCAAGCTGCCTTCTCCCTCATCAAGAGCTACCAGGTGCACGCCTCGGATGCAATCAAAGATGCCTCTCGTCAGAACACTCTGCGAAAGGCCAAATTGGGCTGGACTACGAGTCGGGAGTCGGATAATGCAGATCCAAAATCCGAAGAAGACCTACGGCGACTGCAGCTTGAAGTCGACACTTGGGATCTTCTCCTTAATCTGATTGCCGTGGACGACCCGGCAGCGCTTGCTCATGTCAAGGAAACCCAGAAGTCAGTCTTTCAAAATCTACATCGTTATTCTACAGACAGGGAGGTTTGGGATCAATTCTTGGACGCCGACAATTCTGCAACCGAGTGCGTGATGGTGTTGAAATGGCTCGAGGCCAAGTCAAAATCATCGTCGCAGCAGCTGGATTCCTTGATTGCAAGCTTGGAATCACAAGCCGATAGGGGGAGCGGGCTGTGGGCTCACGGCTGGCTATACACCAAGGAATCCATCAAAGGGCAGAAACGTCTACGCGCGTGGCCTCAACCGTTGGAACCAGGTGATCCTGGTATTTTGGCTTCATTGCTGAATTCCGAAAACAAAGAACCTTTGATCACTCAACTTGACCCAGATGCTGTGATCCGACAAAAGCAAGGATTGCAGAAACAAGATCAGTTCTACGAGCAGGCTACCTGGTTGACCTGCTGGAAAATGCTGAGACAAGGCGAGAATTGGACAAAGATCCAAGAGTGGTCGCAAGAACGACTCGAAAGTTGGCGCGCAGTGAGCCTCTGCGGCTCGAGTATCGACAAACAACCATCTTCAAGCGTCAAAACACCGATAGATGACAGCATGACACGCATGATGAATTGCCGATCGCAGGACACATGGCGAGCTGCTTGCTCTGCTCTTGCCCGTAACGCAAACACGGGCGACTATGAGAAAGCTGTTTATGCGTTGCTTAGTGGCGAAACAGAGCCGGCGTATCGCGTCTGTAAGAGCTGGGATGATCATCTTTATGTTTTTTACAATCATATTCTCCTCTCTCGTTACCGGGACTTCTGTACTCAATTCTCCCGAAAGCTCAGCCACTCTCCCCTAGCAAACGTGCCATTCGTTCCAGAACCGATGGACTACAGCGCTATTCGAAAATTCTTGGAGAGCCTGAGGGCGCATGGGGTGATTGGCATGGAAGCGCGCAATCCATATCACACTATTCAAGCAGCGATTCTGGGAAAGAATTTCGATTCGTTCTTTCTGTCAATGGCAAATGCAGCGTCAGAGGTCAGCAGAACATCAGAGTTTGTATCCTTGGTACCAGATGTCGGAGCCACTGGAGTCGATGCCTCGGCAATCATCGCGGTTCGAGACAAGGACGCATTGCGAATCATCACCCACTTGTATATTATCGCGCAGAGTCTGTCCTACACTCGGTCGGACTCTCATTTTGCCGAGAGAGCCGCACTGAATGTGATTTCTCATGCCGAAAACCTGCGTCAAGCTGAGCTCACTGAGTGGATTCCACTTTATGTGTCTTTCATCCCAGCTTCTTTGGCTCCTAACGTCATGGTGAAAGTGCTTATTGACATTGTCAGTGCTCCAGAAAGAAACAGGATGACCAAGCTTATAGAGAAGCACGAGATCTCCGTCCCTGCTCTTCTGGATAGCCTACATAAGTATATCATCCACCATGCGCCAAGGGCGCAGAGAAGCACTATTACTCTAGAGCACAAGACAGTTCGTGATCGGACGAAGAAAGAAGTAGTTCTGATGCCGGTTAGTAAGAGATTTGCCGGGAAGGAATTGAGTCTTGAAAGCGACAGCTTGATTCAGTGTGCCGAATGGTATTCAGTACTTGAGGGTAGCTGGGTTGTACTTTGCCAATTGCTGGGAGTCCTCTACAGACGGTTTTACGGTAGGCATTTGGGGTTTCATATTTGGTATCTGAATAATTTGACTAATCATATTCATAGGCCATGGTATGCTATTGGAAGCCAAAGAGCTCTGCGAGAGAATGAACCTTGCCGATGTATCACAACGGGCTTTTGGATACGATATACGACAGAGACAGGGTATTATCGAAGAGTCTTCTCCGGTGGACTACCGTTCAGTCCCTGTCAGTCCGTCAAAGAGCCCTTCGAAGAAACGCTTGCGCCGGTCTCAGAATCCTGACGAACGAACGGTGAATTATAATGCAGCTCAGCCAGTTCTTGAGTTGGAAAATGTCATTCTTTCGTACATTGCTTTGGAAAATTTTCAAGTTGCTTGGGAGGCATTGGAATTGTATGATTATTCCTCTCTTACCGGACAAGTTTTCTTTTCTTTTTTTTTTTTTTTTAATTTACGTGACTGACGAATTTTTCTGTTTCAGGTATAGGAATACCCCAGATGCAGACGAGTCTCAAGTTCAAGTATTGATACATGACCTGCGCCTGGGCATTGAGCAAGCAACCGAGCATGCAGAGGGACTCATTGACAAGGAATTAGGCGTGCTGACCCTAAGGTCTACGCGTAAGTACATACCCAACGCTCGGCTAGTTTCAGTGGCTAACTTTGGTTTTGCAGCGGAAGAAGAGAAACAGCTGGCATACATTCGGCAAACCTACTTCCCGGACGTCATTCTAAACTACATCAGTGCAATATACTACGCGAGTTTGAAGATCGATCGCGGTTTGCTACTGCGAAGCATGGAGCTGGCCATCCTCATTGCAGAGGACAGCTTCTTACTGGACTGCTTTATTCGCGCGCGCCGGGTGACCGAATTAGCAGATGCTATGGCCTTGACGTCGGTCGCAATGGTGAACTCCCCAATACCTACTAAGGCGAAGAAACAGCAAGATGGAGATGCGAGACTGGATGTCTGGGACGTCAAAGTGGTGGATAAAAATGGCGATGATGGTTCTTCTTAAGCCCTAGAATTATTTCGTTTGTTGAATCCATATATCCTCGTATAAAACATGTGAGGAATGACAATCATTGTATTTGTGTCAATAACATGAAGATGAACAATTAGTTCCAAAAAAAAGAATTTTTTTTTCTCACACATTAGAAGTTCGCATTATCTATCGCACGGATCAAGTAAGCAATGAATGGGTGGTGCGCCTTGCCGTTGACATGCATCGATTTGTCGACAATGCCGTGCGCCTTGCAATTGACAGGCAGTCTCACTAGATAAGTAGAGGTCGATTAGAAATTCGGAAAGTATTGTCATATCATGATGCATTGCGGAAGTATAAATTGACGTAACGATTCCTGTGCAATTGAACCACATTTTCTCTCCAACAACCTTGAAACTCAAGTATTTTCGTATAATTCCTCCAGAAACCGAACGTAAACCACTTCATTCAGACATGTCAGACCCAATCTCAGAGTACGGCTTCACGGCCGTGCATGCCTCGGCAAAACAACTCCTCCTCAGCAGCAACAACAACAACAACAACAATTCCTCCGGGCTTGGACCCTCACCCTTGTCGCCAGTCTCCATTCCCGTGCCAGACACAGCCCTCTCCAAGCGCATCCAATCCTACGCGAAGAAGCATCTCCCCGAAGCCACATACAACCATAGCATGCGCGTCTACTACTACGGGCAGGCAATCAGGAGATACCGCTTCGCAGAGTGGAGCTTCGCCGACGAGACTTACTTTTTGAGCTGCCTCTTGCACGACATTGGGACCACCGAGGAGAATCTGCACGCAACTCGGCTGAGTTTTGAGTTCTATGGCGGGTATCTAGCTTTGGATGTGCTGCAAAATGGCGATGCCAATGCCATCGCGCCGCGGGAGCAGGCAGAGAGTGTCGCGGAGGCGATTATTCGGCACCAGGATCTTTGCGAAGTGGGCAAGATAACTGCAGTGGGACAATTGGTGCAGTTGGCGACCATTTTCGGTGCGGACATCAGAGATATGTACCTACCTGCCTAATGCGGAGAGCTAACCAGCGGCGGACACAAAATGCAGACAATACCGGGACTTATTCGGATCTGGTGCACGCTGATACCATTGCGGCTGTGTCACGAGAGTTTCCGCGCTTAAACTGGAGCAGCTGCTTTGCAGACACGATTCGGAAGGAGAATGCGATGAAACCCTGGGCGCATACGACAGCGCTCGGCGAGGCGGAATTCCCAGCGAAAGTGCTGGGGAACAAGCTCATGGCTGCGTATGAGTGAGCTCTGCTGGGCTGGTTGGCTGGTTCCATGGTTTGGCGGGCCTGTAATTTGATATTGAGCGCATGGTGACGGTTTCCGTGATATATTGCGCACTGACTGGCTAGCATGCATGCTCATCAGTTAACGCGAGAAATGATGCCCAATCCACAGCTTGCATTCCACGGAGTCGTTCGTATAGAGTTAGAAGCATAATATTAATGCACTGCTATCTGATTCTGATAGGGATCATATCTGATGGTTAGACCAAATAGCGTCTCCACCGGCCTGAGGCAGTGCAACGCCAAAGCTCCATAGGCTCATGCTTTTTTGCACCGTGTTCGTCGACCAGAGCTGGCGTCATTGACGCAGCAGGTTTTTCCAGAACAAACACACACCCCACCGGAGAGAGAGAAACAGCGAATCTTTCCCAGCGACGAGATTCAACACATCGAGGCCGTTCGTTCTTCAACGCCAAGTGCATTAGCGCCGTGTGATTGGTGGAAACGCCGCAGCCCGACCCTTCGTCGTCTTTGCTCTTTCCCTTGGGTCAAAACCGTCGACTCTTCTCGCCATTCTCTCTCTCTCTCTTCTCTCTCTCTCTCTCTTCTCTCTCTCTCTCTCTCTCTCTCTATCTCGCGTCCTTGGAGCTTGTCGTCTTCGTCTTCTGCTTTGACCTGGTCCCCTCTTCCCCGGGGCCCGTTTGTTGTGCTGCGCCTCCCTTGATTTGATCCGCCCCTTAGCAGCCAGTCAGTTGAGGTACGGCCGGGCTTCTTTTCTTTGCCATTGGCCCCTGCCAGTGTCGCCTGTCGCCTCTTGGGTCGCCCCAGCTACCCTTTCGACCTCGGTCTATTCATCTTATCTTCACTCTCTAGGGTTGTGTGTGCGGTGGCCACACACCTTCTCAAACGAGACATTCCCGATCCGAAACAAGGGAACAAGGGGGCTTTTGCCCGTGATTCTTTGCTCGCCTGCAAGCAACCGCTCTCGCTTGCAGAAACCCCCCTTGGTCTTCTTGTACTCTTTATTTCAGAATCTATGTCTGTCGTTGAGCTCTTTTGGTATTCTCCAATGGCCGCGAATGAATGAGAATTACTCCCAAGAACCCGCGTATCTGCACTTCAAGCCTTCAAGAGATAAGGCACATCAGTCTATTCCGCACGGAGCCTGCGGGAACATAGACTGTGAAGAACAACAATGTCCGGCGCCTCTAACGATGGAGAGGGCTCACGCAACTCGATGCCGGCGTCGCGGCGTCCGCGAGCGCCTACCATCACAATCGACACCTCAGCAGTAAGCCCGGTGACTCTAACGGATCAGACGAATCAACAAACTTCCCCGACAGGCCAAAATGGAGTCCCGTCGCTGTCGCGTGAAAATTCAGACGCCACCATGTACTCCGGTGTTTCTCCCACCGATGCGCGCTCCACCACATCTTCCGAATGGTATCGAGAGAGTAGGCCTACTTCTCCGCATAACGTTTCTTCTCCAACCTCAAAACTGCTTGACGGCCATTCCAATTTCCTGGCAGTCCCCGGCACTAGATCTCGCGGGAACTCGATAGAGTCCGAGAATGGAAGCCATACAGACTCCTTTGGTGGCGACACCTACGTGCAATCCAGCCCGTCGCATACCGAACGCATCTCACAGGACTTTGGCCACTCAAACACCCTTTTCTTGAACGATGAGGAAGCTTTGCGACCAGATCCTGGGACTGAGGAGGATTTCGAAGTGGAGGATAATAAGTTCGCTTTCACCCCCGGCCATATGAAGAAATTTTTCAACCCGAAAAATCTAGGTGCTCTCCATGCAGTGGGTGGAATGGCAGGTCTCGAGAAAGGGTTAAGAACCGACCGAAACTCCGGTCTGAGCGTTGATGAGGCATACTTGGATGGTACCGTGTCGTTCGAAGAGGCCGTGAGCGGGGGGCAGCAAAGTCAACAACCCAAGGCTGTCAGTCGAATGGATACCCAGAGAACACAATCAAGCCGGCACTCACGAATCGACGCCGCTTATGCTGACCGGAAGCGCGTGTTTGGTGCAAATCAACTGCCCGAAAAGAAAATCAAAACTATTTGGGAGCTTGCCTGGATTGCGTACAACGACAAAGTTCTGATCTTGCTTTCCGTTGCAGCAGTCATCTCACTGGCCCTTGGAATCTATCAATCGGTTACAGCTACGGATGGCGAGGCAAGAGTGCAGTGGGTTGAGGGCGTCGCCATTATCGTTGCTATATTGATTGTGGTCACTGTGGGAGCAGTGAACGATTACCAAAAGGAACTGCAATTCGCCAAACTCAATAAAAAGAAGGAGGACCGTCTCATCAAACTGATCCGTTCAGGCAAAACGGTCGAAATCTCCGTTCACGATGTCCTAGTTGGCGATGTGGTCTTGCTGGAACCTGGAGATCTTGTGCCTGTGGATGGTATCCTCATTGAAGGACACGATATAAAATGTGACGAGTCATCTACCACCGGTGAATCAGATGTCTTGCGCAAACACGCCGCGGACGATGTATACCAAGCTATTGAGAACAGAGAGTCGCTAAACAAGCTGGACCCGTTCATCTTGTCCGGTGCGAAGATTTCGGAGGGAGTGGGCAAGTTTATGGTCACTGCCGTCGGTGTCCACTCAGTCTACGGCAAGACCTTGATGTCCCTGCAGGACGAGGGACAGACTACACCCCTACAGTCTAAACTTAATGTGCTAGCTGAGTATATTGCCAAGCTCGGTCTGGCTTCTGGCCTTTTACTCTTTGTTGTCCTCTTCATCAAGTTCCTTGTCGAGCTTAGTACGTTCGGCAGCGCTGGAGAGAAGGGCCAGGCGTTCTTGCAGATCTTCATTGTCGCTGTTACGATCATTGTCGTGGCTGTTCCTGAAGGATTACCACTAGCTGTCACCTTGGCGCTTGCTTTTGCCACGACCAGAATGCTCAAGGATAATAACTTGGTCAGGCTGCTTCGCGCATGCGAGACTATGGGTAACGCTACTACCATCTGCTCAGACAAGACTGGCACCTTGACTCAGAACGTGATGAAGGTGGTTTCTGGTTGTCTTGGCACGTCGAATCGCTTTCTGGATAAACAAAAAGTCCAGTCACAGTCTAATGAATACAGCGATTCGGATACCGCAGAAGTTCCTCCTTCCACCCTGGTGTCCGGACTGTCTCCCGAAATCAAAGAACTTCTTCTCGATTCCATTGTTCTTAACTCGACTGCTTTCGAATCCCAAGAAGATGACGGACGACCGACTTTTGTCGGCTCCAAGACCGAGTCGGCATTGCTCGGTTTTGCTAGAGATTATTTGGGGCTTGGAAACCTCAGTGAGGGCCGGTCTAATGCTGATATGGTTCAAATGGTTCCCTTTGATTCTGGTCGTAAATGCATGGCGGTTATCATTAAGAAGAAAGAAGGCCAATACCGGATGTTTGTCAAGGGCGCATCGGAGATTCTCCTCGCCAAATCTTCTCGGGTGATAACCAACCTCGGGAAGGGTTTAAACGCTGTTCCAATCAGCGATGATGCCCGTACCGGTCTCTTGAACATAGCTAATACGTATGCATCACGATCCCTGAGAGCCGTCAGCTTGCTCTATCGTGACTTTACACAATGGCCACCTCGTGGAGCCCCTACACAACAGGACGATCGAAATCTAGCTGTCTTTGATGCTATCTTCGAAGATATGACTTTGATCGGGGTCTTCGGCATCCAAGACCCTCTGCGACCGGGTGTTACGGACGCCGTCTATCAATGTCAACGTGCAGGTGTCTTTGTTCGAATGGTCACAGGTGACAACATCAACACCGCCAAGGCTATTGCCCAAGAATGTGGTATTTACACGTCTGGCGGTGTTGCCATGGAAGGCCCTAAGTTCAGGAAGCTGAGCAGGAAGCAGATGAACCAAATTATTCCTCGTCTGCAAGTCCTGGCGCGGTCTAGCCCTGATGACAAGAAGATACTAGTCTCGGCGCTTATTCGATTGGGTGAGACTGTTGCCGTTACTGGTGACGGCAGCAACGATGCAGCAGCTTTGAAGACAGCTGATGTTGGTTTTGCAATGGGTATCGCAGGAACTGAGGTGGCAAAGGAGGCCTCCGATATCATTCTGATGGACGATAATTTTACCTCGATTGTAAAGGCCATGTCCTGGGGCCGTACTGTCAACGATGCTGTCAAGAAATTCTTACAATTTCAAATTACCGTCAACATCACTGCTGTTATTCTGACTTTTGTGTCAGCGGTCGCCAGTGGTGATGAAACCTCTGTTTTGTCTGCTGTCCAGCTGCTCTGGGTTAATCTTATCATGGATACTTTTGCAGCTCTTGCACTAGGTAAGTTTTAAATTGATCTCTCCCCGGTTCCCCCGTCTTATAATTGAGGAGCAAAAGAAGATGAAGGGAATGATGCTAACATTACTTCCAGCGACCGATCCCCCGCTTGCGTCTGTTCTTGAGCGCCGCCCAGAGCCAAAATCTGCACCCCTGATCACTTTGACGATGTGGAAGATGATTATCGGACAGTCTATCTACCAATTAGTCATCACATTCATATTAAACTTTGCCGGGAAGAGCATATTATCAAATATGAACGTATTTAGCAGCCCAGATGACATTGCATTGGAACTCAGTACGGTCGTTTTCAACACATTCGTGTGGATGCAAGTGTTCAACCAGTATAACTGTCGACGGTTGGACAACAAGTTCAATATTTTGGAGGGCATGTTCCGCAATTACTGGTTTTTGGGAATTCAACTCATTATTATTGGTGGACAAGTATTAATTATCTTTGTCGGTGGCAAGGCGTTCTCTATCACGCGGCTGAATGGATCCGAGTGGGCGGTCTCACTAGTCCTTGGAGTATTGACTCTTCCAGTGGCTATTATAATTCGACTTATTCCTGACGAGTTTATCCGACGCCTTATTCCTACTTTCTGGAGGCGCAAGAAACAGGACGGCCCCCAAGTACTTGTTTCAGATGAAGACCGCCGATATGAATGGAATCCTGGTCTGGAGGAGATTCGTGATCAGCTCACATTCTTGAAGACGCTCCGCGGCGGACGTTTGAAGCATCTTAAACACAAATTGCAGCACCCTGAAACCTTACTACCGCGATCCCGTAGCGGATCACGGTCTCGCGAAGATTCGATCCTAACAGCATCGAACGGCGAGCCCGAAACATCGTCGCCTCCTCCGGCCACTCCAGAATCGCGTTCTCGGACCCGGACCCGGTCTCGGTCGAACTCAGCGTTCGGCCCGGCAGCAGCGATGGCAGGTGTTATTGCGGGTAGTATTGCAGGCTGGTCGCCTGTGGAACGCAATCCAGGCGAGCAAGAATCGTGGCATTTGTCAAGTGGCAGCCCCCATTCAGGGTTGGATAGGCAGCAGGGACTTGATATTCACCCAGAAACGCCGCAAAATGATCCTATCATTGTGAACAATTACACTCTGTCCTCTACGACACCGCCCAGTCAAAACCCAGATTTAATTCCGGTATTTGAGCATGCTCCACCTGATCGCGTGCCGAGTCGCGGGCGACGTTCGACGTCGGGGCGATCGCGGTCGAATACGATGACTACGTTTAATAGTCGACGATCTACTTCAAATTCTCAAGCTCAAGCTTGAAAAGAAAAAAAAAATATGAGGAAGAAAAGAAAATAAATAATTGCTTCTTTTAAGGCGCTCAAAGTGGCACCAGTGTGGACAATTTTGACAGATATCGGTCTACGTGTCAAGAAATCTTTGATCTACGCTTCAAATATTTCTCTCTCTCTCTCTCTCTCTTTTCTACATTCTCATCAGGCGTCGGGTGTGACCAATTATTTGACGGTGGGCCTTTGTGCGATATAATTCTTTAATAGACGTGGGTGGCTCGGTGTTGTGTGGATTTTTTCCGAAAGCCTTCTAGACTATCAATCCGTCGGGATTTTTCTATGCGCGAGTGTGCTACTAAAACTAAATGATAAGTAAGCATCACATAGCATACGGAGTTGTTGGCTTATTGTTGTCCGTGAAGAGTGCTGTACCTGCTCTTACATATTCATTCGCGTGTACATATTTCAAGAGCTGTTTTTGGATTACTGTTGTCGTTGTTTTTGTTTTTTCATATTTACTCTACTCTCTGTGTACTAGAGGAAGGCATTGATTTAGTGTTATATCTTGACTATTAACATACCCAGGGTTAAGAAACTGGTGTTAATACGATTCCAACGACGATCAACACTCTTGACTGTTGAGAGTACTGACCGTAAGAGGCAATCTCCACTCGCAATGCAATCCTCGATGCATTCCAAGCTTGCTAAAGCCTGACAGGGCTAGGATAGCCCTACCTATGCCGCTACGTGATGTGCATGTATCCGTAGTTCACTCATTCACTCACTCAAGTGGGAGGGTCCAGTCAAGATTGCAACTGACTGGTCAAAAACGGGGGCAAGAAACGATTTTTTTTTTTTTTTTTTTTTTCTTTTCTTTTCTATTTTCTTTTCCGTTTCCTTGCCGCTTGACTTGTTCGTGTACTGTAGCGGTGTATGTAATCTTACCACGTTAACTACACACTTAGTGACTTAACTAGTCCGTCTATAACTTAGCAATAACTATCCTCGTAACTAAATACCTGCTACGTAGTACTTGTCCAAGCACACCTATAACCTCATTTATAGGTAGTTTCTGGCACGGCACACCTGCAGGCGTGTCCAGTTGAGTAGTTCAATTGGCTGGAAAAGACCACAGTAGACTAAAACGACGTACTATATAAGTGCGGTGCAGCGGCACTTCGTCGCAGGATTGAGCTCAGCTTTGGGGGTATGGCAATGACACCTTGGAGGGCTATCCTATCACCAGACAGTATGTGGTAGTCGTTATTTTTGTTACTAGGCCTTGGTTTGTCTCAGTCATGGACTATAATGTAGTTTTAGTATGTGCTGTGTGCCATGTCATCATCGTATTATCGACGAAGATCGATTACGAACCTGCGTGGTCTAGGTCTTTATGATATTATTACCTGTATGTCTCTTCATTGTTCTTTTGTAGTGTTCGGCTAAATGTCGTACAAATAAGTTCGTGCAACTTGGAGAGATGTCTGGTCGGAATAGGGCTATACACTCTCTCACCTACACAGTCCGACTCGGGTAGACACACGGAGCTAACCCAAGTGAACAAAGGCATGAGTGGGAAAAAAATAAAAAAATAAAATAAAATAAAATGATAAATACTAAGCGCCTAGAGTGGTCATATGCGTATCTAGGCAGACAACTCGACGCATCCAATCACGCAGTACGCCCGCCAGCCCCCGCAGAAGAACACTTGCATGATCCATGCAGCCAGGCAGGACACACCCTGGACTAAGCAACGCCGCCCCCATTTCGGACAGTGTAAAGCGTAAGCTGCAGGCTGATTGTGACTGTCAAGGCGTGGAATTCCTCCGAGCCTTAAGGGATATTTCGCTAGCCAGTGAGGGGTGGTGCAGCCCTAGGTCCAACGTGTAAATTTCCTAATGTGGGTATATTGCCCAAAGAAGGAAACGCTTACTATCATTGCCGCTTTGAGTAAGGAGGGAAAATGGGAGACAACTGAAGAAGGCGAATATTACATACATTACATGCAAGCCTGGTTGTTAGTCACTTCTGCTTGTAGTCCTGAAGAAACAAGACAGCAGAAACACAAATTCCCCGACGTGCATCTGACTTGGCTTGTTGATTCGGAGAGATCAAGCATCACCAACTCCCAAGTCATAAGGGCGGTCTTTCTAGAAGTAGAGTGGGGGTTGTGACATCCATCCAGTGTTATTCTACCGAGGGTTCTGGACTTTTGATACTGCTTTTGCCATCTGGTTGGCCGGGGGTAGGGTCATCCAAGTGCGTTCTCTCTAGGCCCAGCGCTTAAGCATGCAACGCTTAGGAATCGACGATATCGGCTAGCTGACTGACGGAAGCCGATTGAAGGGGGCACTAATAAAGAAAGGGTGATTAAACAAGATTAGGGCACCGGACTGCCTACGGGTTGTATGTACATGTATGCATGAATGACTGGAAGTGAGCGAGGTCGGGCATGAAACTGGTATATGATACTCACCAGGCCAATGAGAGGCTGCATGTCCATAGGCAATCCATTCTTCTGGATCCTGACTCAGTCCATCTCCGTGCTGAGGTGGAGCATGGCGTTGGCAGGTACTTTAGAGGATCATACCTCGTACCCATCCCCCTCCCGACGCCGTAGATATCCACGATATATGTATATATACACACACATATATTTATATATTTATATATTTACACACACGAACACGCACCAACACCAATCCATTGGCTCAGAATGGCCGATAATGAAGTCAGCCCGTCGATATAGAATCGTGGGCAATCCATATTTATATCAGCGCGCTCTAAAATTACCCCCTGCGTGTTTCATTGTTTAAGGTATATATAAACGGACGGTGAGAGGATCCTTCTCATTGCCTCACATTTCGCTGACTTCTCGATCTCTCCAGCGAACATTTGGAATCTCTTCGTTCCTTTGGCTCTGGTTGCCTTCCAAGACATTCATTTTTTCCCTCCGTTTTGGAGCTTCTCTTTTTGGAAGCCCGCAACCCCAACTGGCTTCACCGATAGCTACAAATACACCCTGAAGTACATGTTGATTGGGCCATAGTCATACTCAGTTCCCTGTTCGTTGCCTTTCAAGCGAACCTGAAAACGCTTGAAAAAAAAAAATAAAAAAAATTCTCCGTTGCCCCGCGTGACATTGCCCATCGAGGAACCGACAGAATGAGCTTCGCTCAGGAAAACAACACCTCCCTCTTTCTCCCCTCAGCTATCCCTATCCCCTCGTCCAGCATCCTCCATCCTCTTCTCTCCTTCCAGTCCTTCAAGGCGATGTCCGGACTCGACATGAACATGGATCAATTGACGATGGAATCCGTACGCCGTCTTGGAGACGCTCTGCTCTCTCTCGATGCGCTTCCCTTGTCAGGCCTTCTCTGCATCTTCTTTCTTACTCTGTATCTGCCCCTCGTCCGTCTGCTGCGTTTTCGCCGCATTGGGCAATTGCAGAAACGCTACAATTACCCTACTCGCGCCTCCCTGGCGAAGATGACGGATTTCGAGGCATGGGAGATTCAGAGGGCCATGTCTCGCCTTGAATTCCCGTTCACCTTTGAAAAGAGTCTTCAATTTGCTCTCTTTCGTGTAGGTCTCTTCTCCTTTTCCTTTTTTTTTTCCCCCTTCCTTTCTTTCGCCTGTAGTTTTTTTTTTTTTTTTTTCGAAAGCAGCCGCAGCTAATCAACTCGTCTAGACATACGGCATCCCAACCATATCAGGTACACTCATGAAAACCAAACAATTCTCCAATGCCCTCTATTCTGGCAAACGCTACGTCGACACGTGCGTCCTGATAGGTGAATTCATCGTGCATGATCCTGCCTCCATACGCGCGCGTATCGGCATCTCGCGCACAAAGTATCTTCACCACTCGTACCGCAAATCAGGCTCAGTCAGAGAAGAAGACATGCTCTACACTCTCTCCCTATTTGCAACAGAGCCCATCCGCTTCATCAACGAGTATGAATGGCGTTCAGTTACTGAGCTGGAACGTTGTGCCCTGGGCGTGTTCTGGAAAAGCATTGGCGATGCCTTGGGCATTGACTATTCGGCCTTCCTCCCCACAGCCAAAGCAGCCAAGGAAGGAGGCCAGGCCTCGTTCAAAGACGGCCTCGAGTGGCTCGAGGAGGTCACAATCTGGGCCCAAGAATATGAGAAACGAGCCATGATCCCAGCGCAATCAAACAGAGACACTGCCGACCAGACCACCGCCGTACTGACATACTCACTGCCTCGGTCCTTGAAATTCATCGGCAACTGGTTTGTCTCTTCCATGATGGACGAGCGCCTCCGCCTGGCAATGTTGTATCCAAGCGCACCCTGGCTCGTCAAGCAGACTATCCCTTTGCTCTTCGGCATCCGCAAAGTCATCCTTCGCCACCTCTCTCTCCCTCGTCCCGAGTTTCTGCGCTTTCGCAACTTCGCGGATAAACCAGACCCAAAAACAGGCGCCTACCACGTTGTAACCTGGGATGCTGAACCGTATTACGTGAAGCCCACCCTGTGGAATAGATGGTTGAGTCCTGCAGCCATTGTTGCGCGTCTGATGCGCTTCCCACTGCCCGGTGACCAAGGCGATAAGTATTATCCGCAGGGATATGATCTTGCGAATATGGGGCCGAAGACTTTTGATGGGAAAGGGAAGGAATATATGGCCTCGGAGATGAGGACTCTCGAGAAAGAGAGAAGGGGTCAATGTCCTTTTGTTCAGTGATCAATTGAATCCATTCTTCACCGTTGCACTCTGCATGTTCGGATGCAACTAATGCATACACGATCCCATGATTTCCTTCTCTCTCTTTTGCTGTTTCTATACATTCATACCTAGCTAGGTGGTTAACTATGCTGTTATGTTTGTCGGTCGACTGGTGGCTTCGTTCATTTGAGCATTGATCCCTTTGTCCTCCTCACCTTTAACCCAACCTCTGTTGCTTTCTAATTTTAGTAGTCAGTATTCTTGATATCAAATCAGCCATTGACAAAGATAGATGCATGGCACACTTTCATAAACTAGAATAGTAATTAGAAAAGAAACGCTCATTTTATTGGATTTGGTAAGTTATTAATTACTCCTGTTTGGCAACAGATAGTAGAAATTAAAAAAAAAAGAACATCACACAGACTGGTTGCCTAGGTGGATGATATCGAATGTATGGAGACATTTGATCTTTTTCTTTTTTTTGTTATTCTCTCTGAAGAACCAACATAGACATAAAAACAAAGGAGAAAACTAGAGGGTATTACGCGAGCTCGTATGTATGCAAAACGAACATTTACTCCTCGGCCTCAAGAGGCTCTTCCTCAACACTGGAGAGGAAAGTTAGCCTTGTCCATTTTGTGAATGAAATATAAGGATAAACTTACTACTCCTCCTCGCCCTCAGAGATAGAGGCATCCTGGTACTGTTGGTACTCAGAGACCAAGTCGTTCATGTTGCTCTCGGCTTCAGTGAACTCCATCTCATCCATACCCTCGCCAGTGTACCAATGCAAGAAAGCCTTACGACGGAACATGGCAGTGAACTGGTCGCCAACACGCTTGAAGAGCTCCTGGATGGCGGTGGAGTTACCGACGAAAGTGGAAGACATCTTAAGACCACGAGGAGGAACAGAGCAGAGAGCAGACTGGACGTTGTTGGGAATCCACTCAACGAAGTAGCTGCTGTTCTTGTTCTGCACGTTGCGCATCTGGTCCTCGACCTCCTTCATGGAGACCTTACCGCGGCTATTTACATGTTAGTACATGATGTACGAAGGAGGGGAAAAAAAAGAGAGAGATATAACATACAAAAGAGCAGAGCAGGTAAGGTAACGACCGTTACGGAAGTCAGAAGCGGCCATCATGTTCTTAGGGTCGTACATCTGCTGGGTCAACTCGGGAACAGTGACGGCACGGAAAGAGTTGGAGCCACGGCTGGTCAGAGGAGCAAAGCCGACCATGAAGAAGTGAAGACGAGGGAAGGGAACCATGTTGACGGCAAGCTTGCGCAGGTCAGAGTTCAGCTGACCAGGGAAACGCAAGGAAGTGGTGACACCGGACATGACGGTGGAGACGAGGTGGTTCAGGTCACCGTAAGAGGGCTGGGAGAGCTTGAGGGTACGAGTGCAAATGTCGTAGAGAGCCTATATCGAAGTCAGAAGTCAGACTAGTTCAAACATATAAAAGACAAGACCATAACTGCCTACCTCGTTATCGATACAGAAGGTCTCGTCAGAGTGCTCAACGAGCTGGTGCACGGAGAGGGTGGCGTTGTAGGGCTCAACGACAGTGTCGGAGACCTTGGGGGAGGGAACAACGGAGAAGGTGGCCATCATACGGTCGGGGAATTCCTCACGGATCTTGGAGATGAGGAGAGTACCCATACCGGCACCAGTACCACCACCAAGGGAGTGGGTGATCTGGAAACCCTGGAGGCAGTCACAGGCCTCAGCCTCGCGACGGACAACATCGACGACCTGGTCGACGAGCTCAGCACCCTCGGTGTAGTGACCCTTGGCCCAGTTGTTACCGGCACCAGACTGGCCGAAAACAAAGTTGTCGGGACGGAAGAGCTGACCAAAGGGACCAGCGCGGACGGCGTCCATGGTACCGGGCTCCAAGTCGACAAGGACGGCACGGGGGACATATTTACCTCCTTGGGCCTAGAATCGATTTGTGAGTACACTATTTCGATTCCTTCTTTTCGGTGGTAAGCTTTGACGCACCTCGTTGAAGTAGACGTTCATACGCTCCAACTGGAGGTCGGAGGAGCCATTGTAACTGGATGTTGTCAGACGTGTGCCATTTTTTTTTTTACTCCCCTGATTTATTGGGAAGCCGTGTCGAAAATACTCACAGACCGGCGCCGTCGAGACCGTGTTCGCCAGAGATAATTTGCCTAGAAACCGTCAGCGTCTTGAATATTTTTTTCGCTGTAGGTTTTGCGTGTTTTCCGACTCACCAGAAAGCAGCACCAATTTGGTTACCCTGTCAAAACAGCCGCCGCGATATCAACATTTCGATTCTCTCGCCCAAACATTCCTCGATAGAAAGATCCAACTTACGCATTGACCGGTTTGGAGGTGAACCTATAGACGACAAAGGCAGGTCAGCACAGTGTACACATACCAGACAAGTGGGGTGGTCAACGGTCAGGGGCCCAACACAGATTCCCGAGACGCGTCAGGAGAGGGCAAGACTTACAATCTCACGCATTTTGATGGAGTGACGATGGGTGGTATATGGATTGGGGAGGAGGACGGGGGGGGGAAGATAAATTCAAGACGAGGAGAGCAGGTCGAGAGAGAGGAGAGAGAGAGAGAGAGAGAGAGCGGTCAAGAGGCAAGACACGCACTGCGACTTGTCCAAATTGTGCGGGCGTCAACAAAGCCCAGAAAGGGGGCCCGCCAGGCCTATTCCGGGCTAGCGTCTCCCGACCTGCCCGTCAGGAGTTCAACAGCCAAAACTCATCTTCTTTCCCTCCTCCTACCTACTCTTCATCACCGCCTCAACTTCCTTTTCCTTCTAGCCATTGCTGCTCGTGCGGACTACTACTTTGTCATCCTACTGCTCTGTTCTCTGCAGCAAAGAAGAAAAATTATGCAAAAGATACGAAAGAACAGCCTGCAAACATAGACTGCGCTAAGATGATCGACTATGCCAGGTCAGTATAAGCCTCTCAGCCGGCCTGTGAGACTATGCAAAGCACCCCACCGGCTCTGCCCAAGACTCGCGGCGACTAAAGGAGTGATGGTGCCACTGCCAACGAACGTGCGGAATTGGAGCCCCAGTCAACAGAGTATGGTGACATAACAAGCAGTCCCCCCTACAAATACAGTACACGTCTCCTGCATAACCATACTAGACATCTCATCGAGCAGAATTTTCCACAACCCGCTCGCTCTCTCGTTGATTCTCAAGCCACGACCCAAACACCTCTAAGCGTTCCGCCTCATCATCTGGGTCGCGTCCTTCAGCCAGGTCTTCCAGCGCGGCGCGTTTCTCATTGGTTTTCTTGAACTTCTCAGATCCGTCGGAGATATAGGCCACCACTTGAGTTCCGCCAAAATATCGGCCTCCCATGGTCTGCAAATAAGGATGTAAATATCAGTCTGGGCCTCGGGCTAGTTTAAAAAGGGACACGGGTTCGGCATAGGATAGCTACCAACCTTCACGCATTGCCTAGCCGCGTCGGGGTCGCTGAAGCGTACCGTGACCACGCCGTCGGGCTCCTTATCGTAGAGAACGACATTCGTGATGTCGCCCAACTTGGAGCATTCGTCGCGAATATCTTCCTTGATATCAAGAATTGCGGCGGGATCTTTCTGTAGTCGACATTAGTATTGGGCATCGCTAACTTTTCAACTTCTCTTTCTTCGGACTCGTACCTCGATTTCCTCCAGCGTGAACATATGTTTCAAGACCACCACCTTTTCCAATCGCGAACTGGTGTCGGGCAGCGCTGAAGGATCATCGTCGTCCCAATCGGCGAGTTTGCTATTGTAAAACAATAAAAGATCAGCCGTGGTCCAAGTATCATCCTCCCACCAGGAAAAAGCAACGCCGGTTACCTATTCAACTTTTGCGTCCTCTGCATTATCTTCTTCTTATCCCGCATGCTGATGCTAGTCGGGGCTTCTTGCTGGCTCTTGAACGAGAAGTCCGCCGCCTGCACCTTCATCGGACCCAGCGGGCCCGACTGTCCTATCCTGAAATTGGACTCGTCAAGCATCTGAATGGCGAGATTCACTGACTCCGGCCGAAAGTAGACGACTAGCGCTTCGCCCTTGAACTTGCTATCGTCGTCCATATACATCTTTATTCGTGGTCGGCCGCTATCGATCTCTTCGGCGATCACGCCGCATTTAGAGAACACATCGCGAATCTCGTCTAGCGTTGCGTCGAGGGGTATAGATGTGATGTACACTGCGGTATTCACGCGGGGCTTCTTCTGCTTTTGGCCGTTTTCCTGGGGCAATAACGTTTTAGTCTCTGGACATGGAAAAGACATGATATATTGATCGGGAGGTGATGAGTGTTTGTAGGGGACATGGGTTTTTCCTTACATCGTCTCCAAGCTTTCGTTTCTTCTTCCTCAATTGAGACCTTGTCACTGTCTCTTCCTCGTCTACTCCTTCGACTCTGTACGCCTGTCGCTGTTGTTCCAGTAAAGCATCGTCAATCTAGATCATATATTGGGTTAACAATGAATATATGTCTATAGGAACATAGAGATGTATGTATGCACAAGCCATATTCACATCCGCATAGCTTGACTTGCGCCAGGGGAAACATACCGTTTGCACCCAGCGTTTTAGCGCATCATCATACGCAAACTCCTGGCCGTCATCCGTCTCCAAAATAAATTTCCCATCGAGCTTCGAGAACGAGATTCGTGGATCGGCATCGAAGTCTGCTGGGTCTGTGGGAAACCCGCTTGCGGATGCCTTCCGCTCTTCTTCGGCCATTACGCTGGATTTGGCTCGCTCACGCCGGGAGGCGTTTATAATAATTATGAAGGGGAGTATGGAGTAAAGTAATTTGCTCAGTGATATGGATGTATGCGAGAGCCCAAACAAGGGAAAAGAGTTGCAAGAGAGCTTGCCAGGCTGCACCGCGATGGAAGTTGCTAGCTTTTGGTGGGGCCGACGGAGCTTTGCTATACATAATTGCCCAATAGCATCCCACGATGCCATCAGCTTGCCTTTTCCCTGTATAGTAGTACTATTGTTATGTATGTATTTGTAGGTCGACAAACCAGTTGAAGAAATGGTATAAGTTTCATATTTTAGTTTTCTTAATTTTATTGGGTATCTATTCAGTATTAAATAAATGTATCAAATCTAGTATGTGACAATGAAACGACAGGCTCCACGAGTGAACACAAGAAGAGAGAAATGAATGGACAAGGGCTGCTCAATCGGGAAAAAAAAAAGAGTAGGATTTAGGGACGTTATGTTTTTTACACCTTGGACTCTTCAGCCGGTGCGTTCTCGAGAGAGTTGTGCTTGCTAATGGCAACCGAGTCTCCATCGCTGGCTCCAATCACATCACGTGTGATCTCGACATAGTCATACTAGAAGAAAGAGAAACGTTAGCAATTGTGACAAAGGCAACGAGTAGTCTTCAAACTGGAAAAACTCACAGCAAACTCGCCGATTTCGGCGTCGTCAATACCCATAATCTCATCCTCCTCGGGGGACCGCAGGCTGAGACCAGGAATGAAGTTGATGACAAAGAGAATAATACACGAGCCAAAGAAAGAGTATACAAGACCGCTGACAGAGTCGGCCAATTGATAGGCAAGTTGGATGTAGTTGTGGTTGAGCCATCCGCCGTCGATCACCGTCGATCCGTCAAGGCGAGCGATGTAGTCACTGTTCAACAATTAGTTCTCTATCCATTCAGAAAGATTGGGGATCCATGGGTGCACATACGCAGCAAAGAGACCAGTGAGAAGGTTTCCGACCAAGCCACCAATACCATGGACAGCGAAGATATCAAGAGCATCATCAATCTGCAACAGGTACTTGAGCTTAGTGCCGTAGTTGCAAGCGATAGCACCGACAATGCCAAAGATAACGGCAGACCATGCAGGAACGAAACCAGAGGCAGGAGTAATGGCAACTAGACCAGCAATGACACCGGAACAGAAGCCAACAGTGGACCACTTCTTCTCGAGTCTGTAATCAAGGAGACACCAGGTGACACCTCCGACGGAAGCCGCCAGGTTGGTGACAACGGCAGCCATGACAGCACGGATATTGGCACTCAGGGCGGAACCGGCGTTGAAGCCGAACCATCCGACCCATAGGAAAACTGTTCCAATGACGACGTGAGTCACGTTGTGAGGTCGGTAGTTGAGTTCATGGGTACCGTGACCACGGCGCTTGCCGAGCATCAGGGAATAGGCAAGGGCAGCGGCACCGGACGAAATGTGCACGGGCGTACCACCAGCGAAATCGAGACCTCCCAGTTTGTATACCCAGCCGGACGAGTTCCAGGTCCAGCACGCAATAGGGTCATAGATGATGGTCGACCAGACGAACATGAAGACAACACAAGGAAGCATGCGACCACGCTCAGCAACGGCACCAACAGCCAGAGCGACACTAGAAGGGGGAAAGATTGCCACATTAGTCTTTTTGAAAGACGAATCTGCTTATCATACAGTCCTACTTACGTGATGGCAGCGAACATTCCCTGGTAGACAGCGAACAAAAGGTCAGGGACCTTTGAGCTGCCCACGGAGGGAGCACCCAAAACATTCATGAAACCAAAGTTGGCCAGATCTCCGATATACGTTCCGGCCGAGTGGGAAAAGGCGAGCGAGTAGCCCCAGAAGAACCATTGAAAGGAAATGACGCCAGTGGCCATGATGGACAGCCAGATGAGGGAGAGGGCTGATTTGCGACGGGCCAGACCAGAATAGAAGAAACTAGGGCAATAGCATTAGACTCGGCGCCCTCTGCAGAAGAAGGGAGCGTAGACATACCCAACACCGGGAATCATAAGCAAGACCAGGGCCGTGGCGGTGATAATCCACGCAATATCGCCAGCCTAGATGAATTCATGAGCAACCGCCACCACCACTACCAATGATACTGCAGAGGGGAGAGAGAGAGAGAGAGACGGACATCGTAGAACACATTGAGGTCCACGGTTAATGAGTCACCACCGGTTGCTGCGGTCCCATTGTAAGGGACCAGGGGAACGTAGTCTCCCGAGTCCGACATGACGGCTTATATGATAGTCGTGTGTGTCTTGACCAGGGCCGATGTTGAAGAAAATCTCTCTGGCTGAAGAAGGAACGTGTATCGAGACCAAGGGCGAGGGAGCGAGGTATACTAATTATATACGGTCGATCGATCTGGTCCACTAGCGCCGAGACGATAATTTGCGGAGGGCCGACGCAGGCCATTGCCAAGAGATAACAGGTCAACCACTTATTAAGTGATTTGATTTGCATCTCCTTTTGCATTTCTCGAAAGCGCAGATAGCGGGAATCTAGGGACGACGGGGCCGCTTAGCGCGCCACCTATCACCACCCACGCTGGGGGTACCGCGGATCTATTGACTCGGACATTTTTGCGTGGCCAATGCTCGCGGTCTATTGGCAATTTGGCCCTGGATATTGCAGACGACGCTCCTGTTTCAGGCTGCTGATCGGGATCGCGTGTAAAGGCACGGCGTTACTCCGGACTCCGGGCGAAGGTGGAAGAAAGCCATTCTCCGTTCCTGCAGCGACGACTCGATGGAGCCTGAGGCTGCGATTTACAACAATGCCTAACATGACGGGCAGGATGGCCGCGGATCATGATTGGCCCGCGCAGTGGGGGTCTTATCTTTGCCGCGTGGGTCAATCAGCCGGGTTTGCTTTAGAACTTCTTATGACTGTTCGCACTTGCCCGTGCCTTTTGCGATAACTCAAAGCCTGCACCAAGATATTGCTGCGAGCGATATATATCCGCAGCGCATGCCCGCTGGGAACGTCCATCATCATCCATCCTCCATCATCCATCCATAGCAAAAGCAATGCTAAGCATTCCTTATCAGGCCCGTGTCCGCCGCCCCCAAACGCTTGGCATCAAACCGCCAGATAAGCAGGCAGGCCGTGTGATTGGCTGGACTGCGCAATACCACGAACCCTGGATTTTGTGCTATTCTTCGTCACCCGTACATTTCTCTAGCCTCGCCGTACTCGGAGCCTGCCTCGTGTGTGTGTGTGTGTGTGCATCTGCCATGTGCTGTTCCGCGTCAAGCGCCGGGACATGCTTACAGCTTACTCTAGAGACTCGGTTCTCCATACTAGGGCCTACTCCATACGGAGTAGTTGCTCCGTAGTGATATTATAAGTTAAGCCTTAGTTAATCATAGCTGGTTGACACGTTGCATGCCTGACCTGTCAGGCAGCATCAGCTCGTGCGTTAGAAATGCTGCACTGCGAGTAACCGAGCAAGCCACACCAACACCAATTCACACCCGCACAGCCACAGCCACAGCCACAGCCATTGGTGGGAACGACAACTCATCATCCCCTTTTAGGACTTAGCTCGCTCAAGGTGAATCCGTCTGTTGCTTATTACCTGGTCCGTCCATTGAGCGCGTCGCCAGTCATGGACGGCGCAGATATCATCATGAACGCCCCCGATTCAGACGGTTCTGGTTCAGGCGATGAGTACAGTTCGCCCCCGGCCTACATTGTGCGATCAGCCTCCGATCTCGACGAGCTCGAGGGCCAGCCAACGCCTACCGCAACATCGCCGCAGTCTCTTGCTAATTCAGTGGGACCTCTGTCTTCTGGATATGCGTCAACATGGTCACCGCGCCCGCCGGGGCGGCCTCGTGGAAGCAGTCTGGTGAACACTCCGGCGTTTGAAAATTTGACTCTCGCCGATGGAGTCCCTGGGCCCGACCGAGACCTGAGGCTCCAACGTCCGTCGGGCCCTGCAAGGACGCCATCAAACACATACGCCCCTCAGCGACGGCCACCGCACTTCATCAATCTCCAAAATGACGGCCGTCGTTCGTCGTCCACGAAACGTAATGCCCGCCGCGACCCCAACGCTCAATACCGCGCCCAGGAAAAGGCCTATGTGCAACGATTACGCGCGAACCCGCAGGCTTGGTATCAGCAGTTTGGCGACTTCCAGGCCATGAACACCATCGACGCCGACGTGGATGACCCTTCGCCGTCTTCAGAAATTCCTTTCGAAGATGACCAGTACGATCCTGACATCCAACTCTTTCTTGCAGAGAACGACAATCAGCCGACGCTCGAGGAGCTGAAGAACCCCAAAAACCAGGAACGTCTGGAATGGCATGCTATGTTGGCATCTGTTCTGAAGGGTGATGTTGTCAGACAGGAGAAGCAGAGATTGATGGGGTCGACGGAAACAGGGCGTTCGCCTGCCATGAATAGCGAGATTTGGTTAGGTGTGCGAGCAAAAACGTGCGGCAGGAGCATTCTACTGCAGAAGAAACTTATTCAAGATGCTCGCGCAGACTTGGGCCCTATCATCGAAGATATCATCAACTTTGAGATCAAAGGTGAAAAGGAAATAGGAAAGCCTGCTATCGAACAGGTTGAGGACATTGTTGCCAAAATCAGTCATTGCGAATATCTCTATCCTACAAGAAAAGACATGGAGACTGCCAATCCCAGAGCCGCTTCCGACCAATTTCACGAAAGCTGCGAGGCTGTTTGCGCCTGGCACAATACCACGCAACTGATCAATACAGAGTTGGCTATCTTGCAAAACTGGGTTGGCAACGATGAATTGGATTTCACTAAGCCGCGAAATAGAATGACCAGCGCTAATCTCTCTGATGATGGATCATTTTTGGATCGGATCATGAAGGAAGACGGACTGAAAACGTTACAAGGCGAGCATAATATGATCATCGACATTGGCGAGGTAATCAACAAAGCTAAAAGTACGCTTATTGAGAATGCGGAAGCATTTTCAAAGCGCCATCTGCCTCCATATATCGAAGAGCTGCTTACTCTTATCAATTTCCCGTCTCGACTCATACAAGAGATCATTCGTGTCCGCCTCTCATATGCAAGGAAGATGAAAGACCCGGCTCAGCAGTCACCGATCTTGGTGGATCAAATGATATCGCAATTTCAGATCATGATGAAGGTAGCAGTGGAGATTAAACATCGTTACCTCGTCATCTCAAAGCCCGAGCCAGGCTGGGATCTTCCGCCATGTATCGACGAGAACTTTGATGCCGTTGTGGTAGATGCCATGAAATATTACTTCCGACTCCTCAATTGGAAACTCAATGCCAATAAAAATACCTTCAAAGAAGCTGAGATCCTGGAACAAGAGTGGGACTTCTCAAACGAGATTGGTCGTCAGCTCCAGAGTGGTGATATTGAAGTCGCAGAACAGTTCAGGTAAGTAAAGTGCAATCTGTTCCTTTTGATATAGACCTCATCTAACACATTTCTAGTGCGTTGACAGCAAAGTCTCTTCAACGATTGATGATACATTTCGAGCGGGAACTTTCGCCGCGTGCAGACGAGGATCCTGCCGACATGGATAAGCGCTACAAGAGCAGTCTGGATTCGACCCGTGTTCGCCAACGGAAGCTTTATCGATTCTCTCGCTTTCTCCGACAGTTGTTCGAAAATGCAACCGAGTACAACCTTGGTGGAGACATATCTGACGACTTCTTTGAGGCCCTTTTGATTTCCGATCATTTCCTTATCACTTCGAATGACTCCGTTGGACAGAAAGGTGTCTATCTGATCGCTCACCACGCCCTTTGGAACCAGCCTGTTGATATTCAATCGATACTGGGTACATCGTTTCGGGAGGAGGATGACCCCAAAGATTCTTCTTACTTCCCATATATCCTTGTTATACGCCCGGAGCGTCAGCTTCACTGGATCGGCAAGGTCATGGAAGTGGAAGGATTGGAGCAACCAACTGATGTTCGACCAGGGAAGTTGCGACTTGTTGCGGATGGGACGCAGCAGCGACTTGTCAGTGCGCGAGCTGAGCTGGCCCAGTTGACTAACATAAAGCTCGATATCGCTATAGAGCACCGCGCCAATCTAGGACGAGTCAATGCCGAGTTGAACAAGATAAAGAAGATTTCTTTCAAGCTATCCATGACGATCATGGACAGTGTAGCCGTGATTCGCCAGCAGCTCAGAGAAAAGGGCATTGAGAATAGCGAGCTCATTCAGGCTTGCTATGCATTTGCGACAGAATTTGGGAAACGTTCGTCTAGCTATGTGGACGCCAACAGACGAGCTATGAATAGTGCGCGGTTAGTGGAGCTATCTCTCGAATGGGTTTCATTCATCTGTGATGATTGTGATGCATCGGATAGAAGAACATTCAAGTGGGCAGTGGCTGCCTTGGAGTTCGCCATGGCAATCACATCAAGTAACCATCTCCTGTCTATGGACGACGCGCAATATTCGCAACTTAGAGTCAAAGTCGCAGGCTGTATGTCAGTCCTCATCTCTCACTTTGACATCATGGGCGCTAGATCAACACTGGCAGCTCAGGCCGAGAATAAACGCCTGGATGAGACACGCGGTGGTATGATGAGATATGGCGGTGGAGGCAGAATCCTTAGTGACGAAGAAGCGGCCAAATTAGTCCGAGAACAGCACCTTGCACATATTGCCACGCTCGAAGATTTGCGAGATGCCAAACGGCAGGCAGTGGGCAAGGTTCTGGAAGGCTCAAATGAGGCCGATCGTTCACTTACAGCTCTGTCCTCGTCCGCAACCAATGTCTCACTTCCATGGCAGCAAGGTCAGTTCATCGGCGGTGGAACGTTTGGCTCTGTATACGTTGGCATCAATCTCGACAGCAACTATCTTATGGCTGTTAAAGAAATTCGCCTCCAGGATCCTCAGCTCATCCCTGTGATCGCGCAGCAGATCCGAGATGAAATGGGTGTCCTTGAAGTCCTCGACCACCCCAATATTGTCTCTTATTATGGTATTGAGGTGCATCGTGACAAGGTCTACATTTTTATGGAATACTGCTCTGGGGGGTCCCTAGCGGGATTACTGGAGCACGGCCGTATTGAGGATGAGACATTTATAATGGTTTATGCCCTTCAGCTTTTGGAAGGCTTGGCCTACTTACACCAAGTCGGCATCATCCACCGTGACATTAAGCCTGAGAATATCTTACTGGACCACAATGGAGTCATCAAATATGTCGACTTTGGCGCTGCCAAGATCATCGCGCGTCAGGGCAAGACGGTAGCAAACACAGATGCCTTCACGAACGCGGTCGGTGGTCATAAGGATGGACTCGGCGCCAAAGAAGCTCAACGCAAGAACCAAAAGACCATGACCGGCACACCCATGTACATGTCTCCCGAAGTGATTCGAGGCGACACGTCCAGCCTAGTCGACCGTCAAGGCGCCATCGATATCTGGTCGCTTGGATGCGTGATATTGGAAATGGCAACGGGCCGACGTCCATGGTCATCCCTCGACAACGAATGGGCGATAATGTACAATATCGCGCAGGGAAATCAACCTCAACTTCCAAGCCGCGAGCAACTCAGTGACTTGGGTGTTGATTTCCTGCGCCGCTGCTTTGAGCGCGATCCCTTGAAGAGACCTACCGCGGCAGAACTGTTGCAGCACGAATGGATTGTGTCCATCAGGAACCAGGTTGTCGTCGAGCCGCAGACACCTAGCAGTGAAGCTGGAAGTGTTTCTACAAGTAACTCGAGTTCTAGTAGCAGGCACAACTCGAGTCCGTACCTGTAGATTTGCCTCCCTTCCATTCATTTTTTCTTTCCTCTTAGCATTTATTTCTTCATGCTCCTTTCTCTTTACCTCATAACCATACCTTCCTCAGTACACGACAACGATACCCGAAACACATGTTTCACGTTTTGTTTTATGTTTCTCATTGACTGCAAAATGTAAGCCATGCCATATAGAATCGCATACAAAGCATCATTGCATACTCTTCTAAAACAATACTTGTCTTTTCCATCCATTGCACTAGAGTCGTTCTACTTACGTATACTCTTGCAATGCATGTGTCACACTGGGCCCATTCTTTTCATGCCTGTCATTCAACATGAGTAATAGTACTACGTAGATCACCCTTTGGAACAAAAATGTAGATAGAGCCGTACAGTACATTTGTTCTCCGTTCCTTAGTCAAACCCAAACACTGGGGGAAAAAAAAAATAATGTAAAGAGGGATATGGTATGTATACCTAGTAACTAGAGTTTAACAAAAAGAACCTATATAAGCGCCATCCTCCTCTCTGGAAGGCTTGAAGATTGCAAAAGAAAACAAAAATAGGACGACGAAATAAAACGTAATAGATGATGATTATCTTTGTAAGTTCAGAAAATCAACAAGAAGAGAAAGGGGGGGGGGAGGAAATAAAGATTGCGCTGCGTCCTCATTTCGTAACAAGGAGGGAGAATAGGGCCCAATAGAGAGGAGGAATAGGAGGGCAAAGAGGAAGAGGGTATAGTGATAGTAACTAATGACACGTAAAACAGAAGGAAAATAACTAAAAACCCCGAAGACCCCTATGTTTTGTGTTTCAACCAGCAGAAAACAAAAACAAAAAAATAAAAATAAAAATAAAAATAAAAAAAAATCAAACCCAGCATCATTGTACCAATAGAGTTATCATAAGCACCAACAGCTTGAGCATCAAATGGTCAAGCATACATAAATTTCATGATCCTAGCTGTCGCATCCTTCGATCCGAATAAGATATGTTCGTCAATAATCATCTGATTTAGCGAAATTCAATCGCCGGGGTACTCCCACGGTCTTCGATATGCGTCAGCTCAAGTTTTTGAAATCTGGGGTAATATATCATTAGCAGTCAGTTGACGAGAGTTATTTGTTTAAATTGAAAGAATGTCCCAAGCATACCTCTCGCTTTTTGCATGGAAATATATCCCGCTGACAGTTCCTTCTATCTGGTTGAAACATATATAATAGAATCCTTCAAAACTAGCACCGGTGATTTGGCGGACTCGGTGATCTGGCACGAGGAAATACTCTTTCCAGCGCATGAAAAGATGCTCTCGCTGTGCAAAGTTCCGATACGTGAAATCGGCCTTCTTTGCCTGCTTTGCAAGCGGCCGCCATGCTTCAAACCGCGCCCAGTGTTGCATATCGGTTTTCTCGTTGGCGCCCCAATGCTCGTGCTTGGTCTGAAACGTGTGCTTCGTGCCGATTATTTCTCCTTCGAAAAATGTGGTCAAAGTCGGATGCTCTTCAGTAAGCCCTAAAAGAATACCGGCTGTTAGTCGATGTCCGATCGTGTATTTATGCAGAAAACTCTCTCAAGAACGAAGGTGTAATGTAAGCAACTTACCCTGTATGCGTAGGTAGCCGCATAGATATGATTCCGCCATGTCAACGTGTTTTATTTCAACATGTACATTATAGACCTGATGATCCGACTCTTGGGTGCCCTCGAATCTGCTTCCGGTTCGCAAAAAGGAACAAGTGTGATTCGGCAGGAGCTACTGGAAGGTTAGCAACGGATGAACACACATGTGCTGTCCTTCACTCTCATCTGGTATTCCTAGAATGAGAACATACCCGAACATTGGAGAACTCCGAACTGAGATAGGACGATGTAGATGAGGACGGAGCAACAGACGACGCCTGCGATGCCGTAGGACTCGGCTGGTCGTCTTTACTCTCCGAAGATGTGCTGGCCGGGCTCGGAGAGTCCATAACCGTATCTTCCTCGATGGCACGTCTCTTCAGCGATGAGTCCGATGTTGTCTCTACCACTAATGACGTAGCATCGCCAACTCGGCCCTGCAGCGTTGACTCGACGACGGCCGATACAGTCCCTTGTTCAATGGCATCGTCATCGTCGTCATCAGCAGAGCGCTCTTCTGAAGCGACTGAAAACGCAGATGCTCGTATTATCTCTGGCGGGCAGGTTGTATGCGCAATCGACTCTTCGCTGGCGGTCGACGGCGGAGTATGGGTATTGTCGCTCGGCGTCGGCATTGGTGCAGATTCAGAAGGAAAATGACATCGGGGGGAATTAAAAGAATTAATTTACAAAAACAGCACAAGATGAACGAAAGGTCCTGCAAGGAAAAGGTATGAATCGCCAGGTGTGAGAGAGAGAGAAAGAGAGGCGGTATGGACGAAATGGGTGGGAGCAGCAGCAGCAGCAGCGATGTCGTGGTTGTCTTAGCTGGAAAGGGAAAGGGCAGGCATGCTCCAACTTCCAACTTCGCAGGTTCACTGATCATGCGATCGCGGGGAAGAGAATGACCACCAGCACTGCACAGAGCTTTGATTACACCCTACTTGTGGCTGCTACAACTGCACTATTTACTATGCTTGCTTGTCCATTCATCCATCATCTACACCGCATTTGGCTGAGCGTGGATAAGCGCCCATGATTGGTCCACGCAAACTGTGCACAACTAAACTGTGAACTTTGCCACTGTCCCTATACAAAAAAAAACCATGCCAATAAACGCCGCTCGTAAAGTTATTATCATCGGTATGCCTTTCCCGCCCCTACTCAAGCTTTTAAATGGGTTTGATCTGCGTGCGGAGAAATATGCAGTCAGCAGGGCGTCTTTGCAGGTCACTCAGAGGCCAAAATTTACCTTGAAATGAAGAGAAATGAGCGAGAAAACAAGCGCCTTGAGATCTTGAACGAGATAGTAGAAAACACGTAGTCCCTCTGGGTCGGCAGACTCGGTCACGTCCACCAGGGATCCGATCTTTGCGGTCTGCAGGCAAGCAAAATTGCCGGTTAGTACGTAGATCCAGCAGCGATGCGGCGCGGATATGCAAGCGTTACCTCAAATGAGATATGTTCACTCCCCAGTCGGATCTCCAGCTCCTGTCGTCCGTCTTTGTTCTTCTGTGGCCATTTGGAATCGTCCTCCCTGGCGGCTAGGTTAGCAAGAAGACAGCATTAAGGTGGGGGGCGACGGCTGCCATACTTCATGATCTCGCTGTCCTTGATGATGCGCTTAATCTCCGCAATCAAAAGGGAGCTGACACACACTAGATGGTTGAATTAGCATTGTAGAGTCGCTATGTTGGCGGGCGAGGCCGAAGTCTCACTTTCTTTGCGGATCAGGGAGTCATTTCGATAATTGGAGTTATTCGCGTAACGAGCCGAGGCGCTCCGTCCATCGCCGAGCGTGCGGAAATCAAACTCTGCGGACGCGTCAGTTCATGCAATGAATACCAAGGGACAGCCAGCTCAGCTCGTCTTACCTAGAAATTCATGTCCAAACCGCCCAGAATGACCTGAGCTGCATGGCTGTTAGCAGCGGAGGAACCTGGGCCAGAGTGTGCGCCTTACTAGTAGCGGAGGTAGAAAGGTTCGTTGAGGTCCGACATGGCTCGAAATCTTCAGCAGCGAAAGATATTGTGAGAGCTGGCCAAACGCGACGACTTCGTATTATTATCAGCGGGGAGCGGCAAGCGCAAGCGCGGGCGCCTAAGGAGTTAGTTAACTAACTTAACTAAGTGGCTAGCTCTGCTTAGTCATCCACACAGTCCGGCCAGGTTGCGCAGGCACGGGCAAATGGACAAGTAGACATCGATTGTTTGTTTGTCAACCCCGCGCATGCGTTCACGGCTGTGGAGGCCGCCTGCAATCTGAGTATCAAGTCATTGGTTGCCTTTGCGATCTAGGGGCTTCGTCGAGGTATTTCAGCCGTCGTCTCGCTGCATTGTATGCCCGGCTGACCCATGCAGCTCCTCAGTCCACGTTCCGTACCTTCGTCTCCGTATCCCATCCACCTCGCCGACACGAGCACCACACAGCAGCAATCATGGCGTCGTTTCTGGAAAATTCGTACAGCCTGGTCCACCAGGACAACTCGGCCGACCAGCCGAACCAGCAGGAGCTAAAAACGCAATTGGAGAGGGGCACCGACGAGACAAAGCAGGAGACTATGCGGAGGATCATAACAATCATGCTCAACGGCGACCCCATGCCTGGGCTGCTCATGCATATCATTCGCTTTGTCATGCCATCCAAGAACAAGCCCCTGAAGAAACTGCTTTATTTCTATTACGAGATATGCCCGAAACTTGACGCCAGTGGGAGATTGAAGCAAGAGATGATTCTAGTCTGGTAAGTTGTTGGGCTGCCATGCTGAACTCGTCTCAATCTCTGTTGACCCGTTTTAGTAACGGTATCCGAAACGACCTACAACATCCTAACGAGTACATCCGGGGCAACACTCTTCGTTTCCTCTGCAAGCTCCGGGAGCCTGAACTCATTGAACCCCTCCTCTCCTCCGCTCGCTCTTGCCTGGAACATCGTCATGCCTATGTGCGAAAGAACGCCGTGTGGGCGGTATCGTCGATCTTCCAGCATTCTGAATCGCTGATTCCTGATGCCCCCGAGCTTATTCAAACCTTCCTTGGATCGGAGAGCGATCACACCTGCAAGCGAAATGCATTTGCCGCTCTGATGTCCATCAGCCACCAAAAGGCTTTGGAATATTTGAGCCAAACTTTCGACAGCATACCAAATGCCGATGAATTAATCCAATTAGTTGAGCTTGAGTTTATTCGAAAGGATGCTATTCAGAATGCACAGAATAAGGTGAGTCTGCGTTGGTAGGGAGCATCTGCAAGCAATAATATCACTTGCTAAGAGCATAATCAGGCACGGTATCTGCGATTGATCTTCGATCTTCTGGATGCATCAGCAAGTACTGTCATATACGAAGCTGCCACGTCCCTTACCGCCCTCACCAGCAACCCTGTAGCTGTCAAGGCTGCGGCATCAAAATTGATAGAGCTTAGCATCAAGGAAGCCGATAATAACGTGAAACTCATCGTTCTCGACAGAGTAGATCAACTGAGGATCAGGAACGAGGGTGTACTCGATGATTTGACCATGGAGATCTTGCGCGTTCTTTCTAGCCCCGATCTCGATGTTCGGCGCAAGGCCCTCAGCATTGCATTGGAAATGGTGTCTAGCAAGAATGTGGAAGAAATTGTGATGCTCCTGAAGAAGGAACTTGCAAAGACCGTGGATGAACAGTACGAGAAGGTATGTTTCAGTGGTCTGTATACAACAATGCAGCAAACCACTAACTTGGAATCTGGATAGTCGAGCGAATATCGCCAACTCCTGATCCAATCCATTCATCACTGCGCCATCAAGTTTTCGGAAATTGCCGCCAGCGTCGTCGACTTGCTGATGGACTTCATCGGTGACTTCAATAACAACTCGGCCGTTGATGTCATTTCTTTCGTCAAAGAGGTCGTTGAAAAATTCCCTAAGCTCCGTGGATCGATTATTGAACGCCTAGTAGCCACCTTAAGCGAAGTACGAGCTGGAAAAGTCTACCGCGGTGTTCTTTGGGTGGTTGGAGAATACTCCCTGGAAACAAGCGATATCCGCGAGGCTTGGAAACGTATCAGAGCCAGTCTAGGAGAGATTCCTATCTTGGCCTCGGAGCAACGGTTATTGGATGAAGTACCTGACGAGAATGCGGTTGCGCTCGATCAAGTCAACGGCCATACAAAGTCAGCAGCCCCGAGTGGATCGCGTAAAGTCCTCGCCGATGGAACATACGCTACTGAGAGCGCATTAACAAGTCAATCAGCCGTTGCCGCTAAGCTAGAGGCAGTCAAAGCTGCTCAGAAGCCTCCATTACGCCAACTTATCCTCGACGGCGATTACTATCTTGCAACAGTTCTCTCATCGACTTTAACAAAACTGGTCATGCGACACTCCGAGGTCTCCCAAGATGCTGCCCGCACCAACGCTCTTCGCGCCGAAGCCATGCTCATCTTGATCTCCATCATCCGAGTTGGACAGTCTCAATTTGTAAAGGCACCAATTGACGAGGACTCGGTAGATCGTATCATGACTTGCGTGCGTTCTCTGGCCGAGTTCGCTGAGAGGAAGGAGCTTGAGACTACGTTTTTGGAGGACACTAGGAAAGCGTTCAGGACTATTGTACAAACAGAGGAGAAGAAACGGGCTGCTAAAGAAGCGTCTGAGAAGGCTAAGGTTGCCGTTCAGATTGATGACGCCATTCCCATCCGACAGCTGGCTAAGAAGAATGCTGGAGAAGGCGCCGATGAAATTGAGCTGGATCTCATCAAGGCTACAGGAGGTGATGCAGATGTTGAGGATCTGTCTTCGAAACTCAGTCGCATTGTTCAATTGACAGGATTTTCTGATCCGGTTTATGCCGAAGCCTACGTTCAGGTCCACCAATTCGATATAGTGTTGGATGTGCTTTTGGTCAATCAAACTACAGAGACGTTACAAAATCTGTCCATCGAATTTGCAACCCTCGGAGACTTGAAGGTTGTGGAGCGCCCAACGACGCAAAATCTGGGACCTAGGGATTTCTTGAATGTTCAAGCCACAGTCAAAGTATCGTCGACCGATGCTGGTGTCATCTTTGGAAACGTCGTTTACGATGGATCCAGTTCCACAGAGTCTCATGTGGTCATCCTAAACGACATCCACGCCGACATTATGGACTATATCCAACCAGCTCACTGCACTGAAACTCAGTTCCGAACCATGTGGACAGAGTTTGAGTGGGAAAATAAGGTCAACATAAACACCAAGGCCAAGGATTTGCGCGAGTTCCTCAAGCAACTGATGGAGAGCACTAACATGACCTGCTTGACACCCGATGCATCTCTGCAGGGCGACTGCCAGTTCCTTAGCGCCAATCTATATGCTCGCAGCGTATTTGGTAAGATCTCTCTCCTGGGCCCTTTCTTCAACTGCGTTTACTGACCAAATTTATAGGCGAGGATGCACTGGCGAATCTGAGTATCGAGAAAGAGGGAGACGACGGTCCCATCACAGGATTCGTCCGGATAAGAAGTCGCTCACAAGGTCTCGCCTTAGCCTTGGGTAACCTGAAGGGGCTGAAGGCATCTGCTGCATAGAGTGTGGATAATATCTGAAAGTTTTCTTCTATCGTTTCGTGCCGGGGTGTTGTCGAGCCCTGTGTCCGCTAGCGGCTGTTGTTGTGTTCTTCGTCCTTTACGTTCAAAATGTTCATGCACAGGGGGTTTGTTTTACAATGGAAATGTAGTATTTCTAATTCTTATATAAACCGATGGACGACGGTGTTGTGAGTAAAATGAATATTATCCCGACGTTCGTCTTCTTGTATGTAAAGACATGCATGCTACATACAGAGTTGCCCTATTGGGAAATCGTTCGACGCTGAACATGTAAGAAGAAGAGGAAGAAATGCCCTTTCATCTTCCAAATCTGCACCAGTTGAGTTATTTAAAGAAGCAGTGCCTCACAAAGGAGGCGAGCAAGGATCTTGTCTCCTCAAGTGTTGACCGAAACGGCGCGGCTTGGCAGCTCCGGCCCTGGCGGAAGCAGCTAAATAACACTCAGTGCCTGCGATGGCTACCTGTTCTTCTTTCTCTTTCTTGTCACCGACCGACTTCGCTCTCTGTCTCTATCATTTACTATGCTGCGTGCCGCTGTTTGAATAGGACTTGCCCAGAATGTCCGCTGAGAATCCGAGCGCCCCCGCGCCCGCGACGACCACAATCGACCCGGACGAACTGAATGCGCCGTTCTCCCTTGCAGTAGGAAACAACATCATTCTCACTCTGCAATCTGATGCACTCTATATTAATGGTGCGCAGAGCTGCAGCTACATGCTTCCCGTTGATTCAACATTTGCTGACTCGAATTGTGGCGCTTTTTTAGACCCAAGACCCAGGAAAAACGTTCGTTACTGCGGCCTCCAGGTAGTTGGTACGATTCCCCTCTGTTCGCGTTGCAACGATGGGGCTAGACCCTCAAAGCGCATCCATTAACTTGCGACTTCAGATTCTACGGCGTCTCAATCCATTCCCTTTTACAATATCCTAGCCGCCGATGTCTCCGAATCAGCGCTCTCCATCAGATACGCAAAGCCTCTCGTGAAAGATGACTACACTTCGAGCACCCTGACATTCGCCCTTGACAGCCAGGCATTTGCCAAAGCTGAACCGTGGGTAGAGCAACTACTAAAACTTGCATATGGCGATGCTCAACGCAATAAACGGCTAAAGGTCCTAATAAATCCTCACGGAGGCAAAGGATACGCTGAAGATCTATACACTGAATATGCGGCTCCGATGTTCGAGGCTGCAGGATGCAAAGTTGATTTGGAAATGTCGAAATATGCCGGTCATGCGGCAGATATCGCCGAAAAGTTGGACATCGACGCATATGATGTTTTGATCTGCTGTTCAGGCGATGGTCTGCCATACGAGGTTTTGAATGGATTTGCAAAGAGGGAAAATGCTGCAGAGGCCCTGACAAAGGTTGCAGTTGCCATGATCCCTTGCGGCTCGGGAAACGCTATGGCGTGGAATCTTTTTGGTACAAACAGTATCAGCTTATCGGCTCTGACTGTGATCAAGGGCCTGCGCACCCCTCTGGACTTGGTTTCCATTACGCAACGCGGAACGCGAACTCTATCATTCTTATCCCAGTCATATGGAATTGTCGCCGAGTCAGATCTGGGCACAGATAATCTGCGGTGGATGGGTGCCGCGCGCTTCACATACGGATTCCTCGTGCGACTTCTACGCCAGGCGACATATCCGTGCGACGTAGCTTTTAAGCTCGAAACAGACAGCAAACAGGAAATCAAGGAACGCTATGTCGCATACAAGAAAAAGAAATCTTCCCTACGACCGATCGGTGGTGGTGAGCAGGTTGGCAAGGGCTTGCCCCCGCTCAAATACGGCACTGACGAGGATGATGTGCCAAGTGACTGGCAACAGTTATCCACGGATACGCTGGCAAATTTCTATGCTGGAAATATGGCTATCATGACGGCCGACGCAAACTTTTTCCCTTCTACCGTTCCCAATGACGGTACCATCGATATCGTTATGATTGATGCCAATGTTGGTCGGCTCAGGACGTTATCGATGATGACTGCCGTGGAAAATGGCGAGTTTTTTGACTACCCCGAAGTCGAAGTCCGCAAAGTCACTGGTTACCGTCTCAGCCCCAGGGGCAGTAAGGATGGGTATATAAGCGTCGACGGCGAAAGGATCCCATTCGAGCCCTTTCAAGTAGAGGTGCATCAAGGACTGGGCACAGTGCTTTCCAAGAGCGGTCATTTATACGAAGCTCAAGGTCCTATATGATTGTCGCTCGTCCTTGCTATTCTTTTCGTGCGTGCGTGTGTGTGTGTGTGTGTGTTCATTGTACGATATCCTGTATAGCGTCATTCTTGTATAGTACAAAGTACTCATTATTAGGTCAAAGAAGAACTCCGGTATGCGAAAGCAAAATATTCCCTCTTTACCGTCTAAACTAAACTTGAATGAACGGGCCTTTCCTTGGTCAGTTTTGCTATCACCCAATTCCATCCTTTCCAAGTAAGTTGAAGACTAAAAACGTAGCTATATCCTCCATCCGATAACGCATGGCCAGGCTCGGCGAATTACACGGAAAATGGCCGGTCATATCACATGCCCTAACAGCTTTTTCGCCGGCGGACCATCGGAGTCTATACCTACTACAAACCATCCATATAAACTTAAAACATACACATTGCTGCTAGGATCATATCTACTTAGATTGTCCTTACCAGAAAAGAGTCGCTGATTGCAAACAGCCAAGTATTGAGCGTGTGCTTGTCTTTTTCTCTTATTTGCCACGGAAGGGGAGAAACACGGCTTGTTCGAAGGAAAGAGAAAACCAAAAATGGGCTCAACAGCAGTTGTTCGTCCTGAAAGGGCGGTTATTGGCGGCTCTCTCGAGATTTCTCGCATGATTAATGGCCTATGGCAGCTTGCTGGCGGCCATGATAAACACACCGACATGGCAATGGCTGTGAATGTCATGGATAACATGCAAGTATCTCTGCAAAAAGGAATCAAGTTCAAAGCGAAATGTGTATGGTTAACATGTCACACAGGATTCAGCGCGGATTAGACACATTTGATATGGCTGATCATTATGGAGATGCAGGTTAGTGGGCAACTTCTGATTTCCCAATCCAGCTGAGTGTTCTATACATCGAAGATAAATATGCTGATAATCCATGCAGAGCTAGTTGTTGGGAAGCATAAGGAGGCCAAACCAGCTAGCAGCAAGGTGACATTCACAAAATGGTGCCCTCCAGAGAACGGAATCAAGACTTTTGAAAATGCCGAGGCAGCTGTTGATCTCGCACGAAGGCGAATGAATCAGGACAAGATTGATCTCCTGCAATGTGGGCACCCCCAATACACTATTCGTATTGAAGTCTATTTCCTCAATTTTGGATGAGCTAACAACACAGCAGATCATGCCTGGGACTTTTCCGACAACACGTACTTGCACAACCTTCATCACTTGAGCAAGCTCCAGAAGCAGGGCAAGATTGGCCTCATCGGACTAACCAACACCGATGCTGCACATTTGAAACTTCTGCTAGATACGGGGTTCTCTATAGCCACCAACCAGATCCCGACCAACGTGATTGACCGACGGTTAACGCGTGGCTCGCTCAACCAGCTCTGCCTAGATCGTGATGTCGGTGTCCTCGCGTACGGCACACTGTTAGGTGGTTTCCTCAGTGAAAAATGGCTGGGACAGCCCGAACCAGGCAATATAAACGAGCTCAACTGGAGTTTGCGCAAATACCTGCGCTTCATCTGGGCAGCTGGAGGCTGGGTTCCATTTCAGACGGTTTTGGAGGCGCTCAATACGATAGCACAGAGACACGGCGTTTCCATCGCTGCCGTCGCCACTCGATACGTGCTCGACATTCCTTCTGTAAAGGCTGTTATTGTTGGGTCTCGTCTGTCTTATGATTCCGAGGAGTACATTGACAAGAACCTTGAGGCATTCCAGTTGCAACTGACGAGCGATGATTTGGCACTCATACATAAAGCACAGGAGGGATTAACCGATGTGCCGGGGGACTGCGGAGATGAGTACCGCAGGCCTCCCTTTTTGACTGCTGCTGGCGATACCAGCGACCACCTCGCGGAGATTGACAAGACTAAGCATGTGAGGGAGGCTATCGCTAATGGCAAACGTGTGGAATACTCGTCTTTAAGTCCATGGGAGCCAATTGCTGTGAGTACAATAGCCCTCCATTGTTCACCATTTACAAAGACGATTGACTTGTGATCCAGGGCTATTGCCGAGCTGTGCGAACAGGAAATGTTATCCGCGTATCTGGCACAACTACAAACAAGCTCATACCCAGTCTGCCTGCTATTGGTGGCAAGTCAGCTCGCAGTCAGACCGTGCATATTCTAGATATCATAGAGAACGCCCTCAAAGCCCTTGATTCGTCCCTCTCCGACGTGGTACGTACGCGAATCATGGTGCGAGATGAGAATGTGTGCGAGGAGGTCAGCCGGGCCCATGGTTGGGTATTCAAAGCTGCCGGTGTCCATCCATCCAATACGTTTGTTACGGCCGGCCTGATAGGTGACGAAATGCTAGTGGAGATTGAAGCAGAAGCAGAAGTTGGTTCGGCCAAGGCAGGTGTCTTGAGAATTTGAGCGGTTACCTATGTTAGATAATGCATTCAAAGCGGCGTGCTTTGGCTCCTCAAGTTATAGGGGTTAGTTATATTTAACCATCCATGTTTGTCATGGGCAGGAATTATATATACTTCTATTTCCACTGATAGCTTAAGTCGCTCCTCCTTGGTTCAGATGGGAATGAATATACCATCTGTAATATCAAAACCTGCATTCATCGATAGAGATACCCAGTCCTCATTAGTGAATTCCCAATCCTGAGGTGATAAGTCTTGAGCAACTGTGCTATCTGCAACGAATGCGATATTGCCCACATCTCTTGGGGCATGATCTTTTGCTGTACCGACGATAGGCGCACTAGCTACTAAATTTTGGTATCCGGATAAAGCATCACCCTCTTGGGGATATTGGCCAGATTCCTGAACTCCGCTTGGTTCCAACGTCAAAGGTGACAGGATTCGCCGCTGAGCAGAATCATCTTCGTTGATCCCGGAGTTCCCTTGCATTACTGAGAAGGACGTATTTTGTTCATACAGAGATGGGTCGTGTTCTTGCTCGTCTGCATGTCGCGAAAGGTGCTGTCTACACGTCCTCTTGTACTCTTGCACAACGTTTCTGAGGAAACTTGCTTGTAGGGAGCATGTGAAAGTTGGCGGTGTTGACTGCTGTTCGAAGACACGCGCAGCCATGTCGATGGCCTCTATAGTAGCTTTCTCATATTCCTTGCGTGTGAGACTCTTTACCGATAGCAATAACTGAACATTTTTTTTTTAGCTCAGTCAGGAAAGGCATAGCGACATAAAAATTTAACAGAAACAGTCGTTAAGTAGCATAAAAGACGGAGATATCTTTTTGAGCTTACCTTTATAAGGAATACAGCAGCATAGGCAGTCATTGCGTGTATTGAATCGTGAGCAAAACTCAGAAGAGGCGTTAGAGATGGATGGGAAATTTGTTTCAACATATCCATAGCGCTGGTGTAGGTAATCCAGAATGCTTCCGTGTCGACTACGGATGCACCACTCTGTGACGATATTGAAGATTGGAGAGGGAATGAATATAGAAGAAGGAGCAGATGTGTGCCGAAGAAGGACACCAAAAAGGGATGACATCGCTCTAATACCGGTCAATAAGCTAATTGCCATCGTAGATACAATGGCGGAGAGACACACCTTTCTCCGAGGCTATATGGCCCCAACGCTTCTTCCAGGCTTCTACCTGAGGAGTGAGGGTTTTCAGGAGAGAATTGAATCGGTACGCGTGTGTCACGGACGGTGCAGGGCGCCGAGGGTTGAAGACCTCGAGGATATTTGCCGCAGCAAGACGCAGAGAAACAAATGCGGCCAAAATAGTATCATTGATAGTTGCCAGCGGGCTTGTATACCATGTGTTGACGGATTCTATAAAGTCGCTCCTCTCAATCATCCAAGGATTTCCGTTTTGTAGGCTCATGCTAGGACAACATTAGCATTTCCGGAAAGGTCACAGAGAAAGGGGCTCGCAACGGACCTCCTATCATAGACGAACAACACTAGCCAAGTACGTTCAACGTTGCGTCTCCTGCGAATTTCAAGAGACGACATGGTCGTGGTGTCCTCGTCTTTCGATGATAACTTATGCCAGCCCAATTCCATAGATAGTCTGATAGCGTATCCGAGGATTGGCCAGGACCGCGTATCGTCTGACTGTTTCCAATACGTTTTGAGCAGTATGGCTTGAATGACTTCGGGGGATTTTGTACCTCGGGCGATGGCATCATTGAACAATCTTTCTGAATATCTGTGAAGATCAAAATGCAAGGTAGGATTAAATGCCTTGGCCGACACAGAGAGCATAACAGTGAGGAGGAATGAAGATCTCTCCCGAATGTACTGAAATGTATGCAAAGAAGGATCAAGGACACAAATGAAGGGGTTGAAACTCTTGATGAAGCTGTTGAAACGTCAGTATACTTCTTTCCTCTGCGAATAGTAAGCACAATAAGTCACTTGCCCTTCAAAGAGAGACGTAGCTATATGGTAGGACACGATGCCTTTGACTACAGGATCATCCTCAGGGAGACATGAAGTAGACTCGGCCTGATCCATATCGAGATCCCTACTAATACTGAGAATCGATTGCAGGGAATATTTCTCCTTAGTAGCTTCCCGGGTGAGAAGGGAAGATGGCTGAAGCCCGTCAATCTTGGCCCAAACGTTAGAGCTTACACTATCACGATGGTCGTGTCCAGGATGTCGCTGATCTGTAGAGGTCGCCGCCGGCAAGCCAGACGTTCCCATGTATTCTACTTTAGATGGAATAGTGGACGCTTCCCGTGTAATGCGCCGGCTAGGACCGTGTGGGGAGTCAGCCCCTGTCAGCTTCAACGGCTTCCTCCCACGCTTCCTCTGAACATATGAGACGCATTCCATAGACTTTCGAAGGCAGCGCTCGCACTTGGCACTTCCCACCACGGGACAGCATCTCATTTTTACTCTCCGGCATGGCAGACATGCTCTCACGCTACAAGTATTAGTACTTGGAATTAACACCAAGACGACTCGGCCGGCGTTGTCTTCTCTCTTACCTCGTCATTCTTGTGGCTTCACTGTCCAGGCCCTCATTCATCGTCGACAGGCTGGATACGAGACTAAGAGAAGATTGCAATGACGATCTGAATCCGCTGCCAACCAACGTATCCAAAGCCAGTCTGAATCTGCTTGATGACGGATTGAATGGGTATTTCGGCGTATGATAGGAAGAGGTGCAGAAGAGCACTTGATATCCATGGCAGCGACGTATGATTGGCCCGTATCATGTGATCTCCAGGAATGTAGGACTATGGTCAGCCCGCAACCACGTGTGGAGATTTTAAGCCTGAGGCGTCCAGGGACCCGCAGATAAAGAAAAGCCGATGCCGGCGAAATTCTACGAAATTGTCCGGGGAGTCAAACTTTCTGTTACCACCAAGTATCAAAAGAGCTAGGAAGTTGTAGCTAGACATGGAGGCCAGAAATTCTTATCACGCGCCTTATCTTGCGGGCTCAATTGAGGGTGCTTCCCTAGCATATATATCTACATTGCCGATGTCTTCCTTGGCCGAGACGACATATCTAATCGAACAAGGACCGCAGCATAATGGAATCCCAAAAGGGTCCTGGTGTCAGGGAACTCTCACACTACAACTCTTCTCCTGAGATGGGCATGGTGGAAAATGCCCCGGGTGGCATGAAGAGGGAGCTGTCCAGGAGGCATATCAACATGATCGGTCTCGCAGGGATGATCGTAAGCCTCAGGTCTTATTTCTGCATGTCATAAATAAAAGCACTCATGAAACCCACTGTTTAAAGGGAACGGGTCTATTTCTTGCTGCTGGTAGCGCACTGGCCGTTGCTGGCCCAGCTGGTGCACTTATTGGATACATCTTCATGAGTCTTTTGACTGCGTCTGTGGCTCTCAGCGTTGGAGAACTCTCCGCGTTTATGCCCGTGACTGGAGGGTTCTTCAGACATGCTGCCAAGTTCATTCATCCAGCTATAGGCGCCGCTACAGGCTGGAATTATTGTAAGTCGCAGCTCTGTCCTCTTTCACTTTGCCTTACGAAGAAGGGCTTAGCTGACCTGTACGTGGATAGGGTACATGATGGCAGTCACAGGTCCTGCTGAACTTAGTGCCGCCGCCACACTTATTGACTTTTGGGATTCGAGTATTAATCCTGGAGTCTGGTACACGGTATTTATTGTCTTGATCATCATCATGACTTATTGCGGAGTGCGCGTATATGGTGAAGTGAGGATTCAGCCCCATATATATTGCAGCCTATAATGGCTCTTTGACTAAACTCATTTTACATAGTCCGAGGTTTTCTTCTCGATCATCAAGGTACTCCTTGTCGTAGGACTTATCCTTGCGGGTATCATTGTCGACTGTGGCGGCTCGCCCAATGGCGAATACATCGGCTTTCGATACTGGCGAGACCCTGGCCCGTTCAACGCATACCTCGCTGATGGCAATACGGGCAAATTCTTGGGGTTTTGGAGCACTCTCATCTCCGCCGCTTATGCATTCTGCAATATTCAAGTCACGGCTTTGGTAGGAGCCGAGACAAGGAACCCCAGGAAGCTAATTCCGGACGCAATGAAGATGACATTTTGGCGGATTATACTTTTCTATGTTATAAGTATCTTCGTCGTTGGCCTCTTGGTGTAAAAAACCCCCATCCATACGTATACAGACGAATATGACTTTGGCTGACAATAAGGTTAGCCCCTACAATGACTCCCAACTAGGCAACTCGAGTGGAACAGCACAAGCAAGCCCGTTCGTTATTGCATTTGAGAAAGCCGGGATTACCGTTCTACCGTCCATCATCAACGCCGCGATCCTGACCTCTGCTTTCAGCTGCGGCATGGCTGTGGTATTTCTGGCCTCTCGAGTCTTATACGGCCTCGCTGAGGAGAAGCAGGCCCCTTCGGTGTTTCTGAAGTTGAACCGGTTTGGAGCACCATACGTGGCCGTGACCGTTTCCAACGCCTTTTTGTTCTTGGTTTACCTTAGCTTGGGCAGCAATTCATCCGTTGCCTTTGGATGGTTTGTCAATATTGCTACCATCGCAGCTCTAATTTGCTGGATCGTCATTGAAGCCACTCAGCTCCGGTTTTTCTACGGTTTGAAGGTCCAAGGAATCAGCCGAGACCGTGAGTTTTTCTCGCAGGCTTTCTTGGCCACTTCATTCGCGCTGACTATTTTCAAGGTCTCCCGTACAAAAGCCCCTTTCAGCCGTACATGGCGTGGGCAACTCTTGTTTCGTTGGTGATAATAACCCTGACTTCAGGCTACAGCGTCTTTCTACACGGTCACTGGAATACGTCGTCTTTCCTCGCATCTTACATTGGTCTGCCCATTTTCTTCGGTAAGTGAATATATTAGCCTCTTACGTTCTTCTATTGGCTGTGTATGCTAAGCAGGCGTTATTTTTTGTAGCCATGTGGGGAATCGCTTGGTATTTTCTTCGCTCTGGAATCATACCTCTTCGGGAACTTGACTTTTCTGAACTCGATCAAATCGAGATGGAGAAAGAGCTTGCGCCTGAGGAAAAGAAGCTGCGGTGGTACAGGGTTCTAGGATAGGGTGGATTGACGCATACAACCCCTCAGAGTATGTTTGAGGGACCTTGGTCTGAAGACGCCCCGATATACTTACGTAGCTTAATCTGGACATGATTGTATAATAAAGATTATGTATACCCAAACAAGTACCATTTTTCGAATTGCTTCAAGTCTTATCCCTAGGTCATAGCATTCGAGAAAGATGGATCATCTACTATCAAAGGCGCCATGAAATGACAGAAAGCATACACTTGGCTGACCAGTTTGGCCGCAAGATATTGCCATCCTAAGCAACGTCTGAAGACATACCAATGTCAAGTCCTTGGGCAGACATGGGAAGGTCAGCTCAATAGACAGTATCAACTCTATCGACGGGCTTGAAAAGAAACGTAGAAATCATATAAACCGTCAAGTTAGAGGACATGGACGGAACCCGACGCCTTGTCCATCCATGGACTTCGAACCAAAAACTGCACTCTTGACAGGAATAAGTACACTAGAACAGAAACAGGAAAACAAACACACCAGTGAACATATCTGCAACAGTTAGTCATCCAATCCATTCCATTCGTCTTCCTCATCTTCATCCTCGACTTGCTTCTCCCTAAATCCCCACTCAACCAATTTCTCATCCTCTAACACCTCGCTCGCCACCTTGAGCCGAACTGATTTCGTCGGGCTCTCCGTTTTCAATTTTTCAAATGGCCGCAATAATAGCTCAATGGGGACATCGAGGTAATCCTTTATCTTCTGGCCTCCTTCTTCTTCTTCTTCTCCATTTTGTTTTCCTTCTCTCTGTTCCATCTCGGGGAGGTACTGTGAAATGACTTTCTCGAGCTCATCAAGCCAAATATCAGTGATATGGTACCTTAGACCGTCGGGACCATGAGGCATGGGTATTGAATCTTCCGAGGTAGGTTTTTCACTGCCATCGAAATTGATGGGACAGAGAGGCCCTTCTTCGAGAAGAGAAATATACGATTCCAATTCGGCCCACTTTTCATCTGCATTTTCATCTTCCTCTTGTTGCTGCTGCTGCTGTTGTTTTTCGTCTTGTTTCCTCCTCTTCCCATTCTTCGCTATCTTGGAATCTCCCTTTCTTTTTCTCTTCTTATTCCCATCATCTTCGTCATCAGCTTTTCCTTCCTGCTCTTTCGAGTCCAGCTTGTTATTTATTTTGCCCTTCAAGAAAACCTCAAATGCGACCCCGACATAACACCGAATCAAGAATAGGTATTTATCCAGGCGTAGTCGATCAAGCGCATGAAATTCCTGACCAATTGTAATCCAGAAAGCACGCAAGAAACGCAGCCGACTCTCGCGCGGTAGACTTGGGACGAGGGAATATGAAAGTGCTCGTGCGAGCGCTTGCTGTGTAAGAGGACGATCGGAATGATAGAAGCCTTTTTATTCTTCGTATAAGTATTGATTTTCGTCAGGAGGAAAAACAGGAGGATGCTCAAATTGACCTACAGTAAAACAACCCTTTCCACACCTTGAGGAGTTCGAGAAGGCTCAAGTCTCGGCGAGCACGTAGAAATAGTGTTAATGATTCAAGAGCTTTATCGCGAGCTTTGCGATCTATGTATTCATGTCAATTCAACAGCTCAACCATTTTGTCCAGAGATTCCATCAAACTCACCACTTGAAGCCAACTCCCTAACGAATGGGGTCTTCTGGATTTGTCCTGCTGAGCTGCCGACCGCGGTAGCCATGACGACAGCCCTCGAGAGGAAATTGAAGTATTTCCAGCCGCTTTGGCAATATGGTAAATTACTTATTTGAGAGATAGATTCCGTGGCTATGGTGTAAGGAATTGGAGTGTTTGATAACGCGTGACATATAACTAAAGGCTTGTCTGTCGTCCGTCTAAACTTTTTTTTTCTATTGCGGAGATCTTTTTTTTCCTGCCGCGGGAACTCAGGGCAAGCTCCGCTCCGCGATTCACCGCCTCGATGTCAAATCTTGGCTTCACATGCAGCTTCTCATTGCTTGGGTTTATTGCATCATTTGTCGTGTGCGATCAAACAAACATGTACTATCTGTAGGAACACGGCTTTTTCTAACAAGCATACAGTAAGTAGGAAGAGCACTTCAATTTCAGTACGATGAGTTACTCCAGCGGTAATCTCAACGCTTTGGATGCGCTGTATTGAATCTGCTGGACTGCCATGTATATTATATAGACTGCTATGAATACTCATATCAATCAAGAGAGTGGGAAAAGCAAGGAAGAAAGAAAGAGAGGACTTCAATTGAACAAGAACGGAAGATAAGCAAAAACATATCAGCGCCATTGTAAATGCATGTAACAAGGGTGATGAATTTGGTACACAGAAGTTTATATTAAACAAAGCTGTCAATGATAAAGTGAAATGGAACGATAGGGGTATTGCGCAAAATAGCCGGTAAAAACTCCAAGCAGATGACGACACAAAGGCCAACAAATGAAGCAAAAGAGAGACGATAAATATCAAATCAAATACTCAATGCAGCCTTCTGTAGCTGGGCTAGCTTAGGTTATTTCAAACCCTACTAGATTCAATCAGGTGCGAGTTGCTAATCACCTACAGAAAGGTGAGAATCTCAAGTAGATGGCCGAGGGACGACCATTGCATTCACTATGTGACCTTGCTTCCAACCTTGGTCAACCAAAGGCTCGTTCTCTCTCAGCATTTGGCCAAGATACACGATACGAACGCGCTGGGTATTTGGTATCTTCAAAAGAAAAGTTAGTTAATGGAAAATGAAAAGGAAGTACCAGTAGATGCCTACCTTGACCTCACTCTGAATTTTGCGAGCCAATACACCAACAGCCTGTGTTTTTCCAATGGCAACGATCACATCCGGACCACCCCGATCGCTCAGTCGGGCTTGGACCTTGATCATATCGCGCTCATTCATTTTACCTTTCTCCTCACGGCGTCTCTCAGCATCTTCCGAAATAAGTTCATCCTCTGAGTCGTCAGTAACCATTTTGTGGTCTAAAATTCCATCTTCAATATCGTCTCCAGGGCTTTCATTTCGAACAGCCGAAGCCGAGTCATCTGCGATATTATCTGGATCGCTGACGATGCATTGAGGCAAGCGGTAAAGAACGCCATTTTCATCGTAGCAGCCCTCGCAGAGGTCACCTGTAGGCACCGTAACTCCGGCGGCATCTACAATTCCTTGCGCCGTCTCTGTTTCGCCGTCACGCAATAAAGAGACTGCTGCACGGAGAGCAGCCCATACCTCTGCGCGCCCAGTAACCCGAGTATCGAAGAACTCTTCTCGCTCTTGGGTGATTTGCGATCGCGTCCAAATGCGACGCTTGCTACGCCATACATGGGGCCGGATCGGCTGGTTATAGTGTTGATCTAATGGTAGCGATACGCCCTGGCGTCTGGAACGAGAGCGATGACCGACCCCTCGATGGGATGAGCTGTTGGTAGCTTCTTGGCCCGAATGGTGTTCAGCCTGCGCGGTATGAGAGAGCGATTCTTCTGGACGCTCTTGTGTCACTGCGGAAGCATGGAATGTCGGTTCGTCATTACTCGAGCGCGAAAGGCAGCAGCCCTATCATCAATAATACGTGAGACTTGTCAAATATATTTTTCACCAAGGAAGTTCCGATTGATCCGAGGATGCAGAAAAGTAGAGCCAGAGAATATCAAATCACTCACCATTTTGCATGATGCGCGCTTAAGAGACAAATAAAAGACGAAATCAATGATAGTCAAGTAGAAGAACAAATAAAAGTGCCAGTTTATTTGAAGACAGGGGAGAAAGCGAGCAAAAGAGATGCCGGGATGGTGTTGATCGCATAGAAGTCGAGGGATTGAGAGAAGGCGAGGGAATTCCACGCTCAAAAGAATTGGGAATCACTAAGCTGAAGCGCAGGGAGAAACATCCAATGTGCGAATAGCGGCATCATAAATTAGCATGGTTAATCGAGGGCGATCAGAGCGTTGGCACAGAGTCGTATGATAATGATGATGATGCACAGAGAGGGAAAGAAGGAGAGGAGGGGCGACGCCCTTAATCCGCGGGCAAGCACACTTGCCCCTTGTGGTTACAGCGGACGACCGGGGACCCGTCAGGGAGATAAGCAACGTTATCTTACTCCGACACTGAAACTTATTTAATGCTTCTGTTCTGTATTCTCACTCAACTGCTGCATACATATAAAAATATATATATATATATATATATATTTTTTATAATGTGCGTCGATTTCAGCTGCTATATATTCTACACACGGCATGCTTACTTTTGCCACTATCCTGGACATTGATGCGCCTAATCCTCATCTTCATCCTCTTCATCGTCGCTGCCGAAGATAGCCTTGAAGACAGCTTCACCAGGTCGTTCGCCTTCCAAAGCTTCATTCCTCTCGGGCTCAACGACAATCGGTTTCTGTTCTGCAGCCGGAGGAGGTATAATTTTGCCAGACGATTCTATATGGGGTTCCAGAGGAAGCTGGGTTACCGTGTCATAAGAGACAGGTCCCAGCAGTGCGCTGGCTGTGGAGCGCGCGGACCCCGTCGAAGATCTCGCTGCGTCAGTGCTCCCTCCGTTCGGAACATCCCCCGGGTCGATATGCACGTGAGCTGGAGGCCGAATGTTGAACCTTTTACAGAGGAGACGAGTTGGGTAAAACGTTAGCGTACTACGAGTCATTGGCCCAAACATACCAATATTGGCCGCCTCCTCTGCTGGATCTGCCGGCTTGGCTGGCGGGCGACGGAGCAGAGGTTCGTTTGTAGAAGAATCCGGCTGGTCGGATGTAACTTGAGGTGCTGAACTAGCAGATGTAAATCGTGAAGCCATGACGCCAGAGACTGGTCTGAAAACCTCAGCGGCCTTGGCAAATTCCTGCATTTCCCTAACCCATTCATCTGTTGTTGATTCCGGCAGGCGATCTGGGAGACATTGTCGGGAGCCTGCTTGCACTTCCAAAAACGTGCGATAACGCGCTCTCTTGTTTTCATCGTCTGAGTAAGGCATCCAACCCCCGACTGCTCTGTTCAAAGCTTGGGCAGCAGCAGCCTTGTCAAGTTTTGGCACCAAATCCCACAAGTTTCTACGCCTCTCGGCGTCTGATGTTTGAAAGCCCTTGGGTGCTTTCTCTCCTAAAGCTGGAGGAAGGTCGGTCCTGCCAGTAGCTCTCACCAGCCTCTCACGGGCTGACGGAGTCATCCAATCAAAAATGGACTTTCCGGGAAGCTGTTCTTCACCAAGAAGCTCGGCCCGAGATTTTGGGTCAAGATTCGATGCCTTGGCAGCATCAGCTGTCGACATATACTTGGACAAATCCCTGTCCTCAGCAGGGGTTTTCGAAGATTTCCAACCTGAAGGTATATCTGGAGGGGCAAACGTCTTCCCTGAAGAGAGAGAAAGGCTGGATATGGCATCTGCAAGGACAAAGCCGTCAAGCGGTAAACGACCGTCATGACACTTGCGGAACCCAGCTAGAGCTGTTCTCTTTGAAATAAAAACCGGCTTGTTATTTACAAGGGGATTTGCTGAGCTTGCCACCGTCTTACTCTCATCTCCGCCTTTCAATTTCTTCTTTTTCTTCTTGTCGCCTCCAATGGTACGGTTATAGGATATCCGGGGACCCATCGAATACGGATCGTCGTCGTCGGACCCAGTATCGTTTAAAATGCCAACCCCCATCCCCCCTCGACGAGGTAATTGGTTCGCCTTTGGCTTTTTCTGTGTCGCCAATCGCCGGCCGAAGAATGTGTCACTACTTTCATCTTCATTATAACTCTCACGGTCCGGACCACTCTCTACTTGTAAGCCTGTGTCGAGACGCGCTTCTCTTGCAAACCCAAGACCGAAATGATCTGTTTTTCGTGTAAAAGCCACCATTGGTGGATTTGAGGGGGCGAATAGATGGGTTTCAGAATGACGTGTATCATCTCCAGTCAAGATATCACCATCACCAAGATTGGCTCTTCGCCGTACTTTTGGACCAATACCCTGCCCTTCTCTCCAGCCCATCTTCTTTAAAAGCTTGGCGCCCATCGTCTCACCCTCATGCCTTAGAAGATCCATGATACCACGCCTGCCTGCGAGCTGCGCCTGCGTAGAGCCAAATCCAGAAAAATTTTCGGATGTCTGTAGTTCCTTGGACTCCTCAGCCTCGCGGATATCTTCTTCATCCATAAAGTCTTCGATCCTTTGCTGTTTCGCATCTTTCGCACGGTTTTGTCTGGATGACACAAAAGTCGATGGTGTCCACCCCTCTTTTGAGCCTACCGTATTGAAATACCTGTGTCACAATCATATTTTAGTCGTTATAGTCCCATATTTTCCAGGTGCCTCGAGCTCACCCGGCGCTGAAGCCCCCAGTAAAGGCGCCGTGCAGTCGCTTCCGCCCTCGCTCATCGGTAACTTCTTGTTTCCACACTGGCACATAGGAGCCATCGTCGCGAGTCCTAGGGTCTAAGGGAGGCAGCGGGGTGCCATAGAAAGCGTACGGAGACTGCTGTGCTTGAAGATCGGCCTCAAAGCTCGAGCGCGATCTTTTGCCAGCCATGGTTGTTGTGAACGAGAGGAACGATGCTCAGGCGCAGAGGTTCCGCGGTAGAGAAGCCATGCGACGAGGACTTAGAGCCTCTATCGTGCTTCCATAGCTCGACGATGGATGTTAAGAACGGAGTCAGTAAGGGTTAAAGCGAGTGGGAGAAGAGCGTCATTGTTGAATTTACTGAATAAAGTCTAATCAGCTGCCCGTCGCACCGCCACAACGAGCCGCGGCAGCGCAGCTTGCAAGGCTATGTGGCGGTGCGTGGCTGGAACTGTGTGGCTAAAACTCCGAGGCTCATCTGGATTGTGACAAATCTATATTAGTATTGGTTCCTAGACATTGCCATTCCCACCTTAGTAAACCGCACTATATCAGAGACCAAGCCTCTGGAGATTCCACTGTAGGAATGGCTAGTTACCTATAGTTAAGGAGAGACGAGTCCATAGATCTATGATTATGCACACAATAGTTAACGCTCAGTGGTAGGCGCTTTGCTCTATCGGGCTAGGCTTCCCGATCTCACCGCCCTCCGCCTTGGCTCGCCTCCTTAACGTTCTTCAAATGCATATGCTCTTCGTGTTGACTGTCCGGCATCTCACACTGGTAGGAGGAGTATGGCTACTGATGCCAATTGAGGGTAGCATGATTGGTATCTCTATCCTGAAGGTCCTTCGTAGCGAGGATAGTCCCTGCAGATCCCTGCAGGCGATGGAAGCAACGAAATCTTGCCGAGTGAGATACTGCCGCATTGGGACGTATCATTATGCAGCCACAGCCCGCTAGTTCAGCGTTAATCGGCCGTTCCAAGGTTTTGCTCCAGCATCCATGGAACGGTAGAATTAGCTTTCTCCAAATGTGACAATCCGCTCGACCTGGGTGAGTTCCGTTTCGATCTATTTTCGATAGGGTATCTTGCTGGTTAGGCCGACATTCATATACATGCTTTGCCTCTTTCGGGTATTGCCGCATCAATCCAGCCTCTTTCTCAGGCACTCACTCTCTCACTCTCTCCCCCCGCGTAATTAGCCTACGTGCGTACATACAACACCACATACTAGGTACTACTGGTTAGTATTCACTACATCGCCGCTCGACCTCCTGCCATCGATCGGTGATAAGCAATTGCCTGCGTCATCTTGTGTTATGCAACCAGCCTAGTCAGCGCGCGCTCGGGCGGAGTGACTTGCAGCCCAAAGGCTAACAGTAAGCGCCGCAGCAGCCCTTCTCCAGCCTCCTACACGTCGCTTTCCAAAGCTTGACTTTCCAGTTCCTGCACCCAGCCACGCTCGCTCTTTCTCTCTGTCCCTCTCAAACACACACACACACACTCTCTCTCTCTCTCTGTCTCTCTCTTCCCTCTCCCAGCAACCAGCACCAGCTTGCTGCTTCGTGGGGCCTCATAAACCCCGCGATCGCTATCAAACTGGTTCTCTCTCTTCCTGACAACACCTCGCACGCATCGCCTCCGCCCTTCCCCTTCCTTTCCGTGTACCGCTCCTGTTTGATGACCAGCACTCCAGCGGAAGAAATCGACGATTCGTAGCAGGCTTGTGCCAGTTTGCACGGTATGTCCAGTGCGGCCTCTGCCTCAGCAAATCCAACTGTGTTTCGCAGCCCTTCCTCTTCCTCCTCCCGCCCTCACGCGCATCGCCCCCCATCATCGGACCTTCCCCACAGGACTCGAAGCACCACCACCAGGCCTCCCCCGTCTTCTTATTCCCAGCATCACTCCTCCTCGCGCTCTCAGTCTTATGACCGCCGACCTCCATCCAACCACGCGGCCTTTGCAAATATAGCCCGTCGGGATTTCGAGGCTGCTAACCTTGCCCGCCCGCCATCGTCTCGCCGAGACTCCTCGCGAGATCGTTCTCAGGAGCGCCCGCCAACCTCCCATCGATCCGACCCAGTTCGTGCCTCTCAACACCACCGTGCCCCCTCTCGAAATAGGCGGGATTCAATCGATATGCCAGGGACCGTGGTTGATGCGAACGCGGCTAACGTCGCTGCGGCGGCACATGCCAACCCAAACCAGCCAAAACGTCGCACCATGATCTCCACCCCAACAGGGCAGTGGGCTCTTGGTAAAACCATTGGCGCTGGGAGTATGGGCAAAGTCAAGATTGCCAAAAACATAGAAACAGGCGAACAGGTAAAATCATCCCTGCCTATCACCCCTGTCTTCTCCATTGACTAACGCCGTAATTCAGGTCGCCGTCAAGGTTGTTCCAAGACAAAACACCGAAGAGCATCGAAGTGGGAGAGATGCTGAACGTGCCGATCGGTCCAAAGAGATTCGTACGGCCCGAGAGGCTGCCATTGTTTCTCTTGTTGACCATCCGTACGTGTGCGGAATGCGCGATGTTGTTCGAACACCTTATCACTGGTATATGCTTTTTGAGTATGTCAACGGTGGTCAAATGCTGGACTATATCATATCCCACGGCAAGTTGAAAGAAAAGCAAGCAAGGAAGTTTGCTCGACAAATCGCCAGCGCCTTGGATTATTGCCATCGCAACAGTATTGTTCATCGGGATTTGAAGATTGAGAACATCTTGATCAGTAAAACCGGTGATATTAAAATCATTGATTTCGGATTAAGCAATTTATTTTCGCCGAGAAGCCACTTGCGTACATTCTGCGGAAGCCTCTACTTTGCTGCTCCTGAATTGCTCCAGGCGCGGCAGTACACAGGCCCTGAAGTAGACGTATGGAGTTTCGGTATCGTACTTTACGTACTTGTCTGCGGCAAGGTCCCGTTTGATGATCAAAGCATGCCACAACTTCATGCCAAGATCAAAAAGGGCGAAGTTGAATATCCCCAGGGTCTGACATCAGGTAAGCCAAGCCCCAACTTATCCGCAAAATTATAGATCGTGTCTAACCATGTCAATTCAGAATGCCGCCATATTATCTCCCGAATGCTAGTCACAGATCCCAAAAAACGGGCCAGCTTGGCCGAGATTATGAACCACCCTTGGATGATCAAAGGGTTTAATGGACCACCGGAAAATTACCTTCCCATACGGGAGCCGCTCCAGTTTCCACTAGACCCTGAGGTAGTGGAGAAAATGACGGGATTCGATTTTGGGCCTCCTGACTTCATTACAGCTCAACTGACCAAAACCCTGGAATCCGAAGATTACCAAATTGCCTCAAAATCTTTCACCCGAGAGCAAGCAACTCCAAACATGAGCGGTGACAGGAAGAGAGGCGGTGTTTTTGACTTTTATAGACGGCGGAACTCAGCAAGCAGGGAGACACTATCAAATTCATCTGTTGAGGCGGTCCAGTTCGGAAGTGATCCTCTTAATGCCTACAGTCCTCTTATATCCGTTTATTTCCTTGTAAAGGAGAAACTCGATCGAGAACGAGCCGCTAAAAACCCAGGAGCTCTTGCTATACCGTCAGACACCGTATTGAAAATGCCTGACTTGCCAGCCCCGGAAATCGCACATACCAACCAATATGACGTCCCAGGAGTGAAAGATACTAGCGCTAGAAGTCGTCCACGCGCAAGAACGCACGGTGATGATGAGCTAGTGGATGGAATCAAGAAACTTCATGTCAGCCAGCCCACTACAACTAACCCAAATCCAACATTTGTGCCCTCGCAGGTTGATTCGCCTGCCAAGAAGGAGAGCACTGCCGCTGGAATTCTGAGACGTTTTAGCACTAGAAGGGTTAGAGACCGAGGCCGCGACTCTGGAGAAAAAGAGAAACTTCCACAAAATGTGCCGAGTTTGAACGTGCAACCTCCTGCCGATTTGGCTTCGCCACTGCATCGTGGCTTCAGTATACGCAGGACTAGACACGCAGAACCGTCCCCGACTACATTGCATGCAAGCGATAGTCAATCACAACAACAGGATCTTTACCGTGCTCCTGGATCAGGAGAACAACAAAATTCGCAATCAAATAAGTTCTTGGAAAGATCTACAAGTGTCAATTCCGCCGACTATCGTTCTCGCAGACTGGCACGGAAGTATGGAGCTGATGGCAACGGATCACACCTCAATGAGCCGCCTCTCACGAGTGGTTCTGACAACCTCGGTGTTAATGAGTTTGATGGGCAGAAGGCTAGTCCAGGAGCGTCCGCTCCGCTACAGGAAAGCAAACTGGCATCTCGAGCACCAGCTGCGCGGGCAAAATCTCTAGGACATGCACGCCGGGAAAGCATTCAAGCCCGTAGGGCACGTCGAGAAGAGGCGAGAGAGGCCACAGTTCCTGAGGATGATGATGACGGCGATTTGTCTAACACCGGAAACGCGCTAGAAAATGCAAATACTGGCGAAGACTTTTCCAAACCCGTCTATCTCAAAGGCTTGTTCAGCGTTTCTACAACCAGTAGCAAGCCTCTTCCTTTTATTCGGGCCGACATTATTCGCGTTCTCCGACAGCTAAATGTCGAGTTTACAGAGATCAAAGGCGGATTTAGTTGTCGCCATGCTCCAAGTATCGATCTTGACCGGGTGATAGATGCGGGACCTCCGAGCCCAGAAAGACAAGGGCAAGTCTCTGGACACAGACATAGAATCAGTTTCGGAGGATTGCGCGCAAACGATGAGGCAAGGGAAGACTCAAGAGCAGCTCACCCGTCGCGATATGCTCGGCGTAACCAGGGACCCCCAGACCGCAGTTTCATTTCCAACTCCGAGGCGTCCGATGAATATGGACCATCTCAAGACAACAACGAGGTTGGCGAGCGTGTAGTTGGTGAAACCACAACACGAGTTCAAAGCGATACAGGGGAAAACCTGGTTCTACGTTTTGAGATTGTGATTGTCAAAGTTCCATTATTTTCTCTGCATGGCATTCAATTCAAGAAGGTATCGGGTGGCATGTGGCAATATCGAGAGATGGCCAAAAGAATCTTAGACGCTCTAAGACTTTGATTGTCTGCATATGATTCTATGATTTGCATGTCTCATCTTTTTTATGTTTCATTTTTCATTTTCCCATTTTTCCTTTTTCCTTTTTACTTTCCTCCCCTTTTGATGCCCCTTTAATGAACTATTTGACTGTACTGAATGCTTAATATATTTTCGGTTACAATCTTTCTTCTTACATGGCCCTTACTTTTGCCGTCCCTTTTATTTACTTATTATATGTTCTAATGTACAATATAGAATCCTGTTTGAGTTGTTGACCGCTACCAGCATTTTCCACCCAACGTTTTCGTTGTGCGAGTTGAGCATCAGCTATCAGCTGAATTCAATGGGGTTGTAAATTTTCATCATTTCCCCATACATTTATATTCTATTATGCCGTGTTTATTTATTTACAGGCACTGTTACATTTGATTGAACTGCATTCATATCCACCCATATGCTTGAAATTATAAACGTGCTGTAGGTAGGTCGATCAATCAATCAAACCAAAAATTGCAGAAGCAGGGTCAGCTATATATTAAGCAGTATCGTATAGATAATGGTAGTATAATAACCATCTGTATCGTTATATAAAAACCAACGAGCCAAAGGACCCTAGTAATTGGCAGGGGTTGATGTCATGTGACATTCATGGATGTTGACAGGCGCGGTCAGCGAATCATATGGAGGGATGACGATGAGCATTGAACAACTAAAAAAAAGCTGGGGTGACAAAGAAGTGAAAGCATTTAACCATTTATAACAGACTATATTTAGTTTTTCATGTGTATGTTGATACTGAAAAGTACAAAAACCGAACGGCTCTAGAATTTAAATCCATAATAATTGTACTAAGACAAATCAAAGTTTAGCCCGTCACCTGTGTTAATGTTACTAATCTGCCAACTGGCTTGGTTCCAACGCGTATAATTTGGTAAATATAAGCAATCAAACTATGGCAGTGTAAAGATATAAAATATCAATAATACTATCAAAAATCTTAACTTTTTAAAAAAGAAATAAAATTTTAAAGACTATATTTTATTAATTAATATTATTATTATATAACTTCCTGCTAAAAAAATCAAGTTTACAAGTCCTAGATGAGAATAAATTAAGGAGGGAACCATTATATTCCATTTCACGTGACTTACCCCAGCCAATCAGGGCCCAGAAATAAAATAATGCCCATTTTCTAGGGGGGCACTTGCGCTTTGCTCCCTACTTACCTTCCCCCACGCGCGCTGGAGCTCACTCAACAGGACTAAAAGAGACAACCTCCGATTTCTGTTATTCCGTGAATAGCTGTCTGTCTATACAGATGGCGTCTATAAATTCATGGAATAATAATAATGCCCAATTTCCTCAAAGAATGTTTGTCGATTTAACGCGAGACGATGAAGACGAGGATGAAGATGAAGTGATTGAGGTAAGCACAAAAACAAAGCAACCTGCCCTGCCACCGCCCAGCAAAACCTTTATAAAGACATCTTTCCCTGAAAAAAGTATATTTATTTTTATGGGAATATATTCTTGAAGAATCAGCGGATTTTTCTCTATATATTTTGATATTTTTAAGTGTAAAATTTATTATTCTTGCTATTATTTGGTGCTGCCTCAGTGGTCCCTGGCTCCTTATAGTGCACTCTGTTCATGATTCATCTGATATCACTTCACCCACCCTTCCTTCACCTTCCACTCTACAACAAGGATGATTATTATGAAGTCGAGTTGACACCCATCTAGGCACAAGCGCTTTTGAAGAAATTTACCAATTCTAAAACTTCGATTGGTGAATCAAGATCTCTCAAGAGGAAGCTGAATGGGGCAACACCATCTGTCGATATCAAGAGCAATGGCGTGGACAATACCAACACCAACACCCATACTCATGGCCAGCCTGTTAAGCCATGGCCCTCAATCACTGCTGCTGCTTCCCCGCTATTGAAGGTCAAGGCAGAATCTAGATCTGGCACGCCAGCTTACTCCTCTTCCCCCTTCACCCAGTCATTGCCTCGAAATCCAGTGCAAGCCCAACTTTCGTTCCCCAAGATTACACCTCAGTTTGATTCTACTTATGTCTCTTCAGTCAGCGAGTCTGAGAGATCGATTTCTAGAGATCAGTCGATCAAACGCCAAACACGCTCCCCCTCAACTTTCAGTTCCTCCAATCGTCCGTCTAATGTGATGGTGGTTGTACCACCACCACCCACAGCAGCGTCCCCAAATGGCCTCCTTAAACACAAAGCTGCACAGAAAATTAATAGACTGCCTTCGGTATCGTCAGAGAGCGCTGAAGAATCGGATCCTGATGAGCCCAAGGGAACCAAGTCCAAATACTACCCGCTGCAGATGTACGCTATACAGGCAGAGAAAGGGCGCTATCCTCAGGCAAGGTCAACGCGGAGGGAGGCTATCACGCTACCAATTCGCCCTCGTAGTCATCCCAAGGTCTTGAAGAGCCAGGGCAAAGCACGCCACTCTCACAAAATGTATCTTCGAGCCCTTCTAGAAAAGAAACTTCGCTTGATCCAAGGACCTCCCGTAACGATGGCTGCAGACTGGGATGGGACGGGCAGTTTGGCATCCAACTTTGAGTTCACAAACTCCTACAAACTCGCGCAGGGCGTTACGCGTGTCCCCGAAGAATTCAATGGTGGCTGCCCCTGTGGACTCCAATGTGACCCGCAAAAATGCAAGTGTCTATCGAAAGAAGAGGACTCCGAGGAACTCATGGTACCTTATGAATATCGGAATGGGAAATTGGTCCTAAAAGAGAGTTTCATCCACAAGAAGACCATGATCTACGAATGCTCGTCCCACTGCAGCTGCACCAAAACCTGCTGGAACCGCCTGGTGCAACACGGCAGAAGCATCAGACTAGAAATCTTCCATACTGGCAGTCGTGGGTTTGGCCTACGCTCCCCAGACTACATTCATCGTGGCCAGTTTATCGACACATATCTGGGCGAGGTCATCACATCCGCCGAAGCAGAGCTGCGAGAAGATGCATCCAGCTCGCAGACTAACCCTTCCTACCTCTTCTCACTGGATTGGTTCCCCGCGTCGACAAATGATGACGACGACGACAATGATGCAGATGATGATGACCAGCAAGACTACTACGTCGTAGACGGACAACGATTCGGCGGACCCTCTCGATTCATGAACCACTCATGCAATCCGAACTGCAAGATCTTCCCTGTCTCGACTCACCACGGGGACGAGCGCATCTACGACCTCGCATTCTTTGCCCTTCGCGATATCCCACCGGGCATTGAGTTTACATTCGATTACAACCCGCATTTGACCGGCGAGATCAGTCACGACCCTAGTGCTGTCAAGTGTCTGTGCGGTGAAGCCCAGTGTCGCGGTCAGTTATGGCCAAATCAACGCAAGAGTTCAAATATTTGATTGTTGGCTTGTTGGCTAGTCCGAAATGTGTCTACGATGGATAAATGGTACATGATGGCATAGAAAGGTGTATTATTATGTTATTTCAGGTAGATATTTTCTTTCTTTTCTTTTTTTTTTCTTTTTTTCTTTCTTTTCTTTTTTTTTCTTTTTTTCTTTTTTTTATTTCTCTTGCACAAAGGCGAATCATCAGATGGGATTAGATAGTACATGAGCGCATATCTTTTTTCCTTCTCTGAACTGGTATGGTTCATATTCAGCGCATTTTATCGATTGAATGATACCCTTCACTCGTTTTTATACTCTTATCTCTTTATTTTTCAAAAATATAAAGCTTCTGTTTGAAATTGAATGGTGCCTGGGTAAGTAGTCCCAGATATTATAATTTTGACCAAGGTTGATGATGAATATGGAGGTTTATGTCTGAAAAACATAATCCAGACTTGTCGTTGATTAAAATTAAATCTATCCTTTCCTTTTGGACCTGCATCATAAGACAGCAAAGCTCAAAATAAAAAAGAGAGAGGAAGGAAACAAATCTAGTACAAAAGCAACCACAAGGTCCTCCCGGAAGTTGGATCCAGCTCATGGCTCGAGCCAGCAAATAAAGTAGGGGAAAAGAAAACGATAAGAGAAAGGGAAAGCAAAAGACCATAAAACACACTTGCCGAGTGATATCATAAATAATTTCAAGCAATCAATCAATGAACGATTTGAGGAGGGAGAAAAAGAAAATAAATAACCAAACGCCGCCCAGCAAAGCTACTCCCATAAATAAACGCCATTGACTTTAGAAAGGAACAAAGCGTGGGTTGCCCCGTAGTCCCAAATGCTGACCTTGATGTAATGGATGAACGAATATGGACGATATGTAGGAATAAAAGAGCATAGAAGAAAATATGTTCCGAGCCACATGCAATGTTGTTGTGACCATGGCCAGTTGATTGACCTGAAGAAAAGGAGAAAGGATAAATTTTGTATCAAGTTGCCGATAATTATTAGGTGGTCGTTTAACGTTGAAATCATGCGTTGCCCTCCATAACTTCGACAATACCCCCCATCACGTATCGAGGTTGTTGCGAGCCTCCACGGATGGAGCTCTGAGTCGACAGGGCGAAAGAACTCCGTTGGCTAGCGATATCTGTTAAAACACTGGTGTTTAAATCCATGGCTATGGGAATAGGATCGACGGGACGTGGCTCCATCATGCTGAGGCCCAATCGTTCGACTGAATCCTCATCACAGCGCGAACGCTCCTCGCTCAAAGCCAGATCGACAGCGGAAGGGCGTCGGCGGAGGAAGAAAGGGGAGGAGCGACGGAAGGAGAACGGAATGATGCTAGCATAGCTATAGGGGCTTCGACTGCGATCCCGGCTGCTGGGCTCGGTGGTGTGGGAGCCGGAAAACCGATGCTTGCGCAGGGGCCAGCCGGAGGTGGGCGATGACGCAGGGCTGCCACTGGCTGAACTGAGGGCACTGGTGGACAGAGAATCGCTCTCGCGGCGGTAATGTGCGTTGTCCATAAATGCGGTGCGTAGGGATAAGCTGATGTCGGCCATGGGGGAAGGTTCCAGAGCCTTTGAATGCGGACTCGCGGTACGCTTTGGTTGCATTGCTGATGAGGGATGGAGCCTGTAGCTCAAAGGAGGATGTAAAGTTCACGCCTGTTCTCACGAAGACCTTTTGATATATACCGCTATGCGGTCCCAATGGTTTGGTGGCGTGCGGGCGAGTCGAAAGAAGCGAGCTCGGTGAATGACGTTGCGTTGCTGGGAAAAACGGCACACGTCAAGGTAAGAGCAAGCGATGGACTGAGGATAGAAATTGCAGAGTCGAGACTGCAGCTAGGCAACAGCGAGAACTGCAAGAACTGCCACGACGACTGGCGAGGGAAGAGCGTGTGCGCGGTCACGAAGCAACGAGCAGGGCGGCCATGGGACGAAGGAACTGGGCGGCGGCAGTCAGTCCGGCGTTGTGCTTGGATCAGAGCATCCGCAGCAGCGAGCGGCGATATCAGATTCTTATTAAATAGTAGTATGCATTTGGCGTTAGTTAGTTTCGCTGGAGGTAGTATTCCGACAGTTCATCCCGACGGGGCAAAAGGGGGGCGCATTTATTCTTAGCCCACGCTGGATCCGGAATAGCGCCGGATTCGGGTGACGGTTAGTCCTTTAAGGAGGCGTCCTTGCAAGTAGTATATAGATGTTTGAATATCGCCATATTATTATTATTGTGTGTGTGTATATATATATAATATATATATACATACGTACGTACCTGACTCTTACATGCTATATGCTATTCAAAGTCTCATAGATACATATCCTCGAGTATCGACTGTCTATAATCAACTATAGTCTGCCTGAGGCGTGCAAAGCGCAGCTGAACTAAGACCGGAAGACCCACCGTTCCGCATCCGTGGCTCTGTTATCATGTCTCACTCCAAATAACTAACTATACACAAGTAAGTATATATATCCCTCGGCCAGGGTCCTGCAACATACCTGAAGCAAGTATCAGCTTCCTACGCCCTCGGTTTTACGCCAGGTCATCGCGTACAGGCCACTCCGTGCTTTGAGGTTCCTACGAGGAGGCAATTCCGGGATCCGTTAGTTAGACCAATACCGGCACAGCGGAAATACCCGCGGATACGGTCTCTCTCAGCGGGTTCGGTAATTTACATACAATAACATCTGTATACAATACAAAATATCCACGTCTGAGTGTGAGTCTGTCTCCGTCGGATGTATAAGGTTCATCCTTGAATCCCTGATACTCTGACACTGTTCCAAGGGTGCACTGTCACATCATGCAATAGCTCTCAGACTATTACCCTGTCCCGTCTCTGTAGTCGTCATCAACGGTGTTAGTGCTACGGAGTAGTACTTAGTTTCCAAGCGCTTAGCGTGGTGACTATTGCCTGTGGCACAGCACCGCAACTGCTTCTATATATATATATATATATATATATATTTTTTTTTTTAAACCGTCATACGATACAACCATGGAAAATGCGGCTCAAGGCATGAGCATCTTCTTACGAATGTAATAAAAAGCCAATCCACATTCATCACCTAAGAAACGAGCTCTCTATCAAGGTAGCATCAACAATAGAAGAGGCTTCCCTTGCCTGGATATCAAGGTGGGTGGGGGGGGAGCCAAGCCCTGCGAACGGCGGCCCCGTTAGCCCTAACAGTGACATTCCAGGAACCATCCATGCATCTAGGAAGGATTCTCTCTTGGTTACATCAGTCTGTTCCTTGAAACAGGGACAAGTCAATCCATCCTCAAAACAGCGAGTGCCAGGACTGCCCAACTGCCTGCCTAGCTCGTTGGCTTGGGTTAGTTACTACGTATGCGACATACGTAATAGGGGGGATACGAATATTACGAATACGCATTGAAGATTCAAGACGTTAAAAAAATGACAAAAGAGGATAGGGCTATCTATGCATAGTTGTTATTGCATGCACATGCAATGCCCATCGGGATTTATTAAGGACGTGCCTGGATATTGCATTCCACATTCCGATGGCTTGCATGTCGTTAACCCCGTACCGTTTTGAGGATGCTCGTGCCTAAGATGTGAGACTAAGGCTGCGGTCAGGCTGATACAAGACAGAGAAAAAAAAACAAAAAAAAAAATAATTTCTATCACCCTTCAATTCATATATCACATTCTCAAATTAACGCATAGGCTCGTATGCAAAGTGATGTATAAAAAACCCTATCTAACGCAATGGTATATGCAAACAAAATGACAGTAAAGGATAAAAGAAAGAAAACACACAAAAGTGATGGAAATCAAAACGCCATCGCCTATGCTTTGTTGTGCGAGTCATTTTAATGCCGCGATTTATATATGCATAGAGGAGTGAAGGAGCAAAATAAAAGAGAAGCATAATCAACATGAAGAGTAGAGGGAAACGGCCGAACCGAATTGAGAAGGCCAAAAAAAAAATAGAAGAATGGAAAAAAGGTGACGATGTGGCCTCGATACATAAATCGTAACAAGAGAAACGAAAAGACCAGCTAGAATATCAAATCCGAGTAGAGTAGATAACAGTTGTTGATATAGGATATACATTACTCATGGTCACCTGATCGTCGCTGCGTAAAGCTTCTGCGAATACTCTGACCCCAAGCTGAATCACCAAGGCTCTGCATCATGTCTTGCACAATGACACTTTCCTCGCGCGAATGGCCGTCGCTTTGCGATGACTGGCCACCCAAAGATTCAGAACGGCTTCGGAACTCAGCATCAAAGTCATTTGTCTGCCGTGGTGATAAGGATGCACCGATCCTTGACCATTCACTGGGTGCTTCATCTCGTACACCGCTGGTGTCGATATGCAAAGATGGTCGAGTAGGAGAGCTGGTAACCGACATTGCACTTGATGTTGGTGAGACTACCGATGGCCACATAATCGGGGTCGGCTTTTGGACAGATTGCCCATCCCCTTTATCTTTATTACCATCATTCTCATGATCAATAAGCTCTGTCTGATCCTCAACAAAGATTTCTGGTATCGAGAATTGGGGAATGGTCGAAAGGCGAGCAGTCTTCCGCTCCTCGATGCGCCTACGAAAGCGGCGAGACCAGTAGAGAGTATCAAAGAAGCCAATGACAGTATTTCGCCGAACAGCTTCTTCAACCCGCTGAAGCCGCGTACGACGACGGAGAAACTCTTCCAGCCGCAAACTTTTGCTATCAACAATGATTTTGTAGTGAGCAAGGATCATCAAGCACATAGAAAACGAAACTCCTCGTTCGGGATCAGCAGACACTAGCACTTCTTCGTAGAAGGCGTTCAATTGCTTTCGCCGAGCTCGAACCTCCTTGACTGAAATGTTTTCAATGATCCGAGCTAGCTTCGAAATATCAACCTCGTCGGTATTCGCGCTCTCGTTGGGATTGAAAGAAATGAAAGACTCCTGACGACCAGAACCCATTCGACATTGTTCTAGAATTCTCTTAACTGTAAAATCACCATTGTAAATGCGCATATCGAACAGCCCGGATAATTCCTAAAAGTCAATGTGAGCCCTCTCATCCCTATTGTATTTGTTTCAAAAGAAGCAGCACTTACTCCTAAAAGTCTCGGAAACTGTTCTTTTGAAATGAATCCGGAACCGCGAGGATCAAAATGGGACCAGGCTTCCTTGAATCGCCGAATTTCGACTCGGTCAATCGTGTACAGACCAAGGCCACTGCTGCGCTGATACACATATGAAAAGCTCTCGAAAATAAGTGAAACAAACAATGACACAAAAAGGTACATGCTGATCACGTTCCACGCAATAAATAGACTGCGAGACCATCCCTCGCTCCCACAGTCTGAGTCCAAAAATTCATCACTTGCCGTACAATACGGAGGCCTCATGCCAGCAAAGTCCTCCATGAATTGGTTCCAACCTTCTCCCGCACTCGTGCGGAAGAGGAAAATCAGAGCTTTTGGGACATCACGAAAATTAATGTTATTCGTTTCGTTCTCTCCAAACTTCGTGAGACCAAACGTCTGCGTCATGGCGATAGCGAACACGAGAAATAAAACGAACCAGGTTGCTAACAAGTTGATGATAGACGTCAAACTAGCAGCAGCCGTCTTGAAAAGCTGATCGAGTTGATTGTTGCGTGGAATGAGCAGCAGGGTGATTGACACTAGAAATAGCTTATTGAGTTGCTGGATAACATTGGTGCTGCTGAGGCCGAACCCTAATGTCACTGTCACTAAAGTTCCAGGTACTGCCAAAAGGGAATAGAGATCCCATGAACTCCGTCTGAAACGAGACCATCCCAGTCCGACGATGCGTATAAAGATATCTGCGACGTAGAAGAGCGTCAAGATTAGGAAGAGCACATCTGTTTGTGGTAATATTAGCGTCTTATAGCAGAGTGATTTAAGGGTATCAGCCAGCATTAATCACCTCTTGTTGTATCCCACAACTGTGGATATGGATACCACTCTAAAGTGAGAAGCAGCAGATGGAACACTAGCAATGTTGTTATAAAACGCGCCCATGTGCCGTTCTTTTTCGACGCGAGCCGATAACACGTCCTGCGCCAACCTTCGGCGGTGGCGTTTTTCGAGCGCTTAGAAGGTGAAATCTGCCGTAGCAGCTTGCGCAATTCGAGCCATGAACGTTGCTCTGCAGTCAAAAAGGCAACTCCAGTCTGTTCCGTGTAGTTTCGCATGAAGACAGTCACAAACAGCGTCAGCACAAAGACCGAACCAAGTATGTTGAAGACGACAAAGAAAAGACCATCAGCTTGTGAAGCGAAAGGTTGAGGTTGTAGACCACGCCCTGTAATACTCTCGGCACTCCATTGAACGTCAATCCAGCCCTCCTGAGACACAATTTGGAAGAGAATGAAGAGGGACTGGCCGAAATCATCGAAATTGTAGTACGAGTTGGAGGCTGTTCTGGGCGCCAAGACATCCCAGTTATACGGCGAACTGTTGAATTCCCCTACACATGCATTGAGGCTCCCTGATATGTCAGAATCGTTGCAAGATATCATTTGCCCATTGAATAGATTCAATCCGTAGATGGCGAAGGGAATGAGGAAACTCAACGAAACGAAGGCAGCCTAGCAAATAGTGTTAATTTCAGAACTCTGAATATGCATGCCTTAAAAGGTACTCACAGAAATAACATTCCATCCACCGACGATGATAACGGAATGAAACGTATCTCTTGCACTATCACTAACGTTAAGCAGCCTCAACGCCCTCAGAGCTTTGAAAGCCCCGACGATTCTGGACACACTGCCATTAGTATACAAAGACGTGAAGACATTGATCCAGAGCGTTACAAGCACAACGCCGTCAAGAAATCCCCAGGAGCTTCGAAGGTAGGCGTTTGGAGTCCAGAAAAAGCCATCGGCAACTACTTTGATGATACCTTCTATCGTAAAGATTGTCGCAAACACGGCATCAGACCAGACAAACCAATTGTGGGTTTCGTATTTCTTGCCCATAAAATATTCCCGCTGATAAAGTGGGGTCGTGATACAGGCCAGCAAGACCATTGCGACAATACAAGCATAGATGAACGCGGAGAAAGAGTACCACAGCGGCTTATAAGGTTCGACTCCTTCGAATCGATGATTGCCGCGGCCTGCGCCGACCATTCGCTGACACGCTCTTCGAATGGGGTTGTTGATTGCAAAGAGGTATAATGATTTATTATACAGCGGATATCGTTGAAGGTATTCTCTTTGGGCTACTTTGCGTTGCTCAGACGCCATGACAACCTCTTTCGCTAGAGTACGAGGATCCAGTTCATCGTATGGCCTCGAAAATTTCAACTTGGAGTAAAAGGGATTGGCCTCTTTTTCAAATAAGGCCTTCCAAGATCTTGTTCCCAATATTGTCGATAAAAAGCTTGACCGAGCTGCGTTCCTCCCCATGGAAGTCTGGTTGGAAGCTTGGGTGTCGAATGAATCAAATTGCTCGTCCAAAAATTCCTTGACTACAGCGTCCTTTAAAAGCATCTCCGTGGTCGCCGGTCCATAGTCTAGAGGTCCGCTATACTTGGCGCTGTCGCGGCCAAATTTGAATATAGACGTCAAAGAAAGGTTGCTTGCCGAGGAGCCAAGTTCCTTTTGTTGTAGAAAGGCCTTCACCTGATGTAGGCGTTTCTGATCCTCAGATACATCAAAGCTTTCTTGGATGACTGCAATAAACATGTTCAAAATAATGAAGTTGGCAAGAATGAACCACATGGTAAAAAACGAGGCCGAAATCCAGGCTGTACCATAACCGGTAGTGAAGTTCGTGCCATCATAGAGGATATCAGTCCAGTTCTCGCTAGAAAGAATTTGGTACATTCCTAGAAAAGCATTGTATATGTTGAAAAATGTGACCTGAATCGAATTCCCACCAGAGTCGTTTTCTGGAATCATACCACGGAACAGCTGCACTGCAAAAAGAGCTGCTAGAAAAGTCATCAAGAAAGCGAAAAGTATCAGGTTAAGCAAACCCACGACGTTTCGAAAGACTACCATGATGAGATCTCTAGTGACAGAGAATAACAGAACGAGACGGTAGATTCGCAAAATTTGGAAAAGGGTGAGAGCCGCATATGCTCGGCCGGAGTCATGAATACGCGGAATTTGTATGATACACGTAATCACCGCGAGAAATAGATCAAAAAGGTTGCGACGGCTCTTATGGAAATGTCTCCAATCCACCACAAAACGTATGATAATCTCCAACAAGAGAACGAATGTAACCGCCGTTTCAGTGTCACTGATAAATCTCTCCGTAGATCGGCTCATGGTCGAGCTCCGAATACACTGTACGATGAGGTCGTACGCAATAAGCGTATTCCATAGCCATTTTGTTTTGTCGTACATATATTTGAGGTTGTTAACTCGATGCTGTTCTACCTCATCATTAACAGGATCCTGAACATTCTCCATGGCGAAAGCGCTCTGTCGGCTCTCCTCCCGAATAACCTGGAACGAGGACGTGATCACGGCAACCAACAAGTTCACCATCCATAGGCTTAGAAGTACGAATCCAACAGCGAAAAACAGTGCAGTTGCTAGGTAATCTGAGTCCGTAGTATAGTATAGGAGGTCGGTGAATGTGTTAGAACTCATGATGACGAAAACGAGTTCAAGGGAATTGAAGATATTGTCAAAACTGACTGTCCCGTTGTACGGATTGGTCCCTTCAATGCACATAGAGCCTTGCGGGCAAAGGTAACCTTTTGGTTCGAAAGAAGAAGGAGTATTATCTGCATAAACCCAAGGTAACGGGGTTCCGGTAGTGTTATCAAGGTAGCCACCACATAGTTGGAACACATTGTAAGGATCATTCATGGTGAAATTACTCTGACCCTCAGGGTCAATCCAGACACAACTTCTGCGAAAGCTGGACTTGAAACTTTGAATTCCAACAATCGCAAAAAGCAACCAAAAGAATCCAATGAGGAATGCGACGTGGAGGAGCAGCGGAGCGGCCTTTTTAAGGCTTCGAAGGATAACCTAGACCATAATTAGATTGAGGGAAAACCGGACTGGAAGATTTAACTCACCGAAGTGCCATCAGTAATGCCCAGAAGTCGGAGTAAACGTAGACAACTGAGCATCTGGAAGATATAAATATTGTGCTTGGAAGCGAAGCCTACTACATGTAGAGCAAACGAGATCCAATATGAGATAACAGCAAGAAAATCCAATCGATTAAAAGAATGTCTGAGGAACGCTCTGTGAGCGAGCCGCTTGCGTGAGCCATGGCGAGGGTCATCTGAAGAATCTGCAGGCGGTTGCAACCCGGTAAAAGTCTTGCGCAGATGGGTGACTTGACTATCCTCGAATCCGACTGATTTCTTCTTCGTTGATGGTCCTCGCTGAAGAGAGAATAAAGTCCTGCCTCGTTCAGACAATGCTTTCTTGTAACCGAGCGACCTGTCCAGGGTACTATACTCTGCCGCATTCCAGATGAAGCCAGAGACTATAATTCTCATGGATAGCTCTATAGTGTAGATGACGAAGATGGCAAACAAGGCATAATCAATCTTCTCTAAGCCCCATCCAAATGACCTCGGATGACTATAGACTGAATGAGCTGACTGGACAGCCAATAATACGGCGTGGACGACAATGACCAGTAAGAGGAAAGGTTCAGTGAATGGGTGTACCAAAACATCACATAGCAATGCTCTTAATCGATTATCCGGACTGAAGATGCCGACGGATTTGCCTTTAAACGGATTGGCATGGGTCCTCCATGGGCCTCGGGGAGCAGCTTTCTCCGCCACATGCTGAGTTCGCTGTGGCTCGTCATCATAGCTGTGCATGGATGGCGAACTTGTTGGTCTATTCTTCAGTGACTCCCTTCGTAATATTGCCTGCTCAACAGGCTCGTTACTCAGGTTAACGACACGTTGCGACATCAGCTGCATGACGGTTCCTGCCCTATGCAAAGCCGAGCCTGACACTGAAGGCGATAATGAGCGCGAGCGAGAAGGGCTACCACCTTCACTGTTGCTGCCCCGTCTTCCTCCTAGCCCATTTTCCAGATTAACCAAGTCATCCCCTAACCGTGAACTACTGATACTATTGCCCAGTCTTATGCTCTGCATGCTCGCCCGTGCTTCCTGCTCGTCGACATCTGTAGCACCGCTGATCGGTTGGAGGTATTTCTTATCCGTTAAACGAGTGGTATCATCCGTCATTATTGTTGAAGAAAGAAAGTCATTCTCAGAGGGCTCTGGGAAGGAAGTCATCATGAATTCTTCGTTTTCGGAACGCCGCGATGAAGCTGTACGGTAACCAAGGCCGAACCCCCCCGGGTCGTCGTCCAAGTCATGGTCATCGAGTGCATAGGGATTATTCTCCTTTATTCTTGTCGAAGATTGCTGCATGACATGCAGACCAACTCTGTCAACAGGATCCGGCGAATCTTCTGCAACGCGCTCGTATGTCTTAAAACCTCCGCCGGTGAGTAGTGACCGCCTGGGCCCATGTCCAGTCTTTGCGCTACTGCTTCTCCTCCTCCCACGACGCTCGCTCGTTGTGTCAAAATCGTCAATTTCATCCCTGGAAAGATTCTGTAAAGGAATTGAATCTTGCGTTGGCGAACTTTCGCCAGGAGCACGATCATGATTGTTGTTGGATGCCATGGTTGCTAGCAGCAGCTTAATCCAATCGCGCGCATTGCCAACGATTTGGTCTGGTTATCGAAACGGGCGCGTGTGCTCATCTAGACCGGTTCGCATGAGGTGGTTATTTTCTGGCTGCTACACTCGCGGAGTGACCTGAAGAGTCAGACTTGCGACTCTTTTCTCCAGCAGAAGTACAAGGGGGGGGGCGGGTATCACGACGGCCAGCTTTGAAGGTAAGCACTACCGGGAGCCTCGACAGCAATCCGATCGGTTTTCCGTGAGTATAGGAGCTGGAGCTGGGAGTAGGAGTAGGACAGAAGGACAGGAATGCACGAATTGTGAATATCTGTGAGGAAACCCCGTGCACATCTAAAAATAATCGGCGTAACATTCACAGTTTAAGACATACAGTTCGCAGACTAACCGGGCTAGTCCAATCAAAAGCAGCCAGTTAGCGCCTCGGCGACGTAATCCACTGAACCCGCTGCAACAGAAGCTGCTGATTCGCCCATTTCTACTCGGTAATTACATGACACGCGTATCCTCCCCACAGAGACCGTGCATTTTACCACACAGCGGTAATAATACAAGACGATGCATCTAAACGAGTTAGTCTGTAATTGATTCGTGGCGCAGCTCGCTTTCCTCGGTTCTAGATCCAGCCACAATGTGTGGCATCCGATGAGCTATGAACGACATAGTATGCAATCTCAACTCTATTGTCATGAGAGCTTCTGGGTTATCAAACTGAATTAATTACAAGAACCAGATTTCATTTTCATCCCCAGGACCAGAAGCCAATCAAACAACTATGATCCCCAGCTATTCATCGGTGTCCATAGTGTGCCCACGACTTTCATCTGTAGCTTGTTTGCGGATTCCTTCTAGGAAAGCCTCAACTGCCACTCCTCCGCCAAGGGGCACACCACCCCGTCTAACAAACCCCCCGTTTTCCACTTGAATATGGAGTGCCTCGCTTATGCTAGGCAAGCCTCCGTCCCTGAGAGCAACTGTGAGGCTACCTAAGCTCTGGGTAAACTGGGGAGACCGCAACACACGTCGGAGTATGTCCTTTTTCTGTTCCAGATCGAGAGACAGAAGCACGGCTTGGGCTGTTTCCGCGTTGACATCAGATGCAGGTATATCGTCGATGTTCTGTGCCAAGAGTAGAAGAGATGGTGGTAGGAAGTTCAAGAGGTTGTCGACTTTGTCGTCGTCGGCGGACTCGATCATAGGAATTGTTGAGGATGGAGAGAGTAGGTCGGCGAGCGTAGTGAAAAGATATTCATCACTTCGAGCTTGCGCGTTCTGGTTGCCTTGAAGTGAATTTAGGAGACCCTGTATCACCGAGGATGCGTCCGGCTGAGCCATAGTAGCCCTATTTACAGTATCCATCAGCGAGTCTGCATAATTACGTTTAAGGGGGAGGGAGGGGCTAAAGTAGTAATTTGTTCAATGCAAGACATGTTTCTTCTTCTTCTTTTTTTTTTGTCTTTGGGTAGCGATTCCCTTAACAAGAAGCATGCATTTCACAAAACGCCTCGTAACAAGAAGATGATCGTCAAATCACAGCGACATGTTAAATATAAGGTCCTCAGAGAGTTGTACCTACGCTCGACCACCATCTGCGCCCCCTTCACGGGACTCTTCTCCCTCCTCGCGAATGTCTCCTCCTGTTGCGTCAAAGCCAGCACCACCGCTACCGCCCTGGTTATCACTAGGGTGGTGCGATCCTTCTACATCTTCCATAGTGGCATCATCGTCGCCGTCAGAACCGCGCTCGTTACGAGGCAAATTCGCAATCTCTCTTTGGACATCAATCTCTTCTCCTTGTAGCAAGGTATTGACAATCTCGCCTAATTTCAAATCTCGGGGACTGAAGTATGCAAGGTCGCCCCGCTCATGTTGGCTCTTGGACTGGAGCCAGAACAGGTACCGTTGTGAGCTGGAAGAGAACTTTAAAACGTAGATACGCCCATTTGTCGGGGCCTGGGTGGCTGATTGTGTAGATCGGTAGGGAGTGAAGGTGCCGTCAGAAGGCACCATCACCAAGTCCAGTTCAGGATCCGTGAGTGCTGCAGATCGAGGGCGCCAGCAAAAGTGAATAAGATCATCTTCGGAATACAGATAGATATAGCCTGGAGTTGACTTCGGCTTGACCTGGGGCGGGCTGGCAGTAGTCTACGGATTCAAGCAGTCAGTGTTTGGTTTGGCAAGCTCCGCTGCGTATCAACCAGGGTTGCACGCACCTCGAGGTCACAGATCCCCGCCTTAAATGTGATTATCGGTTCTGCTATCGACATTTTGGTATGTGGTCAGGATGCGAGAGGCAATCGAAATAAGTAGACAAAGGTTGGGCCTAGGAGGAAGCCAGGCTTTTGCAGTTGTAAGCTCAGGTACGTCAGAAGCAATACCTATTGCTAAGACGGTAACAAAGACCCAAGGCTGCACCAGGTGCTTCTGCGGCGCCCGTAGCCGGGAATCTTGCACTGCTGGGCCGCCTGGCGCGCCGTAGAGAGCCAGCCAATGGTCAGCGCAACTCGGGCTTGGGAGGCCGCCGAATCCGCACTAGCGCATTTCGGTTAAAGGATAGGGCTTGAGGTGCCCACAAACCCTCACGATTTCCCGCTCTGGGCCACACCAAGTCTTCTCTCCGACTCAACAACCATTATCGTCGACAACACACCCAATTTCTTTCCGGACACGTTCTTCGTCACATAACGGGCAAATATGTCGGACGCTCAGACGAAGAAGTTTGGAAAGGGCGAGCGGACGGTCCCTCACCACAGCCAGAAGGCTCAGAAGTGGTATCCCGTGGACGATGAGTCGCAACCAAAGAAAGTTAGTTGGACCCTTGAATATGACGGTTGAGAAACAGTGTTTTGCGAGTTTGCGATTATTGTGGGAAACAGTCGAACGCGCTCTCCGGTCTTGACAAGGCCGATCATGGTGGAAGAGAGGAGATTCGCCTTTTGCGACTTCGCAATGGTGTATATCTGCAAGCAAAGATTGAACGCCGCACCAACCACACCGTACATTCTCGCAAGACGCTGCAGCTTCTCAATTGAATTCTATGATCTAGATCGAACTGTTACTGACATTCCCTTTTCTCACAGGTCCGCAAGACCGTCCGCCCCGCCAAGCCTCGCGAGAGCCTCCAGCCTGGTGCTATCCTGATCCTCTTGGCTGGTCGTTTCCGTGGCAAGCGCGTTGTCCTCCTCAAGCACTTGCCTCAGGGCGTGCTCCTCGTCACAGGTCCCTTTAAGATCAACGGTGTTCCTCTCCGACGAGTGAACGCTCGCTACGTGATTGCTACCAGCGGCAAGGTTGACCTCAGCGGTGTCGATGCCGCTACCCTCGAGAAGGTGTCTGCTCCCGAATACTTCACCAAGGAGAAGGCCAAGGAGAAGAAGACCGAGGAGGCTTTCTTCAAGCAAGGAGAGAAGCCAGAGGTACGTCCGATAGAATACGGTTTAAAGAGCTAGTCATGGTTGAAAGCCATACTGATCGCAAATTGTCTTAACAGAAGAAGAAGATCACCAGTGCTCGCGCTGCCGACCAGAAGGCCGTTGACCAGTCTATCTTGGCCAACATCAAGAAGGAACACCTCCTCGCCAGCTACCTTGCCACCAGCTTCAGCCTCCGGAAAGGCGACAAGCCTCACGAGATGAAGTGGTAAATTATGACGCTTGCTTTAGGGGCTATGTTTTTCGATTGATGTGCAAAAAATAAAAAAACTTTCTATCAACACATGAGAAAGGAGGATCCGGCGTTTGCAAATGGGCTTTTGTCTCTCCATACCGTGTTGTGGATATGGGTGGAATGAAAATGCGCGAGTGGGGATGAAACATCATTTGCACTGCTTTATCTTTTTTTTTTAAAAAAGAATTCTTTCACATGGGCTATCATGAGACACATGTAAACTCGATCTTGGAAGTCAGCAACTTCCCATCTCCGTTAGATTTTTTTTTCTGTGTGTGTGTGCTGCTCTGCTACTTCTCTACGATCCAGATACCGCACAACGAGAATCCAACCCAAACTTTTTTGTTATCCACTGTGCTATACATTTTATTTAATGACATTAACTACATCCTTAGCAAAGTCCGCGCCATCTATATATTAGGTATATCAAGCATTCTTGTTGCCCTTCTCCTCGTTTTTGCTCGGTTCGCTTCTTTAGCAACAGCATCCCCCATATGACTCCTGGCATCTTCAACCGCCTTACGAATTTTCTCTTCGATGTTAAGATCGGCAATTTCAGCTCGAACATCGTCCTCGATTGTGTCACTAGCATCCGGTATTGAGCCACCCACCCAGTCCAGGACTCCCCATGCGCCATAATTCCCGTCTCCGCCGGTAATGACATGCATTTCTGTGCGGCGCGCCATTCCACTCAATAAAAGTCCCACGGGCAGCGTAGAATAGCCGGAATGCGTAAAAGTTTCCTCAAGAGATACGAGGGCGAGAAAGACCATGTATGTCGTCATGTGGAAGCGGAAGAGCGCTGTAGGCAAGTAGATGGGGACAAACTTCCAAAGTAGGTAGCAGAGGGGATGGTCGTAATGCGCTGTCAAGGGCCAGGGAGCCCTCAGACCATGATACCAGGTCTCATGCAGTCGAGAAAAACGGAAGTTTGGGTTATGAAGTATGAAACGATGAATGGAGTAGTTTAAGATCTATATTTTCTCAAAAAGTAAAGAGAGCGATGAATAAGCAACAACATTCCCAAGTAGTTAGAGGGGGGAGTATGTGTCAACTGACCTCCCTCGCAATAAATCCCCTTGCAACATCGATTGTGATTCTCCAGGGATATGGCAGTCCCACTGCGACCTTAATGACGCTTCGCCAACGCAACAACCTAGTCAGGGTAAGTTCAATAGCACTCTGCACCGCGATACCGAGCAGAATATTGAAAAGAGACCATCCCACAATCTTAGCTTCATTGAGGGTTGGCTTTCGGCGCTTATGGCCTGACGGTAAGCCAACATTACCCTGCGCCTTGAAGCTGAGAGACGCGGACGGAAGTGCAATGTCGAAGAGAAAGAATATGACTGAAGGAACCAGATAGAAGATGAGCCGGACTGCCAAAGTGCCAAAAAGCTCTACCTTAAGCGGCGAATGCGATAGCACGAGAGTTGTCCATGTCATCCAAAAAAAGAGAAAATTGAGGCTGGTGGTGAAAAGCATTGTGGCGGATGCGAAGCTGGTTTTGGATGTTCCAAGCTCAGAGCCAGGTTCTCATAAAAGTACATCAAAACGAAGAATACACATGATATATGCACATCGAGTAGATTGCTAAACTATCCAAGAATCTTAGGGTTGCCAGTCGTGACGTCAACGGGAATTGTGACAATTGTCGTGGAGGCACGTGATCGCAGTCGGGTAATCCGGGGTGGTCGTGCGAGCAGCTGATTGGTCGAATGCCGTTCTATATACGCTATATTCAGGAATGCTTTCTGTTCCATGAGATTTATAGCTATACACTTATATATGTATATGTGTATAATAGCATTTTGCAGTGTCTGTTTCAAGAAGGCCAACTCCTGCTGCTTTTACCGACTAGAAGTTGTCGTATTAATCGAAATACTACACATTCCGTGTATGGTTTACTCGTCTCTCTAGGTAAATAACTACTACATCAGAAAAGAAAAGATGACTGTATTTTTGTCAAAAGCAGCATGAGTGTTGAGCGTCTAGCTACTAGTACAGCAAACAAAACATGTCCATATCCAATGGCTCGCATGACATTAAAACCAACACCTCTACCAATGCCCAACGACAAACCCAGATTGTTGAAAGAAAATGTCTATTGTTAATACAACCAATATCAGCGAATACGAGAACACACACCCCGCTATGCATAGAACAATTATGTTCTCATCGACGCCATCATCAAACTTGCAAATCCACAAACAATTTGATGCCCAATATTTACCTAGCCATACCTAGGTACCTTCCAACCCTCGTCAGCCAAATTTAATCGGTTGCTCGTTCCTTTGCGCCCTCCAAAAGTTTGCTCTCTCGCGCCACTCTGTTGTTAGCAGATTTGGCCATGCCTTAAGCACTTCCTCTGAGAATTCCCATGACATCACATTCAGATAATCGCGGCCCCAGATGGTCAACTGTCCCAAATCCTCCGTCTCGTACACAAAGGTGCACACCTCCGTTAAGAAAGTATTAGCTATTTCGACCCCGGCCCGTATCAACGAGTCTCGCAAGGTCGGCGACGGTATCAGGTCGATGTAGGCGTGGTGTGGTCTTTGTAGCTGTAGCACGGTCGGCCGAAGTGACGGAGGTAGTGAGGGACCTAACGCAGCAAGAGCCGACAAGTGGAGGCGCGGGTTTGTGAGGATATTTAGATCCAGGACGGGGGATAGTCGCATGTGCAGATCACGACGAACAGTGGCGATATCCTGGGGGAATAGCGCGCAGAACCGTTCCGGTTCGTCGTGTGTCTGGGATGAAGACTTCACGGTTTTGTCTGCCACTGGGTCATGTGTAGAGTTATAAAGGTCAAGAGAACTAAAGGGACTTGTAGGATACTGTAACGGGCTCGATGTCAAAGCAGCAGATGGGAAAACAGACGCATCCAGGGGCGGCGTCTTGGTATTATATAAACGAAGAGCCCTGTTCTCGGTACGCAGTTGGTTTATCTCCTGTCTCAGACTCTCAACCTCCTCGGCATGGGTAGATGAGCGTTCCTTGTCAGCACGTTCTAGAGATTTGAGGTGCTCTTTTCGGCGTTGCCCTGCATGCCCGATTAGAAAGAGTCCCAACCATATAAAACACACATCAAGAAAAAAAAGCTTTTGTGTGATAATCGGAAGGAATTCTTACGAAAGAGCCGTTGGGCATTTCTGTTGTACTCTCTTTTCTTTTCTGTCTTAGCCGAGTCTCCAGAGTCTGACATGTCCGGAGACGAGGATATAATACGGGGGGGGTTCAGGACTGTCCACCCAATTAGAACGTGCAAAGTAAATATCACGAAGAGGTCTACGACTCCTTTATTCCTCACCTCAAGAACGCCGGCCTTGGGGGCCTCTAATGAATCTTTTTAAGGTTTTCCTGAGAGACAAAATGATAGCGGGCTTGTTTTCATTCAAGGACAGACGCAGAAAATGCAGTAGAAAGGTCTGGAATGCAACGGGGACAAAAAAAAAAAAAAAATAGGAGAGAAAATATGATGAATAATAACATTAACAATAGTAGAAATAAAAATAGCGGATTACCGTAGCCTGATGCAAGTACTCTACAGCCCATGACACCTTACAGGTAGGCAGTGGGCATGGAAATTAAGTACAGAACCACACAAGTGCTGATTACCCAGTAGTAGTTCAATGAAGCGGATAAGTTTACGAGCACTCTGCATAGTACCTTTTGTTTCTCTCCCTCGTTTCTTTTTCCCCCTTCAGCCCATCGCCCCCCGGGGCTGCTGTCTTGGATGCCACGGACCGAATTAATAAGCTTGAATAGGAAAAACTTCGCCGGCGTTCTTTATACAGCATGCTCTATAGATACACTGTGTTTTTCTCCTCGCATGGGTGTACTGTATCTAATGCGTTGGTAAGCCTGCTTTGTCAGATTTAAGTAGAAAACTAGTTAGGCTAGTTGATCCTGACTTGCGTAGGCGTGCTCCCTCGGTTACACTTCACCTGCGACCCCGTGCACTGATTTATCTTATGATGAAACAAGAAACTAATCTAGTCTGGTTCTTATTTGCATAGATGCTAGATACTTCTAGTTAGTTGGTTGGTTGTCAAATTATAGGCTCCGACTAGGCCCCTAGGTCCGTGGACATTGTAAGTTTGTAACTAAACCATGCACGTAAGGTGTATAAACCTTTTTGCTCCGTGAGTATACATAATCAATCTTGGAAGTTCAGGTAGGTAAAAGAGACACGTAGGTGCCAACAGGTAAGAAGACATTAGGTAGCAGTATATCGATTACCCTCATAATAACTGTACTCCGCTGAATAGCGATAGGTGCGTCGTAGAATAAGCTATGCTTAGGCTTGCCAATGACCAGCATACTGTGCTGGATCCCATTCCTGCCATACAGATGGAGTCTCCCCGGCAGCCCATTGGAATCATGACCAAGAGCTTGTATAATGTCACTTGCCAACTGAGTTGTCATGCTCAAGATGCCAAACCACCTGAAAGGTCTGACGAAGCTGGTGTTGATTTGTCTGGCCATCAATGGTCTAGCCCCTAACCTATACAGAGCCTGAAGTCTTTCTCCTCTACCTGGAGTAGCAGTGATCTATTAATGCCATATGTGATAGCATCAAAATCTCAAATTCTACTGCCCTTCACCTTCTCGAGACTGAAAAAAGCTCTTCGATCTCGCCGATTTGCCTATTGTAGATGAAAGAAACTCAGTTCTTGTCGAAACTGTACTCTTTCTCTTTCTGTGATAGAAAACAACAGTAGTGTCATCGCGCTTCAGAATAGGTGATGAGATATTACCTCCTAGACCTCGATGTCTGAAAGCATAGTAGAAGCTACCTAGGTATCAAGCGGATATCCGTCCCAGCAAAGCATTGTGCAGACGTAACATGAGCAACTTTTTTTTCAAAATCGTCAAGATCATTTTCCACGAAGGTTATTGTCCAGGAATTTTGATATCGAGGTCACAACAGTTCTTTTCTTGGCCAGGGGTGACCCGTAAGTCTACTGTTGTTGATTTGAGATGATCCATTGGATTGGTTAGTTTTCCAATCATATAACGACAATTGAGGGTGCTTCTGACAGCCGGACAAGAGCCCCAAAATCAAATTACGCTGATACTGTCAGTGATAGGTTACGGTCGGTGAAGTCTCTCTAGATCTATTGCGCGAATTTGCTTTGGCATATAGTACGACTGGAAAGAGTAAGCATTTTGCACGTAGATAGCGAGTTTCCCTGCAGCGTCTGAAATAAAGTGATTGATCTTCGGGTCTTCGAGAAGTGTCCTTAGTAATTAATTGATAATCGCTCAAAACAGCGTGAAGATAAAGCAGTCCAGACTTACTCGGGAGACTATGTGGTGTCTGACGGTTATCCTGGTGTATGTGTCTGCCATTGCAAGGCTGTCTAACCAGTTGGTTATGGTGAGAATCCAGATTACGTTGTTTTAAATGACCTCGAGAATGTAGAGGGGCCAAACGAATATCGAGCTAAGTTTCATCAAATACAGTTGCCCTCAGCCAGCATGTAGGAGGTCACTCAGTGATCCAGGATGCATCTGGCTTCCACGTCCCCCAGAACCCAACATCTGTTAACCTAGTGACATACTAAAAATATTCCGGGGTAATATTATCATGGGCATGCTTGGCATGATCAATCAGCGTCTGTGGGTACTCAGCCAGCAGCAACGGAAGCTGAGCGACGTACGCACATATCATTGATGTAGGTAGTTCAAAGAAAAAGCAAAACAACAAACACATGGGACTGTCAAACATGAAGTCAACCAAGTATGGCATATCAAAAGTGCAGCGACACTGGGAAGTTCTACTAGGTACTTGACTTGAGATATTTCTACTCATTGGTTGGACCTGAAGGTGTAAGGGACTTCCTATTCTCATCAAAGAATACGTTATTGTGCCATTTAACTCGTGGATAAAAGAAAAATTTTACACCAGAGGGCCAAGGGATGAAGTTGTAGATATCAAATGGGACTTGCGTGTCCTCGCATGGGTGAAAGTCAACGAAAGAAGCAAATCAAAGGCTGCTGAAGAAGGATGAAAGATAAGATGATCCGTTTCCAAACGGACACTGGTCATTAATCGGTGAAGCATCAAAGAGGAAATTGTAGACAGGAGCCAGCTTGTTACATCCACTACATCAGAGAAAGGAAGTCGATGAGATGATGGCAATTTGCGAAGAGACTATCAATTTGTGTACGGATCATTATGCCCACATATTACATCACTGAGTGTAGGTCAGGACAAAAATTACCCAACTTGATGATTTCCATTCCCACTGGAGAGAACAAGAACAATAAATAACAACAAGAAGAAAAAGAAGGAAGGATCCAATGGAATCTTCTCATCTTGTTCTACCTAGTTTCTAATTAAACAACTAATTGTCTCCCTTTGGAACCCCTCTTCTGTTTGGATTCTAAGAGAAAAAAAAAAAGGCTGCAGTTCAGGGTTTGAATTGAAGATGTATTTCCTATCTAGGAAGGTGGAAGAAATATTTCCCTTCCTGGATTAGCATCAGGTGTTCCCCTCCCCCGGCCTTGCATAAACAGTGGTTTCCTATGTGCTGACTCATATATAACTCACTTCCTCAGCCATCCAGTTGCTTTTCTTGCAAGTTGCCCCAGAAAAAGAGAGAAAGGGGAACAAAAAGCAGAGGCTACTACGCCGCAACCCTGAAAAACGGACCCCAAAAACGAACATGAAGCAACAACGCCTTCGGATCAGGTGGCTTTAAGTTAGGGGTTTTTTTTAAGCTGATATTTTCCACGCCATGACCACACGGCCAGTCGAGTCAGGTTATATGAGTTGGACCAATGCATCAACCCCTGTTTCAGTCCCCAGATTATCATATTTGTGATTCAGGTGAAGTTTGTTCATTTATGGCGCCTTGGCAAATGATGATCTTTTCAGCTACTTAGTACGTAGTGCGCCTCTCATCTAAAAGTAACATGATAATATAGTAAGGGTAATCTATTTGTGCTATGACATATAGCCATCCAAACAAGAAAGTGTATGCAATCAGTGTAGAGTATCACGTAGAGAAGAAGACTCAGATCACGATGTCCTTCTCCGTGGCGTACAAGCCCTTCAATACTTTTAACTGGCCAATAGCCCCAGCTTGCTTATCTTTAGCGCTGTTGGGAAGATTTATAATAGCACTTCTCAGCAGTGCTAACCCTGCATGGCCCCAGAAACCAATGACCCGATCAGCAGAGAAGCGCAACATCGCATACAGAATATAGAAATGCGTTTCCTGAAGTTCGCTTGAAGGAACCGAGACAATTTTTGCGACAGTCCTCCAGAATATATGGTTCGGAAACGGGTTTTTGCGATTGGTTTTGCCAAAGTTGCGTAGTGTGACAGCTGCAAAGCCACCGCCTAATCCGACCATGCGTTGACGGTGATCTGCCTCGGACAAAAATGGACCCCCGGGCTCAAATCGCTTCCATCCCAATGCTTCCTTACCAGCCGCCGTCTTTTCATCGCCGTAAAAGCCCCACAGCGCAGGGCAAGATGCTCGGTATTTCGCCCAGAAGATGTCTGAGAAGGCAAACCCCTTGAAGCCGAATTGTTCAGCTGAGAAGATCTGGGCCACAACGACGCCTAGCGGCTCTGCATACTCGAGTTTGATGCCAGCTTCATTAATAAGCTGCGAGACGACGGCTTTGACGAAAATGTTCAGCAAGTATACAAAGACTGCTGAAACCTTGGCTTCTTCTTCGGAGAGGTTTGCAATTTGCTCGGGGGCGTGTACAAAGAAGCGACGGGCATCACAAGGTATTGGAATTTCCTGGGATTTGCGAAGCACTTCTCGAATTTCATTCACCTATGGTGAAGGTCAGAATCTCTGATAGTCCTGGCAAGACATCTAAAGCGGGGAAACATACCTGGCCCTTATTCGCGAGGTTTCCTTGTCCCTCTCTTAGTTGGCCGATGCATTTAGTGATGGCACGACGGTAGTCTCCAACCGTACTTTTGAGTGCCGGATCTTTCTTTCCTTCGCCAAGAACAAATTTTCGTAACTCCTTCAGGTATTTATGAAGTTCCAGATATTGCTCCTGTTCCTTGACTTCTTCCTCTGTATTAGTCCTGGCACCCAGAGTCTGTCGTCGTTTTTCTTCTTCTTCAGCCTTCTTCAAGTCAGCTTGACGCTGACGCTCTTTTTCTTCCGCCTCTTCACGTTCACGGCGGGCTTTTTCTTTTTCAGCAGCCTTTCGTGCTTTTGCTTCAGCCTCGGCCGCTAGGCGACGCTCATTCTCTTCTCGCGCGACCCTCTCTGCTTCTCGACGAGCCTCTTCTTGACGCTTCCGTTCCGCTTCCTCCCGTTCCCTGCGTTCTCGTTCCAGGCGCTCTTGTTCTTCTCTACGACGCCGTTCTTCTTCCTGCCTCTGCTTTTCTTTCTCTTCTTCTTCTCGTAGATGTGCCTGAAGAACAATCTCTGCCTCGCGGCGATGTTCATCATAGTGATCGTATGTTTTCTCTATGGCGGAATAATAGTATTCCTGATGCGCACGATCGATCTCATCTTGCTCTTCCTCAAATGATTGTGCGTGATAGTCATAGACTTTTTTCAAATCCTCGTGATGCAACCGTATAGCTTCGATATCTTTTGCAAGGTCGATAAAAAGCTGTCGCGAGGGACTATCGATCGCCTTCCCAATGCTCCGCCTTCCGACCATGATGTTAACTGAGAAACCAGACGGTAGAAATAGAAATAGGTGGCAATAGGCACGCTGTATTAAAAACAAGCTGACCAGCAGCGGTACAAGAGACGGCGCAAAACGTAAAAGGTAGTCGAATAGACAATAACCAAGTCGTGGGAGCGGTAATCAAGAGAACCAATTACTCTTTCTGGGGCAGCCGCATGGCAGGGAGAAAAAAGAAGAAAGGAGAGGTGCTTGTTAAGTCGCTTCGGCTCTAGATGGAGATTGTCCTAGTTGTGTCTGGTTGCTTGGTGTACAACTATAATGCGCGGCGAAATCCCTCCTTCGCTTGTCAGATAGTATGGCACTTTCCCAACACCCGGCAACCCGTACAGCATGTGCGTTATTGTTGAGCAGCGCGTGCCATTTCGTGACTATCGCGGACGAATTCGCATGGGGTGAGGTCTTCACAATTGGTCTAAATGAAGTCTCAGATTTAGGTATCAGTTATCTGGAGCGACTCTTTCTGTTAGCTAGGTTCTCGCGGTTAAAGAATCCTTGATGCACGAAGTCCGAAGAGCACCTGGCTGGCAATCACTCAGTACCTTTCAGCCCGTTGCGAAGTGAAGCGCGGGTGTAATTGGGCGAGAATGGCTTTGGCAGCGGTCTTTTCCATGAAGTTGCTGTTGCTCTTGTCGCGTCCCGACGTGCATAGGCAGATGTTATTGGCTGGCTCCAGTTTGCATTGTTTGTTTGTTCGACGGTTCGAGGTTGGGATGGTCTCGAGAGGCAACCAGTGACTTTCTTTCTTCTTTTACTTGCGTGTTCTGCGATTATTCCACATAACAATGTCTGCGATCCTGCGTAGACCCCGGAATTTCCTTCCATTCTCTCGCTCGGTCAGTTGCAGTATTATCACGTGATCAACCTCGAAGTCTGTTCCACACTCTGGCAGCGCTAGCGACCTAACTGAAACCGTGCTGATCCTACGCAACGCGAACCGGGGGGCGATAACTACACAAATGCGAGCCGATTAATTAGGATACTCTGTACAACCAATATGGACACGTTCCGCTCGTGAAGTCATCGTCGGCATTCCCTCTCGCCGAAATGTGTCACGGACGAAGACCCCCGGGGGGGGATTGAAGATTGACGGAAGTTGGCCTGAAGGTCGGTCCATAATAATAATAATAAAGAGAAAAACAATTAGGGATTAGGGGTCTCTCTCGGAGTCTCAGCACATTGACCACATCATCCTTGAAGATGCACTAGGCGGCCACGCTATTTTTGCTACCAAACTCCTTTGGGTCCCTTTCAGCCTCGACCCTCTGTGAGCCTTGAGGCAAATAGACTCGAATAGAGATCTCATTGAGGGCTGTAGTGAGGCAAACAGAGCGTGGATATTTCTTCCATAGTCATGCTGTAGAAAACCCAACCTCCAGTGGACCGACTCAGGGGCTTACATAACGTGGCGTCGATTGGTCCCCGCTGGCTGCTGTTCCCGTCGCCTAAACTAGTATCACAGGAAAAGCCGCTGGTTAGTTCACTCACGACCGACTAACTAACTGCATTAAATCTGGCAGTTCGTCTTCGTCATTATTTTTCTCTGCTTCTCCTCCTCCTCCTTTTCCTTCCCTCCCCTCCTCGCCTCTTCGTTTGCCATCCCGCCCTCCTTCCCTCATCACTCCTTCTAGTATTCTTCATTCAATGCAGGCCAGAGCGTAGCTTTGTCGTTCTCTCAGCACAGTATATTAAGGGTGAAACTCTCGCTCTCCTTTTGGGTTCCGCTTGCTGCCGTACCCGCTCAATCGGGAAAAGGCCAGCTCGACTCCACGACGGCTCCTTCCCTCAACTTGGAACCACAACTGGAGCTCTCTCTCTCTCTCTCTCTCTCTCTCTCTCTCTCTCTCTTTCTCTTCTTCTCCCTTCCTCCCCTCCCTCCCACCCTCTCTCTCTCTGTCTGTCTGCGTGTGTGAGTGCTTCACTCCCAGGTTCCCAGCGCTCCTTCAGCCACGCCGTCTCGGGTTATTGCTCGCTTCCCTTGCCTGGTCGTGTGTTTATCCGTCGGTCGCTCGTCCGCCTCCTTCTTTCCATTTGCTCTCAACGTCAAAAAGTTGAGGCTCGCCATCGGCTTGACCAAACAAAACGCCATTCGTCCTTGAAACGCATTCGATCCTTCCCCGACTGTCGTGTTTTTCGAAGAGCTTCAATACCCCCCTATTCCAGAGATTTACCCCTCTCTCAGTGGTCTGTCGGAGTCATCCCAAACGACATTCAAGTCACGTCATAACTCCATTGCCGGGCGAGGTTCCTTGTGCCTCCATACCCTTTGTTTTTCTTCCCATAAGACTGCTGCTGTTGGCTTTGTCATCTCGCTTGATTCATCTCCGCTCAAATTAGCAGCATTTTTGGACTTGCTTCATTCAGGAACCCGAACAGCTCCAAATCGTTTGAAACCATCGTTTGAGACAGTGAGCTACCCGCCCCTCCTCATCCGCTTCTTTGATTTCCGGCTCCCCCCTACCCCTTATCAGCGCACTTGACAGCCTACCTTGCTACCGGTCACGGAATTGACTGCTAATATCATTGTGCTGCGACCAGATTCGTCACAGCTGTCTTCACTAGGCATTTGTGCTAAACAACCCGGATTACCCTCGGTCGGAATTCGGCTTGAGGCATCCGCTGCAGTTTTGTGTCCGGTTTTCACACCATCGCAACTGACACAGCAATTTACCTTATATCGTTATATACATTTAAGTTTGCGAAATGGATCAACAAGGTCAATCAGGGGTGCCTGGCCCTGCTGGCCGCCGGCTCCATATTGCCCATCGTCGAAGTCCATCCGAGTTGACACCTTTGATGAGTAAGTTGATCCGGACCTGCTGAAGAATCCGAAGTCTTAATAGCTGACATTCAACTCTGCTAGTGGAACAACTTGCTATCCAACAACAAATTGAATTACTTCAACAGCAACAGCAGCAAATTGCGGCTACACATCAGCAATACGTGAACATGGGACTACTGCAGCCCCAGCAACCACTTGCTCAAGTTCAAGGATTTTCACCTACTATGGGACAGGGAACAATTTCCGGTGTGTCCTCGCAGGTCAATGCTTTTCAATTCCCACAACAGCTAGGAGTTCCTATGAACAATAACGGACCTTCCCATCGTCGTAACCAGTCTGCTCTACCCGGTATGGGCATGGGTCCACCACCAGCTCCCTCGTCCGGCGCTTCAGGATCGGCTTTCGCAGACCTTCATCAACAAGGAAATCAGAATCGCGAGAACGGTGGCCCATCCCGGGGGCGTGGTGCGCCAATTGGAGCGGGGCACCAACGCCGTCACTCGTTAGCTCTTCCAGAAGCGAAGAAGGCTGCAGAACTTGCCCAACAAAAACGAACCGCCGCTGGTTTCCAATTCCCAGCTCCTAGTGCCACGCCGTCCAGTACTTCGACAGAGGTTCCGTCGATAGAAGAAAAACCCAAGACGCCCCAAGGGTTGGGTTTGCATCGTGCAGGAAACTTGCGAGGTGGAGCACACGGAAGAAGCCAGTCTATGGCTGTCGGCCGTGGAGCAACTGGTTTTCAATTTCCCATTCCGGAAAGCAGCCCTATCGAGCCTCCGAAGCGTGGCCATGGTCGGACACCTTCAAGGAATTTTGATGGCAATTGGCGACAGCCAAATAATAATAACAACAACTTGAACCAGGATAACCAGAAAACAAACCAGGGTATATTTGGCCAGCAGCAAGGTGGAAACACTTTCCAGCCAGGCCATCGTTCACGAGCGTCGATGAACCAGTCCATTGGTTCCATTGGTCAATTCCAATATGGCAACCAGCCTCAGTTGATTCAACTGCCCCAGGGACAGGTTGTGATGGCCCCGCAACTGTTCAACGGCCAACAGCTCAACCCACTACAACTCGCCCAGCTTCAGGCTATGCAGCAAAACGGACAAATGAACGGCCAGATTGGTCTTCAAGCTAGCCAACATGCTCCCCAGCAGTTGACTGCACAGCAACAACAGCAACAGCGCAAGACTCTCTTCACCCCGTACCTTCCACAAGCGAATCTCCCTGCCTTGCTTAGTAATGGGCAGCTTGTTGCAGGTATTCTTCGTGTCAACAAAAAGAACCGCTCAGACGCATACGTCACGTGCACGGATCTTGACGCCGATATTTTCATTTGCGGAAGCAAGGACCGTAACCGGGCTCTCGAAGGCGACTTCGTTGCCGTCGAACTTTTGGACGTGGACGAAGTTTGGTCTCAGAAGCGTGAAAAGGAAGAAAAGAAGAAACGCAAGGATATCACGGATTCTAGGTCTGGTGACAAACTGTCTCGCTCCGATTCTGGCGCCAACGGTGAAAACCAACAAGTTGGGCCTGATGGCAGTATTCGCCGCCGTGGTAGTCTGCGTCAGCGTCCGACCCAGAAGAAAAATGATGATGTTGAAGTTGAAGGCCAGAGCCTTCTCTTGGTTGAGGAGGATGAGATCAGCGACGAGCAAAAGCCCCTATATGCTGGTCATATCGTTGCAGTCATTGAACGGGTAGCGGGCCAAATGTTCTCAGGAACTCTTGGTCTTCTGCGCCCTAGCAGCCAAGCTACGAAGGAGAAACAGGAGGCTGAACGTGCCGCTAGAGACGGCGGACATGGTCGTCATCAGGACAGACAACAGGACAAACCTAAGATTGTGTGGTTTAAGCCTACTGACAAGCGTGTACCTTTGATTGCAATCCCCACCGAACAAGCGCCGCGCGACTTCGTTGAAAAACATCAAGATTATGCAAACCGTATCTTTGTCGCCTGCATCAAGCGGTGGCCTATCACTTCCCTTCATCCCTTTGGCACTCTTGTCGAGCAGCTTGGCGAGATGGGCGATTTGAAAGTTGAAACTGATGCGCTTCTTCGTGATAACAATTTTGCGGCCGACGAGTTTTCAGAGGCCGTGTTGAAGAATGTTGGCTGGGAGGACTGGAACGTGGCGTCCGAGGGTGATACACTACTTGCAACTCGCCGAGACTTCCGCGGTGAAAAAACTTTCACCATTGACCCGACAGGCTCCAAAGAGCTCGATGACGCCATTCATATCAAGACGCTTGCCGATGGCAAGGTTGAGCTCGGTATTCATGTGGCAGACGTAGCCCACTTTGTCAAGGCGAACTCATTAGTTGATCGTGAAGCCAAGAAAAGAGGCACGGGCGTTCATCTAATGAACCGGGTGGTGAATATGCTACCGCCTCGTTTGTCGACTGAGATCTGTTCTTTACTTCCAGGTGAAGAACGCTTGACTGTCAGTGTCGTTTTCCAGGTTGATACTGCAACCGGTGCTGTAGACGACGACGTCTGGATTGGCAAGAGTGTAATTAAGAGCTCCGGCAAATTGACTTACGATGATGTCAATTCTGCTATCAAGGGAAACACAGACGCTTCTTTCGAAGGCGCATCTACTGATGACATTCGACTTCTTGCAGTGAGTACACTCTTGCATGAAAAGGCTTGCCTGTTCTTTCAGTACTAACAAATTTAGGCAATCACTACCAAATTCAAAGAAGCAAGATTTGGTAACCGTGCTACCAACATCCCGCCATTACGACTCTTTTACCTGCTGGATGATGAGAATATACCCGTCGAACACAACATTTTTGATTCTTCACCAGCTCATCAAGTTACTGAAGAGCTTAGTTACAAGGCCAATTTCTTTGTCGCGCGAAAACTATTCGCTGCAATGCCCGACAAAGCGTTCCTTCGACGTCAAGCTGTTCCAAATCCCCGCCGGCTACAGAATTTCGTCGATCGAATGAACAGGCTCGGCTATGAAATTGATCCAACAAGCAGTGGTACTTTGCAAGCTAGTCTGTTCAAGGTGGAAGATGTCGACATTCGCAGGGTACGTTTGAGACTTTCTGTGTTGTAGTTCACTTTTCTAACTAGCGTTAGGGCATGGAAACTGTTCTTCTAAAGGCAATGCAACGCGCGAAATACTACGTTGCAGGTAATGTCACCGAGGCACAACGCCAGCATTACGCTCTGAACTTGCCCCTCTACAGCCATTTTACTAGGCCTACCCGTCGCTATGGCGACGTCATCGTCCACCGTCAATTGGAAGCAGTCCTTTCTAATGGCGCTATTGAATTCACTGAAGACATTGATACTTTGGTGAAGACTGCTGAACAGTGCAATAACAAGAAAGATTCTGCACACAACGCCCAGGAACAAAGCGTCCATATTGAGTCTTGCCGAGTTATGGATAAAAAGCGGCTTGAACTTGGCGGCGATCTCATTAGTGAGGGTATCGTTCTTTGTGTATACGAGTCGGCGTTCGATGTACTCCTCCCTGAGTTTGGTTTTGAGAAGCGTGTGCACTGTGATCAGCTTCCATTGAAGAAAGCAGAATATCGCAAAGATACTCGTGTTCTCGAACTGTACTGGGAAAAGGGCGTGCCATCTTCAGCCTACATTCCCGAAGACGAGCGCCCCAATGCAAGCAGCTCTAGAGCTGCGCACGCTGCTGCTGCGGCTCAAGAGGCGGAGGCAGCTCGTGCGCGTGCGCGCGAGAGAGAAGAAGCCCAGCGGAAGCAAACTGAGACTGGAACAATGTCAACAGACGATGTAGATGCCCTCTTCGATGATGACGATGACATTTCGGAGGTGACTGAAATGGCTGCTGGTGTTTCGCTCAGCTCCTCTACGGATCGCCCAACACAGAGCATGCCTCAATCGCCAATCTCCAATGGTCAGGGCGAAGAACCACACCGCACCCGTTCGGATCCAAAAATAGCAGTGAGTGCGAATGAGACTCCTGAAGCGAAATTGACAGACAAAGAAAAATATCTCAAGCTTTTCAAGCTTCGTGAAGAAGACGGCGAGTACATTCAAGACGTAACCGAAATGACTCGCGTTCCCATTATTCTCAAGACGGATTTGAGCAAGAGCCCACCGTGAGTTTCGCCCCTTTCTTTTTCGTATTGGAATTCTCATCCTGTACTAACAACTACTCATCAGCTGCCTCACCATACGCTCCGTCAATCCATATGCTCTGTGAGATTGTGCCATGCCTTGATGTATCCGTTTCCCACGGGTGAGACACTTTTCGTCCTGGCTGTCCAATCCATTATGTTGAACTTCCACGAGATGATAACTTGAAACATTATACTCAGTATAATTTATCTCTATTTATTTGATCACCCATGATTTGGATCAAGTGGCGGTCATAATTATTCCGACGATTCTGTTGGTACGTCGCGTGATTTCGGTGTTGTTTTTATATCTTTATTTTCCAAAGTGAAACCAGGATATCGCTGGCGTGTACTAGAGCAGGCGGCTTTGTGAGAATGGAACCAAAGGCTTTTTTTTGGGGTTACGTCAAAGATCCGATTGCTCTTCATTCTTCTACACAAGGGAAGTATTCTTGCTTGATCTAGTGAGGGAGTGGAGCAGATGAAATATTTTGTACAAGCTTTGGACTTGCAATTGAATATGGGGAAGGAGAAAAGAAACCATGCATTTGATTAGCGTTTGTTATAAGCATCAATTATTATGTCGAGAGACAGCAGCCAGGATGAAGCTATTTATATACTTGTGCGAGTTATTCTTACTTATTTCAAGTGATACTTGATGCTTGACTGTGTGAGAGGGAGATTGTGTTTTTCTTGCTGTTCTTTCGCACACGGAACAAGTGCGTTCGACTCACAGACTACCTTGGTCATTCAGCCACCTGCAAACCGTCCAGGTGTTTTATCCAAAAAAATATTTTGTATAGCTTTTTATTTATTGTATTATTTTCTTATCCTAGTACTAAAATAATTGAGACTTTACAAAGTTCATTCATACCTTTCTAGGAGACAATCTCAATATGAATATTCATGAATGGATGTGTATACAGAAGAAGTGAGTAAATACAAAGAACCGCGCCATCAACACCATTAATCAACCCCATCAAGTGACCAGAATGATATATACACCCAACCCTGCAAGAAAGACCCCCTGGATTCCAAATTCAACCAACCCCAGTCCTAGCCCTGACCAAATGCAATGCAACGCAATATTTTAAAACACGTAGATAGATAATTGTAATCTGATCTAACCAAGACCGATCATCCTTTTCGTTACGTCGTTCGTTCGTTCATTCATCAGAAAATTTGTTCTTGTACCCGTGGCCCGCGAAGGGGTAAAAAGAGATGTAGTCTGTAAGTCTCCGATAGTTGATACGATATGATATATATCAAAGTCGTCGTAACCCAATTCTCGGTTTGCCCTTGTTTCCCGTTACACCTTTGCGAACGCCGGCCCCAGCGCTGCTACCGTTAATATGGTGAGAAGCAGGTTTCGTGACTTTCATGGGTGAAAAGGGCTTTTTAGCTGTCATTTTGTTGACATGGTGGTTTATTGATGAAGAGGAGGAGGACGACGATAACGATGACAACGATGACGACGGATTGAGGGGTTTCACGAAGACACCTGTGTCTAGTGTTGAAGATTCTATTGAAGGTCGAGCTGGTGCTGGTATTTCCTTGGGTGTTGCGAAAAGGGCATTCTCCATATTCTCTTTCCCGAAAGTGGGACGACGGTGACGGCTGTTTGTCATGGTTAGATTAACGGCTTCGCTCCCGTTATCTTCATAGATTGCGTATGAGGATGAGTCGTTGTTGAAGCTATGGAATGGTCGAGATGAGATTTGCTGGCGAGTGTTTTGTTCTGGGAATACCAATGAGTTTTGGGATAATGGTGATGAGGAGTTGGAAGGATTGGCGGCAATATTCCTTTCTGATGCAGTCATACCATCGCATGACATGTTCTCGTCGTCCGAGGCACTGTCAAGCATCATGATATCTGTGTCCAGAACAGGAGTTGTCGGGATAACGGACAAAGGCCGTTTGCCTATACCGGCCCTCTTGGAAGAGGGCGGTAAAGTGGCAGGCGGTTCAGGCGACAACGATGGATCGTTTTCCTTGCAATCATCGTCGCCATCCATATTCTCTGTGCAATCGTCAACTGCCATTTCTGCGCTTGAAGCCTGGACGGGTGCTGCCGGATTCTTTTTCTTCATGACCAACGACGTTGTTTTCGTTTCTTGTTTCGATTCTTCTGGTTGTTGTTCGTTTTCAATTCTGGCTGCCATTGCTGGATCCTCGCCTCGCTGTTTGGCTTGCAGGACGGATTGCTTCATGACGAACGGGATGGGAGCATGTATTGATGTCATCAATCGCGCCTGTCGAGCGAATTCATTATAGTCGTCTTGAAGCAGAGAGCCAGCCATTGGGTTTAATGCGGAGTCTGGATTTGGATGAATGAGCAAACAAGATATGGTCTGCATGTATACATAAAGTTAGTCGTAGCCCTAAACGCTTCCTCAAGAGTCCCCACATACCACCAGAATATCTCGCAACGTCAACTTTGACTCCCAGTCCCTCTTGAGAGTATCCACGCATACTGCGCCTGTTGACTCCTCGACGTTTGGATGCCAAATCCGCGTCTTGAAAGCGGCTTTGGGTGGGCTTGCTGGGTAGTCGTCAGGAATTCGAAGTTGTAAGCGCCACAGCCCGGCCGAGTATGGGGTGCCATGGGGACCAGCAAGCATGACTACGAGCTGGCTCAGGTCGTCGGACGACTGGTTGTCTGTCACAGAGAAGAGATAATTGGGTGGAAGATCGTTGTTGTGAAGGTCTGCATGATCGGCAATAAGCCGACGAAGTTTGGAGACCTGTGTCGTCGCGGAGTATGTGTTAGTATGACTTGATAGAGAGAGTATACAGGATCGCAGAATCACACGTACCATTGTGTGAGGCACTGCAAGTCGCCGAGAGACGAGACTAGACCGCCTGAAGCTCGAGTCACGTAATGTTTGTTTATCTCGAGGCGTCGCAAGCAGTCAAAACCCCCTATGCCGTCGAGATAATTTTGACCTCGAGAACAGGCCGCCTGACTGAAGCGGGGGAATAGGTAGTGAATGTCTCGCGAATGATACAAGAAAGCGCGACGATAACGATGTTGGCAGCGAGCACTAAGATGTCGTTTATTGATTCATTTAACTAGTTAGTCCGGCAGGAGGAGTTGCCAGGGAAGCGGGAGGGGGGCGCTTGTCTTCCTTTGTTTTGGTGTTTGGCGTCGAAGGGATGCCTTAATTACGTGTATCTTGGGTAATCTTACCGCCATTGTTTGGCACTAACTCCCGATCCGGGAGGAAAAGCAACGCGTGGATCCCAATCGGGTTAGGGCTGCCGCGACAGACACGCGACGTTTCGCGTCGGCAAATATGGTTTCCTAAAAGAGCAAGGCGCCATTTGTCATTCGTACGGCGGTATCGTGGTACGGTATTGTGGTTACAGTGCACATACAGATACGGCCAATATCTGGCTGGGGTAAGCAGAATATCGACATTCTATACGATTATTATTACTTCAGGTTTAGACGCCTATTCAAATATGCATGTACATGGAAAGAGACAGCAAGCAATCGTAAATGACCCCCATTCATTCAAGGATTAAAGAAGCATAGCAGCAGCAGCGACGAGGGAAAGGCCCATGGGACCCGCGGTGGCGATCGCAGCGGCACCGGTGGATGTGGTTGTTGAAGCAGACGAGCTGGAAGAGCTTGACGAGCCAGAGGTGCTGCTGCTCGATCTAGATGAGGTTGTAGTAGAGAAGCCAGAGGTAGAGGAAGAGTGCGAGACGGCGGAAGAGCTGCCGCTAGGAACAGCAGCGGTAGAGCTAGTAGACGACAACGGTACAACGGGAGTAGACAGGCCAGCAGGGATCGACGCCGCAGCTGTCTGAGAGGTGATGACACTAGGCTGGGAGGTAATGGCGTCGGGTTGAGAAGTGACGGCAGTTGGCTGGCCAGTGACGACTCCGAGGGAGTTTGTCTCGGTCAGGTACTGGGTGGCTGGGTTTGACTGCTCCAAGTGTGAGTGATGATGTTCTGCGGACTGGGAGGGGAAGGCATACATACCACTGAGACAGCGGTGTCAGAGCTCTGGGCCATGGCAACAGCCGCGAAAGCAGCAACAGCGATGATGGAACGCATTGTGGTGGATATGGAACGAGGGGATCTCTGATGTGCTTGTTCTACTAGCGAAGTTGCGCGGCGTGAGGAGGAAAGGTCAAGGGCAAGTCGAGGAAGCGACGCCGGCCTTATAAAGGCGCTCCAGGCAGGGGCGTTGCCACATACTGCATGCACGCTGCCAACTCTGCCAGTGCCGGCTTTTGTATATTCTTAGCACGTCGTCTGCTCTGTCGATGCGTCCCCCGCACTGATTCGCTCGCACTCCGGTGGCGCCAACGCTAGCAGCGCAACTCACCAAGCCTTGTTTCATTTGCGCTGCGCTTAGCGCTCGATTCGTCATCTGCGAATGCTGTGCCCTGCCTGTTCTATTTCGGACTCGATGGGGTTGGCCCTTGCATTCGTCGGAACACAAATATTCTTTTGTTTTCTTTTTCTTTCTCTTTCTCTTTTCACCCCTAGCGGCGTCGGCGGCTTCTTTGACTGGTGTTATGGACAGGTGCCAACCGGAGCAAATGTTCAAATATATCCATGAGACTAGTCAATCCGTGCATGTCTCTGACGAACACAGCTGCCTCCGATTGGCGCAGCTCCAGGTTGTCTCACTTGATGGCAAATGCATGTCCGGCTTTATTGTTTGCATCAAAGTTACTTGACTATAGTCCAATTATTATTTATCATCAGGGAACAGCCGAAGATAGCCAGCCCGTCTAAAGGTGATATCACATGACAAGCTATTCCATCAACTATCTTTGCCGCATCGAGAACAAAAGAAAAAGAAAAAGCTTTATGAGGTATATCCTGCGGGTCACGACTTGGTCTGCCCCTGCTCACGCATCCAATCTGCAAATTCCTGGCGGCTCTTCTACATTCGCCAAAAGAAACATATTAGCCATTTATCCCTTGGCAGGAAAGCATCCTTACTTCATGTGTAGAACTTTCAGAAGACGAAAAGACTCACCCTCACATCCCAAAATCCAGATCGAATCTCCAAATTCTTATATGGGTTCTTCCCACCACCCTCCTTCTCAATCTGGCCCGCCCATGCTCCATGTGTAATAGGCTGCAGTTTCTCAGCGCCCAGGACAAGACCGGTCGAAACCAATACCACGGAGATCAATGCCTCAAGCGTGATATCCAAGGGGACAACGGCGCCGAAATTGTTGGTAGGAGTTGCGGCAGTGCCGGTGCGAGCAACGTTGCTGTAGAGCGTTGTGTGTTCATGGGCGGAGTATCCTCTATTCGTAGCAGTAAGTAAGTACACCGTCTGTAGTATCTTCATAACGGTAAATACTGAAAGACTGGGCAGGAAGGCGAATAAAAAGAAGGTCAGCCTGGGTATAACTCACGCATGAGCCAGCAGCACAAGGCCGAAAAATGTGATGATGCGCGAGAAGAATCCCATGGTGGAAATGGGCTCTTTTTTTTTTTTTCTGAGTAGAAGAGAAGAGAGAAGAGAAAATATGCAGATAACAGACTACGCCAGGGATGTGACGAGAAGCGCTTCCAATTAGTTCGTGAGACTGTGAGGAACTCTGGAGTCTCGAGGTTCAAGCTAGCTTAGCTTCCATAGAAATTGTCGCCCGCTGCTTTAGCCTCTACGGATGCGGAGAGCGCGTCTAGCGCAGTACCAACGTCAGGATCCTTTTTTAAACATGACACAATCTGCGAGCAGATCACATAGATATCGCATGGAAAGATCCAAACAGAGGACGTCTTTTGACCGTCATTACAAACCGTCAATACAATGCGCATTTCACGGTCTTTTTTATTTTAGTTGCCCATTATCTACACGGGTCTGTAGCAAACGGAGGGAAATAAGAAAGTCATGATATTTAGTGACCTTGGAAGACTCGTTTCCATATTCATCATCTTATTCTTCAAATCATTAAACATATCGCGTTTACAGTTTTTGCATAGCGGCCTGTTGGAATGAGTTAGTATAAAATCCAGATATCGTGACACATCAGAGTCGAAACGTACAATATCGGTGGATTGGACGTGGTCCTCATCCTCTTCGATTTGCTGCTGGAGCTCATCAGTGGAGACCTTCTCGTCCTCGACAACCAAGGTGATCTGGAGCTTCTTAATACCGAAGCCAACAGCGACAAACTTGGAAGCACCCCAGACAAGACCGTCCTTCTCAATAGCACGAACGTTCTTCTCCATCTCCTCAAGGTTGGTCTCATCGTCTGCAAGAAGAACCAGTTAGAATATGCATATATATATATATATATATATATATTTGGTTGGGAAAGAAAAATTAGTCGACGGCTAGACTCACCCCATGGCTTAACTTCAAGGGTGACCAGAGACTTGGCAGGAGGCTTAGGCTTGGCCTCCTTCTTCTTCTTGTATTCAGCAAGGCGAGCCTCACGCTCCTTGACTACCTCTGGGTCTTCCTCCTCGTCCTCGTCGCTGCCGAAGAGGTCATCCATGTCGTCATCATCAGCGGCAGGCTTGTCCTTGGGGTTGGTGGGGAGCTCTGTCGTCTCGGGTCCATAGGCGGTGTAGGCCTTGGATGGGTCACCAGGCAGAGTGGAAAACTCTGATTCATATGAGGCGATGTGCTTGTACCAGCGAGCAACATGAGGGTACTTGGCGGCGTCAGGTGCGCCACTCAAGGCCTTGAATGTGACAGCATCGGCCTGGGAAGGAGCGTGGCTGTAATCAAGGCGCGAGTCAATAACTTTCCTTGTAACAATAGAATAAAAGTCATGGAAATGAACAGCAGGAAAAAAAAAAGCAGAACAAAGTGCCAAAACTATTTCAGAAGCGCGATTTCTCGCATTGTGTGTAGTCATACAGCGGTGTCTTAAGCCGCCTCCTAAACACGGACCAATTTGATTTCATCATAAAGCAGAAGCACAGGCAAACGCAGACCAGAAAGCTGAAGCATCAAAAATTGCTGCACACAGCGGGGGGCCAACGCGAGGTTTGTTGTTGTAACTTACCCAACGATGTAGCTGCGGGTGGAGAGGTAGTTGTTGGCAATGGTGAGGCCAGCGTCTGAGACCAAGTCGGTGAAACCCATTGTGGACGTAGAAAGGTGTATATGAGGTGAAATAAAAGGAAAGGACTCAAAAGAAAGTGGTGTGTGTGTGAAGGTGTTTGGGGATAGGAGAAGAAAAGGCCCAACGTGTCTGAAATTTTGGGTTGAGAATTTTCTCTTTCTTAGCGGGAGCCCCTCCTTCTTCTCTCCTAAAGGGGCCACCACGTGACTTAGTTCTCGCCCAGCCGCCACCTTTTGCGAGGGAGCTCTCTCATTGGCTCCCGGCCGGTGAAATGCGGCAAAGCTCTTTCGAGCTGGTGCTTTCTGGAAAGCTCGACAGCGCTCTCTTCCAAGCCATATCCCAGCATGTAAATACCGCCTCTTTGCTGATGACAATATTCCTAAGAGTAATCCCCGTATCGTTGCTGCAGCAAGGAAAAGCCTCACCATGATGTCTGTTGCAAGGGCACGGGCTGCCCGAGTACGCTTATGCCGGCCGTCGCGAGCTACACCGTTCCAACTGCCTGTTCGAAGCAGCTATAATAGCCAGATATCGAAACTTCGCTTTAATACTTCTCAACAAGCTACATATCCGCCAACATTCTTTGCGCGAACGTATGCCAACGGCCGTGGCCCCCACCCACCAGGCGGTACTCATCGTATGGACCTAGGAGGGGGGGAACAGAAATCCGCGCTCGAGCAGTATGGTGTCGATCTAACGGCAAAGGCTAAATCCGGAAAACTCGATCCGGTCATTGGAAGGGATGCAGAGATACACAGAACAATCCAGGTTCTTTCGCGGCGAACGAAAAATAATCCGGTCCTAATCGGCGCCGCAGGTACCGGAAAGACTGCTATCTTGGAAGGGCTCGCCCAGCGGATAGTACAGGGCGATGTGCCCGAAAGTATTAAGAACAAGAAAGTGGTGGCGCTTGATTTAGGCTCTCTCATCGCAGGAGCTAAATTCCGGGGCGACTTTGAGGAAAGGTTGAAAGCCGTCTTGAAGGAAGTTGAAGACGCTGAGGGCAGTGTTATTCTTTTCATTGACGAGTTACACACATTGCTTGGGTTAGGAAAGGCTGAAGGCAGCATCGACGCAAGCAACTTGTTAAAACCCGCGCTATCTCGCGGTGAGCTTCAATGTTGCGGTGCGACAACTCTTAACGAATATCGTTTGATTGAGAAAGACGTGGCCCTGGCCCGGCGCTTCCAACCTATTCAAGTCAGCGAGCCCTCAGTGGCTTCCACCATATCTATCCTACGTGGCATAAAGAACAAATACGAGGTTCACCATGGAGTGAGAATCACCGACGCCGCAATCGTTGCCGCTGCTACATACAGCAACCGCTACATCACGGATCGTTTCCTTCCGGACAAGGCTATCGATTTAGTAGATGAGGCTGCCTCAGCACTTCGGCTACAACAAGAGTCCAAGCCAGATTCCATTCAGGAATTGGACCGAGAAATCACGACAATCCAGATCGAACTAGAATCGCTTCGCAAAGAAACGGACGTCACAAGCAAAGAGCGTCGTGCTAAATTAGAGGAAATGCTTAAAGAAAAGCAACACGAGGTATCGAAGCTTATGGAAATCTGGAACAAAGAGAAAGAAGAGATCGAAAGCATAAAACGCACGAAGGAGGAGCTGGAACAGTCACGTTTCGAGTTAGAAAAAGCGCAACGTGAAGGTAACTTTGCGAGAGCGGGTGAGCTTCGGTATTCCGTCATCCCAAGTCTCGAGGCCAAGCTACCGCAAGAGGGTGCCGAAAATGATGATAAGGATACTTTAATTCACGACTCGGTTACAGCTGATGATATTGCAAATGTTGTATCACGAACTACCGGTATTCCGGTGAGCAAGCTGATGTCTGGAGAGGTTGAGAAACTGATACACATGGAGGATACACTGCGGCAGTCGGTACGTGGTCAAGACGAGGCGCTTTCGGCTGTGGCAAACGCTGTCCGGATGCAGAGAGCGGGTTTGAGTGGTGAAAACAAGCCTTTGGCGTCGTTCATGTTCCTTGGACCTACTGGTGTCGGCAAGACAGAGCTGTGCAAGAAGATGGCTGGTTTCCTCTTCTCGACAGAAAGCGCGGTTTTGAGGTTCGATATGAGTGAGTTCCAGGAGAAGCACACTGTCAGCCGTTTGATTGGAGCACCGGCTGGTTATGTTGGGTACGACGATGCCGGCCAGCTCACCGAAGCTGTTCGGAGAAAGCCCTACGCCATCTTATTGTTTGATGAGTTTGAGAAAGCTCATCGTGACATATCCACTCTCTTGCTGCAAGTCCTTGACGAAGGCTTTCTCACAGACTCCCAAGGCCACAAGGTCGATTTCCGCAACACAATCATCGTCCTGACATCCAACTTGGGCGCGGATATCTTGGTCGGCGCAGATCCTCTGCACAAGCACAAACTTTCCGATGAGGGAGATGTTCCTCCTGATATCAAGAAGGCCGTTATGGACGTTGTGCAGTCGTCTTATCCACCAGAGTTCCTCAATCGCATTGATGAATTCATCATCTTTAAGAGATTGTCCAAGGATGCACTTCGGGATATCTTAAATATCCGGCTGAAAGAATTGCAGGGGAGGTTAGACGACCGACGAATGACACTGAAGGTGGACGACGAAACCAAGGAATGGCTTTGTGAAAAGGGCTATGACCCACGTTACGGAGCTCGCCCGCTTAATCGACTTATTGCGAAGGAAATTGGAAACAAACTCGCGGACAAGATCATCAGGGGCGAGCTCACGGCTGGAAACACTGCTCGGGTGAAGTTCGATCAGGAAAAGAAGGGCGTGGAAGTTGTTTCTGCCCAGTGAGGTTGGTCTCGCGGTGGCTGTCATGGAGTTCCGAATATTCTTTTCGTCTCTTTAGCGAGCTTCAATGTTGTTTGGATCTGTAATATAGGCAACCCTACTCTTGTACAAATATATAACTAGGTCATGTGTATCAATAAAACTCGCAGCTTACCTAATATCTCTCTCAGAAGGAGCATGGCACGTGTGGAAGGTGCGAGGTGCGCGCACTCACTCCGCCATTCCGTAGACCAACATTTTTTCTTCATGATTCATACCTTTCGTGACTACCTTTGGCAATGGCGTCGTTGAAGAGGAAAAGAGAGCTAGCTTCCAGGAACCCGCTTGGAACCTCAAGTGCACAGCGAAGGTTTGCAGCAGACGCAGTCAATCCTACACGACCGCACCTACTCGATTACGAGGCATCGACGAACAATACAACCAGGGAGCATGAACAAGGCGGCGGGAGGACTGGAATGCACAACCACGTTGAAGAGGACAACGATCTTATTGATGACATGGCTGAAGTCGTCATGGCTGTCGACATGAGGGAGAAAGGCACGGTTGGGTGTTGTTTCTATATTGCTCGAGAAGAAAGACTCAGTATCTTGAGTGACACCCAATATGGCGGGAAAGACCTGATTGACACGTGTGAGTCTCCATCATGAGAGTGTAAATCGTATTTCCATTGATGTATTTGAAATGCCCCAGTGAAGCTCGAAATCTGTCCAACAACTATATTGACCTCAACACGAGCTGAGGAAGCAACAATGGGTGACATACAGTGGTCTGGTATGTAGCGTACCATTTTATTTTGTGTTCCCACTGACTGCTCTAAGGTGACCCATTTCATCTCCCATATCGCATAGATGTTCGTCCCATTCAAGAGTACGGTGTGAATAGTGCCAAAGCAAAGTTGGCGGAGTTAGAGATCTTCCAGCTGGAATCAGAACAGGCACAGTTCTTAGTACCTGGAGATGGGTTGACCCAGCAGGCCGAGGAGGTGATAGCAGAAAACGCAGGATTCTCCTTTGAAAAAGGGAAGATTCTTCGGCTTGGAGGGATAGTAGATATTGAGAATCTAGTCTCCCTAGGATGTGCAGGCGCGGTTTTGACATATATACAACGGCGAAGAACAACAAACTATAGCGACCAAGATAATAACGGTACTGCTTGTGTGGTCAGATCAGTTGAGACATTCTTTCTCAAAGGAACAATGTAAGTGGCTCTAAATACTGGTCATGTTGCAATGCTGAGAAGGAAAAGGCACATTAATTTGAATACTCTTGCTTCGCTGCAAGTACTGCAATCCGAGTCACATCCCAATACGTTTAATCAAGGTCCAGGGAAAACATCATCGAGAGCGAAGGAAGACTTTTCTTTGTATGGCCTATTTCACAAGCATCTCCTAACACCCCAGGGCAAGAATCGCTTGAGACAATATTTCCTACGGCCCAGTATTGAAGTTGATGTCATATCGGAAAGAAATAGGATAGTGGATACCTTTCTGCTACCTGCTAACGCAGATGCCCAGCAGAAAATGAGCCTCGCGCTTAGAAGAATCAAGAATATGCGTTCCGTGATGACCAATCTCCATAAGGGCCTTAGCAGTGGCAAAGGCGCATTCGGTGGCTTCAAAGGCACCATCTGGGGGACTTTGTTAAACGTATGAATGCGCGTGCTCTACAATCTTCCTTGCGCAACCTACTGAAAGATGACTCTAGTTCGCAACCCATGCATTAGACCTTCAAGAAGCGGTCTGTGAAATGAATTGGCAGGATATGATCGCATTTCGTGACAGAGTAAGTTCTAAGTAGATAATCCGTTAGGATACCACTAATTGATATGCAAGGTATTCAACATTCTAAATGTTTCGAGTCTTCGCAGTGTTGGAAGGATTATCTATCAGACGGTTAGTATATGTTATAAACCGATCCTATCTCACCACATAAGCTGACTGGTAAAGGTTGATATTGAGGATTCCCAGGAGCAGCAGAGAACGATCATCAAACAAGGAGTCGACCGTGAGCTAGACCTCCTTAAAGATCGTTACAATGGGTTAGATGGCTTGTTGAAGCAGGTTGCCGTCGATGTTGCTTCCACGATCCCTGAAGAACTTCAAATTGAGGTTAATGTGATTTATTTCCCGCAACTTGGCTTCAACATTGCTATACCATATGACCAGAGAGGACAGGCTGCGTATACAGGACGCAATGAATCCTGGGAACAGGTTTTCACAACAGAGAATCGAGCATATTTCAAAGACGAAAGGATGCGAGAAATGGACGAGAAATTAGGTGATATATACGGGCTTATCTGCGGTGAGGAACACATAGTACATCCTATATACAAATTCTTTACTGACACATAATCAGAAAGAGAAATAGAAATAGCCCATGAGATTGCCCAAAACATTCTGAGATACAAGGATATGCTCTCAACATCCTCAGATCTTTGTGGAGAGATTGATTGGTAGATAACTTTCTCTACTTACAACTACGGTATTCTGACCTATGGAATAGTTACCTTGCAATGGCTAAAACAGCGGATATCTACAAGTTTGTGCGACCTAGAATGTCCACAGAGAATGTGATTCGTATCAAAGGTGGACGGTAAGAAGCGACTTTCATCTATAGGAAAGGTTTGCTAAATATTCTTTCAAGACATCCCCTCCAGGAGTTGACAGTAGCTTCTTACATCCCAAACGATGTCAATATTCGAGGTGGCTGTGGACCACAGCTGCCACATATCGAAAATGGCGATGCTGAGTACCCTTTCCTAGATGCTCCAAGCATGTTGTTATTGACGGGACCCAACTTCTCGGGAAAGAGTGTATACATGAAGCAGGTAAGTTGATCTGAGGACAGAGGCTAACTATTGCTCATCATGGAAAGATTGCCTTGATAGTGTACCTGGCTCATATCGGAAGGTGAGCAGAGGGTCACCGATGGTTATCCTTGAAAATACTCACAGATGTAGTTTCGTGCCTGCTCAAAGCGCCGAGATAGGCATCACCGACAAAATATTAACCCGTATTAACACGCCGGAAACTGTTTCCAAGGTTTGTTTACGAATGAATTCTCAAAAATCCTTTTACTCAGATTGTGCCTAGATTCAAAGCACTTTCATGCTAGACTTACAGCAAGTATCACTACTGCTAAGATTCGGCACGCCAAGAAGCCTAATTATCATCGACGAATTTGGAAAGGGTACTGACATGAATGGTAACTAACGCTCAATTTATTGTACCGTGCTCGGTCAATACTGACTCTTGATTGATCGCTAGATGGAGCTGGTTTGGCCTGTGGGATCTTCGAGTATCTACTAAGTCTCGGTAATAACAAGCCCAAAGTACTCGTCGCTACTCATTTCCACGAGATCTTTGAAAATGGATTCCTACCGGAGAGAGAATCCCTGGCTTTTGGACACATGGAAGTCAGGATTGATGAAGAATCTGCAGACAACAAAGAGCAGGTCACTTATCTCTACAAGTACAGTCTCAACAAATCCCGCCCCCTAAGTGTTGCAAGCTAAGTGTCAATAGTTTCAAACCAGGACGAAGCAACCAAAGTTTTGGTACTCTGTACGAGTCTTCTGCGGTGCAGTATGTACACTCAGGCTAATGACTATTGCGTGACAGTTGTGCTGCCATGAACGGAGTCGACGGATCAATTGTTGAAAGGGCGAACGAATTAGTGTCGCTATTAGCCCGAGGACAAGACCTTGTCGCAGCTTGTGCCAGAATGTCAAAAGCAGACGAGGCGATACTAGAGGAAGCAGTATGTTTAACTTTCAAGATTCACAGCGTCTAGGTACAACTGAAGGATATCATGCTAACTTCTCGTACTGACAGGAGTCAATTTCCCGCAGCTTCCTAGAAATGGACTTATCGAAGAATACAGATCAAGCCATGAAGCACAACTTAGCAGATCTGTTAGCTAAGAGAAGTGATTGATTGATACATCAGTAGGCCACTGGATGAAGCAAGTTTTATATGATCCAAGCTATGTAAGAGTGAAACACTGAATATATATACCTAGGTATCTAGGCATTATGTGCGAGATTGTGAGCCTTCTTGAGAATGAAATGGCAGTCGACTGAAAGTTTTTCACGATATTATCTGATTAAATTATATGCACACGTACCTGTAGAGCAATGTACTGTTAACTAAGAGACCAATCCTGTCTGTACCACACATACCTAGATATACTCCAGCTCAACCCCGAAACTGATGGGCACCATATGTTCATTCAGAGGCAAGTGTTTGCCTGAGGCAACCAGCGGGGGATCGACCGGGGAACAATACTTACCCGATCCGACTCCATGTTTGCGGAGAGGCAGAGCCTCACGACTTCATCTCTCACGCCCGTCTTTATTCTCACCTGCTTGCCTGCATCATAAGAAAATAGTTCAACAGCTGCTTCCGAACCCGCAAACTATCATGACAATATGGCAGCTGATACTCACGTTGCTGTTTCTCTACGTCTATTGGTGGACTGGCTAGTCTTCGACCTCGTAGAGACTAGCTAGAAGAGCCGGAGATTGGTAGTCATCATCATATAATCGAGGACGGGCAGTTCTGATTGGAAACCTTGCAGACTAAACGGTCCTTCGCCGCCGTCTAGCTCCTTTGAAGATGATGAATCACAGGATTTCAACACAGGTGGTTCGCTGAATAATGTGCTCATGTGACCAGGCCCCATCACCACCGTCTGAGACCTTCAAAGACAACAAATTACAATCCCAATGCGCGAAACGGGGTTTGAATTGACACGGAAGCGGAAGCAGAAACAAGAAATGGTCACTCTTTTTCGCTTAATTAGACCCGGGCTACCCCAATAGCAGATAGATACCCCCTCATTGTTACTCTCACTCCGTTCATCTCTCACAAATTCTTGCTGTTCAGACATTCCAAGTAGATAGCCCTGATATTTTTCCGTGGAAAAGTACGAATATCTTGAAGATAGCAGATAATCTGAATGGACTGACTGGCAACAACATCTAATTTGAAAGTACAAGCTTGGATCATCTTGTGGTGCTCTTCTGTAAGTTTGACTTAATTATGTGATTTGAAGGTCCTTGTTTAATCAAGTAACCGAGGAAGGTAGGTAGGTACCTTCATCTATAGCGAGTTAAAGATTCACCAGCTTCTTTTCGCTCAACCGACGTGAATCCCCAATAGCGCCGACAACATCCACACTCTTCCATGCAATGGCCATAAGTATCATGAGACATTGTGAAGAAATTAAAACAGATGCGTGTTTTTCCATCTTCTGTTCGACGAGGTGTGAAGCAGCAATTGCATTTTCGTTCACGACATCCACCTCTCGCTATGCATGCTTCTAGCATCCTGCGTTGTTCACTCTTTCCCTGTGGCTTGCACTGATCTGCCCAGTATTTATTTCTAATGAACCAGCAGTATATTTCTCATTTATGAGCGAGCCCATCGCTTGTTTGCACAGCCATAGCTCTTGGATGGTGTGCTCTAGAGATTGTTGTAACGTATCCCGTCTGTCCGAGCTCTTCTCATCATCTTGTTTCTCAAGTTGGCCTAACTCTTCTCGAAAATAGATCTCGCGTTGGAGAAGCCAATTGCGCTCGCGGCGCTGTTTCTTCCAGTTCTCTATTCATCTCTGGTCTTTTGATTTTGCTCTTTCTGAAGAGGCCCTGAAACGGGCGACGTTCCACGTGACCCAGAACAACGCTGCGAGGCATATGCAACTCTCCCAGTACAAATCGCCGTCAAGTAAGCTGGCCATCTTCGTTGAAATAGATCTTGACATTTTGTTTTTTTCAGAGTTGTCTTCTTCGGAGACCGTCTGTCATTTATCATCTTCGTCTGGTTGCCTACTAGGCACCTATTCTAGGCAGCTGATTACCTTGCCACGAGATTGCGTATACAGATCGACGGTCCTAAACTTCACTTTCATGAGTATTAGATCAAACCACGCCACCAGCGCTTCATCTGGACAGACCGGGGCTGCATGTAACCATCTCTTGGGTCAATTCAACACTTGAAGTAATTATTGGTACGTATGTACGAGAAAATCAAGATATCCAGGTCAAATAGTATCCCGCGCAAGTATTGACAACTAGGTATAACGCCAAAAGAGAATCCCCACACAAGCTTTTGATCATTACAGTTTAACACTCTTGACAAGATTCTTTTTGATACCCGTAAGCTCACCACCGTAGCCCTCACGGCCTTCACCTCCCTTGTAGACTTGACGGATACTTCCAAGCTTCTTTTTCTTCTGTTCAAACTTCTTTCTCTTCTTAACACGTGGGTTACGCACGTCCTTGTTTCGCTTGGCCATGAGACCTTTGTTCTTCTCAATCTGGTAAGTAATACGACGTTTGCCATCAGGGCCAATTTCCTCGATCTCCTCAAAGGGCCCTTGTTGTTGAGCAGCCTCTGCCATTTCGGCGCGGGCCTTCTTATCCGCCTTCCTTTGTTTGTTACGAGCGGCAACCATGTCGTAGTACTCATCGTCGTCTGTTCCTGCGTTGTCATCGCGTATCTCACGCGCGAGACGGTGATCTTCCTCATCAGACTCGCCGCCTAGTTGCTCAGCCTCGTTTGCTCGGGCACGACCGCGCTTCTCAGCTTCTGCATTGAGACGTGCTTGGCGGTCCTTGAGACGTTCCCTGTAAGGCAAATCTTCATCACCACCGGCATTCCGACCAGCAGCACTTCGTTTGTTGGCCTTTTGCGCAATCTGAGAAGTATAGAATCGCAAAGAGCGTTTCTTCTGGGCTTTTTCCTCGGCTTCGCGAGCCGTCAAAGCGCCCTCGTCGCCAATATCAGAATCGTCGTCTTCTTGAGATCGAGATGTTTGCTTGGGCAAAGCTTTGGTTTTCTTGCTTGATGTTTTGACCAAATCAGCCAGATCAGCCAGATTGGCTTCGGCTTTTTGAATCTTGGCGGCCCGACGTGCTTCGGCTTCCGCTTGAGCCTTTTCTGCCGCTTGTTGTGATTTGCTCAACTTCTTTTCTTTCCGACTCGGCTTAGCTGATTTCTTTTCTTTGACGGGTACTTGCACGGCCATTTCAGGTTCTTCGGACACTTCCCGGTCATCAACCTCGACATCTTCAGACGCAGGAAGATCGGATACACTCCATTCCTTCACGGTCTCCCATTGTTTCCTGCATTTGACCAAAGCTCCCATTATGGGATGATCCCGCAGATCGGCAGGCGATAGTGCAATTGCCTTGCCATCATTGTCCTCCGCGGGAGATGTGAGTAGAGCCAAGTACATGCTAATTGAGCCCAAGTAGGATGCCAAGGCTCGAAACTTAATGATCGATATTGGGACTGAACCCTCAAAGTCCTTTATAACCGCTTCCGCTTTCTGGGCCTCTGCTAGCACCTTTTCGTACTCCGGCTGGAGGTCGACAAAGTCTTTTGCTAGAGGCTCGAACTCGGGATATCGCGATTTGAGAACCTTGAGCCGTTCCTCGGTGCCCATGTCATCTGTGATCTCCGTTTGAGGTAAAATCTCTGTGACCACACCGTCCTTGCCATCTTTGCTGTCGTCGGCTCCTTGGCCGGATTCCAGCCAGTCGATTTCGTCGAAGCCGAAATCAGCCTCCTTCATAGCCTTCAAATGCTTCTGTTGTAATCTCTTTGCCTCGTTCTCCTCTTCCAACGCATCTGCTTCTGTCTCAATCGCGTCGGCATTATAGTAATCTTTCCTCGAGGAACCCCATGCTTCAAGTCCCTCGTCATCTTCCTCCTCGCTGGCGCCGCTTGCCTCCGGGTCCGAGTCTGATCCGGCGAATCGTGGTTTTTTTGATTTGGAATATGTATAATCGTCTTCATCATCTTCCTCTCCATCTTCATAGTCATCCTCATCCTCGTCATCTTCAGCTTCGTCATATCCAAGGACTTCTTCGTCGGAGGGTTCGAGAAGGGCGTCTGTATGTAACCAGGTAAGAATGCAAATACAATGTCTTGCGGATAGAGTCTCCTACCTTCTTCTTGAAACTTGCGCCGTCTTTTCGCTTCTGGGCCTTCTTCTAACAATATTTGATCGCGGCCGGCAGTGAATTCATCTTCGGAGTTGTCGAAAGTTTCGTCGACACTGAATTTTGATTGCAAGGCCGAGTCGTTCTTCTTTGCTGACGGCTGTCGATGACCAGCCTTTCTTTTCTTGGCCGCCATATTGCGTCTATTAAATCAGAGTAGATGAGAGCCGGTCTTTTCTCAGAGTTCTCCGTTACTTTTTTTTGGAGGTCAAAAATTTAGATGCGATAGTCTCACCGCCTTCGGTCTTGCCCCACCGCGATGCCTGCTTGGCTCTGATTGGGCGATTCAAAACGGCAGCGGCAGCTGCAGCGTGCTTATTTCCCTTTTTATATCAGAGCTGTTAACTCTTCACTCTTTACTCCTCCCTGTCTAGCTAGCCTTACGTCTACATGGATTATTCCAGTGGCGTCCTTCTTATCATTGCCCTTGTCATCGGGTCGATAACTTACTCGCTCTACAAAATGCTCGGATTCGGCCCGAATCAATTTCCCGTCAATGGAAAGGTAAGCTGCCAGTGTAGGTCGGAAAACTCGAGGGCCTAGACAATTGACCGAGGGATTGTCTTCTCTAGACTATCCTTATAACAGGCGCATCGGAAGGTCTTGGGCTATCGGTTGCCGTCCAACTTGCACAGAAAGGCGCCAATGTTGTCATCGTTTCTAGATCTCTCCAGAAACTCGAAGTAGCTATTGCCGCTATCAAGGTACGCAGGCCATCTCCATGTTCAGCTGTATTGGAGAAGAAATAATCCTTACATCATACAGGCTGCCGCAGCTAGCCCGTCGAAACAACGCTTCCACTACATAATTGCGGATCTGACGAACGCCGATGCAGCAGATCGCATATTGGACGATACGACAACGTGGAATAATGGGGTAGCCCCTGATGTTGTCTGGTGCTGCGCAGGATACTGTCACCCGGGGCTTTTCATTGATGTGCCTATCCAGACTTTGAGAGATCAAATGGATACTGTGTACTGGACCAGCGCGTACACTGCGCATGCCACACTGAAAAGATGGCTGGCACCTGTGTCGCGAGATATCAAAACAAAAGACCAGCAGTCTCCGAGACATCTAATTTTCACTTCGTCCGCTGCCGCATTTTTTACCGTCTCGGGATACAGTCCCTACTCGCCCGCAAAAGCCGCCATGCGAAATCTATCGGATGTTCTCGTCCAGGAGATTGAAATCTACAATGGCGCACGTCGCAAGAAGGATGCTAATGCGCCTGCAACCGACGTCAAGATCCACATAGTATTCCCAATGGGTATGACGAGCCCCGGTTTCGAGAATGAGCAGAAGCTCAAGCCCGAGATTACTCATATTATGGAGGAAGCCGACAAGCCACAGCTCCCCGAGGAGGTAGCCACTATTGCCATCAAGGGGCTTGAGAGAGGCGATTTCCAGGTTATAACTAATGCAGTTGGTCAAATAATGCGGACAACGGCGCTCGGCTCTAGTCCCCGGAATAATATCCTTTTCGACACCGCGTCTAGTTGGTTGAGCGGCATTGTTGCCCTGTTCATCATCCCGGACTTGGCCAAAAAGGCATTTAATTATGGGAAACAGAAGGGAATTGCGTTTGTAAAAGCATGAAGAATATGATGTACAGATGTACAGTATGATACATTGTTACTTTCCTTCCTGCACGATCGCTATCACTAGCCCTAGAAATGCTATTTAATTCATGTACATTGTGGCCACCAAGCAAACAGTGTTTATCATCTGATAACCGATGATATAGAAAAATTTCTTATCATGGATTTGGACATAACTCATGTACCTAATTAGGTAGTGAGGTAGCTAAGCTTGCTCATAGTAAATTGGAAAGGGATCAAATGATTTAGGTATACGTAAAAAATTTATTTAGCATTACGGATAGAAACAACAAATCAAATTATTCAAATGGAATGAATTATTTTTCTACATCCCGGAGAAAGCCGAATAAAAATACATACAACAAATATCAATCTTTGGAGCAGAAGACAACACTTCAACTTCGACACAGAAAAACGAACCAAGGAAATAGTGGATATTCGGGGGTGTTAAATAAAGAATGGACATGCCATATGTGTAAAGAATAACACAATGACAAAATAAAAGTGTACAGCTAGAACTATTAACAGTGAAAGTATGCGTTGCAGTGGCGGCAGTGGTATCAAGTTTTGGGAAATAGAGGAGAAAAATAAAAATATAAAAAAGAATAAAAAAGTGGCCCACAGTGTAAAAGAAGGATTAGAATGGGAAAAAAGAAACCTGGGGGGCCTTAAACAAAAGATATAACGCCATGCAGATCGAAGAAACCCTAGATACTTTCAAATATAGACAATCTGGAATAGTGTGGGGGAGATGACAGTTCTCGGGAAAAGAAACATCAAAATACCTATGGCGCGAAGAATAAGAGGAGAGAGATTCGATGACAAGGGAGCAGGGTTTCAAAGAGAGAAACTGAGTGAGCGTTCTTTACTCTTCAGTTGCAAAGATGCCGTCGTCCCTTGATACCTTCGGAGATTCTGGGGCCATGATGCTGTCACCGTCGCCATCGTCCATTAGAGCACTACCATCATAGCTATTTTGTTCAGCATCACGGTCGTAGCTGGAACGTCGCAAGAGTGGTGGTGTTGTCGGTGGTTCGAGCGGCTCTTGATGGACAACGGGTAGCTTGTCCATCTGCCGCGCAGATAGGGAGCGCGGTGATGGATTGTATCCCCGTAGTGGACGACTTTCTGACGCTGTTCGGCGACCTCCCATTCGTGCTGGACCTCGTGGTGCGCTCGAATTCTTGGGTGTATATCTTACATTTGAGCTTGGGGGTGTCAGGAGACCAGAAAAGAATCCACCGCCGCTCGTTGACTTTGAAGGTGTTTGAGAAGCTCCGTTTTCCGATGTAAAGGACTCCCGTCCTTTGCGCCAGTTACCCCAAGCTGCAGCTGCAGCAAGTGGCAACGAACGTGGTGATGCAGCGATGTCAGACAAAGAAGGAAATGCTTGTCCTCCGGACATTGCCCTCTCCTTTTCCTGCTGTTGCATTTGGAGGTTAGCCCGGAGCCTGATGGCAGCATCTCGGACAGCATTGTGATCAAAAGAAGGCTGTGAAAGGGTGTTTATAATGTCGTGGAGATCATCGACGCGGACCCCCAATAGTTCTCGAAGCCAGCTAATCTCAGTGTCCTTCTCCTTGAGTTTGTTGGGTGCATCCTTATCGACTTCACCGAGCTCCTGTTCCAATTCTTCGATGCGGCTTTCGCGTTGTTGCAATTGGTCTTGAAGGACAAGAATCGATTCACGTAAAGCTTGAGGGGAGATCTTCTCAGGAACTGAAGGATCTTTGCTATAAGACAAGGACGGCGAAGAATGGTGTTGCACAGGAGTTGGAGAAATAGGAACCCCCTTGGCTTGGGCGGCTTGGGCGGCAGCACGAGCGGCAGACTTGGCAATTTCAAGTCTCTCTTCTAAGTGTGACACGCGGTCTTGTAAGTGAGCTACTCTCTCGTTAGAAAGATCTAGCTTCTCATTCATGTGAGACTCAATTCTTTGCCGATCTTCCGAAGCATTATGCAGTGCACGGGCGTGGCGTTCACGGAGATCGTTGAGAACACGGTCGTGAGTCTTGCGTTGTTCTTCCATAGCTATGTCTTTGGAAGCGGACAGCTCGGCAATGGAAGAAGCTTTGTTTTCATGGGCTTCCTCTAGAAGAAGCTCGTAGCGCTCCTTTGTGGTATCGGCATCCATGCGAATGTTTTCAACTTGGCTCTCCAAGCGACCAATCTCCGCTTCAAGCTGTGCTCGAACGTAGTTAACTTGGTTGTTTGCTGCTTCAAGATCGGCTTCCATGGAAGTCCTGGTGCGCTGAATTTCCATGCGACTGCTGTCGCGAGCTTCATTGAACTCGCGCTCAAAACGAGAAGCTGTGTTCTGATGTTCTTGACTTTCCCGGCGCAAGGCTTCAACTAGCTCCTCTAGTCTGTGATTTTCTTGTTGGGACTGAGCAAAGATGAACTTCAGTTTAGCAGCTTCTCGTTCTGACTTCTCTAGCTCGCCAATGTCAATTTCAAGCTTCTCACGCAACCTAACCTCTCTATCATAGGAAGCGCGTAGGCTTTCATATTTCGCCGTAAGCTCTTCTTCTTGTCTACGTGCATTGGCTTGCTCGCAAGTAACATCCCTGGTTAAGTTTACCATGTCATCTTGCAGTTTGTCAAACTTGCCACGTAAACTCTGTCTAGCGCGCATACTATCTTCGACTCGAGCAGTAAGATGTGTGATATTGGTGCGCAGTTCCTTATTCTCCCCTTCCGCTGCCGAGGCCTTCTTCTTCCAGAAGTCATGCGAAACACGATACTCATCAAGTGTGCCTTCCAGCGCAATATTCTTGGCGGAGAGCTCTGAAAGTGTCATTTCCCAGGATTCTTGTTGCTTCTCGAGGGCCTCATATCTGACCTGAGCCTTCTCTAGCTGAGGAATCTTCTCCTCTTGTAGCCCACGAAGAGTAGCTTCTGCCTCCTCGGCGGCTTTGCGGTAGTGAACAACCTCGCCCTCGGCGTGACCAAGCATTTTCTGTACTTCAGTTAAGGCTTCCTGGACGTCACGGCGAGCCTTAATTTCTTGTTCAGTACGCTCGTCGGCAGTTCGAAGCATGCTTTTCACACCATCCAATTGCAGTTTCAAGCTTTCCGCACCGATCTCTTCTGCTTCGGAAAGGGGCGTCTTTCTAGCATTGGCTTGAGCGTGGATGGCCAAGGCCTCCTGTATTAAGCCCTTGAAGTCTGGGATCTCGGGCTGTTGTTGTCTTTCAGTTAGGGCTTTAAGCTCAACAAGAGTTTCGTGAATGGCGTTGAAGTTCGCTGAAGGATGAGATTCCTGTCGACCGAGCCCGTGTGTAGTAAGGGCTTCGAGAACTGCCCCCTTCATTTTCTCCAACTTCCTATCTCGCTTGTTTAATTGTGAGACTGAACGAGGTACATCCTCTTCATCATCCTCATCATCAGCATCACTATGCTCCACATCTGCTGATCTACTACGCAGTGGCGGTTGAGTTGCTGATTGCGAATGTAAAGACAAGACGGAATTTTGTATGATACTCAGTGCTTGCTCAAGCGGACCTAACCGCTCTGCTAATACCTGACTGACAAGGGTATTAACGTGACGATCAAAGAACTTGCTTCGTTGTACTAATTTGTCATCCTCCCCTGAAGAGATGACATCGTCCCAGTCACTGATATGTTCGTTCGTGCTGAGCAATTGACGGACAGGAGATTGAGCACCGGAAGCGAATCCTCGTTGTGGGAACGATTGATGAGATTGGGGAACATCTAGATCAGGCCCAATTTTTCCTCGAAGCAATTGATCGAAACTTTTGGCTGGGCTGGGACTGGGAGCATCACTGCGAATAATATGAGGTAGACTTGCCCGTTGTGTCAAGAGTGTTTCAGGAGTCTCTGTAACCATTTGGGGCGGTAATGGTGTGCTAAGCCTTTCCACACCCACGTCGGAATCATCCCCATTAAGTTGATTCATTACAGCGTCAAGTTCTTCCTCATTAGGCGAATCATGATCAGCTTCAGTGTTTACACCTTGTTCCTTATCATTTGTCTGAACCTCATGGTCAACAGGCGCGACATCGGTAGTACCAGCTTCCTCTTCAACTGCATAACGTGATGCGAAAAGCCCTGTCTTAGGCTTTTCGGGCTGAGACTTGACAGGCTCTGGTCGCGCTTCATCGTTGGGCTCCTTATTCGTCGGGACAAACTCGGAAATCGAAGGACGGAAATTGAATGTCTTCGCGAAAGCCGAAAATATTGATTTCCTTGGCTCACGCTTCGGTGGTTTTGCGCTTTTTTCTGCAATAGCAGGTTCAACAGCAGTCTCATTTGTAGGAGCAAGCTTTCCCTTAGCCTCATTTTCGGATTCCTTGTGTGTTTGTTCATCATCAACCTTCACAGCACCATGGGAATCTTCATTGGAGATTGCAGGGAACGGTTCGGTTTCGACTGAAGGTGTGATATTCTCATCGGGAATAACATCGGCAGCAGCTTTTACTACTATCGTATCGTCCACGAAACGGCGTTTTGCGTCCGGGCTTGCTGGTTTCGAATTGGTATCAAGAACATCTGGCTGAGGGACTTCGTTCTCTTTGCCTTCAGCAGATTTAGGTGCTTGAGGTGCTGACGTTGCTTGGGCTTGAGAGGCCTCTGCGAGGGGCGAAGGAACCACAAATTCGACGTCCTTTTCGTTCTCACCAGCACGGCGACGAGCACGTTTCTGACGTGGTTGCAGTCCTGGTGCACCACTTTCAATCACTTCTTCAGATTCCTCTTCTTCGTTATTATCATCAGGTCGAACAATAGGAACGGCCTTGGATTCTTTGTTTGGCTTAGACATTTGGGTAAAATCGACGTCTCCAAAGATGCTGCTCTTGAGATGACTAGGTGCATCCGAGGTATTAGATGCGACACTAGCTCCAGGATTGAAAGCAGGAGCATCCGCATTGAAAGATGCAGCGGAAAAGGTGAAGCCTTTTGATGCATTCGGCACAAACGATGCACCGTTAACATTGGCATCGTTACCAAACGGTGTGAATGAAGGAGCTGTCACATTGAAACCGCTAGACTTGAATATAGACGAGGTGGGCGAGAAAATTGGCCCGTTTCCATATCCATTTGGCTGAGCTGAAGTTTCCTGGTAAGCAAATGCGTTAGATGAGAACGAAGTCGTCGGATCAAATTCCTTGGCTTCTACGTTGAGCCCAGATGAAGAAGGCTTGGATTTGTGCCCCGGAGCAAAGGAGGCGGAACTTCCTTTAGCACTATGCCAGGGATGTTGACTCATATTGATGTTAGGTTCGCGGGGACTTGCGGCAAGACTAGGATTGGTATCAATCTCATCAGCATCCTGAATCATATCCATGGGCTGTTGCTGTTCGCCAAACATCCGATGGTGGCCGGTAGTAAACGAGTCCTGAATCGAAAATTGTCCGCGAGCCGCAGATGGCTGAGCATCATTTTCAGCAACAGCCCAGCGAGACTCCTGTAAGCCAGCTTCAGTATCCTCTAGTTGGCCTTGCATTGATTGATCTAGATGATAGTCTGCGTGAGAATAACGATCGAGACCTTTTTGCAACGTTTCACTGAGATTGTGACTATGCCCTCGAGGAGTGGGATGCGCGATCTCCACATTCGATGCTTGGAAGTGTTCAGTTTCAGTCTGTGGGTCGTCCATAATGAGTGTTGCCGCTCTCGATTCTCGAGTATGCCGGTCATGGCTTGTCGAGTTACGATGCGTGGTATCATGGATTGAATCTCTGTGATCATACTGGCCATTAGAGCCGTTATTAAATATATCGTCAGCATTGAGAGGAGAGACAGGAGAGAAGATCGCATTCAAGTTGGGCATGACCCCCGGACCAGTTCCGAAAATGTTGTTCTGACGTGCGTTGAACAGACTTTGGGGAGTCAAAGTCCCGGCAACAGGAGGGGTTGCTTGATAAGGATATGGAAGTCCTGCCACGATATTCCCATCGACTCCGTAAAACGGGTGCTGCATCCCAAACTGGGGTGCGGGCGAAGCCAGTGATTCGGCATTTGTGCTAGGATTGGTGGAATGATTGAAATGAGAGAAAGCATGGGATCCATATAGGTGATTGCTAGCAGCAGATGATGTAGGTATCGGCGGGGAGGTAATATGACCTGGGAACGCAGCCATTTGGTTCAGTGCTACCATAGAGGCAGGCGATGGCGCTTCCGGCGACTCATCGAAACCTAAGGACACTCCCAATGCGCGTAGTTTTTCCTCTTTCAGCTGTTCAACGTATGCCTCCCATTCACCGAGATTTGGGAACCTCACCGGATAGAATTTTGATGCCATCTCCTGTTGGAATTCCGACTGGTCTGGAAAGGGCGGCCGACTAAAACCGCCATTCTGACTTGTAGAGTCTAGTTCGGGAGCAAAAACATCGAATCCATGCACATGATATCCTTTATCTACCCAAGTTTGCAAACGATTCTTGACATCCACCTTTGTGAGCAATTTATTGCCGGACTCGTCAGATCCCCGCTTGTCATCTTGGGGCACTTTGATCAGACAGGCCTTGCCGCGCCAGAGTACTTTATTCCTCCCGCGCATAGAAGAAGCCTGAGTAAGCAACGAAGGTCTAGATCTAATATCACTTTTCACGTTCTCGATGTTCTCAACGACAGTGGTATCCTCCGAAGGGGGTATGGGCAGTGGCTTCTCCACTGGAGACTCAGCCGGGGACTCATGCTCTACCCTAGGCGTAGATGTATCTGCATCAGACATTGTGATTGATGGATGCTCGTCACCGTACGCAAAGCTCCAGAAGTCCTCTTGCCGCAACGTGGCAGTGCTAAGAGTGGAGATATGTTTTTGGCGAAACCGGCCGAGATGCCCGTTCGGAAGCCCTTTTCTTGACCTGAGAGATAGAGAATTCGACGCGGTAGGCGTCCTTAGGGGGTCCTCCTCGTTAGGTTCGTCCAAGCCCAGCCAACCTTCTGTTGGATCGTCTCCAAAGTTGTTGCGAGCGGTTATGAAGGACGGCGCCTCGCTGCCTTCGTCGTCACTTAGCCAATTCGTCCGCTCTGTTCGTGGCTGGCCAGACAAATACTGATCAATCCAATCCTGAGTAAATTGTCTGATTGATGGACCTCCCAGTGCCCCTGAGAAGTCTCTCGTCGAGGACCGGCCGATGGAACCGTAGAAGGGTCTTGGGAGTTGACTAGATGTTGACGTTGTACGCAACGATCCAGGACCACGCAAGGATGTGTAACCGCGACCTCTTGTGGGAGAGTTGTCCCGAGAGGGGATGCTCAAGCTAGGTTGATGGCTTATTGTCCCCGAGAGCCGACGAGGACTTGGAGTTGCATACGGAGAGCCCCACGCAGCAGTGAAATATGCGCTGTTTGCCTTGCGATTCTCCGGCGACGACGATAGGGAGTCCCACGCCCCGGGATACTTAGGCAGTGACGGAAGCGATTCCGAGGATTCGCCTAATGGCTGCTGTCCGGGTGATCCAACTGCTATGATGCTTGAAGCTGCGGGCGAAGTCGGTAGCGACGGTGGCTCTACCGATGCCTGCACTGAATATCCGTCTATCAGGGTTGTCGTCTCGCGCGGACGGCTGGGCGGCGAAGGTGCCAATGTGATGGATACGAACGAAGTAGAACCTAATATGGCGGAAATCCTTTCATTAGTGTAATCGGTTCTTCAGAGGAGTCTTGCACGGTAGCGGAGCTTTTCAATCGGCAAGTAGAACCGCGCGATTGTGATCCTTAACCCAATGACAGTCAATGGAATTGCCAGATACATACCTTCCGTGTCGTCTATTGCAGCAAGCAATTGCTTGCCGCGCCCGTTATAGTCTGGAATGATGAAGCATGGAAATCCAAGAAATTCGCAGTGGGTAGACGGTTAGTTGACCTCGGACGGCTGGTAGCACCTCAACCAAGGCGGAAAGCTGCTTGAATAACGAAAAACAAATGAAAGCAGATGGCAGAGGCTTTCCTGGGAGAAGCCTAAAAAATAAAAGCAAAAATAAATAAAGCTGCCACAGGAGAACTGTTTGAGCAAGGACGGTTCCGCGAGGTAGTCAGACGGTGTGTCACGACGCCAGATTTACAAAGACCACAAGCATGCGGGAAGTTGGATCATGGCGCAGTACAAGGATTCGTTCACGAGATGGCACCGAGAGACAGGCGGATGAGGGCGCGAAAGAACGTTGGGAAGAACGTTCGATGGTCGAAGAAAGCAAAGGGAAAGGAGGCAGTCAAGCGGCACGTCTCGAAAAAAAGTTAGCCGGTCTTGAGGGAGTTCAGGAAGCGTGCACTAGTCAGGCTCAACGGGCGCTGCTTAGCACCCAATGGGAAGGTGCGAGCACCGCAGCTGCAGTTGCCAGTTTGGCAGTGTTTCTCTGTTACAGTACGGCGGGCTTGGGGGCGCCGAGTGTCGCAGCATCGTGCAATCTTACGGTGTATTGCCCGGTACGGTTCAAATCTTAATATGTGCGATGCCTCCATTAGCCGGCGGGATAGTCTACGGTACGCTTAGCCCTGGGCTCTGCAAGATCTGTATTTATTTCTTTTTGATACCAGCTGCAAGTTGTTTGACGCACATCATGAACAGGTCGCGCGCGTTGTTGACGTGTTTCCCGTGTGGTCCCATCCGTCCCATTGAACGATTCAGGGGTAAAGCATCATTTCGAGAGCTTCTGCCCACATCGCTCGCGCTGGATCCATGGTTCGCGTGCTCGCGGTCTGATTGGCCCGCCAGTCCTTTCTCCCCACAAGTTGAATTTCCCGGGAAAAACTGTTGGAGCCTGAGGCCGCTGGACACTTCTAGTCTCTAGAGACGTACGCGGAAAAACTTGAAGTTATTGTGTTTTTTCTGTTGGATCTATCTACGGACAGAGCCCCCGATAGGACATGAGTACGCTGTTCTCCTTCATCATCGCGGTGGCAGGGCCATACAAATGGGCCTCCTTATGGTTTTCATATGCGAATGTGATCAAAGAGCCATGCATCTGATGTGTGTGAAATGCATATTCCCGTGATTCACTCAAGCTTATTCGTGTGCCGCCTCCTTACTCAAGGCCATACTCTGGAGTCTGTACAGGACACGATGTAGTTTCTGTCATTGCGGAATCAGAGATGCATTGAGTATCTCTCGAGTGTGTAATCATGCAAAGGCATTGCAGTACTGCAAGGGTAGCAGGTACCTGACTCTTTCACCTGGAAGTTCCAAGGAGTAGCGTTCAGTATCCTCAGGACATGGCAACCAACCGATTACGGGATTGGTCTCTATACGATGACGCGGAGAACAGCTGGAATAAAGTTTTAGAAACAAAAACGCTTAGAGAAATTCCCGCCTGGCATTTGCATCTTGCTATTTCATAACAATGTGCTATGATGGCCAACCAGAGTGATGTTCGCAGGTGAGGCTTGTAGCTCGCCCTTTTATAGCAATCGGATGTGGTCCGAGCGTCAATTCAACCTCATCTGTAATTGACACCTTGTCTCGTCCGCCGACCTCATCCACCGCAATCCGCTTGCTGCGACCGAGCATCCCCCGTCGAAAAACCAACACACTGAGTTAGCAACAATTCGACAAGACTCGCTTTTAATATTCAAGATGCGCTTCTCGGCGTCCATGGTCCTAGTCACCATGCTAGCCTGGATAGGAGCGTCCGCTGCTCATAACATCCAACTCAAAGCCCACTCGCGCGAATGCTTTCACGAGAAGCTCCACAAAGGCGACAAGATGACCGTCACATTCCAAGTTGGAGACCGAGAGTTTGGTGGTAGCGGCAACCTAGAGATTGATTTCTGGGTGTGTATCATTTTTGCATTTCTCCGTCGGCTTTTTTCTCACCTCCAAAAATTTTTAAAAATCTAACGTCTAATTTTTTTTTCACGACGTATAGGTCGAAGATCCCGCCGGCAATCGCCAATATTACAAAAACAGTGTTTCGTCAGAAGACTACTCGTTCACAGCGCAACGCGACGGAAAATTCACCTACTGCTTTAGCAATGAGGCTTGGACGTCGAACTCGAAGGAAGTCTCATTTAATGTGCATGGAATCGTCTACATTCCCGAATCAGAGATGTTGCAGGACCCCCTAGAGTCCGAAGGTATGAATGTTATATTATATCGAGGGTTCTCGCGTAGCTGACTTGGTGAAATCCATAGTCCGTCGTCTCTCCGAGGAGCTGTCTCAAGTCCGTGATGAACAGTCCTACATTGTTTTGCGAGAACGAGTGCACCGAAACACAGCCGAAAGCACAAACGCACGTGTGAAGTGGTGGAGTATTTTCCAGCTTTCAGTTCTCATTGGCGAGGGTATTTTCCAGGTCTGGTGGCTAAAACGGTTCTTCGAGGTACGGGGTTCTTAATCGCCCCACGAAAGTGACCGTTGTTCTCATGACTTTGGCTAACGAGCTTGAATTGAAACAGGTCAAGCGAGTTGTTTAAATATACCGGTGGAACGCGTGATACTTTCAATTTTCTCGTTCGATTAGTGGCGTCCATGAGGAATCTGAGCGAAGTTCTTTCTTGAATGTAGTTTGTGTTAGACGAACGTTCAATTTGATGCGGACATGAAATATGAATGTCAAAACTTGTTTGAGCCTGACTGCATTGGACAGATATAACTTGGTCCACTTGTAGCCTACTTTAGAAAACTGACATTGACCTTCCACGATGCTCGTGAAGGCCGCTACCTGAGTATGTACTATGAAGTAGATTCAGACTTGCAAATCTCTTGAAATGCATCTGGATTGTGTAATGGAGCCCAGGGGTTGACAACTTTAGTATCTACTAAAAAACAAACCTCGGTCCGGCTGGGGATCAGTGGGTCTACCCCACACCCAGCCGCCGGCCATTGAATGCTTCCTCTTCGGCTTGAGCTCGAGCTTCAGCTTCAGATGCTTTGCAGCCGACAAGTACAAGCACCAACAAAAGCATAATAGAGCTAGCCACAGGATTATGGCATCAAATTCGCCTAACCCACTCCCTTTCGCCGAGCCATCCTACCTCCGTGGCCTACCATCTCCTTATTACAGCACGTCCCATCTCCAATTCCAGAAGAAATGTCGCGCCTTCATCTACGAAAACCTCAGTAAGCACGCTATCGACTACGAACGGACCGGTTTTGTTCCAGACCATGTCTTTGAGACCTTCGCCAAACATAACATGCTTCTACCTAATCTTCCGTCTCCATTGCCCGTGCAGTGGTTGAAGAGACTAGGGATACACGACATCCTGGGCGTGAAGATCGAGGAGTGGGATTATCTACATACGGGTATATACTTTGACGAGGTACGCTTAGTTTTTTACTTCTACTTTGCCGAAATAAGCCTTTCTTATACAATACGACGAGAAGGCAGAGAAACACTAACGAAGATCCGCTGTGTACAGATGAGTCGGTCAGGTATTGCTGGTCCTCCTGCGTCGCTGTCTACAGGCATGGCTTATGGGGTCCCACCAATAATTAAATATGCATCTGCAGAACTGCAAGAAAAAGTACTTCCAGATTTATTAACGGGCAAGAAAAGAGCCTGTATCGCTATTACAGAACCTGATGCCGGAAGCGATGTCGCTAATATTACTACTCTGGCTGAAAAGTCACCGGACGGGAAGGAGTATATAATCAATGGGACAAAGAAATGGTGAGCCTAGCCAAATCTCTGAAAAGTTGGGATAAATATATGAACAATATCACTAACCTGGAAATATAAACGAAAGGATCACGAACGGAATCTGGGCTGAGTACAGTACCATGGCTGTTCGCACTGGACCTCCTGGCTCTGGAGCTACAGGCCTTTCTCTGCTCCTGGTACCTTTGAAAAGCTATCCCGGTGTCTCGATGCGGCCAATCAAAATCTGCGGAAACGAGACCTCAGGAACGACGTATATCGAACTGGACGATGTGCGAGTTCCCGCCTCCAACCTGATCGGCACTGAAGGCGCAGGTATGCGATACATCATGACAAACTTCAACCACGAACGTCTTTCAATCGCTATAGGAGCCACCCGTCAGGCACGAGTGGCATTGTCGACCGCATTTGAGTATGTTCTCAAACGGGAGGCCTTTTCAAAACCGCTCATTGAGCAACCGGTTGTACGGCATCGACTAGCTAAGGCAGGGGCCGAGTTGGAAGCTCTATCAGCCTGGATAGAGCAGGTCCTGTACCAGATGTCAAAACTCAAAAAGGAAGATGCCGATCGTCAACTTGGCGGACTAACAGCTATGGCGAAGGCAAAAACAGGCATGGTGCTCAATGAGTGTGCACAGACTGCTATGCTTCTCTTTGGTGGTAATGGTATGACTCGCACTGGTCAGGGTGAACTCATCGAACGCATATATCGGGAAGTACCTACGGTCAGGATACCAGGTGGATCGGAGGATGTGTTGCTTGATCTGGGGGCGAGGCAATTAGTAAAAATCTATGAAGCTGGTGTGGAGCGGCTTAAAAGGGATGCCAGGATTTGATCATTTTACTCGTTACTCGGTGTCTGAAGATTTTCATGTTTCTGCCGAATTTGTCGACGGTCAGTATGGAGTGACTGCACGGAAATAGGAGGGACCTCTCTAGTACAATACGTTGCAGCTTTGCAAATGAGATACACTAGAGTTCAGGAATCTGAGGCGAACATAATCGGAATATCGAAATATCAGAATCTCATTTGGTGTTTGAAGCCCAAAGAGCTGTTAGGGTTAAACAAAATGACTATATGTTCCGATTTACCTACGTAGCTTCAACAGAGCTCCAGTTCTTATCAGCACACCGATTTCACCCTTCAATATGCCACTATCCATAAATATGCGAATTCTATTCCTGCTGTAGGTGGAAGACCCTGCATGAGTCCTTATTAAGCAACCATCAGCTAACTAGCTCGGCAACGCGGCGGACCCATATTAACAACCATCGGCATGCCGAAATCAACAGCCGAGAAAAGTCAAATGTCGGTTCAGTTGCCCCATGTAGGGCAAAAACCAGTAATCATGACACTTCTGGGTGGAAAACACGGGCTGTCTATAAAAATAGTGGCTGGCGCATTTCTCAGAAGGACCTTGAAAATTCCATCATGTCTCACCAACTCATCTCGCACCTCTCCCCCTCCACCGCCAAACCGAGTCACATCACCAATGACTACTGAGACTAGTGCTAATGCTAAGGAGGCGAGTTTGGAGCCGCCATCATGGCCCTCGCACATCTCTTATTGGCGCATGATGCTGGACCAAGGCGCGGTGACGGCTGAGATCATTCAGCACCCGTACGATGGTTCCGGCACTGAGGACGATCCGTTCATCGTTGAATGGATCGCAAACGATCCTCGCTACCCCATGGAGTTTAGCAAGCCAATGAAATGGACATTTACTGTTCTGTGTGCCTTCTCTACACTGGGTATTTCGCTTTCGTCTTCTGCTTACGCTGGCTGTATTGATCAAGTCATTTCGTCTTTCGATATTAGTGATGAAGTTGCGACTCTTGGCGTGTCACTGTTTGTATTAGGATTTGCCGTGGGCCCCCTTATTTGGGCCCCCTTGAGTGAACTGTACGGGCGACAGGTTGTGTTCTTGGTGTCATACCTAGGTCTAGCTGTGTTTTGTGCTGCTGCCACCGGATCACGGAATGTCTGGACACTAATCATTTTGCGATTTTTTGCGGCCTCATGTGGTGCTTCTCCGTTCACAAATGCCGGTACGTTTAGTATTATTTTGATAATTAAAAGGATGATTTGGATTTCTTAATCCTGTTTTGAATGTGTAGGTGGTATAATTGCCGATGTCTTCACCGCAGAAGAACGTGGTCTTGCCATGAATCTGTTTGCCGGGGCGCCTTTTATTGGCCCTTCACTTGGTCCAATCATTGGCGGGTTCCTAGGAGAAAACGCAGGCTGGGTATGGGTACAAGGATTCCTAGCGATTTTTACAGGTCTCATCTGGATGGCGGAAGGACTCGTCATTCCTGAAACATACGGGCCTGTGCTTCTTCGCAAACGAGCGGCTCGGCTGAGCAAAATTACAGGCAAGGTATACGTGAGCAAATTGGATCATGAAAGCCCCAAGGTTACGACCGGGGAAGCCTTCGCTACTGCTTTGGGCCGGCCATGGGTTCTTCTCTTTGCGGAGCCTATTGTCCTTTTGCTTTCTATCTACATGGCGATTGTATACGGAACTCTCTATCTCCTATTCGGTGCATTCCCGATTATCTACGAGCAACACCGCGGTTGGAGTGAAGGAATAGCCAGTCTACCCTTTATTAGTGTCCTCGTTGGTATGCTTATCGGTTTAGGATACAATATGTGGGACAACCAGCGATATTTACGTATCAGCAAGAAGTTTCACGGATTCGCTCCTCCAGAGGAACGACTCCCACCTGCCATGCTAGGCGGAATTGCAGTTCCTATAGGCCTTTTCTGGTTTGCTTGGACAAATTCAAACAGTGTCCCATGGATCGTTAGCGTGATTGCAGCAGCCCCGTTTGGGTTTGGCATGGTCATGGTATTCCAGACCATCATGAGCTATCTTATTGATGCCTACACGATTTTTGCAGCTTCTGCGCTGGCTGCTAACTCCATTATCCGGTCGGTCTTTGGTGCTGTGTTCCCGCTGTTCACTACATACATGTACAACAACCTCGGCATTCACTGGGCTTCTTGTGTGCCTGCATTTCTAGCGCTCGCCTGCGTGCCGTTTCCATTTCTTTTCTACAAATACGGCGCTCCGATCAGGCAAAGATGCCGGTTTGCCGCTGAGGCGGATGCATTCATGAGGACCCTTGAACGGAAAGCAACCACCAAAGATGCCAACCGTGCCGCCCAGGAGGAAGCCATGTTGGAGCAGGCTATGGAACATGGCACGATCGAGGAGCAAGCCTCAATCATGTCGCGCATCAGCACGGGGATCAGTCTCACATTGACAGATACCGGAGAAGAGGCGCCAGGTCTGGAACGCGTTGGGACTTACCAAGCAAACCCATACGACATTGATCGGGTTAATACGCGGTCGTCGGCGATTTCAAGACCTAGATCTGCCAAAAGCTTGTCGAAGAAGTAGATAGTATACACATACGCCTCTACATAGAAATAGAGAGAGAGATATATATATGTGTGTATGTATATATTATATACAATGCATGCTTTGCAAAAAGCAAAGAATCCATCCCAGAAATTACCCGATTGGGTAATCAGCGGGCAGTGGCTGACGTCATGCCGAGCTTTGACGTGCGGACAAAAAATCCGCCGGTTTGTCCTTCACGATGCTGCATCATTCATCCATGCTTGCTCTCTCTCTTCGGTGCTTGTCCTCGTGTTCGCAGTTCTTCTCTTGCATAGTCTCCACCTGCGCAGTGATTCCCTGTTCTCGTCTCCTTCCGTTCTCGACATGGCACTCCAGCAGCGCAGTCTATATCGTCATCCAGTAACTTGATCACCACAGTAACGTTAAAACAAGGCTGCGACAAAGTCCCCACCTCTCCTGCTTCACTGTCTCTTTCTTGCCTGCATCTTCTGACACACAGACTGTCAGCTGGCTGGCCCAATCCAACATCTCTTTATTTATTTCATAACGATGCTTCCTCCCTCCGCAGATCACCCAGGAGTTATCATCACCTGAGGAATAGTTATCAGGGCTTTTTCAGCTGATAAGCCGACGTCAACACCGCCACGCTTCTATATTTGTTTACCACGCCGATTCTTTCTTTATACATAAGCACGCCACTACTAGTCAATACTTCTGGCATGAATGAATTCTCTCCACCCCAACACTGCAAATATTCGAAAGAGAAGGGGGACCAGCTATTGGTTTGAAAAAAAAAATAAAAATCATGAGATCAGGTCTTCAGAATCCCGGCACAATCCCACTGCTGGCGGTCTTGGTTGCGGGCTTGTTATCGATAACGCCTCATCTTTGCGAGGCGCTGGCAAAGCCAGACGATGCGCCTGGCATCGGTATGCCGTCCTGATTATACGCAAAAATCATAAAATATACGTTGCTGACGCATCTTGGAATTAGGTCACTCTGTGGATTCTGATAATTTTATGCCGACTATATGCCAACATGTGCCATCACCTAGTATTAGCTTAGGGTTAGGCTCAGATTCAGATCCGCCTTTGATAAAAAGCGCATTCAACAATATAGAGACTTTATGGCAGCAGGTCTGCCAGATCGCCACTACTTTTGTCTTCTCCTCTTCCATATCCTCGAAACAGCAAGGTGCATATACACTCCAAGCGCTGGGGCGCAGTCGCGTCGATCTTGACGAAGTCCTGACTTCTCCACGACAACGAACTTTTCACGACGGTATCATTAGTAACGACACTCAACCCATCATGGACTCGAAATCAATCACAATATCACTCGCATCTTTACATAATCCGACGGTGGACAAGAATAGCAATCCTTCCTCTTCATCGTCATCATCGTCGTCGTCGTCATCTTCCTCGACATTACCATCAACGTCTTCTATCCAACAAGCTTCTTCTACGCCTCAGCCTGAAAAGGCACTTATCAACGCATCTAATCCCGTGGACCACAAAGGTAGCTACATGGCCATTCTCGTCAGTTTGGTCGTTGCTATCATATGGTTCTAAGTATCTTTCAAAAAGTAGATCCCCTTTTTTGGGGGGCCCTACTTCTTCTGCAATGCACATCTTTCCCGTTATAATTCCATGGTTACATTCTGAACGCGTTCTGAGCCTGGTAATACCCCTGGCCATTTCTTGTGAGTTCATATTCGGTGATTATAGTTTGATAGGTTTTGGAATGTACATGATTCGATGACGTTTTTGTCGTTTTTATTGATTGATTGCCATGGATGATGCTAGTGTGCTGGACATATAAGCCTGGATATAATAATATCCGTTGATAGGGCAATTTTAGATCCAATGGAATCACTACATATATAGTAATACAAGTCTTTAGTAAGTCTATGGTACATGCGGATCCACTGATAATTCTTCCCCTGAGATGAAGCGACAGTAGCCGGTAGCTTCAGCAATATTCTTCTCAGTCAGCCGGGCTACAAGAGTATTTGAGTCGTCTGACTCGCTAATTGGAGCCCAATCGCCATATTTCTGACTGAGTAATTTCCACCCGGTCCTTCGATATAATGTTCCTGTTATCCCTCACCACTGAGGGTGCTATGATGTGACCTGTGCTGACTTGTTGACTAGTTTCCCTTCCTGCGTCGGGCACCAGAAACCACACCAAGTTTGGCTAGGTGTAGTACGCGAGAGGTAGAGAATGCCATCCAGAATGGTATTAAACAGTCATAAAGAGGATGGACCTTTGAGTCAATTGACGTCGCAGCATTTCTGGCTTTGATGTTGTTCTTGAGAAGTTTTCCCATGACTTCCGTTATCTTATAAACGTTGTAGGACCATTATCAGCCCCTGAATGGTATTTCCCAGAACTGTAAGAGTGTGTATGGTAGCTGCTGTCCTATGGGCATGCTAGATGGGCACATCAATGTCATCTCAGCTTTGAATGGGCTTTCGGCGTAGTCGTGCTAGCTTATTGCGACCACCGACTGAATCATTATCACCACGAACATTAAGAACATGTACGGTAGCTGCTGCTGTATGGCCACGTTGGATGGGCGAGCTAATTGCTGGAATTGTAGGATTTGTTGTCGAGCATCAAACGCTGCCTAATTTTGCGTTGGGATTAGAAGGACACAAGTGCGCTGTTGAAAATTATCACGCTGTTGGAAGCCCTGTCCTGACCAGATCACAGTGAAAGGACTCATATCCACTGAGGCCATTGCCCTGTCAACACCTTCGACTGTAGGTGGAATTTTCAGCGGGGTATATGTACTACTTCATCGTGAGCGCCCACTGTCATTGCCCCAAAACTGTAAGAGTATGTATGGTAGCTGCTGCCATGGGCTACCACAACGGATAAGCTCGACTAATATCCCAGCTTTCGAGAAAGTTTTTGCTTAAATGCATCATGATAAGCGACTGATACTGCTGCTGCCGTATGTTTAAAATTAGCCGTTCGTCGATTTCATCTCAAGTTTCATATAACATGTTTCCCTAGATGAGCCAGTGATGATCAACAACAACTGCATGATGGCGATCTTGTTGGAAATGCTGGATGAGTGAATGAGCGACTGTGGGTGATGAACAAGTTGTTGGTTGACTAGGCAGCAATGCAAATAACATACCTGGTCATGTGATAAGAAATAGCAGTGCCGTACATGTGTCAACGAGTGAATTGCAGGGCCTGACTCGAGGGTCGACGAGATCTTGTCTTGGGTTGGGTATGTTCGTTTTGAGTTGACCAGCATGGTCAATGATGCTAATGACGAACATGGCTTCCAGTCATTCCCTCCCTCCCTCCGCCATACTGTTGGGGCAACCGAAGCGCGGTCGAAGGGCGCTGGATGTGGTTCTGAAGAGAGAGAAGAAGTGAAAGAGAAGACGAGGGAAGGTGGGTTGTCTGTGTTTATGACCTGGCGTGTCTGCCTGCCTGCCTTAAGCGGCAGTCGCCCAATCAAGTTTGAGCAGTCACATGTCTTGCATTATCCTACATTCGTGATCGCTTTACAGGCAAACGCACACTTAAATAAATACAAAAACCTGACGCTTCATTGAAAGTATGACCGAGTAGGAAAACTAGTTGAACATGGACGTATATAGTATGCTGAGAAAATACAATATCCCCCATGAAGCAGGGGAAAGGATTAACGCAAGTCAATCCAGAGAAAATGGTTGTTGGCATTTCCGGGCTGAAGACAAAAGATGTCACCCAGCCAGCATTGAGAAAGATGGAGATTATGCGTTGGCAACGAAGACATTCAGATGCCAAAAGAAATTAGACATTGCGCTTTGAAATGTTCGAGGAAAATGACAGAAAGCTAACTCCGTGCGCCGTCGCCAATGCATTGAAAACGTAAAGGTTAATGGAAATATCATAGCGTTATATCGGGTTGATAATTGGAACAGGGGCTTTAGGTGTCGTGCTGCCCCCGGATGCGGCGGACGGTGATTGTTTCGATCCTAATTTGCCTTTCGTCTGTGGAGATGTAGGGGAATATTTCTTTCGGGTCGGAGTAGAGGAAGCTGATTGCTGATGAGATGGAGTTTTCTGGTGTGTTGGAGTTGACTGGCGTGATGGGGTGTGTAACTTATGTCCAGGCGGCGTCCCTTTGGTGGTACTTTGACCGTCATTACTGCGAGATCGATCGATACTGCTACCCCCAGCACTGCTCGTTTTACCACCACGCTTGACCATTCGTCCGAGGATAGCAACCAACTCCGCTGCATCCTCAAAACTATCATCATCCATTCCTTCTTGGGCATTGTATACATCTGCAATGGTCTGTTTGGCTAGCCGGCGACAAGCATCAGGGTCGTGGAGACAGTCATAGAGATATGCTGCATACTCAAGCTTCACAGAGAGACGCAGAGGATGCGATCCTGGGAGTAAAGTATCAGCTAAAGCAGCTGCATGGCGGAAGCATGGAGTCGCAGTTATCGTGTAGTCAAGGGCTGGTAGTAGAAATGATGCCGCTGGCTGAGGTTGGGGAACCGCAGCTAGGCCTGGCGGCCCTTTTTGAGAATCGCTTTTGGAAGGCTGTCGTACAGGTCCGCCTTCTGATGGTGGAGGAGTTTTGGAGATAGACTCTCGATTCAAATCAGATGTGTCAGCTGGCGCACGATTAATGCCATTCTGCAGGTTCGAGGAACTTGGGAGACTCGAAATCCCGGGCGTATGGATGGCAGGTTGGTTATGAAAAAGGACAAAGATGTGATAAAAAGATGCTCGCAACTTGTAGGCAAGTACTTTAAGCAAAATATAATCCTGCACCATTGGCAATATGTACTGTTCCACAATCACCAAGCCTTCGCGGGACAGCCAGACAATGTGGTAATACAATTGCAAAGATTTGGTCTCACGCATCGGGTCCAAACGACGGAGCTTTCGGGCGCGAACAAGCTTTTTTGATAGGACTACAGATAGACCAAGGATCTTGTAAAGCATGCTCGAAAGAAACGGGTTTTCATGGCTGGTGGTAGCCGCAAGTTGACCCAGATATTTCTGGTCAACTTCGTGAGAGGCCATCCAAATAACGAATATAGAAACGTCCAATTCCTGAGAAGATGTTTCTGAATCAGCACAACAAGCCTTCTCAAAATCGATGTCTTCTTCCGATACATCGCCATCGACGGCTCCCAACGCCGATTTCCAGTGGCTTGTGTCTGCCACAATTCCATTGACCATGTTTGAGTAAGTAGAAAAGAAAAACAAAGCCAAAACAAAAGCGAATTGAACAAAGAAAACCAGTGCGAAATTATGGGAGTGTAGAGATATACGGGCTTTTGTATTGTGTTAGGGTGGTGTTAATTGGATGAGAGGGTAGCCGCCGCGTAGCCGCCGGGCCGTCAGGAAACAGACTGGTGAAACAGGAACGGACACAGAAAAGGTAAATAGGCGCTTACCTGAATCCTTAGAAACCAATCACCAGCAATATTTTGTAATTAATGTAGATGAAATGTATAAAAATAGCAAGATTTTCCTAATCCTTGTTGAATTCGAAACAAGATGTAGATAGACGAATGGAAAGCCCCGAGCTAGATTAGTGACTTCAACAACCAAGGCCGACAAAGTTGGGGCAATGGAGAGCGTGACCCGTAAAAAAGTGTTGAAGATATGACTTTTCTTTAATCTTCAAGATTTGTGAGGGTATCGGCAATGCTCGCTTCCTGAGTTCGAAAGGCAGTGCCGTGCAAGCTGTGTGTTGGAGAAAATCCAGAACACCTCCGAACCGGAACCAAATTGACTTGTCAAAAGATACACAGCAATCCTGCGAGTACTTGTACAAAACCTCATTCACAAGGGATCAAAGTGAGTCGAAACTTAAGCGGTGAAGACAACGGCGACATGAGCTTTAAAAGGCAACAGCAAGTAATATACAGAAGGAACGCCAACAAATCCGGGCTTGGAAATGGCCGTCATGGAATCCTAGAACAAGAAGCCTCGAGTAAGCCCCTGATTTGATTTGGCTTTTAATTGATTACACCCTGAACAAGTGCACCCAATAAGATACATACCTGGAGGCAGTCGATTTTGTCCTCGGAAACACTGCTCGGCCTCCTATTATCGTTCCTAATCCGCAAAGATTTCCGCGCCAATCAAAAGTATCGTGGTTCACAGAGTGATTCTCCAGGCGTAAGAAGAGAAGAAGAGAGAATGTGGCTGTACAAAAGCTGGCTATTGCAATTCATCGTGAGTTGAGTAGTAACAGAGGGTTATGCAACCTTTGCCAGGCTAGAAAACATGGAGCGGTGGCAGGGCTATGGCTATAATCAGGCACAAAGGCACAATTTTGCCGCACTGCAACTCTGTCTACGTAACGAGACAGAAGCGTCGGGGCAGCGCAGCACAATACAGTAACCCGATCGAGGCGGTCAATTGGTTCCCATCTATCAAGTAGCACTTTAAGATCAATGCCCGGTTTCCGGTAGTCTGGTCGAGGACAGTTGGCGGGTACAATTGTCGGCAGCTAGATGAATGTCGCACTGCTGGGAGGGGAAGAAATAGAAAAAAAAACAGAATTCCTAAAGCTAAGTGTGGTCCCTTGCCCAATCCAGACGGTTTCTACGAGCCGAAATCGAGGATGCACGTCATAAATTTTGCATTCTTTCACAATCTTTCTTTGGTTGCACAGCGAAAATAGATCAATTGCCTGGTGCTTGGCAAAAAAAATCGGGGGGTTGGTCGACAGTACATATGCATCCAGAAACTACGTGTCAGAGCCAGAGCTCCTCGCGACGCTCTCTAGGCTGGGCCGGGGCCTTAAGCCGCGGTCATTGTGGATCAGCAGTCGCCAGGCAGCCCAGTCAGAGCCGGTCAATCCCACGCAGATCGGATATCACCAGCCTTTAAGTTAGCGCGACACGCCTATACGGAGTATATTGGTAACAATTCGTTTCCAATACAGCCATGGACACTTTTAGACTGACGCTTGCCAGCGTGGCAGCGGGCTGTCCCACTGAAACTTGACATCGCTGTTCTTTGCTCAATGCTGGCTTTGCCATTTGCTCCCCGAGCGCTCTTTTCAAGACTCCGGATTTGTCAGAGGCACCAGTGGTCCTTTGGGTTCTGTTCATGATGACGAAGTTTGTGACTATTTAGGCCAACATGCTAGGCGAGATGTGGCAGCGGTATAGCCACCATAACCTAGGTATTCATAGGATTATGGTACGTAGTATTAACTGGGCGGAAACGCGGCCGGGGGTGAGCACCCTGCACACCGTAATAATCCTGGCATTGATTTGGGCGAGAACGGTAGGGCCTTGCCGCCTTGGTGGTGGCTATCCAGCAGGGGAATTATAATGAGGCCGTAACGCCCAATACCGACCGCCAGTTTGGTCGTATTTGTCGTTATTGGCTAGGCCAGGGATGGCTAGAGAGAACTGTAGATAAGCGATCGCTCGGTAGACTGAGGTTCGAGGTGATGGGGTTAAGCCGCCAAGTCTGCATTCATGTAGGTACGAGTGTGCAAAGGCAGCTAATCATGCGAGAAAGCAAAAGAGGGTGAGTGGATGGAGAGAGGGAGAAGTTGAGATGTCACTCGATGGAGCAAGGGACGGAGGAAGGAACGGGTACAGCGAAGGCGCGGCCCGCTGCTGACCCAGACATTGAATGCTGCCTGAGGCCTCCACTTGGCAGAGTTAGGTTGTTTGCCTACTGTACATCAACTGTTGCTCTACCTTATTGCTGATTCCATCCAAAGCAGTCTGCAAGGTTGGATGCATTCCCTTTCTGCACCAACCACATTTTCAATGTGTGAGGTCCTTGGTCTGAGTTTACACTTCGGGCCCCTACCTTCATGCATTTCATGCACAGGGTTCAACGCATTAGCAAAGCTCCCATTTTGTTTCCGGCTGTAGTCCTGGGAACAACACTTTGTGTGCCCTGATTCAAGCCTGAAGTAGTGCCAGTCTATGGATGTAGCCTTTTTGTAGAGCGGAGGCATTAGTATATTTTGCACCATGAAAGCATGCAAGAACCTATGCGTCAAGTACGATATGAGTCTATATAGCAGAAGGATCGAATCTTGCTATATAGATTGACAAATCTCATCAATCACTCGCATTCAAAGTTCGAGGTTCCAACTTACTTAATCTAGGGACCCCAGGATTCTTCACGTCGATTCGATTCCTCCACAGTGGCAAAGCAGTAAACCTTTACGGCTAATACTCATCGCTCGTTGACACGGTGGTGCAACGTCGATCTGGTATCCAGTTGATTGATCAATCTCTGTGCATGTCACGGCATCATCTTCAAACAATGTTTCAACGCATGGCCATGGGCTGGGTTTACCTGAGACTAATCATCTGCAAGGCACCTTTTCTAGAGATAAATGTGCATCAGATCTGATTCCAACCAGCAGGCCATATTGCCATGGAAGGAGAGACAGGATCTTTAGTGATTACTGCAGCGGTAAATACCTATATTGAACGATGGTTGCAGGGTTCTTTTCAAGATCCAATACGGATTGAGGGTGAAGCCACCTGCGAATTGACACTATCACTTTCCTACACAACAATGAAATAAAAGCATCTCGCTTGCATTCTGGAAATAAATCCCCAGTACAGACACAGTATAGTATACTTGCTATAACAGCAAATGATCAAGAAGAGGAACAAGCCTGACGCCACCATAGATGATAGATGTGCGTATTTCCGGTTTGGGATTAGCGTAGTCGACGTACGTACTTCGAGAACGCGATGGCTGCCTGCTTCCTTCAAAACTCCCGACATCTTCTGTTGTTTTGTCCGAAAGCCTGAATACAACCATCGGGATTATCAGAGTGGTTCAAACTGGAAGAAATACTCAAAGAGCAAAAGAAAGACGAGAAAATTATGGACGGATCCGTAGATGCGTCTTCCGTACCTTCAAACTCCAGCTTCGGACAAGATGACGATCCCGTCAAGCTTTTCCTATGTTGGGTACGCCAGTCATGCGACGAATGCATATCGGTGAAGAACGATGTGGACTGTAGCTGGTGTCCATACGTACGTCCTTTTTTCTTTCTTTTGATTTTGCCATACACAATGTGTTTTCTATCTAGCACCTCGATCCTATATGGCTAAATCCGCTCTATCACGCAAGCCTCAACATCATAACATTTATCAGATGGATTTTTCATTCTTCGTTTCTGCGTCAAACAAAACTCCTTGGGCTTGCCTATCACTTCAACTTCATCACTAACAATATACACAGTCATCAACTTGTGTCCCCAACCCATCCACCAAATACCCCCTCCTAGCTCCTATCGACCACCCAGACATCTGTCCCCTAGGATCAAAGGAGCGCTGGGAATTACGTGCTCGCGGGTTGGGTTGTAACGTTAGCACTCGCAACTTTCTATCCGTCATCGTGGCTGTTGCGAGCTCCTTGGCTTTGATAGGCCTGATTGCATTGATTTTCGCCAGCTTGAAGAAGATGATCCGCTGGTGTACGACAAAGAAGTTACAGAGGGCAGGGAGAGGCCGCCTGGGGATTATATTTTTTAGAGACTGGGATGATGACAGGGCTCATAGCTCTACTGGAAGACGACGAGGACGGAGAACTGCTCACGGTGCACCACTACTTAATGAGACGAGTCCTTTGCTAAGGAGAGATGATCAGGAACTAGACGTTTGAGACGTTTGCTTGCTAGGTACCAAAGTGGCCGCCGCAGGATGATACGTATAATGGGTTGATTGTCATGCTGAAATAAATAACGCAATTTTATGTGGAAAGCGAGTCATTGTCTCTTCAATTTCCAGTCATCCAGCTCCATCCCCAAGGCTCGAGCAGGGCTCAATGCCACATATTCCAAGTCTCCTATCAATGTTCACAAAAATGATACAGGTAGCAAGGTGGCTTGTTTCAATAAGCACATTGAGGCTAGCTCCTTTCCTAATTAGAAGGACTCCTACGCCCCATAGCAAGCTATAAAAGGCATTGTCCCAAAGGACTTGCTGAATCCCCCTTCTTCTCTCTGACAGTCGACCCAGGTGTTTGAAACGAAGCAAAACCTTGTCTCGAGAAGGGAAGTGTTCATTCAAAAAATCTCAGTCTCTAGGCCCACGGCGACCCTCATTTAGTGAGGGATGAGACAAATAACTATGCCCAGTCCAAGGAGAATAAGACTTCATCCAAGAGGAAGAAAGACAAGATGGCGATATTTGAGATATTTGTACAGAGCTTACGAGCTGATGGAATCCACTATAAGAAAGTCGTTGAGAAAACTATGGACATCACCACATCACCCCCCACCACCACCATTATCATCAAATCCGGATGTAATGCGCGAATACTTCGATAACAGGATCTGGGCGCCACAGGGAATAAAAGGGAAGAAAGAACCATCAAATTAGGTGATCATATTTCAACTCAAATTGCAACCTTAGCCACTACTGTTGCTATCCGTATTATTATCATCATCGTCACCTTCACTTTCACCATTCTCACCGGGTGGTCTTCCAGCAACCAAACGCGATGATTCACCATGCGTCTCTGACTGAGAAATGCGATACTCGAAGTTCAGTTCACCAACTAATGTTTTAATATTCCTAGATAAATAGAAAGAAAATAAGTAAACATGTAACTGCTATCAAAGAGAAGATGGGAGAATACCTCAGAAGATCCTTCATACACCACGCAAGCACCGACCTCAGAACCTCCAGGGAGATGAAAGCCGAGAAGGTGGGATCTTCCAAATGACGCACATGGAGCAATTCCTTATTTATCTTTTGCATTCGACGCGCCAACAAAAATGACGGTGGCGTATGTAAATATGGGGGCAATGGCTGATTATTAGTGACTGATGCCGATAAATGGCAGAGGAAAGATGAGATTCTGGCGGATTTAAAGTCGGTGGTCTGTAATGCTATTTTTCCTAGTTGAGTGAACCAGGGTTCTTCGTTCTGTTCGTGTCTTTCTTCTTGTTGTCTTTCCTTTTTGGTATCCTGTTCTTCTTTTTCTTCTTGCTGCTCTTGACTTGCAGATGCCTCCTCGGCATAATCCGTAGGAGGTGATGGAGGTACTGGGAATGGCAGTAGCTTTTCTATAGATTGCGTCGTTTTAACCATTAACGACATACTGGACAAGGCATTCTGTATCTCCGCGATAATATCGTCGTAAATTCTTTTCGGGAATTTTCCACCAACCGAAGGCTCGAAAACGGTGAACCGGCTGTGATTCCGTAACTCGTCGAGCAATACCATCTCTTTCCTGAAGATTTTCCGTATTATTTTTACAAGCCGATGTGAAAGGCTTTCACGATCGCGTATACCGTCGGGAAGCCCACTGCTCATCCATAGTGCGGTGCTCGTATGTGTCACGCTGTAGAATTGTGCCAGGATAAAGAGACTATGACCAAGCATTCTGCGTAGCTTGGATTTTGCGGTGCTTGTGTATGGGAAAATGGTCCAGAAGAGGATGATGACACAAGCCACTATCACCGCTGCCAGTTTGTATGGGCCAAAGATGTAGATTGGCATCTTTTGTTGTAATCCGGCTGACGCGGATTGCCCGCTTCCTCCCTTGTGCTCCTAATCATTTTAATACGTCAATGCTAATGACCAAGTGAGAAAACTAAGGGGAGAAAGAAAAGAAGAATACTCACTTCCAACGTGGATGCAATGATCACATTTAGAGCCAAGATGGCGATAACACAGGGTTCTAGAATCTCCGGATGCTTGACGTAGAAATAATACTATCTCCGCGTAATTGGAACATGAGGATGTCAGACTTTATTCATACAAGATATGCAATCGAGACATTGCGGTGACTTCTTACCTCAATCATGTTTGCAAAGTAAAGAAAGATGATGACGCCGGGAAAGTTCTGGTCTACGATGTACCAGACAATCAGGCTTAGCACCAAGGAGACAGCTGTTCCGAGAATGCGGCTCATCAACATCAAGAATGTTTCTCCACTAGTCGGGTTCATGCTGATGATAATGACAGTCACGGCCCAAATGCATCTCCTTCGAAAGAAAAAATCTTGAGTACGCCGGAGGAATGCTAGAATCGCAATACAGAATGAAGCAGCAGTAACACGGAAACCAAAGACGCTGTGTTCGGACGCTAGTCCACGAGCAATCAAGCGAAGAACGTTACTGCCTTTCTCCCACATATTGGCTGGGGGCAGACGTTCGGGATCTGGGAGGTGAGTACGCTCTTCTCCCTGGCCAATATCTGATATAGAGCTGGACGGCTGGTCGACGTCGGATTTTCCGTCTTCTGGCTTGAGAATAGAGAGCAATTGCTTGATAGATCCATGTTTAGGTAGAATTGGTCGGTAAGATTTCATCGTGCCATCTGCTACCTTGCTGTCTGCAAATTTGAGAATCTCATGCGTGGCGTGAAGCAGAAGATCCTGCATGTGGTTCATGTACAAGATCAAAAAGAACTCCAATCGAATATTAGAACTGGATGTGATAAGGTCACGGTAATTTTCTGTGGATAAGGAACGGTTTTCAAAGTCCTTGCTGACTTCAGACAGAGCTAGGGACGACAATGTTGCCGGGAAGTGCCTACGCCGGCGAAACGTTTCATGCATTGTGCGTTCAAACCGGACGACGAAATATGGCTCTAGGGGATTCAAGGCAAACTTGCCAGATTCCTCGTCCTTTGGAATAGCGAATGCTGCATCAGGTTTCCGCTGTTTCTGAAACTGTTTGGGGGTCATTAATTCCATCACTAGGAGAAAGTATTGAATGCCCGTAGTACCCAAGACAGCTGTCTCGGATAAGTGCTCCTGAAGCGTATCTACTGCCTTTCGTAATTCTGATTGCTTCATGAGAACTTCTTCATCCGGGTCATTCGCCATCATTTTCATTTGTTGGTGCCTTTCGTATTTGATGTGCATCTCAAGGATACCTGGAAGCATCGAGATGCCGGAGATTGGTAAAAGAACAGAACCTAGTAACTCTTCGATCTTCGCGAGGTCTTCGATACGCAGTTTCCCTATAGCAAACTCACTCCGTGAATACAACAGATCGTACTGTAATTTGCTGAATAGAGAGTCCAATTTAGCCATTGTTGTCTGCACTTTTTGTTTTGAGGGATGTAATTTAGATGGGAAATTCGTTTCATCCACAGTTTCGTCATTTGGCCGATTTTGCATCTGTTGAGCTCGTCTCAAATTCCCATGAGCAAACCACACAGCTAAATTTTCCACTGTGTCTCCCACAAAGGCAGCTTGCTCTTGAAGCACAGACTCTATCAGTAAAGCATAGTCTCTTGCGTCTTGGAAAAAGAAGCCGCGGCTAGTAATAGGAAGGATGAATAATGAGACAGCAGAGGCAATTGCAAATCCAATCAGTATACTATCAAAGAGCTTCAACGTGTAATCAATGCCTTCATCAAAAGTTGAATAATTACCGAAATGGGTAATGGTAACGGCCGTGAAGAATGAAAAGCTAATAACGGGATTTTGCAGCTCCGCCGGACGCCACGAACGCACTGAATTTGCTATCCTGGATGAAAAGAAAGATTATTGATATTTGGAGGTTAACTCATCTTATTTGAAATCATTAAAAGCTTACCAGATTGTTACAATGAGCCATATAGCAGCGACAGCGTTGGCGTCGCTATTATATCCATTGTTTGCGTGATTAGGAGCATGAATACGGCGGTTATGCTCCCCTGCCTTGACAGAACAATAGAGCGCTAGACATGAAAATAAGAAGGCCATGCACAATGCCAAAATATTGAAGATCATGATCTTGAGAAACTTGCCGCGAGGCATGAGACAATGAGATATGATCACTGCGGCAGCAGCTATATGGGTAGTGCTACCGGTGGTATGTAAAATCGAATCAGACAAGGACCTATCAAGGAAAAAGTTTAGTAAAAGCAGGTCATGATATGTACCAGCACGTCTCTCGTCGCAGGAAAGACTCTTTCTTACATGGCAACTACGACAGTGGGTGGCAGAGCAGCTTTCATGATAACCAGGAATGTATGCGAGCGCAATGTCCGCCATGATAGTAGAATTGCTTTCCTGCATCAATGGTTAGTTTTTGCTCGGAGCTTAGTTCTTGGGGTTAGCTAACTTCGACAGCCTGGCTGCAGTGGTACTTGGAGTCTCTGAATCAGCCATTGTCACTTGCCACTTTCCTTGATTGATGGTCCAGTCCAAACTTCAGGAACAAGGATCAGACCCAGAAGTTGTCCTCAGGGTACTCTATCTTCATGCTGATCCGTTCTCTATAGCTCTAATTGGCAAGGAAGACTTGCGATGGAAGTCGCAGAAACTGCATGAGGTCGCCCATCGGGACAGATTGCCGGCCAATGTTCCATATTCGCGTCATGGTTACTCGGTGCTTCTCGGCGAGAGGGGAGTTTCCCTAAGTGCGAATGTATAAATAATTCGTATGCATATTTGATATGGTCGATGCTACCAAGAGACCCGATTGTAGGTACAGTAACGAGCGTGTCTGTTCTGCTGGAATAAAGATGTTTGAGTTCCTTTTAGGGCTAGCCCCAGGGACATCCTGGCCAATCGTTGGACTCTGATGAATATATACTTTGATATTCCAGATGCGGTTGTCGAATGCTTGATATCTTAGAAAGTCTCTGGTAAGTTCTAATTTCTATTTTGAGACGTATCTCAGCATTTCCCAAATACTTTCATCCCCCAAACCGAAAACGAAAATGATAACTCCTTGTATGCCACCAGTTCATGAATCATACTATATAACCCCAAAGATTTAATATAAGCCTCGCCATGTACGACTACTCCTAGGCAACACGGCCAGCCTTCCCAATCTGAATGCGCTCGCCCGTCCATCTATCGTCACTGCGCAACACAGGCCAACTCTGTCCGTCGGCCTTGGTCAATTTCAATTCCAACTTAGTGCCGAAAATAGTATACGACGATGTCTCTGGGTTGATGGGCCCGAATAGATTATATGTCTTTGTAAAGCGTTTGTTGTCACTGGTAGGGAGATCAAAGTCTGCAGTGTTTGCCGTGAAAGTGACCTTTGCTTTTTCCTTGTCGATCTTTTTCAGATATAGTGATGCATTGATAGTACTTGCAGTCTGGTAGAAATCATTGCTATAGCAAATCAATTACTGTCAGTGTAAACCATTCGAAGCAAAATATAAGACAAAAGCGACTCACCGGACGTCGTCTACTTTCTCCTCTCCCGCAGCCTTTCCTTTGCCCACAAATAAATGTCTCTTCTTATCCGCACAGCCGGGGATCTTCATGAACTCATCGAATTCCAAGACTCGCTTCTTACAGCAGGACCATCCTTTGCTGCCTTCATGGAAAATCGGCTGTCCTGGATGGTAGGTGCACTCCTCATTGTCGCGAGACACATCTGGTTTGTATGTGGCGTTGCAGCCCTTGCGCCTGCAAGTTGCATTTGCAGGAATCGAAAGGGAGGGGTCATCGGATTCTGGTTCTGGCGGAGGCGCGGCGGCCGCTGTGTTGGTTGCCGGTGTAGGAAGAGGAGCAGAGGTGGTGGTAGCGATTGGAAGAGTCACTGGAGCTGGCTGCTCAGTTGCCGCTGCAGCTACGGCGCCCTCATCCTTCTTGGGCTCTCCTTGCGGTGTATCGTCGACTGTAGAGTGTTTACCCGTCGTGCAAGGTGGGATGCTCAGGAACTCGTCGAAAGTGAGAACGCGGGGTTTGCAGCATTTCCAGCCTATGCAAATCGGCGTTAGAAGTTTCAAATATTTGTAGAGTCATGTAGAGATACCTTTTTGTCCCTCATGGAAGACTGGAGGCCCCGGATGGTAGACACAATTTTCGTCTGGATCGGTGAAGACCTTGCCGCAACCCTTGTGAACGCACTTGTCCGCCATCGCGGGAGTCTTAACGCTGTGAACGGTGAGAGCAGAACAAAAAAACGAGTCACAAAATGCAGCAATTGAAATGACACTCTTGGAGCTGAAAGAACCACAAACAGGCGTCTATCGGAATATATGAAGCAAAATGGCGGAGAAAAACCGTCTTTGCGGGGATCTGGACTGCCTATTATGGCTAGTTCCGACACTCGAATGTTCCATGGATTCCATCGACATCTGCCCGTCTTCCTTCCTCCGCGTTGGAATTGCGGCGAATTGGTCCTTATCTGCAACAATGCATTTTACTCGAGCCCTACGCGCCTCTAACGCAGCCCGGCTGACTCTTTTTACTCGCGCGCAATGCGGTCTATGCGACAACGCGAAGTTGACCCTGTCGAAGCTGCAGCAACGCCGAGCATTTCCCTACTCTGAAGTCGACATTATGGCCCCGGAAAACAAACAGTGGAAGGACGTCTACGAATTCGATGTGCCTGTGCTCCACGTTCAGTCGCCCAAGTCAGACGATGAGTCGGGGCTTCGTAAGCTGTTCCATCGATTCTCAGAGAGCGAGGTAGAGAAAGTTGTCGACGACGCCGAACGGTGAACCATGAACCAATTCTATCCCGAGCGACGACCGATGCACCGGAATCCATTGTCCATGGAGCTAGATTATAAAGTCCCCGCGCATGTCAGATCCACTGCCTCATGAGCGATCATATTTCCGATGGTGGCCTAGATGGTTTCTGTCGACCAGAGGACAAGCTCGCCCATTTCAGACAGGGTCTCTACGCTCAGAATCCGAAATGCCTGCCCACGATCTGGTTTATCGATGCACAAGAATTGTACTGGGAGCGCAAAGCCAGCGCGCGTATTGTCGAACAGTATGTAACAGAACAACGAAGCAATAATAAGACAGCATGTTGTACCCCTTCCGCGTGCTTGGGATGTAGCAGCGACAGTGATTGTCACCTAGATGTAGATACCATTCCGTCATGAGAAGGCTGTTTACACGCATTGCGTATACCTGTGCTTTTCTTCTACGCACTAACTTTTGCTTCTATCAAACATCAACGGTCGCTCTTGGCTGAGCTCAGCTCATCCGATCAGCCGCCCAACATGGACTAGTTTTTTATCCGTCGGTCTCCGAGCCTCCGACAAGCTACGTGATGCAGCTCCTCCTCATGTTAGATTCGTTGCTTTTGGGCATGGGATTACCTGAATGAAATATCCAGCATTATATCAATAAAGATGGTGAGTACAGCAATCGCAAGTGGAAGCCTTCCCTTAGGGATGAACGTTGAGCTTCAACGACTCGCAGCGCCAATGAACGGAGACAAGACCATCAACAACGAACAGCAACAGCAACAGCAACAGCCGGAAGATCTTGTTGCCCAACCTACAGTCCCTGCCACCAATGGGATGTTATCAGAACCGGAACCAGAAAGAGTCCTGAGACCCTCGCGCATTGCCGTCATCATGCTATCGCTCAGCGCCAGCATCTTCGTCTCCGCGCTAGACATTACTATCATGTCAACCGCTTCTCCGCGTATCGCTAGCTACTTTCGCTCAGCTTCGGGCTACACGTGGATTGGCAGCTCTTATACATTAGCCAACACAGCTACGACGCCGACATGGGGCAAGATCTCGGATATTTGGGGCCGTAAGCCCTTGTTACTGGCTGGGTTAGTCATCTTTTTTGTGGGCAGCATGTTTTGTGCATTGGCAGATTCAATAGGGATGCTTCTTGCAGGACGAACGATCCAGGGAGTGGGCGCTGCTGGCTTGAATACCTTGGTGAATATCTGTGTGAGCGATTTGTTCGCTCTTAGAGATCGTGGCCTCTATTTCGGATTACTGTCCGTTGTCTGGGCATTGGCAAGCGGCGTGGGACCTGTTCTTGGAGGGGTGTGCTCAGAAAAACTATCGTGAGTTGGTCCCTTTATCTCACGACAGCGGGAAAGTATGATTGATTTGAGTTGGCCATCTTTCATAGATGGAGATGGTGCTTTTATCTAAACTGTAAGCCTGGAAGTCCTAAATAACCATGAAAGAACGTCGCGGCTGATACTTGACAGTGCCAATTATCGGCGCAGTATTCTTCTTGCTCTGGTTCTCCCTCCAGCTGAGCTCTCCTCGGACCCCGATATGGGAAGGCCTCAAGGCCGTTGACTGGACAGGCGGGTCTCTGGTTATTGGCAGCACCCTCATGCTTCTTCTTGGTCTGGACTTTGGCGGCGTCACTCGTCCATGGAGCTCGGCAACTGTGGTTTGCCTTCTTACTTTTTCCGCCTTGGCCGGCGCCTTGTTTGTCGTTAACGAGAAAAAGCTTGCAAAGTACCCCGTTATTCCGATGGAGCTTTTCCGATACAGATCCGGAATTGGATCGTTTCTCCTCTGCTTCTGCCACGGACTTGTCTTTATGGGACAAGCTTATTATCTCCCATTTTATTTCCAGGCTGTACTAGGCATCAGTCCGATTATGTCTGGAGTCTACTTCCTGCCCTTTATCTTGGCCATCAGCATCTCGGGAGCGTTGACAGGTCTGTTCATCCAAAAAACGGGGCGCTATTTGCCGACATCGTATCTGGGATTCATTTTGATGGCACTCGGTGTCGGGCTGCTCATCAATCTCGATACTTACCTCAACTGGCCGAAGCTAATGGCATTCCAAATCATATCCGGAGCAGGAATCGGTCTCAATTTTGAGGCGCCATTATTGTCTTTGCAAGCGATTGTGGGAAATCACAACGCTGCTACAGCCACATCAACCATTGGGTTTGTCCGAACCATAGCTTGCGCCATCTCTATAGTTCTAGGATCCGTGGTGTTCCAGGACCAAATGGCGAAGCAAGGTCCAAGCCTTACTGCAGCTCTCGGCCCCTCCCTTGCGAATCTCCTCTCTGGCGGGAGCGCAGCAGCAAACATTGACGTCGTCAATGCATTACCCCCGGCGCAACAGGCGGTCGCGAGGCATGCCTTCCACTATTCCCTAACCAGCATGTGGGTTATGGTAAGTGATTGCATCGCCCTGGAGCAGAGAGCAACTCTGTTGTAGCTAACGGACTGTATGCAGTATGTCGCGCTTGCGGGAGTCGGGGTCGTCGGCGGTTGCTTCATGCGGTCCCATCCGTTAAGTCGCGAGCATGCATCGGTGGTTTTAGGGCTAGAGCGTGAGCGCGAGAGTCTAAACAGCAATGCCTAGCCACTAGCAGTGGCTTGCTGATTGTAACTAGTTGATACTGGATGAGTAACTAGATACTAGATAGTCGGTCGGGCCTTGTTTACTCGGCGTGGAAACCATGACAACGGGGAAGCAGGCTAGACCGAAAGCGGAAGGTTGACGACTCTGCAGGAAGCCGCTTGCAGACCACGAGGCAAGACGGTCCTTCCCGCGATAGGCAAGGCTCGACCGCCGCAAGAGGCCAAGTGGAAGTTAGCGTGAGAGCCGCGGCCGATCAACCAATAAGAGCAATTTGCACTGCGGGTTCTGTTCCGCTAGCGCTCTCCTATTCGCCAACTTAGCCTGCGCTGTCTCCACTAGTAAGCCCTGTCAGCCACTCACATGGCTTGTTGGCCGGACGGCAGACGCACAACATTTCTGATTGGACTGTCATGTTCCTGTCCCACTGCACAGCTCCCTAGCAACAATTTCGTCCCTTCCGTCCAGCCATTGGTCTGATGACCCAGGCTGATCGCGGAGAACGAGCGATGGGCCTCAATCAGCGGCGGTGTTGCTGCTCCACCATCTGCTCCTATTAATTATTGTTGCCGCTTCTATTTTACTAGCAACATCTATCTACTCCTCTCACTTGGTTTTTTCTCATGTTATGCTTACCTACCTCCTAGCCTCTTCTACTCACTCCTCGCTTATTGTCCAATATCACTTATCCATTCCGTGTTATCATGCTCTCTAGCCTTATTACCGCAGGCAATTAACTCCAAAAGCTCCGCCGTGGACGAGGCGTCATTTTCCCGCGCACCGGCTCTTTGGTCGCTCGCACTAACTTTCGCGGGCTGTGCGAATTAGACCAGGGAGAAAAGAAGGCGTCATCTTGACGACCGTCGGTACATACATGCCATGTCGAAGTCGCGATTCCGAGATCCGAATCAATGGTCCCATCCGCAGGATCGTGCAGACCCCGAGAAGGCTCCCTCGCCCGCGTTCTATGATTCCTTCCCCAGCGACGACGAAATCGTATACTCCGACACGTCCCGCGTCACCTCGGGCTCGTTGAGCTCGCATATTCCCATGTTGCCCAGTCCCTCGCGGCGGCGAAGGCCGCGGAGGAATGGCATCATGCCGCATCGATTGATGAGATGTCTTTGTCTCGCCCTTTTCGTCGCACTACTCCTCTTCGTCCTCAATTTGTTCCGCTTCACCCTGTTTGGAAGTGCGGAACAAGTGCCCATTGAAATGTCGAAACCCGCTCCGAAACCACACGTATGGGAAAGCTTCCCATTCCTGAAACGTTATCATGGAGGCATCAGAACATTGGTATCGCGGAAGGAAAATGTGCCAGAGTACCCGGGAGATGGTGCTCCAAGTGACGAATTAACGCCATCCATGGAAGACTCCCTGCTAGAGAATGGAGGAAAGGGACAAGAAAAACAGGGCGAAGAAGAGGAAGCTAGAAAGTTTGTGCAAAAGCGCTCGGAGAATATCCCTCTTACTAGCTCTCCCTTCAATCCCTATCCGGATTACAAGTCAGAGGATTACATTGCGAAGTTCGGCGAAAAGGTTGAATGTTTCCTCGATGCGGAAAACCAGGTCAGGATACCTTATTTACAATATTACCCTGGTGTGCCTCAAGGTTTCCCCGAAGCAATCATGGGCTCCAACGAAATGTTAGGCATGCGTGACGATGTTTGCTTCGATCGTTTTGGTCGTCTCGGTCCATATGGGCTCGGATACGGTGCTAGGAAGGGCGGCAGTGGTGCTGGCATGGAAGGCGAGCGCGAAGGTTCCGAGCGTGTCTGGGATGATTATCCACCTGTCGACTTCCGTGGAGTCAGTTGGGCTGCGGCTCAGAATAGCTGTATCATTGCTAACCGTCACCGATTCGCTGACCTTGGGGACCCTCGCATGGATCGTGCTTTTGCCATGCCAATTGGTGCTCCAAAAGCCCATCTAGAAACCCTCCCGGCCCCTCAGGATAAAGTCCACGGTACGGACCATCTACCACGTACGGCAGTTTTAATCCGAACTTGGCACGAATACCATTACACCACTGAGGATATACTCTACTTGCGATCTCTGATCTCGGAGCTGTCGTTGATGACTGGCGGTGAATTCACCGTGCAATTCCTGATTCACGTCAAAGACGACAACTTGCAGATTTGGTCTGACGAAAAGACATACGATCGTGTCCTTCGAGATTCTCTTCCGGAAGAGTTCCAGGGGATGGGAATTCTATGGTCAGAACGACAGATGAATCTAATATATGGTGGCTTGGAAGAAAGTTTCGAGCGTGGGCTACCAGTTCATGGTGTGTACCGCAGCACTTTCATGCCTGTCCAGTATTTTTCTTATCTACACCCGGAGTATGATTATGTCTGGAACTGGGAGATGGATGTTCGCAACACCGGGCATTGGTACCATTTATTTGACAAGGCAAGCAGTTGGGCGCGCCAGCAGCCACGAAAGGGCCTATGGGAGCGGAATTCTCGATTTTATGTTCCCAGCGTACACGGGCCTTGGGATGATTTTATGCACACTGTTCGCGTGCAAACGGAACTCGGCACCAACAGTCCCAACAACATCTGGAGTGCAGTGAAGGACGCGGATGCCAAGGCTGATCCCAATCACAAGGACCACGGCCGACATGGTGAGGATTTCATATGGGGCCCAGCGCGTCCACATGAAAGCGACATCTTGGAGCTCGATATAGATGGAATACCTCCCACGAGTATGGAGAAGGATAAGTATGAATGGGGTGTTGGGGAAGAAGCCGATCTCATAGTATTCAATCCACTGTACGACCCCGAAGGAACTACATGGCTGCTCCGAAACGACGTTACTGGCTACAATCGGGAAGAAGGGTTACCAGAACGTCGCGCTGCCATCATCACAGCGTCTCGACTTTCTCGAAAACTACTCATGACCATGCACCGTGAGACAAGCATGAAGCGACACACAATGTTCTCCGAAATGTGGCCGGCAACTACAGCACTACATCATGGTTTGAAAGCGGTCTATGTTCCTCATTCGGTGTACATCGACCGCAAATGGCCACCACGATATGTGGAGGCTGTCTTCAACGGAGGCCGAAATGGTGCTTCTGGTGGGGCTCGCACATCGATCTTTGGCGACCGCGAGCACAATTTCCGGGGTACTACGTGGTTCTATTCCGCGGGATTCTCGCCTAATCTTTACCGCCGCTGGCTGGGATATAAAGTCGACAACGATGGTGGTGAAGAGGAAGAGCTGGCTGGTGAGGGCAGGATATGCCTGCCGCCTATGTTGTTGCATCCGGTCAAGGATGTGCAGTTGGTGATTGATAATGGAGACGTTAACGAGGAAGGCGATGGGCTGCCATCGATACCTACGGAAGAATCATAATACAATGAATTTACGATGAGCCTTGGTTTGTTGTTTTTTTTTGTTTTTTTTGTTTTTTTTCCTTTCTTTCTTTTCTTTATGGCCCTTGCATTTGTTTGGTTCATTACTATCGTTCTTGTGTATGGGATTAGAATTTCTCTAGATGTACATCATTTGTCTTTGTCACCCAGGAGGTTTATTCTTTGGTATCTCTGTTCTCTTGGCTCGGATATAATTCTCTCCCATTCTTATTCACCTCAGTCTGGAAGTTGGATTGACAGGCGTTCCAGGGCTGTTGTTTCTCTTTTTTCTCATCATTTCTACTATTCTTCTTATATCTGATCTCTCTACGCTGGTGGTGGTCGGACTAGCGTTCTGGGTGTAATAAATCTTTTGTGCCGGTCGTTGTGTTTGTACATAAATACAGCCTTTCAAGGGCAAGAGAGCGATTCTTTTTTTGATCTGATATTCTAAGAGGCTCTTAAGGGCAGCTTCGCCGACTCCCCCGCTTGACGTGGCTCGGCATACTTTCCTATCGGTCGAGCTTCCCCGCACTGTTGTTCATCACCAACATGGCACAAGACAGGAAAAGTGCACAATTGTGCATATAATCATGGGCTTGGAAGACTTGGGATATCTATTGCAACTCTCTTTCCGACCGAACTATCATATTTGTGTAACTAATTGCTACTCGGTGCAGTGGCTTCATGCGGGGAAGCGGAGATGCTATTCAAATGCTCGTACAGGGACCCTTCCTGCGAGGTCATCACGTACCTGGGTAGTACTCCATATCAAGCTCGGGGTTTATCCTGGATCTTCAGGGTTTCCTGTTCCCTCCAGGGCTGGATGTGGCCTCGTCGCTTGACTTTCTATGTTGAGAATGCCAGAATAAGCAACGTTCAAGGGATCTCAGGCATAAATAAGGCCTGTACGCCCATCCACCTACCTAAGTGTTACCTAGGTATTTGATATTGAAGACCTCCAGACAGTACCTTGGTATAAGAATGGCGCCTGCTACTCTCACCGAAGCGGAAAGGAGAGCAAACCACATCATCTCTCTACCCAAGCCTCCTCGAGCCTCCTCTTCCACCGAGAATGTCGACCCGCAGGCAATTGCCCAACAATGGCTCACCAAGCTTGAAGCCACTCTTTCGTCGGGCTTAGGGGTCGACCAGATCAACAGCCTATTCCATGATGACTCCTACTGGCGTGATCACATCGCTCTACAATGGGACTTTCGTACCATCCGCTATGCCACGAACATAGCCTCTTTCCTCCAGAAACATCAGCCCCTTGCCCAGATATCCAATTTCTCCTTGCAGACAGAGGGGAAATATATGCCCCATATCGACAGTCCGGAAAATGGTGTACCCGGAATCGACTTTGTGGCCTCCATGTTCCATTTCGAGACCAAGATAGGGCGTGGATCGGGGATATTGCGGTTAACGTTGGATGACGATGGGAAGAATTGGAAGGCGTATGTAGTGTACACATCTTTGCAGGAGTTGAAGGGTGTTGAGGAACCCCTTGGTCCTAGGAGGGTGTATGGAACGCTGGATAGTATGCCAAATGGCTCCGCTGGAGGGACTTGGAAGGAGAGGAGGGAGAAAGAAATGAAGTTCGAGGGAGGCGTGGAACCAACTGTCCTGATTGTTGGTGCTGGTATGTGGACTTTAACTATCATTCGATGACGGAATGGTATGGCTCTGACTATCCATTAGGGCAAGCGGGATTGAATCTTGGAGCTCGTCTTCAGTCTCTTAAAGTGTCGACTCTGCTTGTGGATCGTCATGAACGAATAGGAGACAACTGGCGAAAGAGATATCGAGTACGTAATGTCTCTTAAAGGGCTCCCTGGTCAAAATGCTTATCAACTGATTAAACGCAGACATTAACAACCCACGACCCTGTTGAATTCACACATATGGCCTATCTTCCTTTTCCCAAGAACTGGCCCCAATTTACACCCAAGGACAAGCTCGGCGACTGGTTCGAAGCCTACGCCAGTCTCATGGAACTCAACGTCTGGACAAACACATGCGTCACCTCTGCCAGCTACGACGACCACACGTCTACCTGGACGGTCACGGTCCGTAGGCCAGATGGCTTCATACGCACTTTACATCCTAAGCATGTAGTCTTCGCAACTGGGCATTCCGGTGAGCCTAAGATTCCCTCTTTCCCAGGACAAGAGGTTTTCCAAGGAACCATATATCATGGCTCCCAGCACAAAGATGCGTCCGAGTATGATGTGCGAGGAAAGAAAGTCATTGTTGTCGGTACTGGTAATAGTGGACACGATATTGCCGAAAACTTCTACGAGAATGGCGCAGAGGTCACGATGCTACAGAGACGAGGGACATATGTGATTTCCGTTGACAAGGGAGTATTTATGCTGCATGAGGGGAAACATGATGAATGGGGGTGAGTTAATCCATTTCCCTCCGCTTACTGAACGATTCAAAAACTGAATATCAAAAAGACCGCCAACCGAACAAGTCGATATATGGGCCGAATCACTCCCGTACCAAGTTGCATTCGCATTCGACGTGTACCTTACACGTCGAATCTCCGAGGTAGACAAACCCATGCTCGATGGCTTGGCCAGGGCAGGTTTCGACGTCTACAAGGGCATTGACGAGAGCGGCATTTTCCGTCAATACATGACGCGCGGAGGCGGCTACTATATCGACGTCGGGTGTAGCTCCCTGATTGCCGAGGGGAAAATCAAGGTACACACGTCAGCCAATGGCGTCAAGGAATGTACACCACATGGCCTGATTCTGGCAGATGGCACAGAGTTGCCGGCAGATATGGTGGTGCTGGCGACAGGCTACGACAACATGCGCACGACGGTCCGGAAAGTGCTTGGTGATCAAGTGGCAGATCGGTGCAAGGATGTTTGGGATCTGGACGAGGAAGGCGAGCTGAGAGGTGTAAGTATCTTTCTCGTCTTTTCTCGTCTACGGACGGCGCTGTGCTAATAGCAATCGAATATCAACAGGTGTGGCGTCCGTCAGGGCATCCCAACTTCTGGTATATGGGAGGCAACCTGGCCTTATGCCGAATTTACTCCAAATTCCTGGCGTTGCAGATTAAAGCTGCCGAAGCAGGGCTTGTTCCAAAGAGCGAATAATGAGGGGGCTGTCCAGTTTTCAATCAGATACTCTGGAAATGAACTTGCAGGTCTGGGACTCGTCATATAGGATAATGTAGGGAGATTGTCAGCGTAGAGTTCATGTCTTCCACTCCAATATCCAGTAAGGCGTAGGGAGCCAGACAGAAGATGGAGAAAATTCGACCCCTCTTCTTCCCGGCCTCGGCAACTCCCCCTCATGACTCATCCACGTCTTGTCTTGAACATCAACCCACGCCCTGATCAGCCACCAAGCAAAAGAGCCTCTCAACTGTAACCACTATTGCTAATTGGCTGTTCCGTCCGTTTGTCCACCATGTCTGGCTTCCCTGTTCTCAAACCGGCGTTTACCGTCCGCGTAAGTTCGAATTCCGCTGGCCGTTTGTCACGGATGCATCTCATCCAGGTTTCAATATTCAAACATGTGCTGACGCCGCTGTGCAGGTTTCTGTCGACGCAGCATTGCCCGTCGGTACGTTTGAGAAGGAGTCGCCACGAGAAATCATACTGACCAGGTCCTCATTCACACAGGCAGCAATCACCGCCAAGCAGCCCTAGTCGTAGTGGTAAGTTGACACCGAGAAACGAAGGAAAAAAGCATAGAAAGTAATGTGTGACGACATAATCCAGCCTATGGTCGGTGGAACGGTCGTTTCCGAACCTGGCTTCACTCCTGCAATCAATGCAACTTTCGTCGGCACGGGCAATGATTATATCCGCCGTGACCCTGATGGAAAGGCAATGCGTTTAGATGCGCATGGCGTTGTCAAAACCCATGATGATGCGGTAAGTCTGCCGTTTGCTTGGTAGATTCGAATAAAAATGCCGGAGCTGAACACTTGTATAGTTGTTATATCTTCATTACAATGGAACGGTGAATGTAACCGAGGGAGTTGCGAAAGCCCTTTCGGGTGAGGCAGGTGATGCCGAAACCCCGTATGGTGATAGTTGTATGTGATGCTCTATCTTGTGAAAATACGAGATATATGTTTGATATACGATACTGATGTTGAGAAATCGGTTGGTCAGTCACGTCTTTCACCGTTGAGGTATGTCCTTTCTTCCCTGATTCGATGCAGTCCGCGTGAAAGCAGTTAATAACCATAATCTAGACTGGCGATGAGAGATACAAGGACCTGGAGAATGGAGTCTTTGTCGGCGCCGGTCACTTCGTTACCAAGACAGGCGAAAAAACCATTGTCGAATACAAGGTTAGCCAGGTTGCAACAAATTAGATCAGTGTCACTACTTTTGTTGCAAAGAAACGATAGTATGCAAGAGCATACCAGGTATCTCCTTGCATGTCATATATACATGCCTATTGGCCAAGAAGTGTGAGTATTTCGAACAGAACACCATGTCAAAAAATAAAATGAAATACCTAAAATTATTTTATTACTATAGTTATATTCTTCTCAGGTTCAGTGCCAAATCAAAGTCCCTCCAAGTCCCTAGAGCCAACGGGGCGGTTCATTATTTAATCTTAGACCCGAACTAAGTAACTAGATGTAAGCGCCAGCCTCATCATCCGCCCAATCACGCAGTCAAACGTTGCTTCAGAGGTTGGTTCTCTGCAACCATGACAAGCTATATTGTCCCTAGCCTGCTAGGCAGTGCGGCATGCACTGTCATGGAGTCCGAGTATAATATAAATCCGGGTTGTGAAGCACGGAACGCACAATTCGTTCCTTCGTTATGTCGGATCTCTGGCCTCGACTTTCATATTCATTTACCTAGGTATATGATAATAATGCCAACCATCTGGTATCTCTGGTGGCTCTTCTTTCTAGCAGTCAACAGTTACTACTTCACAAATCCCCCACCACCGGCCGGCGATACCCCCAATACCGTATACACCCTCGGTAGCAACTTCGACGTACAATGGGCATCGTACAATGGCGAAAGCAACTCCCTTGACTTGGTTATGGAGCAGGCGGATACAGGCCAACAATATGACATCTTTCGTAAGTCCTACTACTCCTATTGGCCTTGCTCTGTGTGCATGACTGACAAGGACGCGTAGGTAACTACAGCGGCCTATGGCAATATCCATGGGTTCTCTCGCTCGCTTCGAACCAAAGCCTGGCAACAACCAATCAGTTCTTTTTCGTCCTTTACATCACCGGAGACAGCGTAGAGGCTGCCCAAAGCCACAACTTTAACCTAACGGTATCAGCTTCCACAACATCTTCTACCGTCGGACCAACATCTACGTCTACCGCGAGCTCTACCCCTTCTTCCACCTCGAACAACACGCAGTCCTCGGGTGCGCTAACGACGGGTGCAAAGGTTGGACTTGGTGTTGGCATTCCCGTTGCTGTTATAGTTGGCATTGGGGCCGGTATCCTATTTACGCGACGGAGCCGAAAGAAGAATGTCACAGAACCGACGCTTCCGCAGCCATACCAATATCAGCCGTCCTATGTGCAAGTTCCCAGAGCTGAACTAGAGAATACCAAACCTAGCCCATCCGAGATGCCAGCGAACTCCGAGCCGGAATAGATGGGCAGGCAGTACAGCCACGAAGAGTGTTTTTGAGTTGATCTTCTGGCATTTACGAGCTGTTTCCTGTGTGTCGAGTTGTACACAAAATAATATTACGCGCTACGCTCTGAAGATGAATAGTGTATAGTGTGTTTGTAATTCATGATGTTGAGATAGTCTATATGATATATGCTGCGTGATTACGACGCTTTTTCACCTTAATGAAATAGGTTGGTCTTGATTAACAACGATTTAGCCTTCACAGGGAACATGGGCAGATAATTATATGAAGTAATAGTACAGAAACTGGCATGCTCTCAAGTATAACTCAGCTTCAAGTCTGGATCAACTCGCTTCAGCACATCCAGAATCTCTTTCCAAGCTTGTTCACGTATCTTCTGTCCTTCCGACGAGCTCACAATATAACCTGGGCTAAATAGTGTATTAGTATTAAAAAGTAAAACAGTAACATCAAAATTGCGCAAGAAACACAAGGGTACTCACTCAGTCACCTTGAGGTTTTCAAGCCATTTCCCATGTCCATCCTCTCTGACTGCAGCATCGATAATCGCCATGGCCCCATGCGGCGGTGTACGCGCAAACAGTGTTTGTATGAGCTTCAGCATAAAAGGGGGTCTCTCGCGCGTTAAAAGCTCACTCTGAGTGAATCCCGGTGTCGCACTTGTGACTATCACCTTCTCCAGACCAGTCTGCGAGTCAATGGGCACCAGCTTCGCGATCTCAATGTTTGTCCACTGGTTGAATAACTTGCTCACTCCGTACCGCTCAACCACGTTTTTTGCCTGCAACTCTTCCCACTGGTTCCTATCATTCAATGCCGCAAGAATATTTGTTTTAGTGCGTTGCGGGAATATAACTCCTTGGTGAACATCGCTACTGACGATGACCAGATGTGGTCTTGATGGTGAGGTTTGCTGTCCTCTTGTGTTTTTCTTTGCATGATCTGAAGTGCCATGGGAAGAAGAAGATATCAAAAGAGGTAGCAATTCCAGACTAAGCAAGGCCGTGGAAAGCCCATTCACCTGGACATGCATCTCCCACCCGTCCGGAGACTTATTCCATTCTCCAGAGGCCAAACCCGCATTCATAATTGCTGTATCAAGCCTGTTGCCTGGCTTCTCGACATAATCTCTCATTCGGCGGACAAACGCCATTACATTCTGGAAGCTTGACAGATCGAGATGCCAGACCTCGAGACTGGGCTCTGTCGCGGTAGGTACTGTGGAGAGAATATCTGCTCGAGCCCGTTCACCCTTCTCCACTGATCGGACACCCATGATGATTTTTGATGCTCCAAGGGACAATGCATGGCGAGCTGCTTCTCGACCAACTCCGGTGTTTGCGCCTGTAATCAGGATGGTTTGGTTGTGGAAAGAGTCCGGTGGCGGTAGACGTAAAGGGTGAAGAGGTTGTAAAATTGATTTCCACATGATTTTAATCTTTTATGTCCGTAGGGTTGACCGTTGCCCTACCTGAGTATTGCCTTAAATGGTAGTGCTGATGGTAATGAAAGCACGTAGGAGTGCCAGTCATTTTTTGATTTATAATGAATAGTGAATAACAAGTACAAAAGTCCTCGACAGCTCTCCCTTCTTATATTCGCTCTCATCCAACTTCAATGTTCGTTTGGGTTGATCGGACGAACATCTTACCGTGCATTTAGTTGCGCCGAGGTTCTGCAAATGTGGATGGAAAATATTTCGGTGATTTCAGTACCGTAATTTTCGTACGTAGCTAACATCGCGGTAGGTTACTGAGTGGCTGTAAATTACCGACACAATATCCGGAACTTACAATCCTGGCGCTTGCGGGGGTACAAAAATGGGGACGCAAAATTTTCAGGCTGTGTTTTCACTTTTTGCAACGCAAAGTTAATTATGTTTGAATTCATCCGAGGCCCTTGCCACGAAACATAAACATATGTGACACGTGCGGCAGCAGACGTCTGTGTCACAGTCGTACGCTTGTTAACTACTCCGGACTCTCTCAGCTCTGTTGCCTGTAGGATTACTATATGTACAATAGATTGGTGGCTTCAATAGAGTACCCTGGTGGCGCCGTGAGTAGATCCTAGGCACTGACTAGTCGGTCGCTATTCCTTCGGTCGTAGAGCTACTGTGCTAGTGACTAGACTGTGTAGGATCTCACGCGACCAGTTAACTAACAGTTAACATTTGAGCAGGCTCGCTGGCCAGTCCTGCAAGCACGTGCTCTGAATGTGGTGCGGGATCGTGTGATCGCTGAACTGTCATCCTGAGCGCGTCTTTTGATGAATAAATATATAGATAGATGCCTGTTCAAGAACCGTATACATATCAACTTTGATAATATCATTCCGTGTCCTGCTGTTACTGTGCAAACTGAAGAATCGCGACTTAGGGCTCGCGTGTCGGGCTTCCCGCCAATCACAGCGCCGCTCCTGCGGGCTGACGTCGTTGTTAGATTATTTTTGACTTCTTGGTCTTGCAGCAACACCGTCGTCTTGCTTTATGCCACGTCTACTGCTAGGCTATCAATTGCGCTTTCTTTTCATTCTTCTCTCTTTGCGACCCTGGATGATCTAACTATCACGCGTGCATGGCCCCGCTGAGTCGGGCTTTTAAACAATTGCAATCGAGTCATTGACGAGCAAACAGCAAGAATGCGGCTACGACTATTTGTAACTGCAGCGTCTGCAGCTATCACTGTTACGGCCTCGCCTCTGGCTGTGCCGGAGCAGCTGCCGATGAATGCTGGGCTGGATTTCCATACCAATGCCAAAGAAGCACCTAGAAAACTGACCGGAAAATTCCTCCACATCACTGGTATGTTCATGGTATCTTTAGAGCACATTTCTCCTTGAACCTCTTGTTTTTCCAAGTAAAAGTTGCTGGACAGACGCTAACTGCGCATGAAGACTTACACCTAGACCGTTTCTACGTTCCCGGCTCATTAACTGAAGATGACGAGGCCTGCCACCATGGGGATGGCACCGCGGGATACCTTGGTTCGCCGGGATCCGAATGCGACTCGCCACAGTTACTGATCGATCAGACCTTCGACTGGATTGACGAGAACCTGAGAGATAAGATCGATTTCGTGATCTGGACCGGAGATTCTGCCCGCCACGACAACGACGAGCGCATCCCACGCACCGAAAACCAGATCGAGGAGTTCAATGCGGCCATCGCGAACAAATTTCTAGAAGTCTTCAGCCACCGGGATGAACACCCCAACGGAGCCCTAACCATTCCCATAGTGCCAAATATTGGCAACAACGACGTTATGCCGCACAACATCTTTGAACAAGGGCCAAATCGCTGGACCCAGAAGTTGTATCAACTGTGGAAGTCATTTATCCCGGAAGAGCAGCGTCATACCTTCCTGGAGGGTGGATGGTTCCACGTCGAGGTCATTCCCAACAAGCTCTCGGTGTTTAGTCTGAATACATTGTACTTCTTTGACTCCAATAAAGCGGTGGACGGATGTGCACAAGAATCAGAACCTGGCTACCATCAAATGGAATGGCTGCGCGTCCAGCTGCAGCTTCTTCGTGAGCGAGGCATGAAAGCTATTATCATGGGACATGTCCCTCCTGTGCGATCTGCGGACAAGCAGGCGTGGGATGAGAGCTGCTGGCAGAAGTACACTCTATGGCTACACCAATACCGCGACATTGTGGTTGGCAGTCTATACGGACACATGAACATCGATCACTTTACGTTTCAAGACACAGAAGACGTGGACATAGATTGCCTTCTTCGGGGTGAGTCCGTGGCGCCATTTGTTGAGGAAAACAACTATGAGAATTTCACAGTTCAGTCCAAGACCAGCTATCTAAGCAGCCTTCGCGACTTGTGGGGGGCTCTCCCATCTCCACCTTCATCCGTTCTAAAGGACGAGTGGTCATTTCTAGAAGATGATCAAATTGATACGACGAAAAAGAAGAGCAAAAAGAAGAAAGAGAAGGAAAAGTTCTTCAAGAAAATTGGTGGTGAATACGCAGAACGTTTCTCGCTCTCGCTTGTTTCGCCCAGCGTAGTTCCTAATTACTACCCGACTCTCCGCGTGGTTGAATACGACATAACCGGTTTGAAACAGACCCCTACATGGGCAGATACACAGGTTCATAGGAATGGAAACGACAAAAATCAACCCTGGGCAGAGCGTGAGATTGATATTCAAAAGAAGCCTAAAAAGTCGCCCATACCAGATCCGCCAGCCAAAAGTGCTCCTCCGGGACCTGCCTATTCCAGGCAACCGTTGAGTTTTCTGAATTACGCACAGTATTTTGCCAACACAACTCAGGCTGAGAAGAATATTGAGAATGCCGAAAACGGCACCCTATCCAAGGTACTCCAATTACATTACGAACTGGAGTATCACACGGCAGAGGACGACGTTTACAAACTCCCCGACCTAACCATGCCCAGCATATATAATCTAGCTACAAAAATAGGACAGGGCGTATCATCGTCATCGTCATCATCACATATGTCAGCGCCAAAAGATAGCGATGAAAATAACGCTCGAAAACCTGGCAACAAAAATAAGAAGAAAAAGAACAAGAAGAGCAAAAAGAGCAAATCGAATAAAGCATGGGAAGGATTCATTGAGCGGGCGTTTGTGGGATTTTTGACAATGGACGAAATTGAAAATAAATTGTAATTGCCTTTTTTTTTTTCCTCTCTTACCATTTTAAAGAGGGAGATACACACTATTTTCTTTCTATATATGGCATGAAATGGACACGACACGACACGATATACATCTTCCTACAAATATAGAGGAAGGAAAAATAAATGAGTCCTGGTCGGAGACTATGTATACTTTTTTTCTATATATACCCAATGTTGATTTTACGATACTTTTTGGTCTATTATTCTTGATTCTTTTGGAGCATTGCAGATCATTTAGCAGCTCGCTCATAGTCTGGGTGATTCCATAAGAACTCCTTTTAGCGCCTTTTAGCAGGACGGTGTGATTCTGGCCCTTGCTATATAGTTCGTCATGCACATAGAATTTATTTAGCTTGATATTTTCTTAAATGAATAATCTTGATAGAAAGTCATTAGGATTATTATAATAACTAGCAAACACATCTCCTTCAGAATAGAGAATTAAGCTAACGAAGTAGAAAATCAAGTCCGATGAAGACTTAGTCCAGGCTCTTTTGGGCATAACCAATGCAATTCCCCATAATTATGAATACTAAGACAGACCGGACAGACCAAGAGCATCAGTTAGATCCACTGTTGTAGGACAGAGAAAAGGTTGATAGTCATAGAGTACCTAGGTAACGACAGAACAACTCAAAGGTAATTTGACATATAAAATCCCCGTTTATTCGATCACGGGCAATAATGGAGGCAATTACTATGATAGCAACGTTGCTTAATGAGTGGTGAAATTGCCAGGACGAATCGAGATGGAAGTCGTTGTTGCACGTCTCGAAGTGAACGTGGTTGGGACACGTATCGTAGTAGTTGTAGTTGGTATATGAGTGGAAGTCGATGTAGATACCACATGGGTGGAAGACGATGTAGGCACTACATGAGTTGAAGTAGACGTAAATGTCACACGAGTTGATGTAGATGTATGAGTCGAGGCAGATGGAGATATCAAATGCGTCAAAGTAGATCCTCTTGGTACCCGAGTTGATATAGATGGATTCCCAGCCTTCGCAGAAGAAGAAGGGTTGCCAGAAACGAGATGGAAATTTCCACAATTAAGCCGTGTGCCATTTGCAGAATGGATGACTATGGACCGGTCGCCGATGAAAGCATTGCTTTGAGCGTTGTTGGACAAGTAGGGGTCCGTATACACAGCAGTGAACGCGGGAGCTGTGGCATTGCCATGCTTTCCACTGAGGTCACCAATCTGGCAAGTAGCAGGGGCACTGGCATCGCAGGGAGGTTGTTCACCGCGATTGTATGGATCAAGATGGGGGCCAGCTGCGTCGCAATCACCATTTCCTGGGACAGGAGAGACATGGACGTGGTATGCTGTTTTACAAAGGTCAGTCAAACAAAACGCTCTAGTCTATCAATTAGAGAGAGGCCGTACGAAAAGGTCCGAGACCGGCAGGTAACCCAGTGAAAGAGACATCAAAGGACAAGCCAACACCGTTGGCCCCAGAGCTTGCAGTGACCCTTCCACGGATACTGGAAGACGCGCGGTCGAGCAACGTGGCCGTATATATGGCATCAACATTGTCAGTAATGACTGGAGCACTGACGAACCGCTGTCCGAAGGAAGATAGCACGAGGCACAGTATCACCAATGCCGAATAAATCATTATGGCGTGTGGTAGGCTTTGGGTGATTTAATCTTCAGCTGAAATTGTAAATGTAGTTGTATAGACAAGAAGCAGTGAGGTGTAGAAGATGAAGAGGGATAGAAAAGGTGGAGGAGTAAATGGAACATCAACGAAGAAGGCGGTGGTCTTCTTGTGTGAAATTAATAGCCAGGTACCTGAAGCAAATTTCTTCACCGTGTCAAGGTATATTCTGCGAAGCATCCATAGTACGATAGATCTAGCCCTCTCAGAGTCGGATATGATGTATTCTAGATCAACAAAAAAGGGCCAGGTACATAAGTCGGGATTCGCAGTCCCATGGAAAAATTTCCTAATGCGGCAATATTTCTCTTAGATACCTATGGGTTGTTCTTCGCCTAATCATGCCTACGTATTAGACTTGTCCCAGTGTAAACATGAGATCAGCAGGGAGGGGCCGATTTTAGATTTCTAGATCTGAATTAAAAGTAAGATAATTATTATTTATTATCAGCACACATGCACACACTTAATGCGCTTCTTGTTGGTAACATTGAGACCTTGACAGTAATACTATCCCCTCCTCTTCCTTTAGTCTCATGTTAGTAATATTGAAGAATATCCATTTCTTACTATCAATAGCGATTACGTAGATGGACAAAACAATAACCTGGGTCATATCTTATAACAGAGCATAGCAAAGCAATCCTTAGGAACACATTTACAAAATACACTGAGGGTCCGAATTAGAATTTCTGCATCCAGCGGTTTTTCTGCTTCCCACCTATAGCGTATGTTATAAATTCTAACCACCTGAAGCATCTTGCTGAATTATCCTTTACAAAGTCACCAACCCATATTTCCCAGTCCGTGAGAGAAACAGACTACATCTACCTACTCCTCTAATAAGAGCAGTTGTCCTGCTGGGCTTCTTTTTAAAAAAAAAATGCGACTAAATAGGTATCGAGTCAAATTATCTCAAATAAGTAACTTGGAATTGCGTCAAGGGGTGACTATAGTGATAAATCTTCAATAGTGTAAGTAGACAAATGAACGCCCTATTTAGACTTCAACTTCTGCTACTCATCCCAAGCCTTCTGTACATTTCTCTTCCGCATCTCAGTCAATTAAAGGGCCCGGTCGTCTAGGGATGGTACCGAGTTCGAAGCTTCAAGGATTGAAATAAGAGCTGCCTCTTCTGCTGCGGTTGACTTCCGAACGTATTGTCAGTAAACATTACTCCAGAGTTGGGGTCAGTGACGACTCTGAAGCTGGGAGGACCTACCTCTGGGTTTGCGAGTCCACGGTTTAGCGCTACTTGCTCAACAAGCTGGTTGAACTAGAGTTCCGTCAGTAGCAGGACTAAATCAAAGGGGTCCTGGTGCATACCTCCTCGGTGTCGACTCCTTCCATAAAGTCTTCTTCGAACAAGTCTCTTGCATATTCTTTTTTCCCCTCACCAGACTTCAGCCTTGACGTGACAGAACTTTCTTTATCCATGTATTTTCTTGCCTCACTTTCCTTCTGATGGCGCTGGTACATGTAGAAAAAGCGTCTGTATTCGAGACCTTTGGCAAGCAAATCGACTAGTTTGACACCGTAATTATGCCCCATGAGATTCATAAGGGTATCGGTGTGCCACCAGCACATATATCCGGATATATCGCCGTTCCGTATATTTTCTATGTTAAGCAGAGTATATCTAGGCTGACTTTGGGTCACCGCCAGCGTATGTGCGACTAGTTCCACCACGTTCGGCCACTTACCATCTTCAAATCGTACCTCTGAGATAGGCACCGGCAGCTGACACTGGCCCTTGAGGTTCTCTTTCAAACCAAAGGTCCCAATGCAAACGTAGCGTATAAGTTACTGTTACTTCTCATGCGTGGCGCACAAGTTGAAATTATCATAACTAACTCTAAGTGTAAATAGCAGGCTGCTGTCTATTTATTCAGAGTATCTCTGCCCTAGCCCTAACCCTATGATATAGGCCATTTTCACGTGATGTCACGTGAACCGCGTTTATCCTGGTGAAGATAGCCGAGCTCAGAAAGAAAAATAGGATCAGAGATTTGACAAAAGCGCAGATTTCAAGGGTTTTCAATGTGCGGCCGCTCGCAGGCTGGCTACTGTCTAGTATCTGGTGGAGACGACTTCAACATGTCGGCACTCACTAGCCCCTGACTCAGATGGAGTCTGGAGACAAATTCGAAGCCGCGTCAGCTTCTAGTTAGCTAGTTAGCCTCAGCCAGACATCGCGGCGAACTCGCCGACAACTAAGACATATCGTGAACATCAAAATGTCCAACTATCTTGAGCTACACATATTACTCATTGAACATTATTTAGACGGAGCCTGTGGCGTGCTTATTGAATAAATGTCAACAATGCGCATCAATGGGGGCTGAATTTTCACCACCTCCTTTAGATCTGACAATGCGGAAAAAGCTTGAGAATCATCGAGAATCTAACTCGAGCTTATGGACGCGTCACATGTTTCGACTGTATGCAATACTGTCTTTGGGATACCTCTGCATTGTTCTGCAGGGCTACGATGGCGCCTTGATGACCTCGATTAACGCGATGGTGAGTCTTCGCAGAAGGCCAACGAAAATAGCATTGGCTAATGATTTGTGATATTGTTATTAGCCCCAATATCAGGAATATTTCCACATGTAAGTATCCGTGGATGATCTGAGGAGAAGAGACCAGGTAATTGACTGACATGAAACATCTTTGGACGTAGAACGTCTGCTAGTTCTATCACTGGTCTAATCTTTGCAATCTACAATATTGGTAGCCTGGGAGCACTGCCGTTCGCTGGCCCTATTAATGATATCTCTGGCCGACGGTCAGGTATATTTTTGGGCTGCTGTTTTATTATCATTGGAACCTGCGTGCAAGCGCCAGCCGCTTCCAGGCATGTATTCCTTGGTGGCCGGTTTCTGTGCGGTTTTGGTCAAGGCTTTATCAACGTCTCTGCGCCTGTCTTTGTATCAGAACTAGCTCATCCTCGCTGGCGAGGCCCTCTCTCTGGATTGATGCAGACCAATTATTATGTCGGAAGCATTATTGCGTCCTGGGTCACATACGGAACTGCCTTTTTCGATGGGGAAAGTGCCTTTCGCATACCCATCTGGCTTCAGCTTGTCATCTCTGGCATTATTGCCATGGGGATATGGTTTAGCCCAGAGACTCCAAGGTGGCTCATGGCCCATGGCCGACGCGAAGAAGCCGAGAAAGTGCTGGCTAGGTTGCATGGAGAAGGTTCTAAAGAGCATGCTTGTGTCTGCCGAAATGGACAGCCTGATACTGAAGACTGGATTCGATAAACGCTGGTGGGATTATAGCGACTTGTTCAACACTCGATCAGCACGTCGGCGTATGATTTGTGTTATCGGGATGGCTTGGTTCGGTCAGTATTCTGGCAACGCTCTTGTCAGCTACTATTTTCCAGTCATTGTGCAGCAGGCCGGGATCGAAAATGCGCACACACAACTCCTGCTCAATGCGTTGAATCCTATTGTATCCTGGATTATGGCAATAATCGGTGCCATGTTATTAGATCGTGGGGGCCGAAGACCCTTTCTACTAAGTGGCGTACTCGGTATGTCGATATGTCTGGCTATTGTTACCGGCTGCACCAAGCTGTCTGTTGAGATGTCGAACCGGAGTGCCAGCCATGCAGGTATATTCTTCATTTACCTTTTCAGTGCCATCTTTGCCTTTTGTGTGGTGCCTCTTCTTCCATTCTACATTGCCGAGACGCTAGCCACAGAGACTCGAGCCAAAGGTACAGCAGTTGGGCAAGTCTTTGGATCGGCAGCGTCCATTCTCGGACAGTACACGACAGCGGCTGCCATAGCCTCTATTGGGTATTACTACTATTTAGTATTTATCTTCTGGGATATTCTTGAGTGGATCATTATATACTTCTTCTTCGTTGAGACAAAAAGACGTACCCTCGAAGAGATGGTAGAGATATTCGAGGCACCGGATCCTGTACGAAAGTCCCTGGAAAAGAGATCTCCACGGACTGTGGAACGTACCATATACTTTGCGAAATAGTCCTTACCTATAGGAGTATACTTATACTTATGGTACTACCAAACTACTGAGGCTCTTAGAACTTGGTATGGTCACGCTAGCCTCGCCTGATTCAGTCCTTGATATCTAAGCCATCGCGGCAGTCTGAGTCAACAGCCTCGTCGACTCTTTCTACCTTCAGTCTCCGAAAAGAATGACTTCAAGGCGTGGGAACTCGGCTCTTCGTCTAACAATGTCTCGTCCTAGCACCCTGGACATTCAAGAGTTGGAGGCACTCCTCAACTCTATCGGTGCCGATACCCGTTCCGAAGTTTTCGGGGATCGAGTCATTTCCACTGCAAAATCCCGTTGATGTCTATCGTCTATATTTACTAAAGGCCGCTCAAGAGATTGGCTCGGCAAAAATCGAGTCTACTCGTGAGGACATAATCAATGCCGACCTCAGTCATCTTGAGGACAACATGCATATTACCGGTATATTGAGGTTGATTGCACAATGGCCCGATGTAGTAGCTACGGCGTTTAAGAACCACGAGCCTTCTACAATAACTACTTAGTTACTTATCTTTTCACGCTTACTCATCAGCTTTCTTCAAGCTACGATGTTGTCACATCCAAGGAAATATTGTGCTTGTCGACTATTGCCACAAACACAATTTAAATACGCTGACTAGTCTTCATAGTCCAATCAACTGGCGGGGCTTGAGCACCAAAGCTGCAGGCTGCAGCTCGCAAGGCTCAAAGCTGGTTTCAGCCACAGCAGCAGCCGCAAAAAGGATCGGTGGGCGTAGTGGCGTTGTCTCGATGTCCTGAAAAACCATCTACACTCTTTTTCAACCACGGTTGTACTGGCATGGAACGTACCAAACGACGAAAAAGCTGAATCACGGTGCCTACACTGTGGCCTTGCTGTGTCCTTTTGGAAGTGGAGTTGAGTGAGTCCATAATGTTGTCATCGCATCTCTGCCTGCGGGCTATCAGTCTACCGCGTCCGCAGCTGCGGTTGCGACAAACATGAGCCGCACGTTCGTCTGCGTGCGTATCCGTCTCTTGGTCGGAATTGACGGCGGAGTACCAAGTGAAAAGGCCGATGTTCGTCTGGGAGACGTTGTCGTTGTTATTCCCACGGCGGTGTGGTGCAGTAATGATCTTGGTACATATTACAGTTGGACGTTATGGCCACACGTCCTATATAGGCCAGCCAAGTCTGGTAAGTTCCAATTGCTTTGCAAACTATACGGAAGTCTAAAAGTAATGTCTCTTGCATTCCTAGGTTAACTATATTTCAATAACATCACATCTTCACTGTATATAACCTAGTATAATGATAACTTCTCATGTATATTTAAATACGGAATTTCTTGTCTATACGATGCTCTAAACCACCAAGCTGCCTATGTAATCTTTATGCCTAATAATAAGTTAACAACTGCGGCTAATGTCAAGTTGGCAAAGCTACAACATTAATATCTGACTACGGACATACGTTTTATGGCTGCCTACTGAGCTCTATCTGATAAGAAGGGGGAAAAAGTCGGTCACTAATTCATCATAATCGGATCCATTTCTATGTTTATTTGTTGATCAAAACTCATGTCTTTCTCATGTCCGTATCCTGTGATATGGTAGCCCTAATTCGGACGTCGAGCTCGGATCCGAGTCTTCGGAGATAGTTCCCAATGCTGCTGTAGAAGTAGATATAAAATCATCGTCCTGTATAGAAGAAATTTTTTATTGAGAGACAGATATCCTTCAGAAAAAGTAACCTCTCTTTGCTTCCGTATGGGATACCGCTCACCACGAGTTGACGCGGACAAAGCGGCCCTCGGCGATGCCGAAAAGGGAAATAATAGCACTGTTCAGCCTGTCGGTCCTGATGGCCCAGTCGCGGTTCGTTCGCTCTGATAGCTTCCAATTATTCTAAATTCCAATCCTCCTACCAATTTCTTTGTTCAATTAGAGTGACGCTTACTCGCGTATAGGCGGCCTGGGACGGACCAGACGATCCCAGAGATCCATACAACTGGACCAAAACACGCAAGATCTCAATCGCACTCGTTATCTCACTTTCCCAGTTAGTCTGCCTTATGACAACTAGTATCGTAGCCCCAGCCCTCCCTCAGATTGCTACAGACCTACATCTAGGAGAGTCAAAGGCGCAGATCGCATTCTCAATCTTCGTTCTGGGTCAGGCATTCGGTCCATTCGTCATTGCTCCTCTGAGTGAGGTATTTGGTCGGAAACCAGTGTGGATTACGTTCAATCTTTTCTATATTTTCTGGAATTCCCTGTGTCCGGTTGGCAAGTCTCAGGCTGTCTTGATAATTGGAAGGCTTTTATCAGGAGCTGGCGGGTCTTGTGGTGTTATTGTAAGTAAAATACTTTCTTTCTCACCTTGACTTAAATTACTGACAAGAGAAAATGCAATCAACAGCTGTCAGGTCCTATAATGGCAGATATGTTTCACCAGAAAGATAGGGGTAAATCCCTTGCCATTGCTTCGATGTTCCCCTATCTAGGCCCGGCCTTGGGTCCTATCGTCGGCGGGATTGTTAGCCAATATGTGAGCTGGCCGTGGCTGTTTTGGGTAATGTCTATCTTTGATGCAGTCGTTGTGGCCTTTGGTGTGGTAATTGTGAAAGAGACATGCAAGCCAGTGCTACTTCGACGTAAAACCGGACATGACAAAGGGGGGAATGCAATAGATTTATCGCCATCAGAAGATGGCCTGCTGTCCAGAATGCGTGCCCGCCTGCAACGACCATTGTTATTACTAGGAACACGACCGATTATTCAGATTACGGCATTGGTTATAGGTCTCGGATTCGGGATTTACATTCTCGTGCTGTCGTTCTTTGCCACGCTCTTTGTCGACCAATACCACCAGTCCACGACAGATAGTAGTCTACAATACATCGCTATTGCCCTGGGTAGCACCCTGGCAACCCAGGCTGGTGGCCAGCTTATGGATGCAATCTTCGCGCGTCTCCGTGACCGTCTCCCCGAGGGGTCTGCTCTGCGTGAGACTCCTCCGCCAGAATTCCGCGTTCCAATCATGGTCATCGGAGCGCTGTTGTCACCAATCGGCCTTTTCTGGCTTGGCTGGTCTGTCCAAGCCAGAGCCCCCTGGATCATGGTCGACATTGGCGCGACGATTTTCGTGGCTGGTACTTTCTTGGCTAGTCAAGCAGCCTCTGCCTACCTGCTGGATGAATTCACGGTGGAAGCGGCCTCTGCAACTGCCGCGGCTAGGATGCTGAGTAACTTGATGGGCTTTACGTTTCCATTATTTGCGCCGAATTTGTATGATCGGCTTGGTTATGGCTGGGGTAATAGCCTACTGGCCTTTGTGTGGATTGCACTGGTGGTGCCAATTCCTGCAATACTTTGGTATCGGGGGGACAGGATTAGGGCTATTGGAAGGAAGTAGAGGGAGTTTTCTTCTTCCTGTAGTTTGTTAGAAATGGAGATCTTGCAAAAAAGGGAACAGGAAAACGGACAATAATAAATCTTAGTTTCAGAGCATAGAGCACCTTGCAACGTGCTAGTCAAAATTATTAAACATTGATAGAAAAAAAAAAAAAAGAAAAAGGTAAATAGCGCATCCTATTCCATTTTCATGCCAGAATGTACCACTTCTTTTCGATAGTTGTCCCAATGAAAAGGGAACAAAGCCGATGCCAATGTAGGTAGAAGAAGAAGAAAAAATATTATTTGACGCCTGGCGAAAAAAAGAAAGGGAAATGAAATGAAATCTATCTATGCATATGTTGACGAGTGCGAACTTTCTAGGCTTCCTGCGCCCATCTGCGTTCTCGTAATGGTTTCTCTTCTTTTGCGTCCATAGAGTAGCCGGCATCGCTTTCACGACGCCAGGCCCAGTACTCGCCTAAGCGAACTTCGGCGTAGGATGCGTAATCAAAGTCAATCTGAGAAATAGTTGCTTGGATAAGAGCCCATACACCCCTAGATCGGTTGATGTTAGTTCATCTGTCTCAGCAGAGGCGGATAATGCAGAGTAGCTAGCCATTACCAGTAAAACCCAGGTATCCCTCTGAACCTATCCACATCTTGGAACAATTTCTCGACAATCTCATGTTGCTCCTTATTAGCATCGATGCCTTTGCCACCGTGCTGGGAAAAGCTCTTCACGTATTCGGTCAGGAAATCGCGGCGTACGGAACGTGTCGGCAACATGTTGTAGTCACAATCATATCCGCCCCATTCAGCAAAATGGTTGGCAATATCAAATGCAGCTGGTGACGGCGTGGCATATTCGTAATCAATGAATTGAACCTCCTTGGAGTGTTCATGTCCGTTGGCATGTCCGTTCGTCGCTGTCTGAGGCTGCACAATAACATTGGCACTTAGTAGGTCGCAGTGAGCGAAGACCAACTATCAGATATATAGTTAGCTTTTGCCAGACACTTTCATTGCAAAGTAACTTTTTGACAGAGAAATGTAATAGCGTCAACATACCCCATTGTCGCCAATGCCACTACCATCATCAAGCTCGTCTACGAGGCGCTCCAGTTCACCTTGAAGCGACCTTTGGCGTAGCCTCTGCTCTTCTGTCAGGGCCGGCAATGCAAGAATCCACTTTTGTAGGACCGTCCACATATTAGGTCCAGCTTGTCGCGGCCGGATGGGAGTAATGTTGGTCTCCGGCTGGGCTTTAGACGCCCCATTGGGCTTGGCTAAATCACAGCAATCCTCCGTTGGTGACTCCTCGGCTGAATCTGAAAATTGGCTACTCTCATTGGATTGAGTGATGGGAAGAGAAGCATGCCATTGAGCTAGTCGACGAGCAACACCTCTCCAGACAGACGGCTTTGTGAGGTCTGCGGGAGACGTGACATGGCCGCGGATAAAGCAATACAATAAGCCATTCTTGAACCGGGCTAGAAGCGGAGGAGCGAGACCGTGTTGGGCGAGCAAAGTGTGAGATCTAGTCTCCCCTTTTGGAGTAATTTTACTTAGCAGGCAGTCGCATTGGGGCAAGCACAAGTATTTCCACGGTACATACTTTCGCGATCTATGAGTATCTCAGTATGGTTACCATAGGCGCGCATTAAGATGGCCTCATTGTCGATCTGTTCATCAGTCAAGCCGGGCTTCCGGTTGATGATCTTGAGTAGCTACGTATTGGTTCCATTAGTACGCCGAACTACTTATTCCTTTGTCTGGCTTTCTCGAAAAGCATTATATGGAAAAGACAACCACACACAGTATTCGTTATCCCGTCTGTGAATCGCACGAATTCAATATTGTTGCCGGAGCCTTCCCAGTCTGGTTTTATGGAGAGTACCAGCCTAAGCGCTGAGGCCTGTGAATCCGCATGATCGTAGGTCAGGGGTATGTATCTCAGGGAATCGCCCGACATCATGAGATACTTCTTTACCGGCTAGATACCGAGTAGAATTGATTCCTGTAGGTGACGAGCGCATTCTTAGCGTTTGAGAGACACAGTGGAATGGAGGAAGATGACGCTCATAAAAGTAGCTGCCTGTGATCGTATTGCCACAGGCGGGGAGGAGGTACCTCAATGGGTTTTCAACACCATGAACCTTGACCAGTTGTCGTCCTTGAGGCCTTAGTATAGAATCAGTTGCAAAAAAAAAAAAAGGGCGAGAAGGAGTAAACGCTCAGGGGTTTCCAATGGCGACAAAGAATGTGGTTTAAAGTGGGATGTGGGCACGAAAGCCGTATCGATTCTTGGGGGAGAGGGGTGCCAGCATGTGATTTCGCCACTAAATCGTAAAGGGCTAGCCACGACATGCAGACTAGACCACAGAGGGTAAAGCTTCCAGACGGTGGCGTGGCAGCCAGCCAATCATGTGATCTGTGCCAAGAGGAATTTGGCGGTCCAAGCTTTTGGAAGCCCCTGAATTCTTTGTTACCACGTGCTCCCCCAGCCCTAGCCCTACTTCCTTTTCCAGCCTTTCTCTCTCCAGGGCTAGTCCCACAGCGGACTAGCCTCGTCAGCCGCGCCGCCCTTAAAACCCAACTTCCGCGCGCTCCCATTCTTTTCTCTTTCTTTTCTTCTTTTTTCCTCATCTATCATCAGTAGAGGTTTACTTACTATGTAATTAAATCTTTATTTATCGGAGCTCCGCTAATGCGGCTTGCTGAGAGTTATTCTGCGTGAGATTTTGCTCTGTGGGTTTCTCTCCGTTCCCGGCTCTGTAGAGCAATTTTTTCTTCGCGTCCTCCTTTTTCCCTTTCACATTATGGCTAGGCTAGGGCTACGCTTCGGCGAGGCACCCATGCGCTTTAGCTGTGGAGGAGACGTGATATTCCTTTTTGCACTTTCGTGTCTGCTTGGTCGTTTTGGTGTCCAGAGGAGAGACACCTGAGCCTGCGCTTTGTGTTGTATCTCGCGTGTAGAAATGGAGATAGCAGCCAAGTTTAGCAATGAATTGACGAGTTTAAAGTCATTTATCACTGTCATGCGTAGAACTTGAGGATGAACTGGAAATTTTCAATTTCGTTCACTCAACTGAGAAAATAGAAAATATTGACCTCGGATATTTTCATGCTGACTTCGTCAACACCAACTTCAGCGTCATACGATAGCTTGAATTGCATAAGTACTCAGTGCATGTCACATTGTCAAGGTTTAACGAGACCACGACCTGCTTTGTAAAATTTTCTTCGATTCTTTTCGTAGAGCGCTGCTCACAGGTTGTATCGAACACTCACGACGTCCGCCACGATGAACGTCGGCCCGTCGCGAATCTCCAACTCCTGGTTTTAATTTACTGGATCATTCTTTCAAAGATTGAGAGGATGCCATATTAGCCAGTATTTAGCAGAAAGAGGTACTCGATGACTGCGTCATGCACTCGATAAGTTAGGATAAGGAGCGGTATCAAGTGCATGGTTTCGTCCTGATATGATGCCTATTCAAGTACAATCTCTATGCTCTTTTGTTTCAACATGTACCTGCATTGTTGAGTCGGACTAAACTGCATCATGTACTGCTCATCGATTCACTGACACCGAAGGGGGGTGAAGCCGGTGAAGCAGTCCGCACCTAGGAAGTGGTCTAGACAGATCAAATAGCTGTCAAGTAATTCAAGTTTTTATATGTTTTAAGTCCTAGGTAAACTACGCAGGCACCTTGACAGGCATACATTACTGCGTAATTATGTGCCTAAAGAGGCAGTTTGGTCACGCGAGCAACAGTTTCTATATGTTTACATATCACATTACTACATGACTGTTTACGTCCATCTAGGAGCTTTCTGAGTCGAGGGTAGAGACAGCACTTTATCTGTAATCAACCTCCTACCTACCTAGGTAAGTATCGATATCAGTCATGCGCATAGCCCGGAGGTTGAAATATAACCATTCGCAGGGAATATTTCTTGAATCTAGTATTCCTGGTTTATTTTTGTGCTGGTATTCAGTTGTATCGATTCCAGTTCTTCGAATAGTTTACATGATAAATAAATAAAGTTAAATGGGTAACTATTAAAGCAATATAGACTCACTTTCATTTGTAGTTATCCGTATACCAGGGTCAGTAGTCGTAGAGACCGCTGGCTCTGCTCGGTGCAGTGCATGAGTGGATGGTCATTATTATAGCCATTACCGTTGTAGGAGACATGTTTGTTTCAAAAAACTGTTGTAACTCGACAAAAATGGAGCACACGTAGCTCTCTAAGATTTCGACAGTAATATTTTGCATAAGAGGATTCCAGGGCCATGATGCTTTTCAAGATAACTATCCTATTGGAAGAAGGCACTGACTTCCATTGCACTTCCAAGGTTGTCTCGAATATCCACCTTGTATCCTATCCTTACTTTCTTGTTAGACTCGTCTAGTCAAATGACATGAAAACAGTCACAGCATAATTGATAGTTCGTTTTGTTAGATTAGTGTTGATATCGAAAGTCTAGCATCCCAACAACCGGCCTGTGAGTAATAAACTTGGACTCGGTGCTTCTAGAAAACGAGTCAAGACAAGTCCAAAGTATCTGGGCCCATTTCCATACACCCAAGTAGCTAATGAAGATATACTTAACCTTACCGTGCATTGACGGGGTTACAGACTTAAGGTCATCTCTACAGTACTGAAGCATAAGATACGGAGCACAAGTGTAAAATAGACAGGTTAGCTGAATCGATCTTGGCAAGAGCAACGAAGACAAAAGAGAAGAAAGGACAAAAAGAAACAGAAGTAGAATAGAAAAATTACAAAGAGTCGTCTCATAAGAGAGAACACACAAATATGGACCTAGCAAAAAGTCTTTTGTAATTTGTCAATCATCACAGGCACGACTCTCTTTTCTTCCCTTTGGTTGATGACCTTGTTCCAGTTTGAGAATATTTATTTCCACACACGCACGCATGTAAAAGGACCACGCCCCCCGCTGTCATTATCTAGTCACGACCGGTCTTTCTCAAAGTCTCGGCGAGCCACTCAAGACCCTCGTACAGACCGTCACCAGTAGTGGCGCAGGTGGATTGGATATACTACACGTTGCGTGTCATTAGTATAATACATTGATTAAGAGGAAGGAGATGGACATACCCAGGCACGGCGTGTCAGACTCTGAAGACCAAGTTGTTGGGTGATCTCGGCAATGCTCATAGCGTTCTGAATCCGTCAGTTTCTGTCAGAACCAAAGGGCAAATAGATTACCCACCGGCAAGTCTTGCTTGTTGGCGAAAACAAGGAGAAGGGCGTCACGGAGTTCATCCTCGTTCAGCATACGCTGCAATTCCTCACGGGCCTCGACGATACGATCGCGATCGTTGCTGTCAACAACGAAGATGATACCCTGGGTATTCTGGAAGTAGTGTCGCCACAAAGGACGGATCTTGTCCTGACCGCCGACATCCCACACGGTAAATTGAATGTTCTTGTACTCGACGGTCTCGACGTTGAATCCTGTCGGATAAGCACAAATTCCATCAGTAATTTGTTCGCTTTCTCCTTCACCAGTAGCGTGGTATCTCGAGGGAATCGATTGATCGATGCAGACTTGTAGAAGAAGGGGGCAATGTGCGACTAACCGATCGTAGGAATGGTGGTGACGATTTCACCGAGCTTCAACTTATAGAGAATGGTGGTCTTTCCGGCAGCATCGAGACCGACCATTAGAATACGCATTTCCTTCTTACCCCATAGTCGGTCAAGCAATTTCGAAACCACCAAACCCATCTTGGCGGTATTGGGAGACTGGAAGGCCGAGGCGTTGAGGGCGGGTTAGCGATCTGTAGAAAAGGAGGGGTGATGGGCTGAGGCGAAACGAGCAGCGAGGAAGCCCGAACCGGACCAGCACGAGCAAGCAGGAGGGGGGGATTGGAAAAGGAGGCAGAGATAAGAAGAGTACAGGACAGGAGTAATAACTTATAAGGACGATCTCAAACAGTGGATTGACCAGGTGTGCAACTGTGGGGGCAGGTGGTGGTCGTCCTGGGATATGAGACTCGTGTCCACTTGTTGTGGCTGTAGGCAGCGGGCAAACAAAGCGGGCGACGCGAGGAGGGCGGTAGGAGGGGTAAGGAGGGCTCACCTTAAAAGAAACGAAAGGCGCAGGGCGGACGGCGAAGAGTCTGGAGATGAGGATATAGAAGGAAGCAGGCTTGGGTTGAGACTCGTTCTATCGCGCAGGGGATGTTTTGTGTCTGCGAAATTCTCGGGAGGGAATGGCCTACCACGCAGGTCAGGAAATTGCCGTGGACAGCGTAGCTTCCGTCACCAGAAACCAGCCACCACGTGATTTCAGCCGCACGTGCTTTTCTTGTCTTGTTCGCCTTTATAGACCGGCCATTCGTATGACGCTTGCCTGCTGTTCAAGGACACCGTGTTCAGTTGATATCTTTCTGGTGCTGCTTCAGCCTTCAGGGGGTAGTACTTTCAGGCTGCAGCGTTTTTATTTGATTGCACAATTACCAGGTCGGAAGATGCGTGGCTTGGAAACGATTTCTTGGGTATATCTAGAATACAAGAATCTCTGATGGAAAAGTGAACTTGCTGCGGCTTGGTGCGGACAACTAAAGCACATTGGCCAGCCTGAAAAAAAAAGAAAAACTTTGGACATATCTTCGGATACGCCTGTTGGACTACCTCGGTGCGTAGCCTATGTTGGTTGCACGGATTGTACCATGTCCCATCGTATAGCCAATGCGTGTTCGGGCTATCGTCGCGCACGCCTCTGAGATAAGAGCTCCATTGACTTTTGTTTGGAGGAGTTGAACAAGGTCCTTGTAACCGAACGGTACATGGTCTTGCCTTCGACTGTATCGCTAAGGTATCCGAATACAGATAACAGTGCAATGGAAAGAACCATCAGAACTGCAAATGCTATCCAGTATGCGCGCAGGTTTAAAGGCGCTGCAATATCCGGGATCTGGATACTGAAGTATTGCGACATCAAGCTAACAGGAAGGAAAAGAATAGTTCCTTTAGCCAACAGAATGGTGATGCGAGTCAGCCTTTCTACAGCTTGCGAGTCCTTCAGCGCAATCAAGTTGAAGTTCTGCCAACGTCAGCAATTTTCGTGTCTTATCTTAGCGTGGAAGGGAGAAGATAGGCGGGATTCCTACCATAAATGTCAGTGTTTCTTTCTCAGCTAGACATGTATCGATTTCGCTCAAGCAGTATAGCCGAATACGGTCTGCAAGGCGTTCAAAGCGGCCAACCGCCGCCGAAGTTAGTTGGACGCCTGCAATATCATCGTAACTGTCGTAGACACCAGTCATGCTAAGTGACATTTGAAGTTGGTCACCATCCATATCGTTAATTGCGCTTAAACTGCGAGGGTTGTCGCGTCGACCCCGAGCCTCATCGCGCAAAAGGCGCTGTCGCTGTAAAATGCGCTTAATAACCAACTCATAGCTTTGATAGAGGCGCTTCAGTATAGCAAGACGCCTTCCGAGCCAGTGCAGATCATCCACTAGATCGACTTTTGGCTTATCTAACATTCTTTGCCTCTACATCTTTCATTCAGCATGGGTTGGGAACATAGTGCTGCTTTCGTTGAACTCACCAATTCGTCCAGCAGTGCACCATACATGTGCTCCCTGCGAGCAACTAATCGGTAGCTCGAAACCCAGTCATCGAACATGTAGTACAATATCAGTCCGGGTCCATCCTCTTGTTTAATACTAGCTTCATCAAGCTCAAGATCAGAAAAGTGACGGACGCGGACAGATACCAGCGACTCGTTGTCAGAAATAGATGGGTGTTGTTTAGATGCACCAGAGAAAATCGAGATAACATTTCGACGAGTAGCGGCTATCATAGTTTTCTCCTCTTCGACAGTGGGTATATATGGCCCTGGGAACGGGTTCTCCTGCATAGAGATAACAGTCCCTGCAACAGAAATAAAGGATCAGAAAAATATAGCCTACAGAGCGAGGAATATCAACTTACCGTCATCACATAAGATAATCCAGCACCATAGCCTTTTCCCTTCAGGTAAGCCCTTCCCATTTTCCAGGATCTTTTGGTTGATCTTGACAGTATAGAGGGAGTTATATCCGATACAAGTATCTTGGGATACCAATCAGTACTGCTTCAACAGTCTTTGAGGACGTAACGCACATTTTGGCCCATAGTCGACGGAACAAAAATGCCAGATTTGGTTGATGATGTTGGAAAAAGACAGATGACCGAGTGACGCTACTTCAGAACTGGCAGCCACAGGATCAAGTTTTTCAAGGTGGTAGGCTCCTTCGATGTCTTCGACTGGCATCGCTCTCCCAGTCCTGTCCTCAAGGTTTTCAGTAGATATTGGGCTCCCAAGTTCGTCCGCCTTTGCAACAGCAGTCTGCGTTTGTTTCACGGGGTCGGTGCACATCATTTTAACCAAACGGTAGGATAATCCATACTGGTTCAATAGAGTCTGTAGGTGTCCGTTAGCATCGTTCTTAACGAAGGAGAAGCTATGAGGCGAGCCTTGACAGATTCTTTCTGAAGCTCGGGAGTCCACAAGTGGCTTTTTTTTTGTAAGCATTAGCACCATGGCATGTGTATGATGATAACGTCAGACATCTCGACTCACATCCATCTCGTTCCAAATATTTTCGGCCTCTAATCTGACCGTTAACCCAATTCACGTAAAAATATGGTCTTCTATCAGAAGATGCTAACAAAATCGTACCTGTGCACCCATCAATGCCACGAAATCATCCTGGGTCAAGTTGAATCCACACCACGCGTCTTCATCGCCAAAGTCAAGAACGAAGTTTCGTGTAGTCTTGTCCACCAGCATTTGCTGGAATCGTAAGAAATCATGAGCATCATCGATGTCCTTGAACTGCTCTGAGATGGAAATGGGCGAAGAAAAGCTCTTGTAATACTCAGCGGCGGTTTGGGAGGTAGCCATGACAGGTCGTCCTCGCCTGTCTGGCTTTGGTAGTAGATGTAGATCTACCTAGGTGGCGTAGGCGTGTAGGGAAACTTGCAAGGTAGCGAGAAGCAGGAAACGAGGTGTTTATTTGAAGATGCCTGGGGCCATTATAAAGTAGTACCGTTGGCGAAGACTGGTCAGATGAGGCTGATCGACTGCCTCTCGTGATTGCCCAAGCTACTGCAGGCGCGGCGCCTTCCCTCCCACGGACTGCCAAGGGTCAATCCCCTGACCATCTAACTACAATGAATGACTAACGTTTCTAACTTAGTTAACTTAACTTAAGAGACACACTGCTGACATAACGGCACGAGATGCATGCCAGAGGGAGGGCAATTCTCATACTAATGAACGTAGTTAGCGCGCGGCTTGTGACTCCAGACTCTAGGCAGAAGCACGGAATGCCTGATTGCTCGATACAAGGAAGACGGAGCCAGCAGCCAGAGCTATGGTGCATAATCATTTTGATATATTTTTACCCTTCAATTTTCATAGCCATCCTTCCAATTCATCCAACTGCCAAGTAATGTAAACAGATTTATGACTGGCAGCCAATCACAGGCCAGAGAGAGCTTGAATATCACGTGACATATTGACGAGCAAAGTCTTGGCATTTGCAGCCATTCTAGGGCTCACTAATCCGCTTGTGGCTTAGCGCAGACGGCTTCCCACAAGCGGGGAAAAACTCGTTCAATATTGAAGCCGATCTTTTTCCCCTTGAACATCCGAACAACATTTCAGCGCAGAGCCACACCATAAGAATTAAATATTCTTCTGGAAGACTGTCGTCATCATGTCTAAGATCACAGTCGGTAAGTGCGCTCTCTCTACGGAATAGTTGTGACCGCCGATTTCAAAACAACGAATTTTGCCATCTGACTTTTTTTCGTGTCAAACAGCCGGAGTGCGCCAAAATGTCCAACAGCTTCTAGCTTACTCTCAAAATGAGAAGAAGCGTAACTTCCTCGAGACCGTTGAGCTTCAGATCGGTCTGAAGAACTACGACCCCCAGCGTGACAAGCGTTTCTCCGGTACCATCAAGCTGCCCAACGTTCCTCGCCCGGGTATGACCATTTGGTATGTCGATAACAACAACATCAGCCAGCAAGGGAAATAGAATGCGGGTTGCTAATTTTCCAACACAGCATCATTGGTGACCAGCACGATCTCGACCGTGCCAAGCACTTGGGAATTGAGTCTGCTTCCGTCGACGACTTGAAGAAGCTCAACAAGAACAAGAAGCTCATCAAGAAGCTTGCCCGCAAATACGATGCTTTCGTTGCTTCCGACACCCTGATCAAGCAGATTCCTCGTATCTTGGGACCCGGTCTTTCCAGGGGTCAGTATCCTAGAGTTCCAATAATAATTCAAAAATCGAGAGCTTCTATTGACATTATCTCACAGCTGGTAAATTCCCCACCCCTCTTTCTCACGCCGAGGACATGGACGCCAAGGTTACCGAGGTCAAGTCCACCATCAAGTTCCAGTTGAAGAAGGTTCTCTGCTTGGGTGTTGCCGTCGGCAACGTCGGTATGACCGAGGACGAGTTGATCTCCAACATCATGCTTGCCATCAACTACCTCGTCTCTCTGCTTAAGAAGGGCTGGCAGAACGTTGGAAGTCTTGTCATCAAGGCTTCCATGTCTCCTCCTAAGCGCCTGTACTAAATTCTGTGCTTAAGTGCATTGAATTGCGTGTTTGACGTGAAAAGCAAAAACAAAAGTTTTAAAACGCAGGGGAAAAAATGGATGTATAGCGTTTCTAGTTAGTTCTAGGAATTATACAGAATTTTCAACCCTCACATATCTGGGTTTTCCACGTAGTTTCTATGGACATAGGTAATGTACAACTGAGTCAAGAAGACCAAGGCAGACTCTGCATTGTGCGGCTATTCCATACCCTCCATCAACTCGGTTTTATCAAGAATCATTCCTCTCATCCCGATGAATTCTCGAAGACTATCCCATTCCTCGCCTTCCTCCTCGCCCCTCTTCCAGGGATTCTTGAAGCCCCAAGCTACAGCAACTCTGTCAAGAGCACCTCGCTCTTCTTCTCTAAGCCACCGATGTCTCAAGGGAATGCCAGGCGCCCACGTCACTCGTTCCATTTGATCGTTACTTGTGGCGATCGCAATAACTCCTACGGATGATGTAAATCCCATATAGGCAAGAGTTGCAGTGAAAGCGATGCCCGTGGCCATCGATGGATCCATAGTATTTTGCATATTCGCAGCCCATGTCGCAACAACGTAAGAGGCCAAAGGCGCCGTGGCTAGACCAGTAATGGGAAGAGCGGCCTTCTTGAACAATTTGGCCTTGTTGAACGCCGGGGCGCAAAAGCTCGTATCGATGATAGCAAGAGCGAGAGATAGGTTCTTCTGCTCCAGGGCGATATCCAGAGCGCTATTAGCCAAGTCGGAAGGGACGGCATTTTTTATATCTTTGGGGTTCTGCTGGCGAAATTGGACAGGCGATGTGTTGGCCTCGGGGATAGGTTTATTGGCGTACATTGAGAAGATCTGGGGGAAATAGTCGGCTCGCTTAAGGAGGACTTGGATTTTGGTATACAATTCGAGCACATCGGCCGAAATGAACACTTTGTCGTCCAGGAGAAGTTCCGTGGCAAGCTGGGATATAACGTCGACCGTCCTCCGCTCCTCCTTCTTGGGCATTCTCTTCTTTCCCGCTTTTTCCTCGAGATCAAGCAAAGACGACGTCGCATTTGACTTTTCTTTCTCGTGTGGTTCCTGTATTTTCACAAATGACTCCACGATATGCAGACATTGCTGTAGCAGTGCAACCACGTCCTCTTCCGAGGCCGCTTTGTCGGACTGTTGTATAGACTCGCATTTCTCCTTTATTCCACTTAGAGTAGACTTTGCATTCGAAATCGACGATGCAAGTCTCCTTGGTTCCAGGGATCGAGCCACGAACGGCCTTGGTGCCAATGCTTGCGTAAAATCTTTCTCGAATTGCGTGTTGCTGGCATGGCAAGCAGGTTCTTGAAGAGCTTGTCTCAACGATGGACGTTGCAATGAGGAGTAAGAGACGGCCTGTGATCTTTTCGGAGATTCGCAGAATTGACACACTGCCCTTCGCATTTTATGGGCCCCTTGGGGGCGTATGAAGACAGTGCCCATTGTGCTTCAATTCCGTGCATACTGTAAAATGAAAGCCACTTTGGCGACGGCGGAAACGTGCCTGGCCCTTTTCAGCGCTAGGCAGATAACGGCGGTGGAAACGCTACCGCCTAACTAATACGGCCCGCTATCAGAGCACCGCCACGTGAGAACGACATCGTTCAACCTGTTACTTCCATGATAAACCAACCAACTCGCGGCGCGATTTTACTGTCCAATACTTCCCTCGCCGTCCATCTCTCGACCCAACGACCGCGACATACCGACTCCTTCTAACCCAGACTACCTGCCTCGCGGGTATCTGGGGTCTTGTCTGTCACCACGCTGTCTTCGCACCTCCCCCCTACCTGAACCTCGCAAAAGAACAAGATGCCTCCGCCGCCGCCGCCTCCCCCTCCTCCTCCAGGCATGGGCGGCCCTCCACCTCCCCCTCCTCCGCCGCCTGGAGGGAGTACGCCTGCGAGACCAAATAAAGCAGCTGCTGGAAACAGGGTACGTTCTTTCCTACGACCATACGGCTCAATGCGCCTACGTCATACTCTTCGTTCAATATGTGCTCCCACTAGTTCACTAACCACTCGATGCAGAGCGCTCTTTTTGCCGATATCAACAAAGGTGCACCCAAGTTGAGAAAGGCGGTTACCAATGACCGGTCTGCGCCTATGGTTGGCAAAGAGAACAAGTCCGCGGGTCCTCCCATTGGAGGAGCTCCCCCTGTTCCGGGCCTGCCTAGAGCCCCCGGTGGACTGGCACCGCCTGTTCCCTCATCAAATCGTATGCGAAGTAGCAGTGATGTTGGACCTGCGACAGACGACGGCGGGAGTTCCGGCATTGCTAGTGCGCCTCAATTGGGCGGGCTGTTTGCGGGAGGCATGCCTAAACTACGCAATCGAGGAGGAATCGATACCGGTGCGAACAAAGATGCCTCATACCTGTCAGATTCCGAGGCCGTTCGTCCACGAGCTACGACTGCATCAGCCCCAAAACCTCCAGTGGGTGGAGCACCGAGACCGCCGGGAGCGCGGCCGCCTCCAGTACCTCCTACAACAGAGTCTCCTGCGCCCAATCCATTAGTTGCTAATTTGCGCAAGCCACCTCCAAAGCCTGTATCCCGGCCGTCGTCCACCCTAGACGTACCTCCGCGTGCTCCTCCTCCCCTTCCAGGCACGGGGAAAACCCCTCCCCCGCCTCCCCCATCGGCATTCCGAAAGCCGTCTGGTACGGCACCATCAGCTCCTCCACCTCGCCCGCCGCCTCCTCCAGTATCCTCGAGCCCAGCTCCTCCTAGTGCACCACCGCCCCCGCCGTCGATATCTGCCCCTAAACTTCCCGCCTCTGCGCCTCCCCCACCGCCATCTTCAGCTCCACCTTTGCCAAATGGGGCTTCTACTGCAAACACATCCATTGCGATGCAAGCAGCTCGAAATGCTTTTGGCAACTCTCATACACCTCCAGCGCCCCCAGCACCACCCCCACCTCCACCTCCGGTATCAGCACCATCAATACCAGTCACTAGCCCACCTCCTCCGCCCGTATCACCCCCAACTGCACCTCCGCCTCCTTCGCTAGTTCCTCCAGGGCGGCCATCTGGAACTTCAACCCCCTCATCACGACCTACATCATATGATGACCACTCTTCCAGGAATCAAGTGCGGTCAGCATTAGATCCAAGCGCTTATACTCTTACAAACGGGACTTCAAGTCCAATTCCTCACACTCCATCACCTGGACCTGCACCTGGACCTGGATCTGGATCTGCTCGGGTTGCAGTTCAAGATAACCGCTTCAAATTCCAGGACGAAAGTCTATTCCCCAAACCTCGGCCATTTACTGGCGGAGTGCGAAGATATCGCGCTGGCAGAGGAACCAGTGTCCCACTCGACCTTAGTTCTATAGGATAGATAAGTAGAATGCATACATTCTATCACTGTTCAATTTAAGTGTCGATTTTAAACTTATTTTCCTCCTTTGAATATCACATTTCAATATTTTTTAAATATGCTATTTAAGGGATACTTGAATGTAGGCTGTTAAAATGTAACACAGGTCTGCATGAGCTAAAATGAGACAATTCGACAGTGTATTAAGATCTAGTTCTTTCTCCGGGCCTACCATCTTCAGGGACGGTCCATTCAAATCGTTGTCGTTAGTACATTTAATAGTTGATATCCCATTGCACAACACATCCTACAGAAAAGAAAAGAGATCACCTAGTAAACCGGCAAGCAAGAGACATCATTTTTCATAGTTCACCTTCTTATACATCAATCACTCCGACCCTTGGATTGGTCCTGCGCCCACCTTTCAAAATACTGCTCTATCGGATGGTGTTGTCAAGCCGTCGCAGCGCCGGATTCGTATTTTAGTTCGTCGGTATGTATGGTGTCAATTGGTATGTTGAGAGGGGGCTATAACATTGACCCTGTTTGCAGAGAACAGACCATCACTGATCTGTACCAAATCCCCTTTTCTCTTTCTTTTTTCTTTTCCTTCTATCCATCTCGCGCGTTTAGAAAATGGCATTTTCTTTTCTGCTCTCTGCTTCGTAATCTCCCATCCAGCTGTTTCTTCAAAAGGGTATATTGTATTATTATAAGTGTTTTCTCGTTCTCATCCAGCATCCAGCTTAAACATTCTTCGTGTCCCGAATGACCTCCCCTTTCACCTTGGTCCAGTCGATATCATTATCAATACTTTCATCCACTTCACCGCAAACAACCACATTGTCACCACGAATCAGATAGAGGCCATGCTCAATCTCAGAGCTTGGTTCGGGGTCATCTGGTGTGCGGATTATTCGTTCGACGGTCTGTGTGAGGACGAGGTTTGTTAATTGGTCTGTTGAGAGGAGGGTGCCGAGGAGAGTGCGACCGTCAACGGTGATGACGAGGACTTTTTCTGTTGTTTTATTGTGCTTTTGTTAGCGTAGTCCTTTTGAAAGATATGCATGAGGCGATTTCAGTTGAGGAAATGGAGGGAAGAGTGCAGGAACGTATGTACAAGACTTACTGTTTATATAAGGACTCAAAGACATGGTGACTGATATGTATTCGGTCTGTGGAATAATTATGCAGCAGCGGGTACCGCGCGCACGCTGGATTCGAATGAGGGATAAATCAGTTCACTGCATCACATGAATCGGCTCTTCCAGCAGGATTCGGGTGGAAGAAGACAGGTCGACTAGAAGTTGGACGAGGTTATAAGCATGGTTGTCAAGGATAATTTTGTTCTGGAGTTGCTTGAGGTATCAAATTGCTACTTGAGCGGAGCCGCGGGTTCTGATTGGCCGGTCCCTCTAGCTTGGCGTTAACGCGCCCCCCGCTGCCTTTTTGAACGTCGCTCCTACCATGTTGAACAGTTCCCTTTGTGTTTCGTGATATTCCTCAAAACTGGACCGGGAGATAGTTAATTGCCAGCAATGGTCACTACGCCAGTCGAGTTCGCAGGAGCCACGCAGGGGATCGACGACGTTTTGATGGGGCACATGCCCGGCGAACAGCGAAGCCTTCAGCCTTGTTTGTAAGAGAGATAGTATCCACTGGGAATGATGAGATACTGTTTGCAAAGAACTTGATGTTCATACTCGATGCCGGAATTGGCTGATTTACTCTATCCCTGGCCTGTGGTCTCCGCACTGGCTTCTTATCTGGGAGTTGGGGATCTATTGCACCTTTCGAGAGTGAATAGCGAGTTCAGAGCTGTCCTCCACGGCTTCCCGCGGCCAAAACCAACCCCGAAAATAAAGCAATCGACTCCATCGTCGATCCATGAAGATGGCACAGAAGATGGAGTTCGCCCAGACATATTTGTCGGATTGCATCAGAATTCCTATTGGAAACATCTTAAATCTACTGCGGTTATGTCTTGTGCGGAGCTAGGGCATCGCAAGGGATACCATATTGGGTTGTGCCGGTACTGCTCGAGTCCTGTGTGCGATGCCTGCGTTGTCCGAGTGAGTTGTTTCTTTCTTTCTTTCCCTACGCTTGTCCTACGAGGGGCTATGATTAATAACATTCACGACAGGAATCATTCACTCAGAAAACCAGTGCATGGCGCACTCGAACTCGTCACCTTTGCACGGACTGCTGGGCGACAGGCAATCCGCATAAAGGTCGCAATTTTACAAAACCCCCTTCAGCGCAAGTTTCATACAACTTTCTACCCGGTCACGGAGATTTTTGCCGTTGCACCGTGCATGACGGATGGCTCTGCTCTAGTTGTCGCAAGAACCAGTGTATGGATGCGGAACTACAGAGAGTGCGTTGTTTTGGCGAGGGATGCGCGAACCTTGCGGGCTCCGACAGAGAGCGACGAAGTATCTGTCTGTGGTGCGATCTACCGTTCTAGTCAGAATATATGTAGCGTATCCGGCGTGGCCCACAGTATATACTAGTAGTATACGTTGTTTATAGTGAAAACAAGACATGTGTCGGAGCGGTATTAACCTAGGAGTACTAGATCTAGTGATTGGCAGCTAACATCTAGTCGATGCTTAATACAGATCACACAGGCTCGCTTACCATGCATAAGACGAGGGCCACGTGGGGAAGGGTCAATTGATTGGTGGTGGATGATTATTGCGCTGGCAAGCGAATCGCCGAAACCAGTCGGACTACTCCTCACTGGCACTCAGTGACCAGTCCAATTACAATACGCCGCACAAAGTTCTACACGCACGCTGACACGGTGGATCTGTCACAGACATTAGCCGCTGCAAGATGACGGCGCCTCCGTGTGTGGCGGTGTAAGATGGGGGAGTGTGCGGCGTATTCTTTGGGTATTCGCGCCTTTCCAGTGCGATTATCAGCAGCGACGTCGTAGCTACGGAGTCCATGATAGTTATACTCCGTGGAGTACTCCGTACTGTATGTAATTACAGAAACCGCAATACACAATACAGATGATTCAGACCGCGCTAGCCTATAAGCGGACTGGTGACACATTAGCGGCGGCAGCATGTTAAAACAGTCGGCCAATCAGCGACTGCCATCCACAGCGTCGTGGCTGTCCCCACGCACGGCCGGCGGTTGCCCCCTGTCCACCGTGCTTACTGACTGCCACTCTCTCTCTCTCTCTCTCTCCTACTCCCTCATTCACCACCTCCCCCGCCCCTGGGATCTTTCCTTTCTACTGTCTTGCATTTTGATCAGAGCCTTCGAGTCATTTTTGGTTTTCTTTCGTTTCGCTCGTGGCTTTCTGGAATTGGGCAGGGCTACGGCGTGCATACATTGGTACGTAGTTAGGTACCCATGCAACCGACCTTTTCTTGCGCTGACTTGGAACAGCCCCAATCAGTACCAACTGTGCCATTCAGAGGGTTGTATGGTCTCCGATTTGCGATATCGACATCGTATTACTCACTCCGAATATAGAACATCGTATACACATCTCTCTCTCGTCACAACATTATCATCGGCCTGGGTATCGCCGCCTGTCTCCATGCCCTCCGCATCCGCTACAAGCCGTTGCGTGCAACGCCCAAAGCTGTCCTGAGTGACATTTTTCACATATATTAGCCAGCGTCATGTGGCTGGCCCGCGGCGTGCAGTCCGCCATTTTCTACTATGCCACATGCACACCCTGTGCGGCGGCGGAGGATCGGCGGCGCCGCAAGAAAGAGGCCATACGAGCTCAGCGAGAACAGGCAAGGTCGGTCATCATAGTGACCGATCAACCGCAGCCGTTTCCCCAACCGACACCTTTTAGTACCAATGCGGGATGGATGGAGGAGATTGCACTGGGGCCAGGCCCGCCAGCTCGTCGTCATCGAACAAAGAATGGTCCGAGCGACGGAACAGCATTACCTAGATTATCATCGACCTCGAGCATGACTATTGAGGATTCAATGCTGTCAGGAGGGAAAGGGAAAACGTCTCTGGGCGAGAAGTTACACTGGGCGCGCTTCCAACGTGAAGATGAAGTGCTGTGGGGAGAAGAGGAAAGAAGAGCAAAAGACGCAGAGCAATCCGCCCAGGGCTCTTCTGTTGGCATATCAGGCCGGGGTCGGGCAGGAACAAGTCATTCGAATAAATACTATATCGCAAGAGCACCTCCAGTCAACGATCTGCATCCCCCTATTGTAAGCGGACCAGCAAGTCGCACTGAAACACAATGGATGCTACAGCCGCCTCCCAGCGCAAAAGTCATGGCAGGAAAAGCCAAAGGCGATAATTTACATGGCAGCCGAGAGCCGAGTGTGCGGAAAAGAAGTCGAGTAGACTCGGAAATCAAGGAGTCAGACGAGGACGACTTGATCCAAGAGGGTTACTCGGCTCCCATCGCGGACCGGACTAGCTGGACACTTGGCCGAGGCAATACATATCGTCGAGCACTGGATAATGATAAGAAGCAACGACCTTTGACGCTTGATATAGATAGTCTTATTGAAAGAGGCCGAAAGGACAAGGACGACAATTCCGAAGTTCTACGGCCACCACCATCAGCAATAACAGCGACGCCGCGGTCAGTATCCATGACCAACGTTCGTCATGCATATGACGAATGGCACCTGCAGCTTTCACCCTCATTCCATTCACGATCCAATTCGCCATCGAGCATGGGGTCGCCGGCCGACTCGCTTCATTGGCCAGACACACCACCTTATTCGCGACCAGAATCCAAACATACCGAAGATAGTGGCAAAGTATTTCAGCCACAATACTTGAATCTAGCCGTCTCGTCCCATCGCGAGAACAATAAAAGTATAGAGGCTATACATGTTGAAGTGAACGAGCCGCGGTCGAGAGAACAAATGCACCCGTTGAAATGGCGATGGAGTTTTGATATCTAGACTTTGCTCCCACTCGCTGGTCGATTACTATCGCAAGTTTACTTTGACACGCCCATCCATCCGATCACCTACACACACACACACAATCCTAATCCATATCCTACTTCTTAACCACGCCTAATGTACAGTACACTTTCAATCCGCCATCCTCAAAATTGCATAGTTCTATTTTTCCGTCTGTTTGGACCCTTTCCACTTGGCATACCGACCAATTCTCTCATTATCTTACTACTTCGTTTTTTCAACGAACCGTTCTCTCTCTTTTTCTTTTATTTTGTCCGTTCTAAGTACATAAAACGGCGCACGTTTTTTTTTTTTTTTTCTCTCTTCTGTTACATTTCCATTTCTTCAAGCCAACAAGCCTGCTCTGGCATTTGTTTTCTGGTAGTTCATTTCGCTTAGACTCGATGCATTCATGCTTTGCGTTACTTTCCATGAGTCATAGAACACCTTTTTTTTTTCTCACTTTTTGGTCATTATCATTAAATATAGTACTTTTTTATTTATATGGTGTACTGAGAATTGAACACGAACCTTGAATGATCAAGCGTGCATTCATCCTCATTCATTGAATATAATTATCATTTACATTTTTCATTCAAAATGGGAGTAATAGGGTATGGTACATTCTTATGCATACAATTGCTAGCACTTACGAATATCACATTCCTCAGTAGTCGTAGAAAGAAAGAAAAAAGAAAAGGGCATAATATATCAACCATAATAAAACACAAATCATAATATCTAATCAAAGATCTTATAGGAGGAACCTAAGAAGTAAGTAAATCCCTAACGCTCATGCCCATTTTCCGCGCTTTATTAGTAGAGGAAGAGGAGGAGGAAGAGGAGGAAGAAACAGATATTCCATCATAGACACCATCCCCTCCTGCTTGTTCACTTATCGATGATGGACCACGTCGATCCATATTCAGCATTAAGAGGGCCGCGCTCGCTTCGTGGTCGATTGAACTGTCGTTTGCGAGGAATATGGGGCTGGCTATGCTTGCTGACATGATACTGCTCGTACTTTGTCGATGTTGTTGGGGCCGGATGGCTGGAGAAGGGGTTGCGGAGACGATTTGTTGTGGAACCCTCCATGAGGTGTGATTATGACTACTGCTGTTTTGGTTGGTGATGTGCATTTGGGCTGGATATGAATCCGGTTGGGTCTCTGGTCGTATCTGTGGGGAGTACAATGGACGTAATGCGGGTGATGGGAGGATGGGGTGCGCTCCGTTGTCGAGAGGCTGGAGGTTTTGGTGAGACGCTGTGGGTGCAGTGTATGGGGAGAAGGATGGTGAGGAGTAGTGGGATGCATTGTTGTGCGGAAGGGGTTCGGGTGATGATGATCCTGACTCTGATCCTACCGATTCCTCGCCCATCGGTGGCATAACTAGTTCCGGCGATGTTGGCGATGGCGGTGCCAACGAGGGTGGTTCTAGCTTCTGCTTTTTTGATATCGAATCCGTTCGCCCAGCACCTGCTGAAGCATTGTTTTTCAATTCCGTGATACAATCTTCAAGATAATTCATATAGTCGATGCTCGCCTATGCATATATCGATTAGTATACTGCTTCCATACCTAAATACAAAGAGGAAAAACAAACGCACCTGGAGAATGGCAAGCTTGTGCATTTCCTGCCCACGACAAGCAGGAATCATATCCTTCAATGTCGCAAACTCCTCATTCATTTTGGACCGTCGTCTCCGCTCAATCAGACTGTGGGCCGTCTTGCGGGCAATTTTGCGCCCCGCTGCCGAGGTAGCACTGGGCTGTTTCCTCTTCGAGCCATTGCTACTATTTGATAGTTGCAATGTAGGTGAAGTCGCGTTAATGTTGGTTGGTAGTGGTGCTGTTGAGGCAGCAGCAAGAGAGCCATTCTTGGAAGGCAATTTTAGAGCCGATTTTTTGGGGGGAGATTGCTTGGTTGCGGTTGTATTGCTGCTCGACGGAGCAGCAGTCTTGGGCTTCATCTGAATGATCTTTCTCGACCGCGTAGGCGGCGGTGGGAGATTGAATTCATCAAGCATTGTTGACGAAGATGCGGCCGTTGTTGCCGCACGTTTCGTGCCCACGCGAGCAGCTACGGTGCCTGACTTGCGGTCGATGGCAGCATCAATGGCAGGAGATGCCGGTGACATCGGCGTCTGCTGGGCAATCATTGAACCCTTTCGACTGCTTGAACCTTTGTCCAACGCAATGGGACTCAGAGCGGCAGGTGGTAATGCAAAGGAGTGCTCAGACATAGTGTCCATTGCTTGGAAAGAAGCGTCCTTGATGGTAAATTCACCAGAAGCGGCGGGAGTAGGCGGCAGGTGAGCGGGAGGCATGTCTGGTCACACCAGTACCTTGGTGGTAATTGGGCAGGGTATACAAACAAACGAGGGAACGGCACACACTGGCGGAGAGAAAGGATGATGCCTGATGCTGCGGCGGATGGGAGGAGGAGAGAGAAGAAAAGAGAGAAGAGGTCGCATGCAGCAGAGAGCAGGTGTTGATGCGTCGGCGCTGATAGGCTTATCGCTCGGCCTGTAAAAAGCGCTCTGCAGGGCACGCGAGCGGCAGTTGCCCGACTGGGCCTAGCGCGCGATCCCCGGCATTTGGTGGGGATGCCTCAGTCATCGGCGGACGTACTGCGTGCGTATCTCCATGGATATTTGCATCCGTCTAATTATTCTACTGTGCTTTTTTTGTGGATAAAGCAATGGCAAGCAATTAATCATCTTATTACTTTACTATCCCGCGCATAAAAGACCAGACCAGAGACAACATACAACATATCATCAGCAGCGAAGGGAATGCAAGCCGTGATTGGCCAAACAAAATCGCGCCTCACGTGCTCCGGGCGGCGCGCTGCCAGCCAATCAGGCGACGTACTCCTGGACGCACAAGTCTTGGCACGAGCTGGACAAACAGAGCAAACAAACATCAGCATAAGTTATTGTTGCACCGAACAGCCCTCCTTGCTATTGCTCGAGGTATCCTGCGCATCGCTGAAGTCTGGGGCATTCAGGCGCGGTTTGCCCTGCGCGTTCTGGATCGGCTTGCTCCAGAATGGCTGATGCGACGGGCTATCAGACCCCGCTTCTTCATCCAGAACGTTGAGTGTCACGCTCGTGTCGTCCGCTGACTGGCTGTTGGCCCCAGAAGCCGCGGGCTGGTGGACGGTGTCCGTTGCTTGGGCAGCCGGGCGATGAGTCGACGAAGCTCGTACTGCCGGTCGTGTTGAGGTCTTGAGTGATGCAGTGAACGAGGGCAAGAACGAGGGCGAGGTCACGGACAAAGGCAAGGATGAGGGCGAGGCCACAGACAAGGGCAATAATGAGGGCGAGGCCACGGACAAGGGCAAGGATGAGGGCGAGGCCACGGACAAAGGCAAGGATGAGGGCGATGTCGCGGACAAAGGCAAGGATGAGGGCGATGTCGCGGAC